GGTTTCATGCAAACTACTGGCTGAATGTTTCCTATGTATTGAGATAATTTTAAGTGGCTTTAGTCTTTTATTAGTTTCCAGGGATCTTATTTAGGCAAGAACTTGTCACAGATTGAATGCCAAAACATGTTGCATTCACATTTTATTCCACTGTATTTTCTGTGTTGCTCCATATTACTGATAAATTCTTGTTAGTAGAGATAATGTTACTAGCTCATTGATCATTTCTGGTAATAGGAACATCTGCTGCAGTTTCACTCAAATCAAGTCATCTGAAGCAGTGTCTTGGCTGTTACAAGCCTTTGTACTCTGTCGAGAGGTTCCTAACCTGTTGAAAAAGGTGAAAAATCATTGTTTCTCTTCATTTCTTTGACATGATCTGTCGTTATGTTCCATGTTCAATATATATATATATATATATATTTGGATTTGAAATGATTTACAACCCTTGGTGTCTTTTGATGCTTATAGTGAATAGGTCACTCTATACTGCCATCCTTTTTGCTCATACGAAGGCTTCTATTGGCTAGGTGACATTTGGTTCCTGTATTCTGATATTGATGAATAACCAGATATTTGCCACTATACTTTCAATAGAATCTTAGATTACATCCTTCTAGACTTTCTTTTTGATGGATCATTGGAAGTTTTGTTGCTTCTGTTTGCTTCATATGCTTCTTGAAGCATGCCAAGTTTCTTGTTCAATTTGAATTAATATCCTCCCCAATTGATCTCAAGATGTGTTCTAGTGTAAAATGCCAGGGTTACTGCTCGCTCATCAACAAGGTTGACAAAAGATCCTATAAATGGGTTCCATTCTGATTTAGATGACTTTTTAATAAACCTTTAATAATGTGGATTTGTCAGTTCGTGATGCAATACCTGACGATAAGCCTGCGTCGTTTGTTCCTTAATAATTGAAATGACTTGCATTTCTTTATTGAAAATGGAACAGGTCTCCAGGCTGCTCTGTGCCATATATATACTTTCCCCATCGAAGGGACTGTTCTCTTTTCCTTCCTCCAGCAAAGTGCTCTCGGAAAGCCATTGGGCTTCCTATTTTCATCAGGCCTCACTTGGCACCCATCTGAACTACCAATTCCTGTTGAACAAGACCCAGCAAAACAAACACCACCATGCTATGGATGAACAGGTAACCTATTAGATTTTCAAGTTTCAGTTCCCAGCAACCTGTTAGTTTTCTGTTCACCTACTCTGACAAATTAGGATCGGACTACAATGCTGGAGTATGGGACTCCCAAGTTTAGTAATTGGATTGTCAGATTTCCTCCCTTTATTATTTGAATGTTCTATGTATACATGCTTATGTGCATCACCACCAAATTGTTATAAACAAAAAGAACTTGATTTTATCCTTCTGTAGCTTCGATAAGTCCTTACCTGGGTTATCTTTTATTTAGCATTCTGATTATCAGGATTCATCAACGAGTGACTTGCTGGAAGCAAAATCACATGATTTACCAAGGTCTTGCTCTCCCACTTCTGTTGGTTTACTCCCCCATCCCTTCCTGTGGTCTATGGTTCCAACTTCCTATACTTCCTGTTGCAGAGTTGCACCGCCATTTGTTGAAGAGTTGGAGAATTTTGTGATAGAGTTTTTTGCAGAGCTTCCTTGCACCACTGTGATCTGCATAAGCTTGATAGGCGACCAGTTAGCCACTTTATTGCAAGAACTACTCGCATACCCTCCATCTATCCATGCATGGCTACTACTATCACGTTTAAACTCTAAGAATCAACCTGTTGTGGCTGCTATTCCCGTTTACTCCAGTTTGGAAGGTATATTGCGTGATAGGAACTGGGGAATTCATCGATTTGTTGTCCTGATTGATTTTTTTCCCCCGACAAAAGTATAGTATGCTGACTGATTTCCATGAACCATGTCAGTGACTTCTGAAGATAATTGCGCAAGCTCTGGTTACAGAGATATCCTTAAAAGAAATGAATTGACTAAAAAATGGCACTGCCCCTGGGGTGCTACTGTTATCGATGAAGTTGCTCCAGTATTTCGACATATATTGGAGGAGAATCACTTGTCATCATCAAATTTACCACTGGAAGATTCCAAAGAGAACAGAAATGCATGGTGGAGTCGAAGAAAGAGACTAGATTGTATGCTTGATGAATTTCTAAGGTAGTTACAACGTGTCTTACTGTTGATTCCATAGTTTTCTAATTCCATTTAACCTTGAGACATTGCTTATGATTTTGTGACAAATTAGCCAACTTGACCTTTTGGATTGTGGCCCTCATTGGCAGGAGTGGAGCAGTTTTCTTTACATTGTCTGAGCTAATATTGATGACTATGGATTTTGTTATAATAATGCAAATATATGTTGAGTCTTTGTATCAGTCTTAGGTAGCTAACTGTGCTTGAGTTTTATTGATATTTATCCTTTTCCTGACGTAGGAGCTTAGAAGAAAAGTGGCTCGGACCATGGAAGAGCTTGCTTTTTGTTGAACTATCCTACTGCAAGGCCATGGATGCAATAGAAAGCAGGCTCGTTCGAGATCTGAAATCTAAATGCAAAGTGGCTGTAAATCAAATTCTGCTTAAGGTCATTCTTGGTGCAGGAGAAGAGTTTGGCGTAGAAACGTGTATTAAGCAATTGTTATCTCTGAAGAATGGCTGCGTTTTTGGTAAACCTGGATTGTCTGAAGAAGGAAGTCTTGAGACCCAACCTGAAGAATCTGAAGCAGTAAAAAGACAAACTGAGTTGGCTGTTCAGTTGGTATATGAGGCTCAGAATAAGGTTAAAGAGGTAAAAGAAGAAGCCTCTGCCAAAAAAGAGGCAGCAATTCTGGTCCTGGATAGTGAGGTGCAGGTGAGCTTTACCTTCAGACATTTCACTCTTGTTTCACATACCTGTACACCATCTGTATTTACACCTTTTTTGGATTCTGGAGTATATCATGGAACTGGGTGGCATTTCTTTCCAGGCTAAACTTATGCAAAGGTCCCTAAAAGAGTTGGGTAGGTTTGTATGTCTGAATGTGATGATCCTGCCAACTCTGCAGAAGGGAGAACAGTTAGATTCAATAATAATATAACACACTCAAACCATATGATCTATATTGTAACATATGATCTGTATAGTAATGAAGCTTAATCCATATCCAGATGCTTCCATGGGAAAACTTACCAACACTGAGAAGCCAGGAGGTGTATCGCTTACCTACAGTTGGCAGCATTTCATGGATACTTGATAGGAGCGTCAGACAGCGAGAATCAGGGGCGGCCATGTCTGTTGCCTTACCTTACATAGATCCCTTGGATGCTTTTTATGTCTTGAATCCCAGTGGTGACCTGGATCATACACAGGCTGCATTTGAGAAGTGGTTTCAGGATCAAAATTTAGGGGTAAAAATGCAAATTCCTTCAATTTCCAATTATGATACGAGACTCTATTGTGCTAATACCTGGAACTTTTGAAATGCAGGGAAAGGCAGGATCTGCACCAACTACTGAAGAATTGGCTTTGGCCTTGAGGAATCATGACCTCTTCATATATTTAGGCCACGGCAGTGGTAATTGAAGTCTTAGCCTGGATAACTTTCATTTGGCCTTAGATATGCATCGAGACTGGATATGCTTTAAAAGCTTTTCTGCCTTGTAATTGCAGGTACACAATACATATCAGGGGATGAGATAAAGAAGCTGGAAAAGTGTGCGGCAACTCTTCTTATGGGCTGCAGCAGTGGTTCCCTGACCTTAACTGGCTCTTACACTCCAAAAGGCGCTCCGCTCTACTATCTATTGGCAGGTTCCCCAGTCGTCGTGTCAAACCTCTGGGAAGTCACTGACAAGGACATCGATAGATTCAGCAAGACCATGCTTGATTCTTGGATGCGTGAAAGGTCCGACGCTTACACCGATTCTGCCCGCTGCAACCTAGTCAAAGAATTCGACTCGATGAGCATCAAGGGCAAAGGCAGGAAGAAAGTCTCCAAGAAAAAGTCATCTGAACCTGATGACTGTGACGACGACGACAGCTCAAAACACAACAGTTCTAGCAACCGCCGGCCTACTGTTGGGTCGTTCATGGCTCAGGCTCGTGACGCTTGCACTTTGAAGTACTTGATTGGAGCAGCACCAGTGTGCTATGGAGTTCCAACAGGCATCAGGAGAAAGGAGAAAGCAGCTCAATAGTTGGCCGTCACATCGTGTGTGGCGCCTTGCTGGTCATTGCACTCAGGTTCAATTCATACAAGTGAGCTTTTAGGTTATCAAATTGGTCACTCCCATCTCGTCGATTGCTGGTCAGCATGTGTGCTATAGCTTCACAGGTTCAGGTTAGCGCTGTAACACAGTAACAGCAAGGAGTAGTTGTACATAACCTAGTTACAGAAATTGAGTTTCAGGTCTAGTGATACTGACCAACACTGAGGATTGTCAGTGGCAGAGCCTTTTGGCCTTGTCCCGGGACAGGGGTAAATTTCGGTGGAACAAAAATACGTCATATATATTTATATTGGTGATGGAACACAACACGTATAGGTAGTATTAGAGAACTTTGTCACTACAACACAACTCATTACTTGTCCAAAATTGACATAAAATTAATTTATTATACAATAAACGAAATTCCAATTGCAATAAAGAACTAATCGGGTCTCTTTTCTCCTTATGCCTATTCGATCTTTCCTCAACAACCCTGAAATTGTCTAGCGACAATGGCAACCCCACTAGTTTTGATCTACCAATTACAACTGCAAGTGTAAAAAGAGTATTTTCAGCTCTGAGTTATATTAAGAACAAGTTTCCAAGTCGATTTTGGCGACCAGTTTACTAATACTTGTTTAGTAAGATACATTGAAAGAGACTTATATAATAATGTAGAACAATGAATGTTTTTGCGCTTCTTTCACTTTATATGAAATTCTTTCGTAGTTGTTTTTGAAAAATATGATAGTATTATTAAATAATGATTTTATTAGATACTTATATATTTAAGTTATGAAAACTGGACATGGGTAATTTAAAATGTTGCCTCCGCCATTGAGGATTGTTATAGTAAATTAAATAACAGTAGTTAAAAGATGGTTTTACTTACCAAATATTATAACTCTTAATTGGGGGAAGGGTGGATAGTGGTTTCAACAATAATATATGTAACATATCTTGTTTTAGTTATTTAACCGGTTTATATCGGTTAAAACCAAAAACCATTCGAGACTAACTCATTTATAATCCATAAAAATAATCGTTGAGGACTTTTTTACCGGTTTGATTTGTGGTTAACCCGATGAAAGAAACAGTAGAGAAATAACACTTGCAATTGTTTTATTTTTCCGAGAACGGGCGAAACAAAATATTAGTGAATGAAATTTCATGGAAAAAAAAAAACTATATATATAGGCAAGCGCGGGAAGAAATTGAGCGGGAATCCAGATATCTGTCACTGGCAAGAAGAGGAAGAGATGAGCGGAAGTGAGAAAGCGGTTAACCGCCTTAGCCTCAATTCTCCGCTCCTCCGCTACCTGCAAGGCGCCGCCGCTGCCAGATCTCCGACTGTCCTGTTTCCGCATGATTTCGACGGCGCCGACGCGGAAAATGCCTTCAGTTCTCCCTCGCCTGTGTCCAAGAAGAACCAGTTCAGCAGCTCTTCCGGAAGCAACGGCCGAGTCGGAGGAGGCAGCAGCACCGGCGGCACCAGCTTTGGGAGATCGACGGCGTCTTCTTCGCCCCTGTCGTCGTTGTCTTCTTTGGAGAACGCGAGGAAGTCATCAGTCTTCGGCGTCGGTCCTCTGAAGGCGATGGAAGACGATGTGTTGGTGATGGATGCGATCGGCGTTGCTTCAGACGTCGGAGGAACGGCTAGGGTTTGTGGTAGGACTCGCGTGCTGTCTGAGTCCGGCGGTTCGTCTTCGAATAATTCTTCGTCTTCTTCGTCAAGGAACAAGATCAACAAGACTGAACTCTCTTCTTCGTCGGGGAACAAGATCAACAAGACTGAACTCTCTTCTTCGTCGGGGAACAAGATCAACAAGACTGAACTCTGTAGGGCTTGGGAGGATCACGGATACTGCCGCTACGTCACTAAATGCCAGGTTTCTCCTCTCGCCTTTCCGTTTTCCATTGGAATGTCTCCATTTCGATTCTTTGGACGGTGAATTTGTGATCCGGAAGCTCTTTGCTTTAGAGGCGAATTTCACAGCTCTAGGTATGGCAGGGGAATCTGAAATCTCCATACCTCCAATTTGTAGTTTTAATTATGAGCTACGAGTAGAATTGAACTGGAACTCGTACAGTATGTTTGTTATGCCTACAACCTGTTTGTGTTTATGATTCTTAGAGAACCTAGGAATAAGATTCTAGCTGTTGGTGCTTCGTAGCATCCTTAAAGAATCTCAAAAGAGCTTGCGATACAACTTTATCCCTTTAGCTTCTCCAGTGACTGGAAGTAGGATTGTCAAATTAAGAGCGAAGTAACGAATCTGAATAATTCATCAGAAGACACCTGTGCATTTGCTTAGTTGATTCTCCTGGTGAGTTGTGGTTTTATCTGGAAGTCCCTGCATACTGCAAATAGACAGGAGAATACTCTGAAGTGTCCATTCTAAGTTCATGCAAAGTTGCAACTTGAATCTCTTTCAGTCTTCTAATTTTGGGGAAAATTGCTTACAACTTGAAACATTCAGGAACTATGTTCTTGAGTGGAGAAACTGTAACATAACTTCTCTTCAGTGTGCTAATTCAAGCTAGATTGGTGTTTATCATAACCAGGAAAGTAAGTTAGGAAACTTAAGATGACATGTGTTTCAACTCTTTTGCTGTGAGCCTGTGACCCCTCGTGCTTGCCAAAATCTGAGATCAGATTTATGCTAACCATTCTTCTGATTCAGCTTTTGTGTGGTTATTGAGCTTGGATTCATCATCTTGGTCTCTGCTATTTCAGTTTGCACATGGAAAGGAAGAGCTTCGTCCGACAGGTTATATCGTCAAGAACAAATCTGAGGTTTGAACCCAGTAGATGATGAGTAAAATCTCCGCTGTCTATTGAAATGTCATCTCACCTTGTTTCCCCATGCATAATCCATGCAGGTTGGGAGTAACAGATCACTGACTCCACCTTCATACCCTACAAAATCCCTCATGTATTCACCTGGGATGACAGAAGCTTCAGCAACGGCAAACCAAACAAGATATGCTTCCAACACACCCGAACACAGCAACAGGGGCACCTCGAGCTTCATGAGATCGGAACTCTCCAGCAGGGGCTCCATGAGAAGTTCAACTTCGGATGCCAGGGTCAGTATCTCCACTCCACCCAGAATAGACCTTTCAAGCAGAAGCTCAACATCCATCAAGAAACCTGAAGGCTTTAGAATTTTGAGTTCCAGCAACACCAGCTCATGCGACTGGTCACCCTTGGACGATAACATCGAGGTTTTCTTGCCACCTTATGCTGGCAAGTCCACATCAAGGGAAGATGTTAATGCCTATATCGACCGGATTCTTCACGGCCCATCTACAAAGAAAAGGTTGCCTGCATTCACAAGGTTCTTCCCATAGGAGGAACAGGAACAGCCCCTCTCACCTCTCTTCCATCGCAGGTTTGAGCTTAAATTTGCAGGTATGCTTATTGTTCACCTCCGTTTTTCAGAACCATGTTCATTAACCACATCCCATTCATTACAGAGTCCTTCATCAGCAGTAAGTCCGTATGATTTTGTTCGACTGCTAGTTGCTGTAAACACGAACATACATAGATATCCTTGTACTTAACTGCCGTGCGTTGGACGATCTAACAAGAAGCGTGGAAGAATGATAGACCGACTGTAAATAAGTTGGAAGACCAGACTCATGGCTGCAGAGCACGGTTAGTTCTTCCTTTTGCTTTCTGTATAAATGTAGTATTTTCCTTGATTCATATACGTCCCGAACTGTTCATTTTCGTTTCGCGTTTCTGTTATTGACCTGCTTCTCTTCTTGAACCTTATCATTCCATACAACTAGGATTGCATAGTGAACAAACTTAGTTGCTTACAATGTTCTAACGAGAAGATATACACAAATGTAAAAAACTTACTCCCAACAAGAAACAGATGCCCCCAAAAAGAACATTATGGTACAACACAAACTCGAAACCCTTTCTAACCTAAAATAATCAACACCCAATTATACACAGTTGTTGAGTTGGAAAACCATGCACCGAACCCTTTTTATGCACAGCTCCAAATCAATCAATCATTTTGAATGCATACAGACATGTTTCTGTATCAATTACCATCCATGGCAGCTAAAATTCCTTTCAAAGCTTAAACCCCATCAATGGCAGCATTCTTCAGGTTCCCGCCAAACAGAGACATGAGCCCACCACCATGGACTCTCCCTTCAGGAACCATCATGAGCCCATCACTACTAGTTCCTCCATCTCGCTTCCCGCCATTCGAGAAGCTCGAATACGTCGACCCCACAGCCGATGATTTCATCGAAAGTGGAACCAGCACCTGTGGCGGTATGAGTTGCCGGCGTTTCGCTGGCTTCTCCAACAAGGAACCGCCACCACCACTCTCTGACACCCCACTCCCTCCTGAGAAACTGTAAGTGTTGCTCTCAACACTGCCGCCAGCCGTTGAGGCTGCAGCAGCAGCTGCCGAAACGAGCCCTCGAAACAGCCCTGGTCTGATCATGCTTCCACCTTTCCCCATCTCCCTCTCCTGGACCAAGCTCGCGTGAGCAGCACAGAGACCACTCTTCCCTCTCGCGAACTTCTCGCATTTCCCCATTTCTTCTCCTCCCCACGAGCACCTCTTCCCGCCGCCGTGAGCTTTGCAGAAGTCCGTGCTCCCCTGAGCGCTCTTCTCGCAGCTCTCGAACTTGCACCGCTTCCCTCCACCGTGCCTGACGCAGCAATCAGTGCGTCCACGCGCGCTCTTCGTACACCCGGGCACCACGCACCTCTTCCCTCCACCGTGTGCCACGCAGAAGTTGGTGCCACCATGGACACTCTTCGGACAAATCCCACCGCCGTCGTAGGAACACCTCTTCCCTCCACCGTGACCTTTGCACAACGGTGTGCTGCCTTCTGCGCCCTTCGTGCACCCTGCAAACACGCACCTCTTCCCGCCACCGTGAGCTTTGCAGTACTTTGTGCTACCCTGTGCGCCCTTGGCACATCCTTCTTGCTGACAACGCCTTCCTCCACCGTGAGAAATGCACAACCCTGCCTGCCCTTCTGCACTCCTAGTGCAGCCGTTAACGTTGCATCTCTTCCCTCCGCCGTGTCTAATGCACAGCCCGGACTTGCCACGTGCGGCTTTCGTGCATCCATCGGGGAAGCCACATCTACGGCCCCCTCCGTGGGCTATGCAGAGTTCGGTCTTCCCCTCGGCACTCTTCGTGCAGCCCAAGTGCTCACACCTTCTTCCCCCTCCATGGGATTTGCAATACGCGGTTCTGCTCTCGGAGCCCTTGTTGCAGCCTTGCTTCTGACATCTTTGGCCTCCGCCATGGCCAATGCAGAGCCCCGTGGCACCGCGTGCTCCCTTAGAACATCCAAAGAAGCTGCATTTCTTTGCATTGGTGGCACCATGGTGGCTTTCAGAGGTAGCAGTCGTCGTTTGCTCGGAAGCAGAAGAGAAATCCGTGGTGGCAGATGGCTCGTGACTCAGTTCAAAGTCGATGAGTTCTGTCCGTGGTGGTGGAGCTTTTCGAATGTCCATTCTGGGAGCCAAGAGAAGTGAAGGCATGTATCCACCAGCTGATTTCTTTGCTGAAGTGGAGCCCTCGTCTAAAACTGGGAAGGAGAATCTTGTATTGCCAGCAGGTGCTTGATTTGTCTCTGTAACTGAACTGTTCTCGAGTCCGCTGAAGGAATCATTGGCAACCACTCCTGAAAGTCCGAGCTTTAAGATTGAGTCACCCTCGAGTGTAGAAGGAGGAGAGCCTTTGGGGTTGCTAACAGTTCCTCCAGCATTGTTGGAGAAATCCCCACTGTAAGTTCTCGGTGTGGGACCCAAACCGAGGACCAATTTGCATGCGTCTTCCTCGTGTAAGCTGTTACAGAAATTGTTCTTGGGATTGCTCTGAGTGTCACTGCCAAATCTGGCGCTGATGGTGTTGCTGTGTACACGGTTTGCTCCATAGCCGAGAAAGTTCAAGCGCAAGGTGGTGTCATTCTTCCCATGTTCATTGTCCAGAGAAACTCTGTTGGTGTTGTTGAAGCTGAGATCCATGTTCTTTGTCGAGCTTATCGTTAGTGCTGCAGAACTTTTTAGGCCAAACTAGCTAGCAGAGAGAGACAGAGGGGGTTTCCACAGCATACTATTACTGTGCAAGTGCTTTGAAAATGAAGTGAGAGCAGGAGCCACCACCACTTACGAAGCCTGATGTGTCTAATCTATCCATCTTGAAGTCACTGATATCTGACGACGTTTCGAGGGTAGAAGCCTCTAATTTGGATAGTTAGAATCGAAGTCCAAAGAACATTGGAGCCTCTGCTGCTCCTTTCAGATTTCCTGAGCTTCATTCACCTCTGCAGCAAACATATAAACATGATCAGAGGACCACAATTAAGGACACTTATGTACAGTTCAAGTTGAAGGAAACGAAGACGAGGGAAACCGATCGAACAAAGCTCTCCACACGACATACAGTATCGAAAATGGAATCCCAATGTTCTACTAACCGAACAGGCAACTGGATGAACTGATCATAGAGTGGCAAAGTGGGAGAGGGAGCATACCGTAATGGCGAGGAATTCGTGAATGAAATGCCAGCCGAACAAAGCAACTTGATGCTGGAAGAGACACCATGCGACCGAAACGAGATCAAATCAAGAAGTTCTGCCAAGAACCACAAAAGAATGTATGATTAGATGAAAACCCCACCAACAAGGAAATCAGCAGGTTGTCTAGATCAAGACAACTAGAATTGCTTGCCATCTAAGAATTATGAGTCCATAGCACATGGTGAGAGCTAAATCGTGTTTCCCTAAACACAAGGACATCGATTACAGATCCAAAAGCCTAATAGGGAAGGACACACAAGGAATGTTTAGTAGCTGGTAACTTGAGAATAGATCTGAGACTAGATTTAACCATATTACTTGCACAACCCATGAAATTTTCAAGCAAAAAACAAAAAGAGAAAACACAGGTACAGTCAATCATGGCAAGAAGGGAACTTATTATTCTGAGCAGACAAATTAACCCAATTCATAAAGTCAACCTTTGCCCAAATCCACAAAAAAGACCTCAAACACAATAAACAAGAACAAAAACAGAAAACCATCCCAAAAAAAAGCTCGGAACTTGCCCCCAAACAAACTACCAACGAAATTCAAACAAGAAAACCCGAAAGCCAAACAAGAAAACAGAGTCAAACCCAATTGAAGCCATGGAGAGAAGAACCCAAAAGCCTTTTCCCTTTCACACAATTGGTACCGGAGGTGTGGTGAGAGAGGAGTAAAAAAAAAAAAAACACAAATTACCCAGATGAATATTCCATAGCTGCAGAGAGGAGAAGCTGGCAGGGGAAAGGGACGATGAAAGAGAGGGAATCAGAGCTGGTTTCGAGAAAGGAGGCGGATCTGAGAAGTGGCTATAGACGCCGTCGAACTACGCAGACGCAACACAACAAGAAGAAGAACAGAGACACAAGGGGAGGAGGAGTGAGAGAGCAGAGCAGAGCAGAGATTCCAAAATGGGAATAATAATGGAGGGCAGACAGAGGACGAGAGGGAGCGCTAAAGGTAGAAAATGACCGAACAAAACAAACGAGAGCCCCGCAACCCCACTCGTGTCCTTGCTTTGCTTGCGTAGTGTGGCGGTAGGACGATGGAGGGAGGAGGAGAAAACCGGGGTTTTCGTTTTTTATGATTTAATTAATTAAATGATGGGGTACTATATATTGTTTGTTTTCTTGTTGACTTTAACAAGTGGGAAGAAGGAGAAAGAAGAAGAAAATGATAGAAAAACCAAGCTGGTGGCCAACCTGCTCGGCGGCGGCGTGTTCCTTCCACGCGCTTAGTATGTTATAATTACGGGCCTTGCCTTCTCTCTCTCTCTGACGTCGGCGGGTGTCCCGCCTGGGCACGTTTTCACTCTCCACTCGCTGCATCTAACCGATTTCTGATTCGCTGATTCTCATCCCGTCTCCACGTGGCAGCACCAGGCTGGCTCATTCTCAAGATTTCGGAATCTCAACCCATTTTCTTTTTCCACGTAATGTAATTTTATTAGTTTTCTCTGAATTTCGATTCTCCTCCTTCGAGCTAATTATTGGATAAATTATAGCCATAAATAATAGCACAACATAAAAATACTCTATATCTGATTATTACGATTAGATGTAACGAGTTTTTTTTTTTTTTTTTACGGGGAAAATTGGGGACGTTTTGTTTTGTCTTTCAGTCTGACCTGACTTGGCCGATATTTTTTTCAATGGAGTGAGCAAATTGGTAGGTGGCAACCAAATTCCCTCCGAAGGTGATGCAACTTGGGTAGTTGGTGCGCTGTCACCATCCACTCGCTTTTCTCATGGGCCCATGGGCCATGGCCCAATTTTGTTTCAGAGCAAGACACTATTATGTATGACGCAACAAACAGCCATCCCGGGCCCAACAGATGATTCAATCTCTCCCAGTTAATTAACCAAACCAATATATTATATGACGTAACCGAACATCTGTGCTTGTGGACAGGAATCAAATCAACGATGGGGAAGAAACATTTGGGCCTTAATTATTTTCTATTATATTATTTATGTTTTTACATTAAAGGTGTATTCATAAAGTTCATAGTCTGCAATTTAATGTTAAATCGTCATCTTCCCAAGTCTAGCTAGCGACGTCATTACCAGGGTCAAAGCGATTTTTGTTGGGTATGAAGAGGCACTTCCAAGATTAATTTACAAGTATTATTGGTTGTGTTTCAACCTAGATCGTGATACCCGGTTAATAAGTGTAATTAGGGCATTGAGTCAAACTTCTTCGTTTGATATCTGGCGCGCGGGGAGGAGGGCGGGACTTTGAGAGATGACCATGTGTAATTAATGACATGGGGGAACGGAAGAGAAGGCCGGAGCGCTCGAGCCTACTTACACAGGAGTTTAATTTGGGGCCTCCTTGAATAGTTTTGGCCATTGATGACTTTATAATTTTTCGTATTAGCCAAATTAATTCAGATATATCCCAAGAGGTTGTTACTCCTTAGTCCTTGCTTCAAAGTCACCATTCACTTTGGTTGTTGATTATGTATTGCATGTGACATTATCTTGATTTTGGACATTTTTATCCATCAAAACTTTATCTTGTTTTCCTCTGTCTAATCATCTGCATCATACGGTGCTGAATGTCTACACATATACAATGATATCACATTAATCCGCTAGATAGCAATAGTATCAGTATCATTCTTCTTGAAACTCCCTGGTATTTAGTAATAATGAATTTCATTAATCCTTCGCCCCTGGATTTGCTCTGGAGCTTTGCTATGATGCATACCATCAAAAGCTCTTTGTACTCGTAGAAGACAAGTTTCTCCTCACTGATTTTTTTCTTCCCATTCAGTACCCCAAGATCGGGGACAGAAAAGGATACATTGTCTGAAGAAGATCCAAAAGGATTCCTACATACATCGTAACCAAGAGACGAAGTCGAACCCCTTAACATATGGGGTGACATGAACAGAGCATGACGAGCCACAGAATGAGCTTCGCTGTTGTTAGAACGACCTATGAACCGAAGCGAGTAATTCGATAATTCATCTAGCAAACTACAGATTTCCTTCAGAAGAATACCTACTTTGGAATGGTGAAAATCTCGAGCACAACATTTGTCAATTATTATCTTTGCATCCCCAGCCACACTAACTGAATGAAGATTCCTTCTCTGACATTCAAGCAAAACGTCCCGCAACGCAAGCGCCTCCAACACCATCGCATCATGCACACCTTCCCATTGACGAGCTTGTGCTGAGAGCAGACAACCTGAACTATCTTTGATCACAAAAGCTGATGTGCTCAGCAAACCCAAATGAGTAGCCCCATCGAAGGTAGCTACATAAATGGAACCCATTTGCCGCAGGAACACTCAACCCCCCATTCGGACTAGATCCCTGAGTAGCGCTATTAGAATGACTCGATTGCAGAAATGCTGAATCAGCTTCAGACACTTGATGTCTCCATTGCGCTGCTAACGTTTCAATTCGTATCTATTTACAATCAAAGAAAACAGAACACCGGTTTTTCCACAAACGCCAAAGAAGACACACGCTTTTGCTTCTTTATGTGCGGGCCTAGTCGAAATATGTTTGGCAAACTCAATGGGCCTTTTAATGAAATAGCTTATGAATGGGCTTCTAACATTTTAGGCTCGATGGCCCGAGAGAAGTTGTTTCTGGGTTTCGCAACAATTCATAAAGTCCGGCAATTAGAAAAGGCCCATAGTAAGTAGTGGAATTGGATGTTTTACGTTTGAAACAACCAAAACGCCCGAGTTACTTTGAATCATTGGCCACCTTTTGCTCTATTCTGTATTCTACTTAATTAAGTTGTCTAATTAGACGACGCTAAAGGAGTCTGACCTCGTTTTTAGTTTAAAATTGACAATCAAACCACGACAAAATGGTTGGGTGGCAATAGGGCTTGGAAAATAGACCAGTTAGAAAAATCATGGTCCAAACCGTACCACACAGTTTGGTCCGGACCATAGACCGTTAAGTATGGTCTGGTCTGGTCCATGGTCTGTATTATTTTATGTTTTGATCTCTTTGTCTGGTCTGGTCTAGACCGCGGTTTACCGGACCAAATCGTGGATCCAACTGACTTGTCAATACGTGTTAGCAGCCCATTCGACTACTCTCCCAACTTCCACGACGACACCCAAGTCTCAACCTTAGTTTTGTGAATCTCGTCACTCCTTCATTCACAGCCACATTTAACTAGAGAGTAGAGATAATCGTGTCTCCATATGACATTATGTTAATGTTTACGACGTTCTGGTGCAAGTTGGGATGCTTTTACTTTGTATCTTTGTTATGTACTTAGATTTGGGGTATCAAAATTATTCATGCATGTTAGGATTAATGTTTTAAGGCAAATATCAATTCATTCTTCACTGAGTGTGGTCTATCTGGACCAGACCAGACCGAACCAGACCGCACAGGCGTGGTCTGGACCGGACCGTATAGTCTGTGGTCTATACTTCAGCTTCTCGGTCCGTACTATAGACCGTATATATAGTCTGGTCTGGACCAGACCGCACCGTTTCCTAGCCCTAGGTGGCAAGGAGAAAATGAAGATGAATGAAGCAAGGATCAAAACGTGGGGTTAGATTGCAATGTGGATTGTTGAAATTACTTTTTCACTTAAGTTAAATCGAAAATCTAAAATTTGAACCATATTTACCTGATAGATTTAAATAGAGAAATTTTTGTCCAAACATCAACATAAGTAATAATTTTAACCTCCTGAGTTATTTCTTGGTGTCGAACAATTATTTGTGGACGAAAAATAGACATCCCTTTAATAATATCAAATAAAATTAGAATGAGTTGGAAGGAATATTTTTTTAGGGGGATATTATGGATTACCATTTGCATAGCTTGCTGCCTTTGACCAAAAAGCCAACAAACAAAAGAGTTGAAATTGTCACCAAAATCAAACAAAGATTCAAAAACTGAGAATTGGTTAAACTCTCAACAAATTCATTCCATTTTTTTTCACCAATACATTTCTTCTTTTCTCCCCACCATTCCTATATTAAATTAGTATTTGGTACGACTATTCCTATATCATTACTAAATAAATTAATAACAACAATCATTTCCCACTCACCATTATCAAAATTGGAAGCTCTTAACTAAACCCATTTCCTTTTTCCTTTTTCCATTTCCTCTCCTGACCTCTATTTTCCCATCTCCCAAACATTCTCAGAGAAGAAGGATTTCGTTTCGACTCTCGAGCTATATCCCAGTGGCTGGTTGCTTTGTCCTCTGGGAAGATTTTTATGCTTTACGCCTTTTGCTTTGAGGTGGGTTCTTCTCCTTGCTAGCTAGTTGGTCATTAATAAAGTCGACGGAGCATTGTTTTGGGTACTGGGTCAACGTGGAGGAGGTGGATGTTTCAACTTCAACTTTGATCGTTTCCTTTTCTCTCGTTTTCTGGGCTTCTCTCATATCCGGCTGAATCTTCGGCGAGGAAAGGAAAGTTCTCCCCTTCCGCGTCCGGGAGAAACTATGGCCGAATTGGAGCTCATGTAACTCGGAGGTACAGAGGAAATTATAAACGCGGTGATAATGGAGTTGCCGATTGGAGGAGCGATCTGGCACTCCGGGTTTTGCTGGTTAATCTTGCTCCTCCACTTTGTTTACAGAGTTTCCTCCAACGCCGAAGGTCAGATTCGATTCATTTGTGTTTCTTTCCTTATCTGATGATTCTCCCTTCAACTAGTTCAGGTTTCCAAGTAAGCTCGCCGGAGTTGACTTGTTAACTCGAATTGAATCGCTGTCAATACTGGGGGAAATGTTTGATTTTATAGAACCGTGAATTGTCGAGGAACTGTTACTATAATTAGAATGGTAGGATGGAAAAAGTTGCTACCTTTTGTTGGGAATTTGAAATGGGTATTCCTCTTTTTTGGCTATTGCTGTTTGGAATTGTTATAGATTGAACTTGAACCCCTCCAGTCTAGTAGCTATTGGTTTCTGTGGATTGGGGTTTTGTCCTGATGATACTGCGTTTTATGTGTAAAACAGGAGATGCCTTGAATGCACTGAAGACAAATTTGGCTGATCCTAATAACGTTCTGCAAAGTTGGGATCCTACCCTTGTCAATCCTTGTACTTGGTTCCATGTCACCTGTAACAGCGAGAATAGCGTGACACGAGTGTAAGTTTAGTCATTAATATTAGCCCTTATTCAGTTATGTGCTCCTTTCATTGCAGATCTCTCATGGTCCTGGCTTTCATGTGCTTCTTATTTGTCTTGTCATAGTGATCTTGGAAACGCAAATCTATCAGGTCAACTGGTTCCCCAGCTTGGCCAGCTGCCAAACTTGCAGTACTTGTAAGTAAATTTTCTGTTCGCATGCTCATAGTTGTTTGGGATTTGCTGTTGAGATTTGAAAAAGACAATACTTTACACTAGAGTGATTTTGTTTCTGCTTGGGTGATAGCTTATCAAGTAGTTTCCTAGTAATGTGTGTTCCCTTCTTTGGTAAGCAGTTGCATTACATTGCTTGAACATATGGTTCACTATGCAATCCTACTCCTTCCAGAGACTTATGTTCTTTTTTCAATTATGTGTGAAGAAACAGAGCCTCTAAGCTATCATACCTACTGATTGTTTGAGGCTATCCCATTTCGTCTGAAAATTTGGAACTCAGCATGCCAAATAGGCCAACTCCATGATGTTTCTACTTGAGTTTTCCTCTGGTCACGTATCCAAAGTTATTTGTTCAATTGAGTGACAAACTCATTTGCTTGAATAGAAAGATTCTCCTGTCCATTTAGACTCAGCTCTGCTGTTTCTTTCTTTGTTAAGGGGATAACTCTTTCTTAGATGGTTTATGGTAAGTGTTTCTGCAGGGGGGCAAAAAAAAAAAAAAAAAAAAAAAAAAAAAAAAAAAAAAAAATAGAAGCCATTTTTATTTGATAGTATGAAAACTCACATATTTCTCTTAATATTTCCTGTTGAACCTTTTCTCTTGCAATTGAAGCTAGAGTTTTCTCCATGAACAACCAGATGGTTGAAGCTTCAATACTTTAAATCTGCATTGTGACTTCCGCCTGACGTTGGTCTTGTTAGGGCTTTTACTTTGCCAAAATTTTGCTGAGTTGTGCTACTGCAAGTGAAAGATGTATTCCTAGTATATCCCTGTCAATTATGGTTCATAGAGATAATTAGGCTGCCTTTCTTCCTCCATTCTGTGTTGGCAAAGACCAGAAATCATGAGGATTTTAAGCCACAAAATATAGTTAGAAGTTTGCGTTTCTGTAAGACGGATATTTTGTCCTTTTTGAATGGAAACTTCATATCTTTCTCCTGCTTTTGAGTAGGTGACTGCATTCATCCATGTATTTATTTTGTCTCAAAGTTGCATCTCTTACAAGTGGTTAATTCTTTTTCCCTTAGTATGTTGCCCCTTGTGGCTTGATGTATGGAAATGATTTTTTGTTGCAGGGAGCTTTACAGTAATAATTTAAGCGGCAGGATTCCAGACGAGCTTGGAAATTTGACGGCATTGGTGAGCTTGGATCTTTACTTGAACAACTTGACTGGTCCAATTCCAGTGACTCTGGGGAAGCTTGAAAAACTCCGTTTCCTGTATGCACTAATCCTTTCAACTACTTCTTGATCACACTGCTTAAACTCCTGTTGTATATTCTTGATTTGCATGAGTTTTTCGTGCTCGAGTTTTTTTTTCTTTTCTGTTGGTTAGTTGGTGGATACTTGAAAAGCACATGCCAGACCTTCTATTCAACTTAGGTCTTCTTCATTAAATAGCGATCAACCCTAACTGTCACGAGGCTCTAATGGATGCTTGATTCCCCAGTGGGGAAACTGAGGGGGAAACGAGAGTTGTTAGTTGTTGCTGTTTGTTTCCTAATAATGATACTGAGTAATATAACAGATATAATTTGGTGTTACATAGTTTTGATGATCAAATGTGGTTTCTCTGGTTGTCATTTTGGTCATCCAAGCCTATGTTTCAGTGATGTATCAGCTGTATGCTCAGTGTTAGAACATAAGCACGTGTAACCATAATGCTCTTTTTTCTTTGAAACAGGCGTCTCAACAACAATACATTGTCAGGAACTATCCCTGTGACCCTAACTAATGTCATGTCCTTGCAAGTCCTGTAAGTTTTACCTTCTTTTTGCTATCTCTTTGTAATTGCCTGGAGCTGTTCCATCTCAGATTACGATTACCTGCATATTTTCTCTAATCAAGCTGCATTGTCATATCAAATGCAGGGATCTCTCAAATAATCAACTAACAGGAGATATTCCTGTTAATGGTTCTTTCTCTCTATTTACTCCTATAAGGTTAGCTTTGTTAGGTGCCATCAATTTTTGGAGTGTGTAGACCTAGTAACTAGCTCACTAATTACTGTGTTACTCTGTAGTTTTGCAAATAATCGGCTGAATGTACCTCCGGCTTCTCCGCCTCCTCCTCTTCCACCATCAGCACCAACTGCTTCTAATGGTACTTTGTGATATTCAGTTTTTTGGTTGCTTGAATTTGGTAATATATGGTTTGCATGGATGCTGTTAGTTTTTCTCATTCGATTCCTAAGCGAGGACAAACTGTTGATGCTTATGACCTAATATTTTTTAGCAATTTATTTATGTCTCTAATGTTGTCTCCCTTAGATAAAGGCCATGGAGGACAAATGAAGTTGTACTGATTGAGAGATATGGACCTAACTTTGCTCATTGATTAAATTTTATAGCCAGATTTGTTACAAAAACGTGCTGTCAGATCTGCGCTTGTTATGTAAAATGGATACCAAGAGAAGTTAGCTTATGCAAAAAGACGAACAATAATTCCACTTAGGGATGAACATAGCACTGTCCAGTTTCCGCTTCTAACCTTATATCTCAATACCGAATAGATGTTAAGAGGTATCCGAGTGAGCAGGAGAAACAAGCATTTGCCTAAGAATGAACATGGTCTTGTCTTTCAGCTGCCGCAAACCTTGTGTTTCGTAAAACATGGTTGCCCACTGTAGTTTGTCTGTTGAATGCAATTAGGTGACTTGATTCGTCTCATTGAGGATTCTCACTTGAGAAATGCCCTTTTTTGGGATTCTGCACTCTGCATGTTAACCTCATGCCTGAAAAAGAGTGCAGTATCTATAAGCTTTATGGTAGTTTGTGTGTAGTACGAATCCCTGATTTGTGTCATTAACTAAGAGATTCTTGTCGGAGAAAGGCTCAATTTTTTTTGTGGGTGGGGGGAAATCTGTTCCTTTGGTGATTATAAAATACTATTTGAGCAGGAAACAGTGCTACTGGAGCTATTGCTGGAGGAGTTGCTGCGGGTGCTGCTCTGTTGTTTGCTGCTCCTGCAATTGCCCTTGCCTATTGGCGGCGAAGAAAACCACAAGATCTTTTCTTCGACGTACCTGGTTAGTGCTTTTCCAAAAAGGATGCCTCTTTCATTGCTCCTGCATGGAGGAAGGCTTCCAACTTTATTTGCTTCTCTGTTTGCAGCTGAAGAAGATCCAGAAGTCCATCTTGGACAGCTTAAAAGGTTTTCTTTGCGCGAACTGCAAGTTGCATCAGATAATTTTAGCAACAAAAACATTTTGGGTAGGGGTGGGTTTGGCAAAGTGTATAAAGGACGCCTGGCTGATGGTACACTAGTAGCTGTAAAGCGATTGAAGGAGGAGCGTACACAAGGAGGCGAGCTTCAGTTCCAAACAGAAGTAGAAATGATCAGCATGGCTGTCCATCGCAACTTGCTTCGACTACGTGGCTTTTGTATGACACCGACCGAAAGGCTACTTGTATATCCCTATATGGCTAATGGAAGTGTAGCATCATGTTTGAGAGGTAATCTGGTTTTTACATTCTTGTATTTTTTGTCTTTATCCGCGCCAATTGCCTCCTTTCATCTTTGTCTCTAACTCGAGCATTTTTGTTGATTTTCTTGAAGTTGTCTTCGGTTGTGATAACAGATATCTTTAGCCTGGCCAACGCTTTTTTAAGCATGAGAATCTCATTCCATTTTAGGGGAAAACATATGAGCCATTCGAAATGATTTGCTTTTCACTATGCAGAACTCTGTTACTCTAGAATTTGGTAGATTTGAAGCTGTCCGGATTATGTTACTGATGGTTATTTGCTTATGATTCAACTTTTGGATAATGTTAGAGCGCCCGGATTCACAGTCTCCTCTTAACTGGCCAAAAAGGAGGGGAATAGCGTTAGGTTCTGCTCGTGGGTTGGCTTATTTGCATGATCATTGTGATCCTAAGATCATTCATCGAGATGTGAAGGCTGCAAATATATTGTTGGACGAGGAATTTGAAGCAGTAGTTGGGGACTTTGGGTTGGCTAAACTCATGGACTACAAGGATACCCATGTCACCACTGCTGTACGTGGCACTATCGGGCACATAGCCCCCGAATACCTATCGACTGGCAAATCATCCGAGAAGACTGATGTTTTTGGATATGGTGTCATGCTTCTTGAGCTAATCACTGGACAGAGAGCGTTCGATCTTGCTCGGCTTGCAAATGATGACGATGTCATGTTACTTGATTGGGTATGTATTTTAACACCGTCACCTTTGTCTTTGGGCATCAATTTGTTTTACACGTCCCAATTCCTGTAGTTGGGGACTGCTATTTGGACCGTATCCGCATTTCATTGGCTAGGTTGTCAATCCTATGGTAATGTAATTTCTGGAATCTGCATTTGGCCAGGTGAAAGGGCTACTCAAGGACAAGAAGTTGGAGACATTGGTGGATGGCGATCTGCAAGGTAACTACATTGACGAAGAGGTAGAGCAGCTGATCCAAGTGGCTCTCCTATGCACGCAAAGCTCTCCCATGGAACGCCCGAAAATGTCAGAGGTCGTTCGAATGCTTGAAGGCGATGGCTTGGCCGAGAGATGGGAAGAGTGGCAGAAAGAAGAGATGTTCAGGCAAGACTATAACCATAACCACCATCCCAACAGCAACTGGATCGTGGATTCTACGTCGCATATTCCTCCGGACGAACTGTCAGGTCCCAGATGACGATGCTGATGGTAACCATGAAATCCATTGCATCCCCTTCCACCTTGGACGCCTGTCTTGTGTCTGAAAGTCGGCTTTTTTTTTTGTTCACACATTTGTGCATATAGTTTTTCTTTTTCGATTCTCTTTTTGATTGTCAATGTGTAGTCTATATCCCATATATTTGGATTGGAGCTGGGAGCTGCTGGAAGTATTGTTGTAATATTTTTTTCATAGGGGGGCAGGACCTTCAAATGATGAAAATGGTGCTAGTGAACAAGGCTGACAAACCAGCCATGGAAGCATCCCCCTTCGCCCTTGTTTTTGTTTTAAATGTAATTCAGATCCCCCAAGTCATTATTGTAGATCTTCCTTTGCATGGATTATAAGATAATGTTTTGCCCATGAGTTCTGTGACATGAATACAATAATCTTTCTGAATTTCTAGATGCTGCGTTTTTAAGATGATAATTAAATAGTCAAATTTCTACGGAGCTACAAAAATTATAATCATTCTCGGTTAGAAACTTACAATCAACAGAGACGTTGGCGGAACCATCTAATTGCGTTCAGTTTCTGTATGCTTTTACTTCATTTTAAATACAGAAATGGTTTTGGTCGTTTATTATGTGCCCCTTTGGCCTTCTCTGCCACCTGGTTAGTGGTTACGTACTTCTATCTTGAGAAGCTTTTTCGACTCACATTCCCCACCTCCATTCTCAATCAATTGGTCGCCAAAAAGCTCCTTTCCTTTTTTTTCATCCCTTGCTTCCTTCCCACTTATTTCCCTTCAGAAAAGATGTGAAATTTCACTGCGACGACTTTGTCTTTCGATCCCAGACCCAGTTCACCTCTAATCTCATCAGGTAGAAAACCCTTTTCCTTTCCCCTTCTTCTGCTCCGTCAATTAGATCAGTCGGTCGGTGATTCGAGTATGTGGTTGAATTTTGCTTGATACCCAGTTGCTGTGCTCTTCCTCTGTTCCTTCTTTCCTCTTTCTGGGTTACTTTACTTCGTTGATTCCTGGCGTGCTATTCACTTTGTTGTAGTTGACTCATACCCTGCTTGATTGATCTGTTATACTCAAAAAGATTTTCCTTTTGTAGTTGAATTTTCTTATCTGGGTCTTCTGTTTGATTCCAAGGAAATTGTGTTAGAAAGAACAAATTTTGTGACTAGGTAGCTGCTTTTGGATGTGAATTTGGGGTATATATAGCTCCAATTGCTATGATCTACCATGCTTCATTTCAACATACTTATGTGCGTGGTAGTTATATATTTATCATATCATCTCTGGGCAACTGACTTTATAGCTTTACCTTGTGAATTGTATCTGCTTTTTGCATATGAGCACAGGCAGTCAGTTGACCTTGACTAGTCAGTCTCTTCCGCTCTGGAAAACTTGGTGATGGGCGCAATTTTGAGCTTAAGTGGGTCTGGCTCCAGTTCAGGAGCTAAGAACTCTTTTGATAAGTCGTCCTGCAATGAACCTTCTAAGAGACAAAGGGTTTCAGCAAATTCTTTTGAAGGAAACCCACGATTGATTCCCAGTCTTCCTGATGAGATATCAGCGGAGATCCTTGCCCGGGTTCCCAGAATTCATTACTTGAAATTGAAGCAAGTTTCACGTTCATGGAAGTCGGCCATCCTTGATTCCCAACTCTTTAGTGTCAGAAAGGAGCTTGGAAAGACGGAAGAGTGGCTTTACATACTGACAAAGGTTGAAGACGACAAGCTTCTCTGGTATGCGTTGGATCCTCTGAACAAGATATGGCAGAGGCTGCCGCCAATCCCCAGTGCTGCTTACGGCGATGAAGCCAAGAAGGGCTACATGGGTCTTCGTGTGTGGAATATGGTAGGCTCGGGTATGAAAGTAGCTGATGTGGTGAGGAGCTGGCTTGGAAGGAAAGGTGCCCCTGAAAGAATGCCCTTCTGTGGTTGTGCTGTTGGAGCTGTAGATGGTTGCCTGTATGTTCTTGGTGGGTTCTCCAAAGGTTCAGCCATGAAATGTGTGTGGATGTATGATCCCATACAAAATGCATGGACCGAGGTCAGCCCCATGACTACCGATAGGGCATATTGTAAGACAAGTGTCTTGAACAATAAGCTCTATGTTATTGGAGGAGTTAACGGTGGTCGTGATGGGTTGATGCCACTACAATCTGCAGAGGTCTTTGATCCCGAAACCGGTTTGTGGACCGGACTCCCAAGCATGCCTTTTCTGAAAGCTCAGTCGATCCCCACAGCATTTTTAGCCGATCTCCTCAAGCCCATAGCAACAGGAGTGACTTCATATCGTGGGAAACTGTACGTGGCTCAGAGTTTGTACTGCTGGCCTTTCGTTGTTGATGTTGGTGGAGAGGTCTACGATCCAGAGACGAATGCATGGGTCGAAATGCCATCCGGTATGGGTGATGGCTGGCCTCCAAGGCAAGCCGGGAGGAAACTGAGTGTCACGATCGAAGGCGAGCTGTATGCTCTCGATCCATCGGGCTCGGTTGATGGTCCCGATACTAGAATCCAGGTTTATGACTACCTCGAAGATGCTTGGAAGGTTGTTCTTAGGGACGTGCCTATTTGCACTCATACCGACTCTGAATCCCACCATTTGCTTACTGGTTTGCTTGGGAAGCTCCATGTGGTCACCAAAGATGCAGGTGCCAACATTGCTGTTCTGCAGGCCGGCTTGCAGAACTGTGTGGAGGACTCTTTGGGTTCAGAGTTGGCGCCAGAAGCAGATAATTGGCGAGTCATTGCTTCCAGAAATGCTGGTTCTTCTGAACTGGTTAACTGTGTGACTCTTGATGTCTGATGAGTTCTGTGTTGCCCCTTAAAAGTTTTCATGCTCCATTTCCTCTTTGAGTGAGCCATATGTATACACAAATGTTACCTTGTTTGAATCTTGTTTTTGTCAAGTTCACAAGTTATAGTGAAGTTATACCTTTGTAAGTTGATGCTCTCTATTGAATTTGCTAGCCTTGCTCTTTATCTTCATTTGTAAATATCCCACGAACCAGAATTTTTTCTGCTAGGAACCTGCATTTCAGTTTGGTGTGGATTTGGATTTTGGCTTGCCTCATCTCCAAAGACGTTCTATTGGAAAATGTTGTCTTCTACTTATACACGTCGTGTTCTATGAGCATGTATTATCTGGCATTGACACACATCGTTTCTTATTGAAGAATATGACCTCGTTTATTAATAAACCGATTCATGAAGTCAACAAGATTTTGAGACATAGGTTAAGTAGACATGTTTCTGTACTGTAGCAACAAAATAATAAAGTGAGGCATTAATAGCAACATACCAAAAAGTTTAGGGGCTCGGTGTGGTATTTACCTTCAATTTCCTTGACCTACCAAAGCCAATCTAGCTCGTCTCTTCCATATTCCTACTCTGTAACTTCTAATCTCAGGAGCATTGGAGGACGGCCAGCAACGAACGGACGAAGGGCGAGTCGCGGTTAGTTCTCTTTCCGCTAGTCGCCAGAACCGGGCCTTTGGACGACCTGGTGAGTTGATTCTCTCCGGAGCTGCGAATTTTAGGGTTTAAGCTTCGTATCTTTTTGGGTTCTTTTGTTCAAGTTTGATGTTAATGCTCAAGTCGTTAATCGAAATCTGTGTGAGTTCTCATGATTTGAATGAAAATGTTCAAATGGGATGGTTATGATCTTACATAAAGTCCAAATCTTGAGTTGCAGTCGAGATACTGGGTATTTTGTCAGCTGCCTTACCTGTGTCAATGCCCGGCGGCTATTAGAGTAGGCTATAAGGATTTATTGTCGCTGTTCAGAATGTGCTTGCTTGAGAGTTGGTTATACAGTGTTGGCGTTGGAGAATTGATGGAACTGTGTACCATTTTGTTGGGCAGAATACTGTCCAGAAGGAAATGCCGGAAGACACCGAGTACCGTTGTTTCGTTGGTGGGCTTGCCTGGTCAACATCTGATAGAGGGCTGAAGGTGGCATTTGAGAAGTATGGGAATCTTGTTGAAGCGAAGGTGTGAGAATCTCCAAATCACTTGTCACTTCTCTGGTCTACAATGGCACCATACCTTCCATGTTAAATCGTTGTTTCTTACATTGAGCCATAACTTGAATAGCAATGCAACATGCCTGAGGTTTTTGGGGTAATGGCGGAAAATTGAAAATTTGAAAAAAACTTGAGTAGTTAAGTGTTAAAAAGTGTTTCTTGCTTTGAGAAAGGCAGGAATTTCTTTGTTGCATTGCCATGATTAGAGATGCTGTAGAGCAGTATAAAAACATGATCTTTTGTCAACTATAGGTGGTTGTTGATAAGTTCTCTGGGCGCTCCCGGGGATTCGGATTTGTGACTTTCGATGAGAAGAAGGCATTAGAAGAAGCTATAGAAGAAATGAATGGGATGGATTTGGATGGTCGAACCATTATAGTTGAGAAGGCCCAACCTAGCCAAGGTTCAGGACGAGATCATGATTCTGATCGAAGCCGTGACCGTGGAGGCGATCGTGGTGGTAATGGTGGAGATTGCTTCAAGTGCGGGAAACCTGGACATTTTGCTAGAGAATGTCCAAGTGGTGAAGGAGCAAGAGGAGGCGGTAGGTATGGTGATCGAGATGATGATTCAGATCGAAGCCGTGACCGTGGACGCAATCGCGGTTCAGACTATGAAAGTGGAGGCAGGCGTGGTGGTAATGGTGGAGACTGCTTCAAGTGTGGGAAACCTGGACATTTTGCTAGAGAATGTCCAAGTGGTGAAGGAGCAAGAGGAGGCGACAGGTATGGTGATCGAGATGAGAGGTATGGAGGTGGAAGTAGCAGAGATGGGAGCCGCTATGGTCCTGATAGGAATGGAGACCGTCATGGAGGCCGTAGTAGCAGAGATGGTGGTAGCCGTGGTGGTGAAGGGAGTGATCGATACAGTCGCGACCGTTCTGGACCATATGATCGATAAAATAACTTCCAGCTCTGGTACGGGATTTTCATGCTAAACTTCATGCACTACTCAAATCTAAAATTATGCTAATGGAATTTATTTGCTTCCTTTTGGCAGATGAGAGACTTGAAGGAGCTGCTCTTGCTGTCTGCATCGCAGTAGACCTGGTAGCTGCAGATGTGAGGACTTCCTTGTTGGCCTTTTTTGTGGATCAGCCTTGTAGATCAGTTTCTTCAAGTGCAAAACTTGCACGGATGTGTAGTACTTTGTGTTCTCCAAATGGTGCCCTTTGATGTTTGTGTGCCGGATGATGATGAATCTTATGGTTTCTTGACATGGAATTGTGAGGTGGCCCTTGTTCTGCTTGAGTTTAAGTTGGTGTTCCTTATGTTCTTTGTGGTAGCAGCTGCTTAATCATAATCATGCTCAACACGGTTCGTTTGATCATTTTGTGTCGGCAAGAACCATGAACGAAAGGTGGGTTCATTACGGACAGGCGAGGAACAATGGCCTGATGATGTTCTCAAGTGTACTTTTGGGAAGGATGGAAGAGCTGAGAAACAGTTTACAGTTGTTCTTTGGTTTCCATTCGTCTTGTTGGATGTTCTCCAGTGTACTTGTGGGATGGATGGAAGAGCCGAGCAACAGTTAACCGTTGTTCTTCTGTTTCCACTCATCTTGGTGGATGTTCTCCAATGGCGATTTCTTGTTCACTAGTTCTTCTGGCTGGCCTCTGGTTGCTGCCATCCAGGTAGAGATACTAAGTGGGAAAAACTGGTGTCTGAAGTTCAGACTTTTCAGATATCTATCTTTGCGATATCTGTCCTTTTTTCCGGCCCGGCCCGGCCCATCAATAGCGTCTCTCGTTTCAGCCGGTTTGTATATGCCTTTCCCCATAATAAAAGCTAAAACGAATCAGCTTCCCTTATCCCAGTCGGACTCTGCTTCACGCGTCAAATCCAAAAACCCTACAAAAACAAAAATAACCAATCTTGCTTTCAGAGCCCAAAACAAAACCTAACATTCTTGCAAACGGCGAGTCTCTGGAGCATCTGAACTCGGACGACCGACCTGGTGAGTGAGTCGCTTCTCTAAAGAACTGCAAACTTCTGGTTCGATCTCCTTCTGTTTCAACTTTATTGAATTTGTTTTGGCTGAGCTATTGTTGTTACGATCTACTGAAAATTTGATTCTAGGGTTGAACCGAATGTTCGTTGTCAGCCGAAAGCTGTTTGAAATTCACCTACTTGATGTGATGTTCTGGTTACAATTTCGCAACTTCTTTGAACGTTGCCGAGATTAGTAGGTACTGGTTTGGCGGTGCTATGATAAAATTTGATCGACTGGTTCTTGGTGTTCTTTCTTTTTTGCTAATTATGAATTCTAAGTGCTCTTTAGAACTTTCTGATCATTTGCCAGTGTGTGTGAGCTTCTTCATAAAGTTCCAATCTTGTCTCGATCGATTGCTTGAGTATTGTGAAAAATTTCGTCTTTTGTATAGATATGGCAAAAGGGGAGGTGGCATATGTAGGGAGGGTAATCTTATTCTATTGGCAATGTCATGAGATGAAAGTTTAGCAATGAAGGGATTATAGAGGGAAGCTTATAGTGAGTCAATAAGTTGCGAGAAAAAAAAAGGCTTTCCTCTTTTTTTGGGAGCAGTGATGGAAGGTTGTTGGTTATGGGAGGAGGCTGTTTGAGCAAAATCACATTCTGAGTAAATTGTTAGCTGAGCACTTTATGTCAATATCTAGCACGCCTTTGAAGATGTTCATGATTGCATTGTCTTGGAGTTATAGGCAAACGAGACACTGCCATCATATTGTTATATTATTTTTATCAACTTCATACTGATTTTGCATTTTCCCCAGAGCACTATCCGGAAAAATGCCAGAAGACGTAGAGTACCGTTGTTTCGTTGGTGGGCTTGCTTGGTCAACATCTGATAGAGGCCTGAAAAAGGCATTTGACAAGTATGGGAATCTTGTTGATGCTAAGGTGTGATAATTCTCCGAATCCCACTTCTCTGGTCGACATGTTCTCATAGCCTCAGTGTTCAATAATAGTTTCTGTATTTAAGTGTTTAAGAAACAGAAAAAACTAGTTGCTATCTGACACAATATAGGTTATATTGATTTCCATTCAATCATTGATATGTTAAATTGTGTTGGGCTTTCTTGCTGCTGTCAACCTTGTACTGTGTCTGTGGTTACTGAGGTAACTGCAAGAAATTTGAAAATTTTGGGTTGTTAATTGGAGATAAGCTTCTTGCTCTGGAAAGGGTGGAAGTTGTTTGTTGCATTTGCCATGATTGGAGATGCTGTCAACTTGGGATGAGTATAAATTTCTTACTTTTGTCTATTATAGGTGGTTGTTGATAAGTTCTCTGGACGCTCCCGTGGATTTGGATTTGTAACTTTCGATGAGAAGAAAGCAATGGAAGAAGCTATTGAGGAAATGAATGGGATTGATTTAGATGGTCGAACCATTATAGTTGAGAAATCCCAACCTAGCCAAGGTTCAGGACGAGATCGTGATTCTGACCGAAGCCGTGATCATGGACGCGATCGTGGTTCAGACTATGAAAGTGGAGGCAGGCGTGGTGGTAGTGGTGGAGACTGCTTCAAGTGTGGGAAACCTGGACATTTTGCTAGAGAATGTCCAAGTGGTGAAGGAGCAAGAGGAGGCGACAGGTATGGTGGTCGAGATGAAAGGTATGGTGGTCGGGATGAGAGGTATGGTGGTCGAGATGAGAGGTATGGAGGTGGAAGTAGCAGAGATGGGAGTCGCTATGGTCCTGATAGGAATGGAGACCGGCATGGGGGGCGCAGCAGCAGAGATGGCGGAAGCCGTGGGGGTGAAGGAAGTGATCGATATAGTCGCGACCGCTCTGGACCATATGAACGGAGGGGTTCATGAAGAGATGATACAGGTAAACTAGCTGCACCTATTGTATTAGTGATCTCTATACTAAACTTTATGCATTACGAAAATGTAAGGGTTTGCCAATGGAATATGTTTGCTTCTTTTTGGCAGATGAGAGCACTAAAGGAACTGCCCTTGTCATCTGCATTGCTCTAGACCTGTTAGCCGCAGCTGTGTGGTCGTCGTTATCGTCTTTTCGTGGATCAGCCTTGTAGATCCGCTTCTTAATGTGCAGCACTTGCATAAATGTTGTAGTACTTTGTGTTCTCAAAATGGCGCCTTTGATGTTTGTGTGACGGGATGATGGAAACAATGGTTGCTTTGACATGGAATTGTAAGGTGGCCGTGGACCTTGTTCTGAATGAGTTTAGTTTTGGCATCTGGGTTCCCACGATCCATCTACAAAATCATAAACATTCTGAACAGTTCATTTGATCATTTTGCATTGGCAAGAACCATTGATGTGGATTGGCATTTGGAGGAACAGTAACTGTACTTCATACTGTGCTTGAAGTCTGAATCCTTGGATGTTTGAAAGTAGAAGGTGACTTAAAACATGAGTGACTAGTTGGTTAGAAACAGGAATGGGCCGGGTAAATCCTTTTTCCTCCCTCACCTTTACCATAGTCCTGATCAATGCTTCTTTTTATTAATTTTGTCAATGTTTTGGCAGGGTTGATGATAACTTATGGTCTTTCTGGGTGCACATTTTGGCTTGTCTGTTGCTAATAACAGAAATACTTTCTATTTAAAACACTGCTGAGGTCCTTTTGTTGAGGGTAGCAGAGCTTAACAAAAGGCATCATTTGAGGTTCTCATATTAAGTGGTGTTCTTGTCGAACGGATGGAAGTGTCCAGCAACAGTTGTCCTTGTTCTTTCATCTTGTGGATGTTCTTCCCAAAGAGAAGATTCTTATTCTCTGGTCCTCTCTGTGGCTGTTATGGTTCTCTTTTGGTTGTAACCTTACCGATAATCATACACATTGGAAGTGTTTTGTTTGTGCTTCTTAGGTTAAGAACTTACTAGTACCCTTGATGTTTAGAAGAGGCTTCTTCTTCTTCTTCGTCTTTGGTTTCATACCTGTCTTCTGTAGTTTTTTCAAGATCCTTTCTAGCTTGACTTCTTGTTTTACCTGTAGCTAATGCTGATACTGGCAGTTTTACTTTTCAGTGAATTGGCAGTATTGTATTTTATAATGAAGGTTAAATGAGGTTGGCATTCTTTACAGTCAGTAGAATACTCAGGGTAAAGAAGCAGGCAATCTTGGTGTATAGGTTTTGAGAGTTTCTTATGTTCTGCTCCTCCCTAATGGTTTGAATGGCTTTCTTTCATATTTGCATATTTCATTTGAGACTTTTGAAGCGGTTCTTTGTTGGTTCATTCATTGGAGATCGATCGGCATCATGATGGCTCCACTTCTCAACATCATTAACGATCCTCCGTATAAATGGAGTTTAACTGATCTGGAATTAGCTTGAATCTGGAAATTTTAGCAGGAAAAATAACAGGAGGAATAAGGAAAATCAGTAGCTTTATTTGGCCATCCCCAATGGCCAGCTTCTGTGAATGTACTATTAGGAACAACAGCTAACTGATGTGCTGATCAGGAACATCAGCTTCAGTTTTTACCTTATCAATAGCAAAATTACAGATAAAAAAGGCAGAAGAATCAGTAGTTTTGATCCAGCCATCCCCATGGCCAACTGCTCTAAATGTAAAAGAATTGTACAAATGCACATGCTAAAATACACAATCATCACATCTTAGAAGTCGCCTAATCCCCCCCGGCTGCCGGCTGGTATGTTACGCCTTTCAACTGTCACCTCCATCGACCCTACGCCTACGTCGTCTACCCGAACGGTTCAAAAGCACCTGCCCTTGAGCAAGGAGTCGAGAAGCAAGTGATGTGACACCACCACCATCGTCATCATCATCCTCATCGTCTGCGGTCCAATCATAGCTGTGATGATGGTCAATGTCATCATCAAATGCACCGACTGGCGAAGGGTGTCGATTGCCAACACGGGCTCCTTCTGACTGGTGGTGGGAACCCGATGCAGACCCAAAGGCATGCAACAGCATAAACACATTCATCAGATTCCGATCAAAACCTGCAAATCCTCCCCCACTCCGGTTTGCAGCCTCAATGTCAAACCCCATATCTTCATCATCATCTGAATCAAAATCACCACGGTTTCTCTCAATCACGTAATCCCCAAAAACCAACGAACCAGGCATTGTAGATCTTATTGTGCTGAGAACATCATCACGCTCTCGCTCCCTTTCCAACCTTCCCCACTTCTGCTCCAACAGAGGGTCTACACCACGAGGTGTTGCACAAGGGTGAACCCCCTTCATGTGCTTCCTCAATTCCTTGTAAGTGCCCACGAATGTACAATCATCCTGCATACAGTTTCTTTCCTTGGAATTCAGATATTCACGGGCAGGCTCCACCACAGTCCACCCCTTCACTTGGCCCCTACAAAGAGGACATGCAAGCTCCGAGATCTCACACTTCTCGACATCCCTATTCGTATATGCTTTCTTGTACTGGTCAAGACAATTGGAATAACGGAAGCTAGTCCCGCACATATAGGGACGGCAACCCTTGTCATGAGAGGAGCAAAGCAACAGGACTGCATTATGTGGACATTCCATGCAAACAGAGCATGTCACATCTTCCCAGTCTTTCTTATCTAATAATAACCCTTTGGAGCCTTTCGGGCAGCATTGCTCTTCAATGTGACTGCCACAAGTCCGCAAATGGTAGGGAGCCATTCTGCACTGTCTGTAAGAAGCCCTACGTCGCGACCTACCAACTTTTGCCATGTGTAACTTAACCTACATACGTGATTAATATGAACTTGAAAATACTTGTGAAGCAAACATTTAAGAGAAGACCATTAACAAAGAGAACTCAGTAGATGGAAGTGACTGAAAAAGATAGGAAGCATCACGAGTTTCAGGACATAAAGAGAAAGGAAGAGCAGTAATAATACAGACTAAACCGGAATGTGCAGTAAATGATACTGAGAAGCAAATTTAGAATGATACATAAATATCGCTTAACCCTCCAAAACAACAGCATATGAGGTAAGAAGTGTCAATGCTAAACAAAAGGGCTCTTCTCCAGTTCGTAATGAAGGAACAACAGTTAAAAGAACCCTTTCTAAGATATAATTCAACCATCCAAGAGGATTCTACATAGTGGTTCAATTGCACAAAAAAAAGAAGGAAGCAAGCAATATCCAAATCACTGATAGATATTGGGAAATGTACATTCAAGGTAACGCCATCATGAAGCTAAATCACAGAAATAATTCAAAGTCAATTCAGCTCATTCTTAACAGTACCCACAAGTATTTTTGGATAATGAAGCATCCAAACATCAAATGGCTCGTCATCAATCAGCAAGCATGTGATTGTGAAACCAAACACCCCCCCCCCCCCCCCCCCCCCCCCCCCCCCCCCCCCCCCACAGAATTGAGTGACCACCCAGAGAACAGATCATGCAAAATGCAGAATAGCCAGGAACAAAACCAGAACACCTCCAGGTAATGAATTCAAGCAAGTTCAAATTAGTTCTCAAGTTGTGGATCTAAACCAACAAATACCGGAGACCCAACAGAGCAAGCGACTCACAGTCAAAAAGCTTCCGGAACTTGCACCAAAGCGAAAGCGACAAGTCACTGCGTTGCTGCTTCGGAAGCTGGAGCTCCGCGACGGGAAGGAGGAAGTAGGAGTAGAATGCGATGCTGACTAACGCGAAAACGACGGAAGGAGCAGAAGAAACGGTGCCGGCCGAGATTTGATCTGCGGCGACGAGAATGGCGGAAGGAGCACCTAGTAGAAGAATCAATTGGGGGGAGAGCGGAATCGTGCAATTGAACAAGAAGAATTGATGACGATGATGGGGAAGGTAATTAGGGATTGCAGATTGGGAATCGAAATGGAGGGAGAACGAGGAACATCGTGGAATGGGAGATGGGAAAATTGAGGATGCACGGAAACGTAACCGTCCGTCAGTATCTGGTTCCGAGGATAACCCGGACCATGGGCCGGTAACCCGGTTCAAACCCGACCCTTTGTCTGGGTCTAGCTGTCGAAATGGGCCCACCGCCCAACAGGCCGTACCTGGGTTTAACTTTGCCTGGGCTCAATGTGGGCCTATCTTATCTTTTCATGTGGGGCCATCCTATGACCTAGCACGGCTGTGCCTTTTCTAGGGGTGGGCAAGGATCCGGTGAATCGATAATTGGATCGAGGCAGATCGAATATATTTTTATTCGGTTTCGATCCATAAGTATTTTAAGTATGAAGAAAAAATTGATCGAAAGTGAATTTAGACCGGACCGGATCAAATTGAACCAAAACCATCAAATATGCTTTTGGTCCGGTTCTGATCCTTATTTTTTTCTTTATTTTTGATCCGATCCTATCTCAACTCGATTTGGTTCGATCTGGATCGAAGAAACTGATGCCCACCCCTTTCACATAGATATTTTTTTAGGTTCTGGATCGAAGGCCGCAGCAACCAGTGCACCATGAATTTTGCTACCCGTTATTAGCCTAGACCTCCAAGTTCAAAACCAATAGTATTACCACCGATCCAATCCGTGTTCGCAAACCATGAGCTATACATTTTTTAATTAATCAGTAGCTTCATTCAGCCATTTCCAATTAAGAAGAAAAGTCAACTGTTGTGCTGATCAAGAACTTCAGCTTCAGTTGAGCATATGAAGAAGGAAATTACAGATACAAAGCAAAAGAAGGAGAAGTTCATTGTTGATCAAGAACTTCTCTAAATGTAACAATTGTGATATCACTCCCTAATCCCTCCTTCCCTAAGAAGGTGATGTTCAGTGTTCACCTGCAATATATTCCTGCTTAAAATGGCATGAAACCGGCTTGTCATCTGCTACCTCTGTCCATGTCCCTACGCCTAGGTCGTCGTCTACCTGAACGGTGAGAAACAAGTGATGACATGCCACCACCACCGTCGTCGTCTGCCATCTCATCGTAGCCATGATAATGGTCAATGTCTACATCAAAGGAAGCCAATCCACCAACTCGAGAGGTGTGGGGATCGGGCATCCCCACCGGCTGTGGAAGCCGTCTGCTGAACTCATCACGAGAAGAACCAAAGGCGCGCAACAGCATAACCACATTCACCAGATTCCTATCAAAACCTACAAATCCTTCTCCTCTACTCCTGTTTGCAGCCTCAACTTCAAAATCCACATCTTCATTTTCATCATCATCATCATCTGAATCCAAGTAGTCACCACCACCGTGGTTCCTCTCAATCACGTAATCCCCAAAAACCAACGACCCGGGCATCGTAGATCTTATCGTGCTGATGACATCGTCATGCTCACGGTCCCTCTCCAGCCTCCGCCACTTCTGTTCCAACAGAGGATCTACTCCACGTGGTGCTGCAGAAGGGTGAACCCCCTTCATGTGCTTCCTCAACTCCTTGTAAGTGCCAACAAATGAACAATCGTCTTGCATGCAGCTTCTTTCCTTGGAGTTCAGATATTGGCGTGCAGGCTCTACCACAGTCCAGCCTTTCACTTGGCCCCTGCAAAGAGGGCAGGCAAGCTCCAAGATCTCACACTTCTCTACGTCGCTATTCGTGTATGCTTTCTTGTATTGGTTCAGACAATTCGAGTAACGGAAGCTAGTCTTACACATATAGGGACGACAACCCTTGTCGTGAGAGGAGCACAGCAACAGAACTGCATTGTGTGGGCACTCCATGCAAACAGAGCAAGTCGCTTCTTCCCAGTCCTTCTTGTCGAATAATCCATTGGATCCATTATTATCTCGGCAGCATTGCTCTGCATTGTGAGCATCACAATTCGGCAACTGATACGGAACCATCCTGTACTGTCTGAAAGAAGCCCTACGTTGTGATCTACCACTCTTTGCCATGTCCAAACTTAACCTACATACGCATTTAACGGAACTTAAAAATACATGGACCTTCGTGTGAAGCCGATTATGTAAAAGATCATTCAGAGAAAGAGCTCGGAGAATGCGAAAGAATGAAAATTTTGAAAAGTGGCAAGGGCTTAGGACATATAGAGAACATAATGGATGTCATAATATAGAGAAAAACAAATCTTTCAATAAATGAACCTTCAAATCAACAGCATATATGAGAGGGGATCATGTCCATGTTCAAGAAACAATTCATCATCCAAGAGAAGATGAATGATTCCACGTTCAACATAAGAAGGAATCATGTCAAATACCCAGATAACTGGAATATTTGAGCAATCTACAATTCAGATGACGACATCATGAAGCTAAAGCACAGAAATGATTCAAAGTCGATTCAACTCATTCTAAACAATAACCACCAATGAAGTATCGCCATCAGCTCATGAATACGAAACGGGATCATCATCAATCAGCAAGCAAGGGAAACCATTGAAACCTAGCACCCATGGAGAATTGAACTCTAACAGATCATCCACAAATGCAGAATAACCAGGAAATGAAGTCGAACACCTACTACGGGTAATGGGTTCAAGCAATTTCCAATTATCCTCGAGTGCTGGATCTAAACTGAACAAGAAGGAAGAGCAGAAGCGACTCACCGTCAAAAGCTTACTTCTATTATGACTCGCACCAAATCGCAAGTCGCCCGATCGCAGCGGCGAGGACGAGGGCGGAAGGAACAGCAACAACCAGCTAGCTGGCTAGCAGAAGAATTGATCGAAATTTTGCGGATGAACAAGAAGAATAAAGAACGATGAACTTTTCGGGATTGCAGATTGGCAGAAATGGAGAGGAAATAATCGTCCTGTCCGGGAAGATTGGCGATGGATTTGAGAATGCACAAATCTTTCACGCGACGCAAAGGTAACCCATCAGCATCTGATTCTGTTTTTTATTTTAAGACAAAGAGCATCTGATTCTGGAGGATAATCCGGAGTCACGTGGCATGTGGCCAATGATCCGATCCAACAAATCCAAGTTGGATCGAATACAACATAATTCGATTTTAAGATTTTTTTAAAATAAAGAAGAGAATAAAAAAAACAATTTGAATGAAGAAATTTAAAACTTTGAATCTGACGTACTTTCGTTCTTCAAATTTCATTTATTTTTTGTTTAATCCACGCTTGATTATGTTTACATAGAACCGACTATTGCAATGGGTGTCGACTGTGCTTGGATGGATAAGAACCTAACTATATGTTTTACGACACACAGATCTAGTTTATCGGATGTTTGCGAAGGAACAAATCTTACTTATAAGTCATAGCATTTCATCTTGCTCGATCAGTTTAGACTAGGGTAATGGTTGTCGGTGGTGGAAATGGCCAAAAACACTTTTTGATGGTTTTTGTATGACAAATTGCACTTTTCGAGTCGGACCTTGCTCATGGTGAATTTAATTAGTTTTTATGGTGAATTTGATGAGTTTTTCTAGAGGGAGAAGAGAAACGGTAAATATCATGGAAAAGACATCTGCAAGTTGATCATTTTCGTCACAAGATGAGCAGCCCTATATATAAACAGGAAAGTATGGGGAAAAAATGACTGGGGAAGCTGGAAATGAACACAGGCGAAGTGCAGCCCCACAACAAGCTTCTAAAACTAGCTAATCTTTAAGCTGCTGAGGATCAGTGACAGCTTCAATTCTTTTTTTTCTTTTTTCTTTTTTGTGAAAACAGTTTTCAATTCCTTGGCAACAAGGAAAGGAAGCCGTGCACACCAAGCTTCCTACCCACAAAAGGAAGAAGAAAATGTCACAGCAACCATATCACAGATTAGCCATCATTAGAGTTGTATCTTCACGCTGTCGTAGCGATCCAGGATCCATGAATCTTTCAAGTTCAAGACCAGCATTTCGTTTTATTTAGTAGGCATAGTAGAAGTTGTTAAGAGGCACTGGAGTTTCTGGGGATTTTCCCCTACGAGAACAAAGCTTTCAGCCTCCTTGCAGCCTCCAGGATGCTTTCCCTGTGGCCAAAAGCACTGATTCTCAAAAACTCTTCACCTCCAGGGCCGAATCCACATCCTGGAACGGTTATGATGTTAGCCTTCTCGAGGATCATATCAAACACCTCCCAAGAATTCATTCCTGGAAAATGAACCCAAACGTAAGGCGCATTTTGGCCTCCGTATGCCTTGATGTTAAGTGAAGCAAGAGCATCCAGAAGTATCTCTGCGTTCTCCTTGTAGTAGTTGACCCTGGTTCGGACACCCTGGTGAAAAGAGTTTGTTCAGTAGCTTCAGTAAAACGGGCCAGGTCTTAAAAGTCGAGTTACCTTTGATGCATAACTGATCTCTGCTGTTCTAAGTTCTTACCTCGAAACCTTCAGAGGAAAGACAGGCAAGTCCACCAGCCTGAGCTATATTCGAAGCTCCATTGAAGCAAGTGCACACCACGCGATTGAAGTCATGTATAACAGGGAAACCATTCGAGAAGCAGAGTTCTGAGGGAACTACTGTCCAGCCAAGGCGAACTCCAGTGAAACCAGCAAATTTTGAGAAAGAAGAAATCTCAACTGCAACCTGGTGGGGAAATCAACCTAGTGAGTCATCATTTCTGAAAACAAAACCGTAAAACATAGTATCATATATTCGACGGTTAAGATGTTTACCTCTTTAGCACCAGGAATTTCGAAGATAGATCGAGGAGAATCGTCGGAAATGTAAGTTGCATATGCAGAGTCGAATACTATGATTGATCCATTATCTTTAGCAAACTTTACTAGCTGCTCTAACTGCTGCCTAGTTGCTGCATGCCCAGTTGGGTTATTTGGAGAGCAAAAGAAGATTACATCTGTGCTTGATGTCCTCCTCAAATCAGGGAAGAATTTGTTTTCAGGTCCACATTTCATGTACTCAAGGCGATGGTATCTACCGGTTTCATGGTCCAGGTCACCAGCTTGGCCAATTATTACGCTTGTGTCAATGTAACCCTGGAACGAAGCATTTTTTTTTTTTTTGTCACTAGATTATGGGGAAATTCCATCTAATCAAGAACCAAAGTATCAAAGACTGACAACAACAAGTAGCAGACCACTTACCGGAAATGATGGATCTTGAACAGCTGCAGTCACTCGTGAACCAAGAAGCAGCTGTAAGTAATGGGAAGAAGTCGTACATCCATTTGAAAACCATAGTCAAGTACCATAAACAAAGATATAAAGATGCAGCACAAACTGAGGTCCCATCAAAGTATGGTATACGGAGACATCACAAGACATTTTGGCAGCTAAAGGAAACAAATAAAGTCAGATAATAACAATCACCACTGGAATATGTACTAATCTGGTACCTGAAGGCGAGCGATGTCACACTGTGCACCATCAGATACAAAAACTTCAGAATCTTTCACATTTACATCTTTGTAGAATGTTTCTGCAATTGCTTTCCTGAGTTCCTGCAAGTAGATGTACGAACTTGCACAGTGTTCATCTGATACTAATAATAGATCTTTCGGAAAATACGTTTGTTACCCTCAAACATACATGTTATTTCATCAATAATGTTCCCTTCGATATGAATTTTAACTGGTAAGGTTATTATTGCAAGTGCCACGAAAACATATTAACTGAGATGAACTTGCTTATTTTTCAGTCAAACCAAGTGGGCAAACCACGTTGTCTAAGTTGACATGGACAACAAACAAACAAAGAGTTCACTTTGCAGTCAATCATGACCAATAGTGCAGAACAATATACAAGAAACACAAATGACATGAACCTTTCCCCTACTGTTCGTTTCCTATAAAAAAATTAAGGTGGGTTTGACTTCCGCTACAACAACATTTGAGGTCCAGTAAACAGTCAACAAAAAGTTACCTTGTTGCCTTGCTCAGCTCCATATCCTCTGTACCCTTCTAGTGTTGAAAGCCCGCTTGCAAACTGCAGAGTGGAAATGTAAGAGTTAATATGTGGGTGGGGGGGGGACTTCATATTGAGTCGACAATTGATACAAGGGGAGATGAGAAAAACCAATGTCATAGGTTCGGATTAAAAAAAGGAAAACAATGTTCAATTCAAGTCTTTTAGAGTAAACATAGCAATGACAAGAAGCATAATGTCACCTAAGCTCATACCATACCTTAGAGCTCTATTCATGTCTGCAAACAAAAGGGAGAAGCAAAGGGGGGAAACAGAAAGATAAAGAAAGAACAGTACATCGGCCATTCTTGATGTTACAATGTCTGGTACTGGTTCTGTTGTATCACCAATCCCAAGGCTTATCAAGCTTGCATCAGGATGTTGTTCAAGGTGCTGATGCTGACGCAAGGAAATCTGTTTCCAAAACAGAAAAATCGAGAAAATTCTTCATAACAAGCGTGAATATCTTAGATAGCCGAGAGAGTGTGCAAAGGAGCAGATCAACAAGAAAGGAGCGCAGAACAATTCCATAAGCAAAAAATTATGAAAGAGCAATCAATCATCACTACCAAGGGCTTCATTTTCTAAACCACTGTGAAGGGGTGGAAATGCAAAGAGAACAACCCATTTAGAGCAAAAGCTCGACAAGATGCCCATGCTCGTGGAAGTGAACACTGATGAGAACAATTATAAACATGGATACATGCAGTAACAGTTGAAGCGGGGGGGAAAAAGGTACATGAATCTCGCAACGAACCTCAGGAAACAGATAGCCCTTTGGTAGCTTCTCCAAGTTGGCATTACGAGGAACATTTGTGTAGTGATCTATGATCACACAACATCATTTTCATCAGTTATAACATTGACAATCACAAAAAAAAAAAAAAAAACAAGAAAGTTTCAGAGAATTGCATACATAAGCACATACCTTTCTTCTCCTTTCTGATTCCAAAGCTGAACAAAACATGAAAAAGAAGGGGGTTAAATGAAAAGAGAGGAAGCAGTGAGTATGTGAAGGGGCTAAATGTGTATGAAGTTTGGAGAGACCAGTTCAGTTATGCAATTATAGCCTAATGCTAAATGAGAGACAAAGGTTCATATTTTGGCTGGAAGACCAGTACCTGGTATGGAGGCATCCAGGATCGAAGAGCTTGTCAGACAATGTAGAATTACAAATCAGAAGCTTGTACATTTTATGAATTAGTACTTCTCCACGTAAACTCTAATACAGCTTGTGACTTATGTTTAGGCACGCAATAGCATGAAGCCTACTGACTCAATGGACACATATATATAGCAGCAAGTAGTAACAATGTCAACATAACTACTTTCCTGTTCACTAACTTGGACTAATTGTTTTCAAGGTCAAAACCAAAGCAAGGTAGAAACTTCTGCAGTAGTTTGTCCCTGGAAGCAAGCACATGTGTATCTGTCTATTCACACTCATGGAAATACTAGGAATTTCAAGTTCTTATGACTTGTTGGACTCATGCATTCAAACAAACCGATTTTAAATTAGCACGTATCAATTGGCATATCACTTATCAACTGGTATATTCTCACCTAATCTAACATTCTGACCCTGTTCAAGGAAGATGGAATTGACTTGAGTCAGGTAACTCACGTAGAAACTTACCAATTCCCATCAAACTCTCCAAATTGTACAAGCCTGTTAGAAGTCGTTTCATTGCATGTAATTGTTAGGGTGAAATTTGCAACTTCATGCAAAAGAACAAATGTATCATTTTTGGTAGACAATTTGAGTGCAATTCAGAGTGCACATGCAATCTCAAACACTTGGAGATTGTAGAATTTGAAAACTCACTCTATAAAAGTGAGTTCCACACGTCTTTATCCCCACTTTTCTGGCTCGACTTACAGAACAGATGCATTAAACCAAACAATGTTTTTGAAAGTACAACTCACATGATAGCATGCAATTGAAACAAATGACAACAACCTACAAGTACAACCAACCAACGGGCTCTTAATTGGCCTATAATATAGGTCTGAGTAGAAGTTCTCAATGGATGCATGAAGCTTCAGATTAAATCCATTGCTAATGCAACCACTCTTACAAAAAAAAATTTAGGCCACAAGAAATCTGATTTCAGAGATGGTAGTGCCTTACAAGACCAAAAAAGAAGTTGGTAGTTGTCATTCACACTACTTCCAGTTCCCAAACTGACAACTTTGGAAGTTTGATGAAGCAAAACGAGTGTCTGAATGGGAAACAACAATATGAAGAGTCCTTACAATCACCAGATTGGCATTGTACACATGCAGAAACAATGCAACAATGTGAACACCATAACTGACCACATAATCCATTCTGATCCTAGTCCTAGTGGTGTCCTTACATTGAGTGGGTTCTAGCCATGCAAGTCATGGGACAAACCATATGTTCTGGTACTGTGCTAAAGTGAAGGTAAAGTCAAAGCATAATTGGCTGTTTGAGGCAATTCATCAAACATATGGAGGACATAAACTGTCGTTCCCCCACATTTTCCAAACCGTTCCAGAATAGTTAACAGTGTCAAGAAATCCAAATGTTCCGTAAGTGGTTGTAGTTCTAGATTAACTAGCTCCTTAGAAATAATCTCCTTCATCATTCATGAGCTTTTTTCCACAGTTTGCAGCAGCCCAACTAGTCTAACTAAACCACTCACGTTTGTTGAGTTGACAAATCAACAAGAACCTTCATGGAAATTATCTCCAAAATTCCACGAGTGCTCCGAATTGAAACAATCATGAATTTAACCTTAGACAAGAGCTCTCACCTTTAATTGAAGGGAAAGGGCAGGAATTCAGCGCCCAATTTGGTATATGCCACAAATATGAAGCTGCCCTTTCAACCAAGCCAGAAACTGCAGAAGAAACTGCAGAGAAAGCGACGCATCCCAAAGGGTGGAAACTTGGTTTTTGGAAGAACTCTAACCGTTCAAGATTCTCCTTGTCGTCAATTTGAGTGGAGACCAGGCACCAGCCATGGAAGAAGCAGAAGAAGAAAATTGAAATAAAGAAAGCAAAAGAATAATGTGATCCATTAGATCAGCCTCGACAAAGTGTGAAACTTTGAGAGGAAACAATGAAATACAAGAAGTCAAATGAGAAACCCAGAAAGCCAAACTCCTCTAATGCGACATTTGGGTGTCTTTCAGCCTTTGACCCGCGCATTTTCTTGCTTATTTCCTTTTCCCTCCTCCTTCTTCTCTAGGTTCGTGTACTAGTAAGTTCAGTGGTTTGAATTTGAGGGGGAAGAGTTGGAACAGCCAAACATTGAAACCAGAAGCAAAGTTCAGTGGTTTGCAAGAACCAAGATTGGAATTTGGTGGTTGCTAAATATTTGGGAAGGGATTTGGATTTGGATTTGGATTTGGGAATAGGATATGGAAATCATAGTATTCATAGTGAAATTGTAATTTTTAGTTCATTTATGAATGATTCTAATGTATTATTGGTGACATATTTGATTTTTTCAATTGTTTGAGATTCGAATTTTAAGTTAACAATCGAAGTGTTAACAAGAGTAGGTTGTTCTGGCTCGATACCATCAAAGAATTCACTTAATCCGCATGTAAATTCCATGGCTACATAATTTCAAACCAATAACATTGTGTTCAAACGTGCAACATACGTATATCTCTTTGTAACGAACCCAAGTGAATCACATATTCAAAATGATGCATCCAAACGATCCACGAAATCAATGTGAAAGACCAAAACTGATTTTGCCATCAATCTTCTCATCCAGCCACTCCTCTCCCTGAATGAACTCACCCGGAGTAAAATGAACCGCCTCGTCCTTCCCCACAACCCGAAACCCCTTCCACTTCACCCTCCCTCCGGTCGCCGCGCCGGCGCCGGAGTTCCCATACTCCTCAAAACACAACGTATCCAAATACAGATCCCCCAGCCACGGCATCCACCCCTCCGGCCGAATCACGCCCCCGATCTCCGACTCCATCACCACCGCCCTCGAGTACGCCTTCCACGGACGGCCGAGGTACGACGGCGGCACGCCGCCGTCCTCCGCCACGATCCTGCAGTTCTGGAGCACGATCCCAGTGGTCTGCTGCTCGATCGCGCGCCCCTGCGCGATCACGGCGTTCTGCTGGCTTCCGATCGGGCGGCGGATGGTGATGACGGAGTTCTGAATGACGGCGGCGGCGTAGCCGAAGATGAAGTCGATCGTGCCGGAGATTTCGCAGTTGTGGTAGAACTGGCGGTGGGCGTGGCAGTAGAGGGAGTCTTGGTAGCCGTCGATTGCGCAGTCGATGAAGGCCGATTTGTCGCCTTGCACGCGGAGGGCCACCGCTTGGTGGCCCTCTGGGCCCGCTGTGTTCTCGAAGCCCATTGATTGGGCTATGAACCCCGGGCCCAACGCCTCTGCACCCAGCCCACAAAGAAAACTGTTCAATTATTTTCCCCTGTGAGTTAATTGTTACTTCATCTTCATAAGCACAATATAAAATTTCTTCTACCATTTACTTCATAACATGATATTTGATTATATACGCTATATTTTTGTGATAAATGTCACTTTAATGTCCAGATCAAAATGTTTATACATGGTAATTTTGTGCATTATCGGTAAAATTTATATGCAAATATTAGAGCTTATATGGTTCATCAATAAGTCCAAATCGTTTATTAACATAAATCGGCCTAATGTCGAACTTACCGAAAGTGGCAGTTTTCATGGTCCGGAAACCATCCCGATTGCTTCTATTCCCACTAACAATAGTCCTCCGAGCTCCATCTCCAAACATGAACACATTCCGTTGATCCTTCTTCACCGTTACATGCTCCTTATAGACACCCTCCTTCACATAAACCACATAGTACCCACCTGTATCCTCAACTTTCTCTCGATCGTATGCCGCCAGAGCTTCAGAGATCGTCGTAAATTGGCCACTTCCGTCTTGCGCCACCACAACTTCGAAACTAAACCCCTCATCGAGCATCCTCCTCCCTCGTCGTCGTCGCGTCGTCATCAGATGCTTCCGACCACCTTTACGATGATCCCTCTGGGTCCGCCCTAGCGACGTGACCAAATCTAGCGACCGCGCGATCTCGTTTACCATCGACAACGCGTTGCTCGTCAGCCGCGTCGCCCTCCCAAGCCCTCCCTTCATGACAGAGCCAAAGGAGTTGGACCGAGCTGTCACGCGACACACATGTAAGTTTTGATAAAACGATAATAAAAAATCTATATATATGATATGGAGAAGATTTGAACCCACCCATTTAAAGTGACATAAATGTTTTTTTTCTATCAATACACCAAACTTCACTTATAATCGTTTGTAAGAAGTTAATTTTACTACATTATAACTTATAAGTAATATCCCCAAATCAAAATAATTTACAATAACTAAAAAAAAAAAGACGCACCTAATTTCAACTTCTGTGAACGTTCGATCAGGTGGTCGAGGCAGGTGTACTGGTATGAAACGACGGCGCTCAGCCAATTTTGAAGCTCCGTGATGACGTGTCGGCTGCCGTCCGCGGCGGCCGACTCGTTGTTGGCTCGGGACGTGAGGAGGCTGCTGCTGTTGGCTAAAAAAGACAGGGATTCTTGAAGCTCGGAAACGGCGTCGGATAACAGATCCCTGCAATCTTCCAGCGCCATTCGTAAGCCGCTGATGGCGGTGGTGTTCTTCTCCCGGCGGCGGCCGATGTTGATTTTCTCGGTCAGAGCGGCGGAGAGATTGAACGATCTCTCGGTGGCTTCGATCGTGGCGGTGATCGCCGCTTTGATGAACTCCTTGGGGTCGTTCGTTGCGTTTACCGGTCGGAGGGTTTCCTCGCATGCTTGCTTGTAGTCGGTGGAAGCGCACATTCGCGCGACGGTTAATCTCGTCGCTATTAACGTGCTATTGTGACCGTTTTCGGCTATAGCGACGGCGGCTGCATGTATGAGAATTAGGCAAAGTGCCGGTCCGATTCGTTTGCTCATCATTTTTATGGGTGTTTTTAGAGAGGATTTTTGTGTTAGGGTTTAGGGACTCTTCTCATGTTTGCTAATGTGACTGGGATTAGTGTGTGACACTTAAACGTAGTAATGAAAAAAAAATTTATATACGGAGTAAACTCTGGAAAAAGGTTTGTATCCTAGAATAGGAGGTTAGTATGAAATGGGGAGACGTGGTTTCATGGTTCCCCGATTATTATGAATGTTGACTGGAGAACATTGTGGATCGTAATGGAGGCGAATTTGTTAGTGAATTTCAAATAACATCAAGGAAAAAGGTGATAACAACTTAGTTTAGTGTCAACGGAAAGTTTGTTTTGTTTAACATATTATGTCAACCTAGTTTTTAGTAAAATTTTGTTACACGAATAATGATGAATAATAATTACGTTACTTTTCACTACAGGTTTGGGTATTAAGGTAATTGATGTGAACAACTATTTAAGCAAATCACTACCAAAAATCTCAGGCTTCACTGCTTTGAATTGATCATCAAACCTCTGAACTTGCTTAATTTTATTGAGGAAGATTAAAAGGAGTGTCGATCCTTTACATGCCAAATGGACTTGAATGTATACTTTTTTTTGTCACAAATGAACCCGAATTCGCTAGTAGGAAATAGATCGGAAGCACTCTAAGTCTGTCAATAGAACCTAAAGAAAACGGTCTGAGGATTATAACATTTGTTACACTTATGATTTGAATTCAAAACTAACAATTATTGTATGAAACATGTAAGAAAAAATCTATGAAATGGATCGGCCGAAACGAGGCTCACTTATTTTGATCAAAATTTTAATTCAGAGACTAATGGAGAGCATATTATACTATATAGTTTTAAGTGTTTTATTCTTTAAGCCTCTTATAATCTTATTTCCAATTGGACGAAAAGAAAATTGCGTATAGCTTGAGCAATCCAAAGAACTCCATGCATGCCGCTACTAGCTAGCTAATAATCAAACATATAGCTTAAATTGATAATTAAATGAATTAACATACTTTTTGAGGGATTAATCGACTAATCTTCTCCCTCGTCCACATATTAGTAACAAAACTCAACCTCTCTCATCCACAACACCTCTCCTCCACAAAAATTAACCAGCCACCCCCATAATTTTAGCTCCCAAAAATATAATTTTCTAAATTAAGATATCTGTAAATTTGTAATCCCCCTATAAGTAACTCCCCATCCCCTCCGCCAATAATCGTAGTAGATAATAAAAAAAAAAAAAAAAAGGAAGTATCCTTCCTCCTCTTTCATTTTTTTTCCTCCTTTCCTTCCCGGTCACCGGCAAATTATTCATTAGCTCGCCGGGAAGGGGCATCGAAAATAATTAAAAACAAAAACATAAAAAAAGACAAAAAATAAAAGAAGAAAATAATAAAATAATAAAAATAAAATTACAATATGGTTGCTAAAATAGCAATTCCGGTCGTGTCCCTCCTCCTGGTGGTGGGCATCGTCATCGGCGTCGTCGCCTCCGTCAACCGGAGCGCCAAAGACCCCGCCGCCGACGAGAACCTCTCCCCTCACATGAAAGCAGTCACACAAATATGCCAGCCCACCAACTACAAAGACGAGTGCATGAAGACCCTGAGCGGCGCCAACTCCACCGACCCAAAAGACCTCATCAAGGCCGGCATCCTCGCCGTCGCCGAGTCCGTGAAGAAGTCTTTCAACATGAGCGACGACCTCGTCGCCAAGGCCGAAAACGAGTCCAACAGGACGAAAACCGCCTTGTCGGACTGCAAGGAGCTCCTGCAGGACGCCTCCGACAAGCTCCAGGACATCATGGATAAGGTCGGCGCGTCCGACATCAGCACCATCGCCAACCGGTCCGAGGATTTCAGGTAGAGGTGGCAATTAGGATCCAAATCTACGAATTCAATCTAAAATTCATTTATTTAAGTATCCAATTAATCATATTCATTTAAGTCCAATTCATTTGATTCAAATCCAATTGTAAGTTCTGCTTCATGAATTTTTGGCATATTATATTTTTTAATTTTATATCTTGATAAGTAAATTTATTTTTTAGGAAAAAATACATTGGAGAGTTAAATTTTGGTATCTAAAATTTTTCAGTATGACATTTTAATATCTAAACTTTTCAAATTTATAATGGTCCAAGGCTTGTTAGTCATTTGAATCTATGGATCAATCCATTTAATCCAATCCATTTGATCTAAATCTAATTGGGCAAACTACAATTTAATACCTATACTTTTATATTCTATATTTTGGTGTCTAAAATTTATTTTCAAGACAAAAATATCATTGAAATTTTACTTTTTGCTACGTAAAATTTTTCACTTTGACAAGTTAGCCCCTACACTTTCCAAAATTTACATAACGATTTAAGGTTTGGATATCATTCGGACTCATGGATCAATCCACCAATCCATTTGATCCAAATATCCAATCCGTCAATCCCTGAATCTAATTTCATTTGCCACCTCTGATTTCCAGGATCTGGATGAGCTACGTCATCAGCTACCAGGAGCTCTGCGTCGACGGGTTCGACGAGGACAGCACCGTCAGGACCGACGTCAGGCAGAGCACGGAGGTCGGGAGTCAGCTGACCGACAACGTGCTGACCATCCTGGGCGGGATCCAGCAAGTCCTTAGCTCGTTCGGATTGAAGCTGAACCTGACCAGCCTGGCAGCCGCCGGCGGTAGTCAAGAGGATCACCACCGGAAGTTGTTGTCGAAAGAGAACGGCGGGTATCCGACGTGGATGTCGGCGGCGGACAGGAAGCTTCTGGCATCGAACCCTAAGATGACGCCCAATGCGGTGGTCGCCAAGGACGGGAGCGGCCAGTACAAGACCATCTCCGCCGCCCTGGCGGCTTACCCCAAGAACTTCCAGGGGAGGTATGTGATTTACGTGAAGGCCGGAGTTTACGCCGAGCAAGCCAAAGTGGCCAAAGGAATGAAGAACGTTTACATGTACGGCGATGGACCGAGGAAGACCATTGTCACCGGTCATTTGAGCTATGCCAAGGACGGCCTCGGCACCTGGAAGACCGCTTCCTTCAGTAAGTTTACTACTATTACGTGATAATCTCTCACTTCTTCAAAAATCCGATAGTCCTAAAAACTCGAGTTGTTGAGGTCCATATATGAATTTTAACTACTTTTTTACATATTAAACTACATAAAACGAAAGTCATCTCGCGGCCTTAAAGTTTGCATCAGCTCATCATATATGCTTTAAGATAACAATTAATATTGGAGGTTGTGAGGACTACTTGAACACGTGATGACCTCACAGTCAAACCAGTTTTGATACCACCAGTCCTAATAACCCGAGTTATTGAGACCAAGTGGTTCGTTCATTGACATGGTATATCAGAGCCTTTGATGATGATAATTACCAATGTGTCTTATGTTCGAATCTCGACGATCTCGTTTTGATATTAGTGTTTTTGCAAACTTCAAGTAGTAAAATAGTATAACATTCGTAATCGAAACTCTCACGATCGAGTTATTGAGACGAACTGGTTTTGTGCACGCAGTTGTGGAGGAGGACGGGTTCATCGCCCGGTCAATGGGGTTCCAGAACACGGCCGGACCGGAAGGCCACCAGGCCGTGGCGGTCCGCTCACTGTCCGACCGGTCCGCATTCATCAACTGCAGGCTGGACGGATTCCAAGACACACTGTGCTACCAAGGCGGCCGCCAGCTGTTCCGCAACTGCGTCCTATCCGGAACCATCGACTTCCTCTTCGGATACGGCGCCGTGGTGGTGCAGAACTCGCTCATCATCGTCCGGAAGCCCATGGAGAACCAGTTCAACACGGTGACGGCCGACGGCAGGAAGGAAAGAGGGCAGCCGACGGGGATCGTGATCCACAACTGCAGGATCGTCCCGGAGCAGAAGCTGACGCCGGACAGGCTCACGGTGAAGACGTACCTGGGCCGGCCGTGGAAGGCGTACGCCACCACGGTGGTGATGGAGTCGCAGCTCGGTGATCTGATCCAGCCCGAAGGTTGGAAGCCGTGGGCCGGGTCCATGTTTCTGGACACGTTGTACTATGCCGAGTATGGGAACCGTGGGCCCGGTGCCAGCACGGCGAGGAGGGTGACGTGGAAGGGCGTGCACAGCGTGCTGTCGAGGAGTGACGCCATGCGGTGGACCGTTGACTCTTTTCTTCAAGGGAGGGAATGGGTTGCTAATACCGGGGCTAATGTTATTTATGGGCTTAAAGCTTGATTAAAGTTTGGGTCGTGTTTGATTAAAGCTAAATTGTATGGGTGATGATGCACACAAAACCCTACCCCGTTATGAACAGGAAGGGTGGAGGATTGGAGGGGAGGAAAATTAATGGAAAAAGGAATAAATTAATATTTATATATATGTGCGCGATTTTAATTAATGTTTTCGTAGCGGTTTTTTTTAATATAAAAAGGTGAGACTCAGTTCAATTGAGGTCCCAGTCAACACCAACGTCATCGTGAACGCTTGGGCGATAAATCGAGATCCTCGTTAATTACTGGACAGAGGCGGAGAGGTTCTTACCGGAAAGATTTATGGATTGCTCAATCTATTATACGGGTACCGATCTCCAATTCATTCCATTTGGTGCCGGAAGAAGGATGTGTCCTGGGGTTTCTTTTGGAATGAAGATCGTGAAACTAACTCTAGCAAATTTGATTTCACATTTTGACTGGAAACTTCCGGCTGGACAGAAAAGCATTATTGATATGACGGGATGTTTTGGAGGGACACTGAGAAGACAATATGCTCTTCGTCTAATTCCAATTCCGTATCATCGCGTGCTTCCTTTACTTTAGGCTATAATACTGCTCATTGCATATTCTCGGAGCCTCGTTTTGGTTGCAGGGACGGGGTGATATGAGATGTTTGAGTGATTTTCTAGCTTTATCTTATGATGTTCTGCTTGCATTTTTGTCTTCCTTAATCTTGTACACTTTGTGTTTTTTTTCTTCTTTTTTGACCGTCCAACATAACGATCGACAATCATGTTTGGTCAATTTAGTAAAAAATAGATGGTTAATTGATGTCACAATATTATAAATCGAAAAGATCTGCGATATTATATATGTGCCAAATTTGGAGGGGGGGCGGGATATTAACCCATACTGAGGTTGGTGTTATAGTTCTCATATATCAAAATTTAGTGTCTAATATGTCCCCTATATGGAGTATAGTGACCATATCCGCAATTTTCCTTCGCTCCACCCCTGGCCAAATTATGAATTCTAGCCTAAAGTAATGGGCAAATTGAAATGGGGAAAATAGCAAGAGACAGCAGCAGAGTGGGAGGGAGCTGGAAAGGAGCAAAGCTTCGAACATAATCATTGCAAGGCCACGGCATATAATCAATTTGATCTAACGTATTGTATCGGAGAATCATCCAAGTTGGCACATGGCCGCGACTGCTAACGGCGGAGGAAGAAGAGGTAGCAGCGGCGGCGTCGGAGACGAACCCCTGGAGAAGATGACCGAGATAAGCAAAACCCTAAAAGAAGGGGAAAGGATTCTGGCGCCAACCCGACGGCCCGACGGTTCTCTTCGAAAACCCATTCGGATTCGCGCAGGTTATGTGCCTCAAGATGAAGTCGCCATCTACCAGTCTAAAGGTGCCTTGGTATGTTCTGTTGCTGGCGGGAGTTTTTTTTTCTTCCTATGCGTTTATCGTCTTCTTCTTGCTTTGCCCCCTTCCTTTTCCGCATTGGGTTTTGCATTTGTAATCAAATTAATTAATGTGCTTTGATCGACTTCCTTGCCATTGTTGGCTAGTTGCATCCTTTTCTGGTTTGTGAGAAGTTGAAGATAAGTGTTCTGTTTTCACCGAGCAATTTGAGAATAAAGAGAAGAAATTTCTGATGGTGGGATCCTTTGATGGAAAATATATGAAATTCAGTCTTAAGCTCTTCAGTTGTGAACAACAGTACATTTTAGTGAATCCTTTCTCGGCGGTTCTTGGTATCTGGAGGTGATAACGGTATGACCATTTATCTCAAGACAGAAATATGAAACATAGGCTTGTTTCCTTCAATGCAGTGGAAGAAGGAGATGGAATCACAGCAGTCAGTACCTCCGGGTTATGATCCCGTAGATGCAAAGCCAAAGTCCAAGGCAGCCAAGAGGAATGAAAGAAAGAAGGAAAAGCGACTTCAGGTGTGCTTCTTCTTCCCAGTCAAATATACATGTTTAACTATCCTTGATGTTCCCTTATATATTGCTATCCTTCCTGATCTATTATCTATGATCTCAAAAAGAGAATCTTTTTATGAACATTTCATTTATGGCCAGAGGGTATTTGCTGAAAGCAGATTGCCAAGTTCATCCATTGATCTTGGTAGCTTTGTATATCATCAACGACTAGAAACACTAAGAATTGGAATTAAGAATCTGGTAAATTTGTTGAAATGCTGAGTGGTACAAATCAAAGTAGCAAATTCCTAAGAGGCGCTCTGGTATAAGACCTATGCAGATTTAGTGTTCCTCAATTAAATTAACTTGACTTTTGATTGGCCCTTGAGGTCAGCTGACATTGTCTGTTTGAAACTGGCCATTGCATTTGTGGGTAAATTTGCTTTTATACTTCATGGAGAGTTCTTGCATGCCACACCCATCCTTTCTTTGAATTATGTGCTTTCCTTTTTGTGGTTGTATAGTCTAATGCAAATGGAAGAAGATTACTAATCTTTAACCACAGACCTTAAAAGTTAGTTCCCATGTTATATTGAGAATTCGAGATCAGTTTACTCTTCACTGCCCACGTTTTTGTCTACAGTTACTTTTCCATGAAAATATTCGTATTGAAGTTAGCAACCCAGCATCCGAAGGTTCAAATTTGAAGTATAACTCCTGGAATGCACAGATAACTCCTTTGGTTTCTCTTTTTGCCTTAACTCAGGCCGAGAATCCTCATCTCCTTGTCCTCTCATTGTCCTGTTTTCTTGTCTTCAAAGAGCCCAACATTAAGAGTGACACTGTACACCCTGTATCACGGATATGAAAACATGAAGGCACACCTTCTGTCAGTTCCTTTTCTTTCACACTATCAGGAAGCTTTGGAACCTTCGAAACTCATGGGTTTAGCAGTCTTGTGATTTCAACATTGTAGACTGTGTGGGCTCTTAATAATTTAGTTTGATGTTGTACCTTTAAACTTAACCATTTATTGTAGAATACATGCATTTTAACAATATGGTTTGTACTTCATACCAATCTCAGTCGAAGCAGCTGAAGTGTTGTTAGACATAATGCATCATTGCAACAGGGGAACAAAGCATGGTTGCCAGGCGAACTCTATGTTTAGGAAAAGTATTGTTTCAGATTAGCTAAAAGGGGTGAACGCCGATTTTACCAGTTAGCTAAATCATCCTCTTTACTGGGTCTATTGGTTCACTTCTCCAGACCCAGTGACCCTGTTTGTTAAACCCCCATTGTTAGCTAGTGAGCACAGGTAGACCTTACCAAAACTATTGCTGAAATTTATAGAAGTGTGCAACTTTTAGATGAAACTCTTATCGTGGACCAACACTGATGGATCTACTTCTGGATGTTTCCTGTTCTCTTACCTATAAAGTAACAAAGATCCCCTACCTTTATCCTCTGGTACTTGGTTCTGGATTGCTTGTAGATCTAACCGTAACTTTGCGCTAGCAGGCTGCTCTTGAGAAAGGCAAGAACTCGGAAGGAGTGTCGGATGTGGATGTCGAAAATGAAGAAGTGCAGTCTACTGAAGATTTAGATCATACATCCAAATCTGTTGAAGCATTGACATCTCAGATGAAAGCGATAGCTGTTTCAGCAAATTCTATTGGAGTAACTCCTCCAGTAGACTCGTCAGAAGCTTCATGTCCCGAGCCTGCCATCCAGGATATTGATAAAAGAATCCGGGCTCTAAAAAAGAAGGTACATAACTATTAATTGAAATGCCTTGTTCATGCAAGTACTTGTTCATCTCTCTCAGGAGATCCCAATTTTCCCCTCTGGGTTGGATACTTGAAAAAAGTTGCCAATTTTGTGCATTCTAAAAAAAAACTTGCCAATTTTGTGAACGTCAATGAGCTATCTTGAGTGTCAGATTAAAATTTGGGATGCCAGCCTGATTAACAGGTAGTATTAGGGTCTGCATGGGCCATTGTAGTAATTCAGGAAGGAAGCGAACAAACTAGGATTCAGGTTTGCTGTTCCTGTATTGGCATATTCTCTCTGGATAACTTTCTAATGGTTATCATCATCACATAAAGAAGGGAAGGGTGAAAACGTCTCTGGTGCCTTTAATTTAATTTGCAAAAGCATGCTTGTAAGCTTCAAAAGCATGTATCAATATTTATCCTTTGCATAAAGTTTCAGCTCTTCTAACCAGCATGAAAGCTTTACTTGTAGCAGTTTGGTACTAATGATTTGAGGGTAAGTGAATGAAAAATAATGTATTGGCAGTTTCTTCTTTTTCAACTCATTTCATGGCTGGCAACTCTGGAATTAATTGATTGTTTCAACATCCATGGCCCATATTTACGCTTATCCCACCATCACCCCAAAGCTTACCAGCACTTATTTGTCAACTTTTAAGTTTGGAGGAAGTGGATGAAAAAAGCATTCAACCTATTCTTCTCTACATTCCCCAGATTCGGTTGGCAGAAGCTCAGCAGCAGCAGAAGAACGCTGCAGAGAACGCGAAGCCAGAGCAGTTGGAGAAGTTCACGAAGCTGGAAGGCTGGCGCGAGGAGCTCAAGCTCCTGGAATCTACAAGGGCCGAGCAGGTATCATCCTGATTGCAGGCCTGCCTTCTTTTCTTCCCTACCTTTATCTGAACAGCAGTGTAGTTCTTCGAATCCTTTGTATATTGCCACTGTTTTGTGTCTTGTTTGGTTCTACTCTACACTGTGATGGCGATCATCTTGAGGCCTTGTTGTCAAAATGGTCACGGAAGTTTCAACGAGGTTACGTAATAGTCACCGAATTCCAATTTGGTCACAAAATGGTTACAAAAGTTTGAACGAAGCGCCGAAATCGTCAGGAGCGCTTCCATTCAGTAACAAAAGCTGTTTGCTTTGGCATTTAGTCAACTTTTTTTTGTTACTCTCCGTCAAGATGTTAGAACAAATAACCAAAAGATTGTAATACCGTATCGAAAGTTTTACCGGAAAAGCGCCAGAACGTACGTCTTTCGTGTCCACGTGTAACGAGAAGGAAAAGGCAATGCATATGTATATGTATGCAATGACGTACATACGAGCAAAATTTAACCGTTCTTTCACCAAAGTGGGAAAAAAGAAGCAGAATTAACCGTTCGAGATAATCAACATTCAATTAAATTAATTTCACAAATAATTATGAAAAGGAAGAAAAACAAAAAGAAAAAGAAGAGAGTTTTTCCTAAAACAGAAAAGGCGGAATTCGGCCTCCTGTCGGTCTGCACTCCGCATGTCTTTCCTCTGGAACTGTTGGTTTCCCTCATAGCTCTACAGCTGTAATACAGTCAGCACCACTCTATATATAAGAAGATCTAGACAGAGAAAGCCACAAATATCAGAAAACGGAGAGGAAGGAGAGAGAGTGACACGGCGGAGCGGAGCGGAGCATTTTTTTTCAGCCTAATTCACTTTCTTCTCGCTCCCTCTTAATTAATCACCCCCGCCTCGATCGATCGCGTTCTTTGAAATTCTCTCTCTCTCGGAATTAATTTCTTCGATACTGAGAGAGAAAAGAGAGATTAAGGGGTCCGGCGGGCGGGGGAGATTAGTTAGTTAATGATGATGGGGAAATTGATGATGCGGGAGAGGGTGGAGGAAATGAAGCCGGCGGCGGTGATGGTGGTGGTCCAGGTGGCGTTCGCCGGCGTCAACATCTTCTACAAGCTCGCGGCCAACGACGGGATGAGCCTAAAGATCATCGTCGCCTACCGCTTCCTCTTCGCCGCCGCCTTCATGGTCCCCCTCGCCCTCGCCCTCGAAAGGTGCATGTTCTTCCAAGTTTCCAATTTTTTACGTGTTTTAATTAATTAATTAACTATATGCATGCCCGGAAATCGAAACGCTGTCGTTTCATCAACAATTCGCACTGGATTAGGGTTTAATCTCTGAGTTTAATTAATTTAATCAGGAAGAAACAGCCGAAATTCCGGTGGTCGATCCTGTTCCATGCATTCATCTGTGGCCTGTTTGGGTAAAACTCTTCAATTTTATTTTAATTCCCAGCTTAATAATAACATGTTTCTCTCTCCTAAATTAACGATAATTAAAGTGATGACGATTTCCATTGATGCAGGGGCTCGCTGGCTCAGAATCTGTACCTGGCAAGCCTGTCGCTGACCTCGCCGACGTTCGCTTCCGCGATGGCGAATCTCGTCCCGGCGATCACCTTCCTGTTGGCCGTCACCTTCAGGTAATTAATTAACTAACTAATTAATCAGTGGATTAGTTATGATTATTACGGTGATTAAGGAAAATGGTGGTGGTGGGGGTGCAGGATAGAGAGGCTGGGGCTGGGAAGCGTGGGAGGGAAGGCGAAGCTGGTGGGGACGTTAATCGGGATAGGTGGCGCCATGCTGCTGACTTTATACAAAGGAGCGGTTATTGACATCTGGTCAACACATGTTGACCTCCTCCACTCGCCACCTCATTCCGCCGGCGGCCACGTGGCGGCGGAACACCAGAACCGTGGCCTCGGTGCTCTCTTTGCCATTGGGAGCTGCTGCTCGTATGCCCTCTGGCTCATCGTTCAGGTCTCTCTTTCTGCCTTTATTCGGCCTGTACGCTAGTCTGAACTATATATGCGTAGTAATTATGGTACTTACTGTTACATGCACTATTGCACTACGTTACGTAACGTACGACAGGCGAAGATGGGGGAGAAGTATCCGTGTCCGTACTCTGCGACGGCGTTGATGTGCGTCATGGGATCGATCCAAGCCATCGTATATGCTCTGTGTTCTGAACGAGACTGGAATCAATGGAAGCTCGGTTGGAACGTCCGCCTTCTCAGTGTAGCCTACTGTGTACGTACACTACCCTCCTCTTTCTCTCTACATTCAGTTTGTAGAAATTCTTATATAAACATACGTGGGATTTGCATGCATGGCGGTGCATGCAGGGAATCGTGGCGTCGGGGCTGATGGTGACGGTAATCGCGTGGTGCGTGAAGAAGCGAGGCCCGTTGTTCGTCTCCATCTTCAACCCGCTGATGCTCGTCTGCGTCGCCGTGGCTTCGAACCTCCTCCTCGACGAGAAGCTGCACCTCGGGAGCGTGATGGGCGGGACGCTGATCATATTCGGGCTGTACTTGGTGATATGGGGGAAGGGGAAGGAGATGGACAAGCAGACGGTGGAGAAAGAGCTGATCGGTGTTCATAGCAATGTCAACATTCCTAGCGTTCGCGTCGATGATGACGATCCATCGACGGGAACGGATGATCACGAGGATCGTCGGGATACGAGCGTCGAAATTGTGGTTGTACGTCTGTCGTCGGATGGGACGGGGCAGGCACTCGACATGACTGCGAGGAGCACGATTAATATTCGTGATCGCGAGGAAGTCGTGGTGGTGCGTGTTTCGGCGGATGGGAGGTGCGAAGCCGACGTGGTTGGTGATGATTCGGAGAATGGCGGCGTTTCCGTGAAGGCTGAGGAGATCGCCGCCGGGAGGGAGGAACAAAGTGAAAAGAGATACGTTACGACTACGTAGCTAGAGAAATTAAATAGCTAGAAACATACTTAGAGATCATACTAACTTGGTTAGGTGTGTACGAGGTAGGAAAAATATATATGTTGTTGGTAGTAATTAGGGTTCGTATATATGTCGCATTACAATGAAGCAAATAACGGAGCAAGTGTTTGAAATCCGGCCGACTTTAGCAAATTTGCAGGTTTTTTTCAATCCGGCCGGCTGAGGTGAGGGACGGGAGTTTTGTGGGCCGGGCCCCTGGCCCAGCAAGCCCGCCCATACACGAAATCACCAATTTGTTTGGGCTGGAATTACCCGCTTCGATCTGCACTTGAAAACTTAATTTGAGATCGGTTGTTAATAACTGAATCGAGATCTCGAATTCGAGGTCAAGCTTGGCCCTTTACCAAAATTGTGATTTGTGTTTGACTCGAGCTCGGCTCAGATGCTTAGTAATGATCTCAAGAGCTCTACTCGATTTGAGTTCGCGATTTGAGTTCGCCTCGATTTAAGCTCATTTCAAAAATAATTTATAAATTAGATACTCTAATATTTGTATGTTTTGTGTTTGACTCGAGCTCGGCTCAGATGCTTAGTAATGATCTCAAGAGCTCTACTCGATTTGAGTTCGCGATTTGAGTTCGCCTCGATTTAAGCTCATTTCAAAAATAATTTATAAATTAGATACTCTAATATTTGTATGTCATCTGATTAAATGTCATGATGCAAAATCGAATAATGGACAATTGTTCATCTTTAATTGATCTTAAGTTTATATATCCTGTCAGTATTTTATTGTTTGCTTCACTATTTCAACTAGTTCACATTTGTTATTTAATAACAATTGATCATACCTAATCAATATAGGAAAGCTATTTTTTTTTATTTTGAAGTGCGATGGTGAGATGTACAATCGAACAAACCTATGAATTATCAACAAGCCAACTCGTAAGTTATAGATCGATTCGCTCATAAGCTGTCGCTACTCGAGCTGGCTCGCTAGCCACCCCAAATGAACCAACTCATGAGTTAAGTTCAACAAACCACGTCCCGAGTCGAGCCGACTTGTGAATCTTGTGAGTTGAATAATCTCGAGCTCCAAACTCGACTCGTTAGTAAACTAGCCGATGCCGAATGAGTTTTTCACGAACCGAAGCTCGCAGCCCTAAACCGAAGTAATGCAAGAGTAGCATTATTCCTTTCCCATAAACAAACAGATTTTAGGGCCTCTCAGTCTCTCACCCAAACCCCAATAAGGAAATGGATCCTTACATCAAGGATCAATATCCAATAGAATATACATTGCACTCTTCTTTATGAGAAGAAGAAGAAGAGAGATGGAAAAATCCCAATGATCCATTCAAAAAATGAAAGGAAGGTCAAACGAGGCACCTAGTGGATGCATGCCTGGTTGACTTCTTCCTAACCTTCGTTCAAGGAGACCCTGCAACTTGCAGCAAGTCAATGCCATTTTTTTGTGTAACTATATTGGCAAATTAAACTGTCAAGAACCAGTTGCTCCCAATAACTCGAGTTGTTGGGAGAAGGTTCTGCTGGATCTAATACAACTCTCTAACACGCCCCCTCAAACGAAAGCCACTCACAAGAGCTTGAAGTTTGCACAGGTCTGAAGACAAGAATGCCATGTGCTTAACAAATAGGGGTCATCGGGAATCGAACACAAGACCTCTCGGTTACAGAAGACTCTGATATCATGTCATGAACCAGTTGATCCCAATAACTCGAGTTGTTGGGAGAGGTTCAATCGTGGATCATATACCACAACACTAACACGCCCCCTCAAACGAAAGCCAACTCATGGGCTTGAAGTTTGCACATGCCCACCATACCTTGTGCTTTAATCAACTGTTAATATTGGGAGTCGTGGAGATTCGTACACACGACCACTTGGTCAAACCAGCTCTGATACCATGTCGAGAGCCAGTTGCGAGTTATTGGGAGCAACTGGTTCTCGACATAAACAAATTAATTAAAGATGTAGCGTGGCAGAGTGTTAGTTAGTATATAATACAAAGCCTTATGGCTTAATGCTCATACGTCCCTAACGCAAAAAAGTTTCCTATACGCAATAATACTGAGAAGAAGAATCGTAAGGAGAGGAAAAACCAGAGAGATTGAGTGTACGTTGCAAGAGACGTACATGGAGAAGAAGAAGGCGGTGTTGGTGGTGATGCTTCTGAGTGTGTTGCTGCTCTGTCATGCAGATGTGGGGGGATCCGCAGCAGCTCAGGATTTGAGTCCTTACGACTGCTACGATGTTTGCACCACCTTTTGCGTTCAGTATGCGCCTGACGGTATGTACTCTGTTTTCTTGTTATACTGCTACTTCTTCGTTTTTTGATTGACTTCATTCCTTCTTGTCATCTCGCTATTTGTCGAGTGATTGATTGATTGAATAATGTATCTGATTAATGTGGGTGCATGCAGCGAGGCGCATGAGTCGATGCGAAATCAAGTGTGGCATCGAATGCGACGGCTAATTATCCAGGACAGAAGAGCCAGCGAGCTGAGTAATTATCGTTGTAATAGGTTCAATTTAGGGCCTTAAATCAAATGCTAGCAGTAATGGTATACTATTCGTAATAATTGAACTTTCTCTCAATAAGTCGATCGAGTTATTTGGAACCAACTGATGATTCTTGACATCGCATCAGAGACTTCGATAATTGAAAAGTCTCATACGTTTTCCAACTCCGACTACCGCCACACATCATGAAATTTGGACCTATACAAACTTAATTCAAACTCATATGAGTTGAGTTTAGTTCCGCTGCAAGAAAGTGTTACTAAATAATATAAAATCCATAATTGAATCTCTCCAACCGAACCAATAATTTGATTCTTGAAAAAATATATATATGGTACTTAATTAATTGGTACTTAGCTTGTTGGGTCTGAGTCTCTGACCCACTATTAGTGATGGCAATTTCAACCCGCCCCGCGGGTATTACCCGATCTAACCCGCGATGGGGCGGGTATTACCCGACCCGCAGTAGCGTGGGGCGGGGCATGGGTATCTAGTTCCGACCCGCCCTGCCCCGCCCCGCCCCCGTTCTAGACTCATTTTATCTCAATTTCTTACAATATCTATACATATTTCTCCTATTTTGACTTTTCTTCAACTAGTTAGAGTCGATCTTTCAACTTGTTAGGCTCAATTATCCATTCTATTATCAATATTTTTCATTCTTAAAGTGTTTTTCCTATGTTTTATTGTAAAAAATAAAATTTACTTGTATTTTTTTTGAACATGTAAGAGAGGGTCGACCCTCCCCGCCTCGTACCCGCGCTGGTTTTACCCGCCCCGACCCGTAGTAACATGGGACGGGGCATGAGAATTGAGGTACCCGCCCGCCCCATTGCCATCACTACCCACTATACAGAAGGAATCATGAATATGCGAAAGAATGCAGTAGCATCTGAAAGTCAACGGAGACAGCTAGCTCTTATTAATTGGTTGTTTTATTCATGCAATGCATATGCAATGGCGTCTTCCTAACTCCAATCCAATTAAAGCCGGGCATGCAGGCGACCATGGTGCAATGCAACAACCTGCAGCAAGTTGCAGTATTAAAACAGAGGAGATCGATGGAGCAGTCATTATCTACCAAACCTGAATTAGCCTCACTGAAACAAGGGGGAGATCACGTTTGACAATGGAGAAGAAGGCGTCAATGGCGGTTTTCTTGAGCTTGCTGCTGCTCTGTAATCATCTGGAGCTCTGCAGCGCGCAGGACTATGATGAATTCAGGTGTCGAGAAACTTGCACCATGCTTCACTGCGATCAACTGCCTGATGGTACGTTAGCCTTAATTACACACACAGTATATATCTAATCTTCCCTTTCCCTTCTTAGCTTCCTCTTCTCCTTTCGATCACTTCTTAACATGTCGAGCTGGCTAAAATGTGTTCTGCAGCGAGGAGCAGGGATCGGTGCGATATCAAGTGTGAGATCCAATGCAGACCAGGTTAACGATCCAGCAAAACAAAAAACAAAAAAAAAAACCAGAAGTTTCCACGCTATCTATCTATCTATCTTTGTAACTCGAATAATTAATAATCCAGAGATATTATATATATATATATATACTTGATTTAAATGTGGATGTTTATTAAGTCATGGTTTGATGAATACTGCATCTTGTGAGTTGTGACAAAGGTAGAATTGAGTTTGGCGTTAGTGATGGCAATTTTAATTCGCCTCACGAGTATTATCCGACTTGACCTACGATAGGGCGGGTATTAATCCGACCCGCAGTAGCGTGGGGCGGGACATGGGTATCTACTTCCGACTCGCCTTACCCCGCCTCACCCCGTTCTAGACTCATTTTATCTCAATTTCTTACAATATCTATACATATTTCTACTATTTTGACTTTTCTTCAACTAGTTAGAGTCGATCTTTCAACTTGTTAATCTCAATTATCCGAAATGCCATTTTCTTTCGATTCTGGAGCCTACAGATCACGGAATCAGGCCGAGGCTATTCTCCACCGATAATGAAGTCTATTGATCCTATTCTCCATAGAAGATAAGTCCGTTAAGCATCGATTTGGGCCAATTTAATTTCGGATTGCATTTTCGTAATTTCTTGGGCGACGAAAGGCCATTTTCTTTGGATATTGAAGGCTACAGATCACGGATTCGGCCTGAGGCTATTCTCCAACGATGATTGAGTCCATTAAGCACCGATTTGGGCGGATTTATTTCGGGTCAATTTTTGGTAGATTCCAAAGGGGTACCATCACAGATTTCGGTCGATTTATCCGAAATGCCATTTTCTTTCGATTCAGGAGGCTACATATCACGGAATCAAGCCGAGGCTATTCTCCACCGATAATGAAGTCTATTAAACCTATTCTCCACGGATGATAAGTCCGTTAAGCATCGATTTGGGCCAATTTAACTTCAGATGGAATTTTGGTAATTTCTTGGGCGACGAAATGCCATTTTCTTTGGATATTGAAGTTTACAGATCACGGATTCGGCCTGAGACTATTCTCCAACGATGATTGAGTCCATTAAGCACTGATTTGGGCGGATTTATTTCGGGTCAATTTTTGGCAGATTCCAAAGGGGTACCATCACAGATTTCGGTCGATTTATCCGAAATGCCATTTTCTTTCGATTCAGGAGGCTACATATCACGGAATCAAGCCGAGGCTATTCTCCACCGATAATGAAGTCTATTAAACCTATTCTCCACGGATGATAAGTCCGTTAAGCATCGATTTGGGCCAATTTAACTTCGGATGGCATTTTCGTAATTTCTTGGGCGACGAAATGCCATTTTCCGTGGATATTGAAGGCTACAGATCACGGATTCGGCCTGGGGCTATTCTCTAAAGATAATTGAGTCCATTAAGCACCGATTTGAGAGGATTTTTTCCGAGTCAATTTTTGGCAGATTTCAAAGGGGTACCATCACATATTTCGGGCGATTTATCCGAAATGCCATTTTCTTTCGATTCTGGAGGCTACAGATCACGGAATCAGGCCGAGGCTATTCTCCACCGATAATGAAGTCTATTGATCCTATTCTCCACGGATGGTAAGTACGTTAAACATCGATTTGGACCAATTTAATTTCGGATGGCAATTTCGTAATTTATTTGGCGACGAAAGGCCATTTTCTTTGGATATTGAAGGCTACAGATCATGGATTCGGCCAGAGGCTAATCTCCAACGATGATTGAATCCATTAAGCACCGATTTGAGCGGATTTATTCCGAGTCAATTTTTGGCAGATTCCAAAGGGGTACCATCACAGATTTCGGGCGATTTTTCCGAAATGCCATTTTCTTTCGATTCTGGTGGCTACAGATCACAAAATCTGGCCGAGGCTATTCTCCACCGATAATGAAGTCTATTGATCCTATTCTCAACGGATGATAAGTCCGTTAAGCATCGATTTGGGCCAATTTAATTTTGGATGGCATTTTCGTAATTTCTTGGGCAACTAAAGGCCATTTTCTTTGGATATTGAAGGCTACAGATCACGGATTCGCCCTGAGGCTATTCTCCAATGAAGATTGAGTCCATTAAGCACCGATTTGGGAGGATTTATTCCGGGTCAATTTTTGGGAGATTCCAATGGGGTACCATCACAGATTTCGGGCGATTTTCCGAAATGCCATTTTCTTTCAATTCTGGAGGCTACAGATCACGGAATCAGGCCGAGGCTATTCTCCACCGATAATGAAGTCTTTTGATCCTATTCTCCACGGATGATAAGTCTGTTAAGCATCGATTTGGGCCAATTTAATTTCGGATGACATTTTCGTAATTTCTTGGGCGACGAAAGGCCATTTTCTCTGGATATTGAAGGCTACAGATCACGAATTTGACATGAGGCTATTCTCCAACGATGATTTAGTCCATTAAACACCGATTTCGGCGAATTTATTCCGGGTCAATTTTTGGCAGATTCAAAAGGGGTACCATCACAGATTTCGGGCGATGTATCCGAAATGCCATTTTCTTTCGATTCTGGAGGCTACAGTTCACGCAATCAGGCCGAGGCTATTCTCTACCGATAATGAAGTCTATTGATCCTATTCTCCACGGATGATAAGTCCGTTAAGCATCAATTTGGGCCAATTTAATTTCGGATGGAATTTTGGTAATTTCTTGGGCGACGGAATGCCATTTTCTTTGGATATTGAAGGTTACAGATCACGAAGGTTACAGATCACGGATTCGGCCTAAGGCTATTCTCCAATGATGATTTAGTCCATTAAACACCGATTTGGGCGGATTTATTCCAGGTCAATTTTTGGCAGATTCCAAAGTGGTACCATCACAGATTTCGGGCGATGTATCCGAAATGCCATTTTCTTTCGATTCTGGAGGCTACAGATCACGGAATTAGGCCGAGGCTATTCTCTATCGATAATGAAGTCTATTGATCCTATTCTCCACGGATGATAAGTCCGTTAAGCATCGATTTGGGCCAATTTAATTTCGGTTGGAATTTTGGTAATTTCTTGGGCGACGAAATGCCATTTTCTTTGGATATTGAATGTTACAGATCACGGATTCGCCCTGAGCCTATTCTCCAACGATGATTGAGTCCATTAAGCACCGATTTGGGCGGATTTATTCCGGGTCAATTTTTGGCAGATTCCAAAGGGGTACCGATTTGGGCGGATTTATTCCCCTACGTTTTATTGTAAAAAGTAAAATTTACTTGTATTTTTTTTTTAACAACATGTAAGAGTGGGTCGACCCACCCTGCCCCGTACTTGCGCGGGTTTTACACGCCCCGACCCGTAGTAGCATGGGGCGGGGCATGGGAATTGAGGTACCCGCCCCATTGCCATCGCTGATTGGCGTGGAGGTAGCAGTTTGACATGATCAACTATCATGGCGCGAGGGATTACTGCGTTATTGGTGATAGAGTTGATTACGGTATAAGGAGTTGAGTGATCGATGATCAAAGTTAAAAGTTTTTCCAATAGTAAAATTGGTTGAAATGAATTTTTTTTAATACAAACTAATATTTTGGTATCTTCTTCTGGTGACATTTTTTCCTTGGTTGCAAAGATAAATTTTTGTAGCTGTGATTATACCCCTTGTGCTTGAAGTTTGAACTCTTGAGGACAGGACAACATCAAAGGAGGTAATTAGCAAATTGCAATGGCAAAATAGGGAATTCCAATAATGATTTTCTGAATAATCGTTTTTGTAGGGAATTACCATTTCAATATCTCCCATCTGTCAAGGCCCAAACCTGTCATGCGGGGCTTTGTACACTAAATTTAGGCCCACCATTTGAAACTTCAACCCGTGGGCTTATTTCCGACCCATCATCCCAACTAGGCCTCTCCTTGCCCACATCATCCACCAGGCCCAAATATACCCTACCCAACGAGCCCTTAGAACTGCAGCCCGACACCTCGATCGGTGTCTCACTCATCATCTATTGTGTGTTCAACGATCACCACGTTACTCGGACTAAAAATGAAATATGATATTTATGAAGTGACAAGTATTAACTCATGCACTGATTACTACATCTTAGTCCCCGTCTCGCCGAGATGCATGCTCTTCCACGTCATTGTAAAGTTCTATTTCTCGTAAATACAATGACTTTCTGATAAATCTTGTAACCCAATTAATAGTTGTTCTCTAAAACACGTGTCTCCTTTTCTTGATTTAGAACGGACCAGATCTATCTAATATGTTCCGCCTCTTGTTAATCATTGCTAAGATTAGCTTGATGCTGACGACAATATCAATGCTGGCTAAAAGCAACGGGGCTTGGCCATCCTTCGTTTGTGGTCGACGTTTCGGCAAAGTTTGTCCGTCAATAGTTGAATCTTTCGATCTGGTTCGATTCATGGTCGCATCTGCAAATGGTTAATTGATGTGGTACAAGTGGTCTAAAATGTTTTAATTGCGTGATTGAGATATGAGAAACCAATTCAAATTGGCCTTGTTATTGAGCTTCCATTTCAAGTTGGTTAAAGGAAGACGATTGAAACCGAGTTTGGCCAAAGCCCAAAAGAAAAGAGTGTAGTTGACGTTTTTCTTTGGCGGGGTTCGAAACTGCAATGGATTGTCGTATTGTGAAACGTATGTTCACTGCGTTGTCTGTCCTCTTTACCATCTCGAAGGGTTTAGGCCTTTAGGGTTTTGCTCCATCGGCGTAAAGGAGATTTTTCTTTTTATCTGTGGTCTGGTTTGACACAGTAAATGCTGGAGCTGGAGCTTAAAGAAGAAGACGAGCAGCAGCATCCAGTAGAAGGAAAACAGGGGGCGAAGGATGTGGTATCTTTGCGTGTTCTTCCACAGACTGTTGGATTACCGACGACCAGAAGTCGAGGCTCTTGCGGAGCTCTTTCAGCCCAACTCGAGCAACGAGCCTCTGGAATGGAGGCTTCCCGAGAATCACCATCCCGATTCTCCATTCCATTTCGTCAATCTGTCTTCCGATGACGTCGCCCGAGACATCGCCAATCGAAGTCTGTCTTTCGCTTCCCTCTTATTCGATCTTCACTAATATGTATGTTTTCTTCAGTTGGTTGAACTGGGTTGGGTTCTGGAGTCGAAAAGTTGTGTTCTTTATGTTGGGAAGGCATAGGGATAGTAACTTTAAACTGTAATTGCTCTGATGTTAAGAGACCTGCTGGAAGCCTTTGTTGATTCAGCTTGCAAATTTGGCACTTTCAGGTTTACTAGTGAAAGGAATGTATGAGCTTTGGGGCGAAGGAAGCACACTGGAAGAATTGGAACAGGCGATAAAGAGCTACCCAGATGAGCGAAAGTCACCATTCTTGAGTTCTGAAAGTAGTTTCAAGATTATCGTTGACAGCTTTGGGAAGGTGATGAGCTTTGCGGAGCAGAATGACCGTATTGAGCAACTTGCTTACATTCCTTTCAAGGTATACTTCTTTACATGCTAATTCTATATCAATATAGGTTGTCCCTCGTTATGATTTGGATGTCAAAGCTTCTAAGACTGCTTAAATAGGCACATCTTGACTATTGACACCTTACTCCAAAGAACTTATAGATAATGTGGAAGAGTCTCATGAGGTTTATGATCAATGCCTGTACAGGGTAAGGTGAACCTGAAACATCCAGATCATAAGTTCTGGCTCATGGAGACTGATGACTATGGGGGTAACAATGGACTGCCACCAGTTGTTGAAAAAAGAATCTTTTTTGGCCGTGAGGTAGGTGGTTCTGACAGGAAGCTAATACCCACATACCAGCTAAAAAGCCGCACGTATCTTGGTCCAACAGCCATGGATGCAGAAATGGCTTTCTTGATGGCCAATCAAGCACTGGTCAAGCCTGGGAAACTTGTCTATGACCCTTTTGTTGGGACTGGTAGCATTCTGGTTGGTGCTGCTCACTTCGGAGCTGTGACAATGGTTTGTGTTTCCTTACCTTACTTTTTTTCTTGGGTGGATATCAGCATTTCGGATGTGCAATATTCTTATATGCACATCATTAAATGTGGCAGGGTGCTGACATTGATATTAGAGTAGTTCGAGATGGACGTGGCCCTGACCGCAATGTTTGGAGCAATTTCAAGCAGGTAATTATGGATATTCCTTTTTTAAGGTACTTGCTATGCAACATGCTGCAGAAAGAAGATAATTCCAAGTCAAGTTTTTTGTGCAGAGCTGCAGAAATACCTCCTCGTAGGCTCAACTTCATTGTTTTGATACACAAGTAGCGCTAATTTTATTTGTATTTAATCATTTATGCAGTATGGACTGCCTGCACCTGTTGGCCTTCTAAGGGCTGATAATAACCTTCCTCCTTGGCGTCCTGGATTGAAAGAGGTAAATATTTTCTGGCTTCTCTTCCTTCATGTACAGAGTTTTACTTAACCTCCATTGTAATGGAGACTTGGATAATTGCAAATGATTCCCTTTAGCTAGTTATTTTTTTCCGAACCTGTTTCCTTGCATTCTCTCGTGTTCTTACTTTTTTGTTTTGCTTTTGATAAGGTTTTCGATGCCATAATCTGCGACCCACCATATGGAGTTCGTGCTGGTGGACGCAAGTCAGGTGGCAGAAAGCTGCTAAAGGGAGTTGTGGGACCATACACGGTCCCTGATGACAAGAGAACAGACCACATACCTTCAACTGCAGCATACAGCTTAGTTGAATGTGTACACGATTTGCTAGACCTTGCTGCAAGGATGCTTGTGATCGGTGGCAGGCTAGTCTACTTCTACCCTGTGCTTCGAGAAGATGAAGCTACTGTGGACAACACCGTCTTCCCAGACCACCCTTGTTTTGAATTGATTTCATCTTCGGAGCAGATCCTGAGCTATCGTTACAGTCGGGTCTTACTAACCATGGTCAAGAGGCGCCCTTACACCGAGGAGATAGCTGAAGCAGCTAGAGTAAAGCATGCGGATTTCAGAGAAAACCACGTCAAGTGGCTAGAAGATGGGAATCTTCATTCCTCTGTTTTTGCACCAGCTGATCAACTCACAGTGCCAGGTGAAGATGCCAAACCACTTAGAGATAAACCTAAATACAGAGGCAAGTATGTCTAGTACTCACTCATTCTGCACCTTTGACTGAAAATTAGGTGCCGTGATTCCATTTTTGGCATGAACTATTAGATTGTTAGGACTTGAACAAAAGTGTCGGACTATTTAGTTACGAAGTTGTATGCTTTACAATTGTAAGGGGAAGGTTTCCTTCCCAGGAAACGAACAGGAGATGAGAGGGGAAAGAAAGATTTGTGAGAGTACAAGTGAAAAGACCTATTCAAACAAACTGGTTAAGATTAGTAACCATGTGTGTATCCCCCCATGTTGTATGTGTTATGTTGTACTGTTCCATACCCAACGTGTCCTTGCATACCATTTGCTGCATATTGTTGCCACATCAGTTGCTCCTCCATCAGCAGATGCTGCTTCTTCTCCATCTCCGACATCTGCACATAGTGCGGTGGTGGCACTGCAATTGAGGCTGCAAACGGGTCTGAAAACCCACCGGAGGTGTTCATCGTTGATGACGTCGGAGGAGCAGGCAAAGCTAGCATTGCAGGCCTTCCAGCTGAGCCAAGTGCAACACTGCTAGCACTCCCACTTACTGCACCATAACCAGCCACACCAGACATTGCTGACGTAGTTGCTCCTTGCTGATACATCCCGTCGAGCAACGACATGTCGAAGCCTCCTGGCAGTGCAGGCTTCTGAATAGCTAAACTGCTTGCTGATTGAACCAGAGCAGTTTCCCAGTCCGAGTCATCGTTGAATGCTTCCCACGTCAGGGCAGGAGTCGTGAAGTTGGCTGCAACCTGGGGAGCCCCATCGAACAATGCTAAAGCTAGCTGATTCGCATGATCCTCACTCGACATTGCATCTTGCCCTAGATTCAACAGATCAGCCTCTTGTTGGACAAGGACCTCCGGCTTCACCTCTTCTTCATCCTTCACCTCTTCCACCACAGGGGCAGCGTAACTTTCCTCCGGAGCAGGTAAAGCCTTGATGGCATTCATGTCTTCCTCGCTCGCCTCCTGAGCATCCTTGAACTCCTCGTTGTTATCCTCGTTCGACTCAGCATCAGCACTTCTTCTCGTCTGTGACAGGACGGATTTGTCACGGAGGAACTCGTCCATGAGCTCCAGCTTCTTGTGCGAGATGCGCTCAATTTCAGGGTACTCGGAGGTTCGACAAATGGCCACCGTCTTGCACCAGCCGTAGAATGAGTCGAGCTCGTCGAACTGCTTGGCAACGCGGCAGAAGATCTCGTAGATCTTCACGGCCTCCGGGAGATCCAAGTCCATGAAACGGTCGATCAACACTGCCAGAATCTCCGTGATGTCGTAGTACAGATTGAAGCTCTCCTTTACGACCGGGTACAGAGCCACCAGGACAACCTTGTCGTGCCTTGCATTACCTGCATTTGCATTCATACATGAGATTGAGATGAGATGCTTGCTGCATTAGAAACAAAAAGCCTCTTTGAACGAGGAAATGCAATGCATCTCTGCATAATTTCTTACCTGTAGGGCGACAAGCGAGGAAGCGCTCCATCAAATGCAGCAAATGCTGAACTCTAGAGAACAGTTTCTCATTCTTAGTTTCACGAAGCGGCGTGGCTTTGACACCAGAGCTGCTTCCACCTGCACTACCACCACGGCGTCTTCTTCCTCTGCCGTGGCTGCTGCCTCCGCCGCGTTCCTCCTCCTCCTCCTCGTCCTCCTCCAACGCGAATGCGCTCCTCTTGCCGCGCCTCCCAACCATCCTGAACTCGAGCTTCTCGTCCAGGTAGAGGGCGTACGTCCTCACGAACGCAGAGTAGTCCCACGACTCCGACCTCGAGTCCACGAAGTCTGACAGGTTGAGGATGCGCGTCCCCCTCCGCGTGGCGAAGAAGATCTCCTGCTCGTAAGCCGGATCCCCTTCATTGAGAAGTCGCTGGATCAGCATCAGCGTCTTCAGGGCAACCGTCCAGTTCTTGGTCTTGTTCAGCCGCCTCGACAGCGTGCTGACGCATGCGCTAATGTAGGAGCGCGAGTACGATGTCAGGCTCAGGATCTCCCTGATGTGTCGCTCCTCGGCGGGGTACTCCTCGTGGCGAGTCGCCTTCACGATCGCGACCTCCAGGTCAGATAAGGAGCTGCTGTTGTTCACCTTGGCTAGGCTTATGCTCGCCTGATCCTTCACCGCTCCCACGGCTCGTCGTAACTTGCTTGGTCCCATTTTTTTCTGCTTATTGTTGTTTGTTGATCTCAATGTTTGATTTCTTATCTTCTATGTTCTTTGGAAATGGTGGGAGAAAGGGAGATAAGGGAAGGGGAGAAGAGAAGGGAGAAAAGGGGTTGATGGGTATCAATCTTCTCCCTTTTCTTCTTCTTCTCCTCCTCTTTTTTTTCTCGTATGGAGTCCCTTCCCTTAATTCTGTTTCCTTTGTTTTCTGTTTTGCTGTTTGTTATTGTTCATTCTCTCTGGTTTTTCTTTTTGGGTTCTGTCTATTTTTTGTCAGCCCTCCATCTTTTTTCAGGGATGATGGATGTAACGAGAGAGAACAGAGGTGAAGTCCCCTGTTTCTAGCAACCAATCAAGGTATTGCAGAGAGCATTAACGGTTATGGGCGAAGCGAGAATATAGCAAATTTTGTAATAAATCCGATTTGGCAATTATATTTGTAGTCTTTGCTTCTCCACTTTTCGTTTTTAAGCAAGGGAGAGGGGGGGAAAAGAAAAACTGAGGCTCTGTTTTTCTTCATGTTGACTTTGTCAATGAGGACATGCATCCATCAAGACAGAAAATTGTAATGTTTTATGAAACAATTTTTGATTTAAGTGGATTATTTAAACACTTAATCTACTGTGATCGAACCATTAACCAGTCTTTAAGTATATGACCATTAACCTAGTGCGGGAAAAAGGAAGTCAATGGGAAGTAAAAGGTAATGGTTCAAATTGATTACACAAATTTGAATCCATAATATGATCATATAAATTGTCACCTTCTGCCATTTCTCTTTGATTTCTTTTTTCTTCTCACAAATTCCCCCTTTCCACTCTAATGGTTCTTCATTTAATAACCGTTGATTAGCCCGATCGACGATTTGGCCTGGATTTCTAATGTTTTGTTAAATAAGTTAGGATATGCTGAGACAAGTTTATGTTTCATTCTCCGTCACGACAAAATACGTGCACGACAAAATACGTAAATTTAATAAATTAATAAAAAAACAAAATGGAATACCTCTGATTGGATAAAATTAAACGGAACCCACCTCAAACATCCATCTAGCTAACCTATTTTCCCATCTAATTTCAACCAACAACCCAACTTACTGAATGCAGCAACAAACAGAGGAAGTTGGGTTGTTGGTCAGTAGAGGAGCTACTTGATGTCGATCTCGACGCTGTGGCCTGCCTCTATCCCTTCGTCGTTGATGGGTATCGATCGGTGGAATAGAGACCACCCACTTTTCTTGAATAGACGAAGCAAGCACGAAATCGAAGAAGCCAAGAGAAGAATCAAAATCTGGGTATCTGGGTTCGTCGAAGGGAGGCTGGAGTTGCTCTTGCAATGCAGACTGGAGCGAAGGCTGGAGGGTAACAACGAAGACGGCGACGACGGTGAAAGCGACGGCGACATTGCGAGTGATTTCAGCGAGCAGATGCGGGAGCCAAGGGGAGTAGTCCATGAGGAAACTATGAGGGTCGATTGTCGAGGCATCGATGGAATATGGATTTCGCTTCGACTGGGCACAACAGAAAGGACTTCCGAAGAAGGAGACTCCGAGAAGGTGTATTGATATCGGGTTCTTATCGGGTTCTTATCGGGTTTTCGGTATAACGAACCGAACCCGTTACCCACACACGTTCAGGTTGCAACCGAAAAACCGAACTAAAAAACACTAGGTATCAGGTCGGTTTCGGGTTAACCAGAAAAATCAAACCCGTTTAGCCAACCCTATATGTGTATAAATAGAGAAAACCGAGAACACATAATATATGTTGAATGATGATGAATAAGAACTAGTTTCATTAGCTTTCAATCTTTCTTTTCCCTTTCCTTTGTGGGATTTTTCCAGAAATAGCACCTTTAAAAAAAAAATTACAAAAATAGCACCCATGTAAAAAAAAATTCCACTAATAGCACCCTTTTTAATAGAACGCACCTTGTAGATGCGTTTTACATATAAATCGCACCCTACAAGTGCGTTCCAAAACTAGATCGCACCCTAAAAGTGCGTTCCAAAAATCTGGAATCAAATCGCACTTTAGCCAAGCGATTTTTGGTCTGACCTATTAAAATCGCATGGCCGAAATGCGATTTAGGTCTGACCTACTAAAATCGCATGGCCGAGGTGCGATTTAGAGCCAGACCTAGTAAAATCGCATGACTGGGATGCGATTTGTTTCTACCAGACAAAATCGCACTATGAGGATGCGATTTTAACATGCAAACCGCACCTTAAAGGTGCGGTTTTGGTCAATCAATTTCCGACATGCATGCAGACGTTACACGTCTGACGTGGGTCTGCATGGGCCTGCATGGCAGACGAAAATCGCATCTCTAAGGTGCGGTTTTCATCAAGATTTTGCCTATAAAAGGCCTCCCGGACAACCATTTCTCTTCACACCTCTCCTTCTCACTTCCCTTTTCAATTTTCTGTTGTAGCTCTATATTTCTTTAGTAGTTTTGCGGTTAACGTTAACTCGTAAGTTGATTTAGTATTACATATTTCTTTAGTAGTTTTGCGATTAACGTTAACTCGTAAGTTGATGTAGCTCTATATTTCTTTAGTAGTTTTGCGATTAACGTTAACTCGTAAGTTGATTTAGTATTACATATTTCTTTAGTAGTTTTGTGATTAACGTTAACTCGTAATTAGTATTACATATTTCTTTAGTAGTTTTGTGATTAACGTTAACTCGTAAGTTGATTTAGTATTACTTTGTATTGTTAATTTTTATTTTTGATTTTTATGATATTAACTTAACTACGGTTTTATCGCAGATGGCATTCCAAAAGTTCACGCTTGGCTTACGGTGGAATGGTTACACGGAAGAGACCGGAAAGGGTGCCACCTACGTAGGTGGCAATTTTCAGAAGATAAAGGTCGCTACCAGACCGCTGCTTGAAGACCTCCATCAAATGTGCACTAACGTTACTTGCATGGATGGCACGAGAAGAGTTGATCGTATGGTGTACCGATATCCAAACAGAGAAAGTGGGTCATTGTGGCATGAAGAATATCTCATAACCACTCAGGATGAGGTAGACGCCATGCTCGAATTCATGAGGTTCAACAATCTTTCCAAAGCCGAGATGTTCGTTTACACCGAGCCGGTCGTAGGCGTTGGAGGTCATTCTGGACACGGTCAAACATCTGGTACCCATGGTGGAGGTGAATTATATGGAGATCATCCCTACCAAAGTTACCATGATCCTCATTCATATTTTCAGTACCAAGAGCAAGGTGAAGGTCATCATCAATCATATGAAGAAGAAGTTCAACCGGACCGGCCCAACCAACCTCAGTACAACTTCCTCTCAGGCAGCGGTAGTTTTCACAACTACCATTATGGAGCTGATGAAGGTGCCTTTCATGAGCTGGATCAGATGGAGGATGTCATGCCAACTTCCTCTTTGACAGAAAAAGGGGGGATCCGAGGATCTCTTAATACCCGATTTTCCCAGGGAATGGGAGGATATGATAATCGCTTAAAACCTCATTTCCTTAGACGTGCATCTCTTTATAAAGAGTCGAAGTAAGTGGAACAATGTATTCGATTAAATTATTGAAAACAACCAACACGATTAAAAATTCAACATAAATTTATTTTATATTTCACTAAATACATTAACAAAATAAAAGAAGGACAAATGGTAAAGAATTGTATGTACCGGGTGAGCGTTCCAAACATCCCTTGACCGATGGTTGGGTTGGTCGTACAAGTCGGTTGGATCCAACGGTCCTTGCTCGAGATAATACCGTTGGTTGTAAATATCGACGTCCTCCGCAGCCTACGAGAAAATAACAACGAGGTTAGTAAATAGATTAATTAAAAAGCAAGATAAGAACAACAAAAATTAAACCCGAATAATGAGTACGTACCGCTTGAAATTCATCAACAAAAACTCCTTCTCCTTGCCACCAATCGGCCATTTTTTCGGCGCAATTCGGACAGAGCTTCGGCTCGGCTCGGCGTGTTTTGAGGAAAAAACCTAAGAAATATTTTCTAATGGCAGATCGGACTTTGCCGCAACCAATAGACCACTATTTTCTAGGCTTTTGGGAGGGGGAGGGTTTAGAGAGATAAAACTTAGAGAGAGAAGAAAGAATGGGTTGAAGGTGTGAAGAAATGAGAGGGGGAGGGGGGCTATTTATAGTTTTTCAGATCGCAGGCTCCAGGGGCGAGGCGGTAATTTTGCCCCGCGCGGATCGCATTCTCCCAATGCGTTTTCCGCTTCCCCAGGCGCAGATTGCACCCTCCCAATGCGGTTTGACTGACACCGGCGCGGATCGCATTGCTGGCGTGCGATCTGGGATCCAAGGCGCGGATCGCTCCGCTGGCGTGCGCTTAGCCGTTGGATCGGCTATCAATCCGACGATCTGGTGGATCGCAACGCGTCCTCCCCAAATCGCATCAGTCTGGTGCGTTTTATTTTGTGGATTGCACCCCTCTGATGCGTTTTACGTGTAGATCGCATCTGTAAGGTGCGTTTTACATTTAAAACGCATCTTAGGGGTGCGTTCCAAAAAATAAGGTGCTATTAGTGGAATTTTTTTTACATGGGTGCTATTTTTGTAATTTTTTTTTATTAAAGGTGCTATTATTGGAAAAATCCCTTCCTTTGTTCCCTGTTCTTCCTTCTTTCGCTGGAATCAACCCAAGCCAAGCCTATTACATAAACTCATAAGTCTAGTAACTCAGAGAGTTCAAATCAACAACCAATTTAGTACTACGTTAAAATTTAATTTTCTCCAATATCTCAAACACAAACAAGAGCTATATTGTTAAAAGCACAACATAAATACATTAAAAACCAAGTACAACCAAATTATGTAACAATAATGGTTGAGGAGAATGACTTGTATATATCCGTGGCATGCAAATGGTACATTAGACCATCCACATCCATGAAATACCATTTCTATTTCATATGCGGCCCCTATTGCCACATCAGCAACTTTTTCCATTCCACTACATATCACTTCCATTTCCTCTACATCCATGAAATCCACTATCTATTTCATATGGTGGGTCCAGCTTATTTTTTAATACATCAACACATTTTATCTAACCTATATGATTTTACTAATTTAAGATGTATCAAATAATTAAAATAATATATTGTAATTATTTGATTATCAATAATGAAATAAATTTACTAATTTATTGAAAAATATATTATAGCTTTATTCAAACTTTGTTTCGTATTACACTTTCAGAATTTACAAATTTAATTTATCCAAACTTAATGAATTTTCGATAATTTGAAGAAAAGGAAATGAATAAAAAACATCACATACACAGACATAAAAAAATGCCTTCGCTTTTTTATCATTTGTTATTAAAAGTATAATTTCAAAACAAAATGAAAATGAAAAAAAAAACCATTAAATGTGGGATGGAGCCCACTCTCCACCCACTTGCTCTTCCATTTGCTATTTCATTAAGTGGAAGATCCCACTTTATGAAATAGGCACCACATCCATGAAAGAGACAAATGAAATGCCACGTCACAATGGAAGGGGCCTTTGACAGGCGTTGGGGATGGTTTTATACATCCTCATTCTGTCAGCATGCTCCTCGAGGCAAGCATAAAAAGCATGTAGATATTCCTAAAAGGTTGTTGACTCATATTAAGTAGGTTCATGGTTGATCCGAGTAAAATGGTCTATTGCCACAAAGTCCAAGCACCGCAAAACAATGTTGTTGGGATTCAAATAAAATTTCATTAATTATAGACCTACTACCAATCATTGAAATCCGAAAATTAATCAAGAAAACACAATATGGATATTTCGATTTGATTCACACTGATCTTCTAACCTCGTATCTTGAACCATGACCAGTCTAGCTCAACGAAAGGCTTTGATCATATTCTAGCAAATATCAACATTGACCTCATAGTCTAGCTCCAATGTCAAGACCATATAATAATATTAACATTTCGTCTCATGAGGATGTCATACACAATGTAATGTATATGCAAGAATAGAAATCATTGCAAGGAAGACCAGAGAAGAAAATGCCAAAGGAGAAAAGATTTTGATCATAGTGAACTTCATTGTAGACCAATCTTAGCAGCATGTTTTACCTCAGGCCGTAGAATTGGTGCCCAGTTGAAGGGGTAAAACAGTATTGTTGGCATCTGAGATAGCAGCCTCAGTTTTAGTGAGCTTGTTATTCATGCGCGAGATACAGGAGTCAGTGTGCTCCTTGTACTTTGAGACTGAATCCACCAGGGTGAAAAGTTGTCGAGCTTTCACTTGGACTTGTTCTTCACTTTGTTTGATCGCTTCTCCTAACTTCACCTTCTTATCCTTTTTCGTTATTACCAACAAAAAAAAAAAAAGCACATTAGAAACGGATATTAAGGAGAGATTGAGGGGATTCACTGTAACTTGCAGATTGGAGAACAAACTATTTTAAGCAAAATATTAAAGTATCTCCTCTCGGATCTATCAGCCATTTAAAAAGGACATGGAAGATGAGAATAGACTGTACCTGCAGAATAGCTGCAGCTTCTTTTTCTAACAACATCAAGGTATGTGCCTCGTTTCCAATGCTTTCCACCATGCTTTTTGCTTCCAATGCACATCTGCTCTGGTAATCCTCTATTTCTGTCTTGATATGATTCAGCTGAGCTTCCATCTAATCGAAACATGTTCATGTTCAATTCATAATCACAACTATAATGACCTGTCTGTCTTAAAGCATTTCCTGATTTAATAAGAACTTATGATCACTGCAGTCGACTCCATGGAGAAATGCAACAAAAGGCATGTGATGGATAGCATGCCAAAGTTTGCAAGTCTTGGTATCAAGAGAAGAGTTCTAATTCCATCAACTTTGCAGAGTTATTAACCAATTTTATCAATCTAAACAGGCCCTAAATGTTAGCTTCCTGCTCCTAACTACTGATTTTGCAACCACTAGAATTGAGAAGAAGTGGCAAGTCATCTAATATGCTTCATAAGTATCATTGTTCTCGAATTAAATGGTACCTGGGAAACACAATTGATTATCGCATACTACTACTTCCAGCAGATGTTTCCCTACTTTTGTCCAGTGGCAATGCATATGCAATGTTCATGCCATTTTAGCTTTCTAAATCATGGCAGACAAAGGAAAAAAGAACAATCACTTTTGCATACAGTTAAAAGCTCTCAGTATGATGCACTTACTTCATCAATCTGAGACTGTAGCTGGGAAAGATCTTGTCTTTTGATGCCAATCTTAGTTTCCAATTCTGATGATTGTTGCTGAAGCGACATCACCTCCTCCAGCTTTAACACACAGCTCTTCTTCAGATCATCAGCAAGGGAATTAAGTCTAGGTTTAAGCATAGACTTGTAGTCGATCCCCAATACTTCAGTTGGGGTGGAACCGTTAGCATTCAAGCCATGCTGAAAGATGTTCTCAAGCTTCAATCTAGATTCACAAGCATAACATCACTGCCATCAGAAAGAAAGACAAAAAATAGCAACACAACAAGAAAGTTGCAAACATTTATGAGAATTCTACACAGACTAGTATCATAAGAAACTACAACTACTTACTTTTACCCCCAACATTTCCCATCTTTGTCATTATTTTAGTTTTATCCACTTTCACCTAAAAAAGTGACCCCTGATCCGAAAGAGTCATTTTTACCTAGTTGATCATCGCAACATGCAAACTGCTCATCCTAACAATCAACTCCTTTACAGAATCTACTTATTTCAAATGCATATGTTCTCAAAACATAGATATTCTATCAATAACAGGACCCCAATCAGCCTTAATGTCAAATGTTGTAGGATTAGACAAGAGCTATTGTGCAACATTCTGCTTTATTGTTCAGTATATCAGAAACCTGTATATGCTTCAAGAACATACAACAGGTAGCATCTAAAAGCCTAACAGTCAAGAAGGAGGAAGCTGCAAACATGTGAACGGAGTTAACTGTACTTCCCAGGACATTGTTATGCACAAATAGTACAAAGCTAAGCAAGCATGAAGAGATTTGGTTCACAGGAAATATTGACTAACAAGAATCCCATGTCACAGGAAGGGAGAAAAAGTCAAGTAACAAACCTCCTAGCCTCCTGGTTACAATCCATGGCCACTGCCTCAAGCTCCTTGAACTTTTTCCCAATCGTTGCTTCCAGGTCCCATATCTTCTCCTCCAACTCATTCCTCGAAGCTTCCGCCTCCTCGAATTCTCTCTCCACCGCCTGCAGCTCCCTCCTCATCCTTTCTGCATCCCGGATATTAAAACTCTGGCTCTCTACCTGCTTCCTCAACTCTTCATTCTCGGCATTGCACCTATTCGTCTCCTCAACTTTGGCAAGGATGGCGGCTCGCTTGTCCTGCAACACCTTCTCCGTGCTCTCGATTCTCTGTTTGAACTCCCCCAGCATGACATGGAACTTGCTCACATCCTGTTCCAGACAACCCTTCTCCGTCTCCAATCTCACCCTCTCCGACGGCGCAGCCTTCAACCTCTCCACCTCGGCAGCTAGTTCACTACACTCATTCTCCAACCACGCAATCCCTTCCTTGACTTCGTCCTTGTCCTTGTCCAACTTGGCTGTGAATTCCGCATCCAACGCCTCTTCCGAATCTTGGTCATCGGCAATGTACTTCAAGTAAGTATCGAAGGCGTGAGCAAGTATTTCATCATTTTTAAGAGACGAACCTGACTTCTTCCTGAGATGCTCGCTACAATTGGCAATGTGAACCAGCCAGTGCATTAGGGCGAGGAAGGAAGGGAAATTGTGAGGAGTGTTGGGCGCGCGGAGCGTAGACCCGTTGATCTTGATAGGGCATTTGAAGAATTTGAGAACGGTCAACAGATCGTCTTCCACCGTCTTGAGCTCGACCGGGTAATCGAGCTGCAGGAGAAGGAAAGCTAGGGTTTCCTTGATCTGTTTGCTGGAGGGGGCTTGGCCTGTGGGAAGCACGATGGACGAGGACTGAGAGGAGAGATAGGAGTTGATGGCGCGAAGGGTTTCCGCCTGGTGGGAGCGGTCTTTGTAGGCATCGACCAGAGCGGCGGACGGGCGGCCGACGCCGACGGACGACGGGCGGCTGCTGGCGAAGCTCGCGTCGGAGTCACGGGAGGCTTTGAATTGACGGCGGTGGTGGTCTTGTCCCGGCGGCGGGATGAAGGAATCCTTCTGCCCGCGATGATAACCTCTCATTTCCCCCCCGGCGTCTGTCGGAATCTATCCCTCTGGTTTCTCTCCGGGCTGTGTCTTTTCCTGCTTCAATTTCTTTCCCTGGGCGAAAGTAGCATTTGAGCGGCTGCTTAATTTTTTCTTTTGTGTTATTTTCCCGCCCAATATCCGTACAAAAGTTAAGAAGATATGATTTTGAATTTTATTTTGGGTTAATATTTTCGTATGGCCTGAACTTTGATCAAAATAAACATCCTGGCCAATCTTTTCGATCTATAACATCCTGGCCCGAACTATACACAAAAATAAACAATTTGGCCAAACCCGATGTTTGACCGTTAACTTGGACGGTCAAACGCGTTGACTAACGGTCAACGCGCCACGTCACTGCCAAGTCAGAAGATCAGATAAATATTTAATTTTTTTCGTTTTTATTTTTGGTTTAACTAAGGTATTAGATGATTCTTTTTTAATTTATAATAATTTAAAATTAGGAAATGTGTGGAAATGGTGAATTATTTTAAATATTTTATGCTGACTTGGCAGTGACATGGCGTGTTGACTAACGGTCAACGCGTTTGACCGTCCAAGTTAACGGTCAAACATCAGGTTTGACCAAATTGTTTATTTTGGTGTATAGTTCGGGCCAGGATGTTATAGATCGAAAAGATTGGCCAAGATGTTTATTTTGGTCAAAGTTCAGGCCATACAAAAATATTAACCCTTTTATTTTTCCAAAGGTGGAAATGATATAGCATGTTGTGAATCACTGAATTGTGAATTTGTGATCAAAGAAAAATAAAGTGAATTTATGATTGGCAATTGACATGATGGATTTATGATTTCTAAGAAAAATAAAGTTTGATGTTACTTGTTCGATTTACCTATAAACATTTAGGTATGGTTGTTACATGTTGTATACGAATATTTGTATTTTATTTGGAATGTCGTATTTACTAAAATACGAATATGAGTTGCAACTACATTGTCTTCAAATATGTTTTAACATATGATTATATTCATTTGACGTTAATGAGTTTTTCACATTTCTACATATTTTATTAAACTGGCACGAACCGGTTATACCACTAGTCGAACAATTGAATTGAGTATACAGAATACAAATACACCATATTTGTTGCAGATCTGTGAAGTAGATGGAATTACAATCTCCTAAGATGATGTGTGAAACAATGAAGGAATACAGAGTACAATGCTGCCAGCTGACAAATGGGACAATCCAACAGGGCAAAAGGATGAACCTCTGGAGCTTTTACAACTGAATTTCAGAGCAGAATCCCCCCATCTCAGAATGCGCATATTTAGGTTATTTACACACAATGGCAACTCTTCCAAGTCCCAACTAAGACAATTGAAGTACAACAAAACATGATGGTATACGGAGACGGAGACGCGGTTTCAAGTGGAAAGATGGGCTCTAAAGGATTTAATTGCCTGGGTAAGCAATTGAAGCTTTACAGGAGGTGAAATCGAAGGCAAAAGAATATGCTCGTCTTGCGGTAAATTGATCGTTCATTCTCTCTTATCTTCTTCCAACACGTCTTCTTCATCGAACGCAGTCACGTGGTGGATACCATTCTTCTCTTTGCTTTCCACTAAGCTTATGTCGCCATCAGGCATTCCCCTGGTTAGAGACTGAGTCTCCTCGTCGAAGTCTTCTCCAACCTCCTCTGAGTAAGCATACCTGAGCATTGTTTGAATCCAGGGATCAGTACATGAAGTAAGGACTTGATATCGATATGAGATATCACTCTGCCAACAGATGGATATTCAGATGAGTTAAAGGAGGAGTTGCTTCTTTAAGGAGTGGCATAAACCTTTTAACATTCCATTAGGCTGTAGCAGGGCTTAGTCATATGATTCACAGAGATAAAAGAATGGAGCATATCCATACCTTTGAGAATTTAGAGATGGAGCCCACAAATAGCAGATGACACAGAGCAGTACTAATGTAAGAAGGTCCCAGAATGCAGTGATGATCCAGGCGCTTTGCCAACGTTCATTGAATGGATCGGTGGCTTTGAAGTAAACCTGAAAGAAAGGTCTCTAGTTCACAACTTCCAAGTCTATTCAAAATAACAGGACAAAAAGTATCATATCTGGCTATCAACATGAATATATTTTCAGCAAGGGATCATACCTCATAAGCTATCCAAACAACTGAAGCAATAACGGTAACGGCTAATGCATTTGAGAATTTCCTATAGATATCCAACTTGACAGAGCTTCTCTTCGTCTGGGCCAGGGAATAATATCAGAGTTTGTTACGTGCTCCAACAAATTCAAAGGAAAAGGTAAAAGGATTTTATAAAAACAAAGATTGTATCTTAAGAAACAGATGAGGAAGTCGTGTACCTGTAACTGTTCTAACGTTTTCTGAAGAGATGTGAATATCCACAGTATCAAAAATGCATCAAGGAAAGCTGCTGGTAGCACTAAAAGCAATCTTGCTCTTCCAGATATGTCATTAATGGTTCCAACATACTCGGTTATATCCAGTAACTCGGATGCCAAAAAGTAAGTTAGCCCAAGAGAAAGCACCTTTGAGGTAAGACCGCCCAGAGTAGGGCGGACAACACCAAAACCCATTGAAACAGAGAGTATGAGAAGACGAGAAACCGTTTTCCTTACAGCTCCAATCGTCACAACCCAAGTAGTGATTGCAACTGGCCTGACGCCTAAGCTGTTGAAATTCACATACTCAGCATACCACAGAACCATCTCAAATAGTCCCAAAGCTATAACAGCCGTGATGCAATGCTGAAGCTGCAAGATATCCTTCCAAAACCTCAGGTACTGGGTAAACCATATCAAGCTAAGCAGCAAATATGCAACAGACATAAGCACATAAAACTTCTTTAGAGGCGCCATCCTACCAGGCAGATAACCATCGGGATTCTTCCAAATCGTCTTCCCACTCATCACAAGTCCCTTGAGCTTTGGATCGCACGCAACGAAGAACAAGTTATACATCCCTGTCTTGGTAATGTACACATCCTCATCTTTTAGCTTTGTAAACAAGTCGTCGCCTCTGAAGTTTATATCCAGAACTATTGGCCAATTGACGTCACTTGCAGAAGGCCTCCTAAGCACCCAACCTTCCTTGCAGCCTTCCAGCTTAGCAAGGTCAGGGGTGCAACAGATGGACCTCTGTCCACCATATGCAGAACCGCCAATATTGTCCCGATCGGCAGCCTCAAAAATGACTACGTGAACCAGTCCCGTATCATGATCCATATCTGGATCCTCATCAGCTGCGCTTTTAGTCCTCCAGAAGCTGATATTCTCAAACCTGTTAAAATAGTCGCAACTTTTAGAAACTTGACAACAAACTTGACAACAAAAGGAGATGCATAATTCAACAACGCAAGTTACTCAATTGTTGTCTGGCAGAGATCAATCACCCACAGCGATAAATTTCTGCCCTTTTGCTCAAGGGTAGCTTGTTTTGATTACCAGTAACACAAAACGCATCCACATTTCATCAGATCCATACAGGAGGCAGATCGCTTCAATTAAGACGATGCAACTATTTCACCAAACAATTCACAATAACCATCAAATTCGCAGCGAAACCGCCAGCCTTTCCTTCCAGATCTAACTAAACAAAGAGTTCAATTAAGATTCAAATTCAATCAATCATTCACCAAACCAGAATACCAATGCAGAAGATCTCAACACAATTCAGATCCCAAATTCAACCACTCAGATTCAGCCACTATCGCCAGGAACAACAAGTGACGAACAAACAAAACATAATTGATCTCAAACTAACAGCTCCTCCGTCGCAATCAATTTTACCTGATGTAAGAACGGCCATCATTGATGGCGCGCGGGATGGCGTAGGACGAAGAGTCAACAGTATAAGGCGGAAGACCAGCGGCGGCGGTGGAGGCCACAATGCCCTCGCTGCCTCCGGAGAGAAGGAAAGCATTTCCGACTTCGCTGAAGGGCTGAGTGTCGTAGATGTGGATGGATGCGCGGGCTGAGAAGAAGGAATGCCCAAGAAAGAGAAGGAGTAAGAGGCGACTGCTATAAGTTATCTCCATCGCTGGCTGGCTGGCTGTCCACAAGAGACGCGGAGAGCAGCCGGCGGAGAGGGAATCGGCGGATTCGAAGGGGGAGAGATCAGGATTGTGGCTGCAAGTTCAGACGGTGATGACAAAGAGTGAGAGTGAATCAAAAATCGTTGTCGGTGAAGGTGGACTGAAGAGTTCGCTTTACGGCTTAGCGCCTGAGAAGGACGTAATTGGGGATTTTCCATTGTGGGTTAATAACAATTTGGTCATCAGAATTGTCTAATCGTACTAAGCTAGTCCCTGGACGATTGGGCCTAATATGCCGGCCCTACCATAACAACTATTGGAATAAAGTTCTCCTCTTGGGCCCGGCCTAGAGCCCAAAATGCTTACCCAAGAAGAGAAATATGGGCCAAACCGCTAGTTAGAGAAGGGATTTCACCAAAAACAGGATAGATTTTAGTAAAAATTGAAAATAGCCCAAGGAATTTTACAATGCTATATGTTTTTCCTTTATAATACAATTTGAAATTGTACATTTAATGTTATGGTACAACTTCAGATTGTACTTATACTTTTTGTACAAAAAATTTTATGGTACAACTTGAACGTGTACCTTTATGTGATGGTACAATTTCAAGTTGTGAATTTGAATCATACCATAAGGATACAAATTCTTCTATGGTACAAACTGAACTTATACATTTAACGTTATGGTACAACTTCAAGTTGTACATTAAAACATCAATACTTTATAGTACAATAGAAGTGCTCCTTCAATTAATTTTGTGGAGATTCACAATTGGTGGAAGTTGACTTCAACTAATTATGCGCGCCTAGACATGTTAATACGATTGTCTAACAAGTGACGAATTATATCGTTTTATCAATAATTCGACTATTGGTTCGGTAACTCACTTAAATGCTTGGTTCCTCGTATCTCTTTTTCAATCTATGACACTATCTGTGAGTAAAAAAAATCTCGAGTCATGTGAATGTCAGAACCAACAAGATCGAGCATAAGTTCAAGCATTATGAAAGATAATGAAGTTGTAGAATCTCATTGTTACAGGAATAAGAACAAAGAAGATAGTTGTTACATACATTCTTAATAATAATTCGCAGTTGACTTCACTTACAAGCGCAGTCAAAATACACGAGCATCGCGTTCAGTCGGTCCTTAAGCAGCAACCGTGTCGTCGTCGAATCGATCACGAGCGAGTAAGGTGGATCTCCTGAGGAAGGAGGCGATACCTGATCCCGAGACTCTCAAACACGTTCTTCAGCTCCAAGATGAGCTCCGTCATCCTGTAGTTCCTCTCCCCGTAGTTCTGGTGGTTGATGGTGTGCTGCACGCACAGCGCCATGCTCATCAAGTTCATCGGCGCGATCTCCTTCACCACCACGGAGTGCTTCGGGTTCCAGTAACCTGGCTTGCTCTCGATGTAGATTTGAATTGCCTTCTTGAGGGCGTGGATGGTGTCCATGGAGGTGGAGATGTCGACGGAGAAGTTGACGGCGTCGCTCATCTCCGGGCTCCTGTAGAAATTGCTGATTGGTTTTGTGAGCAGGACGGAATTCGGGTAGTAAATCTTCTCGTTGTCGTATCTCAGGAACACCGTCGTCAGTATGTTCATCTCCTCCACTATCATCTGGACGCCGTCGACGACGCAGCGGTCGCCGATGTCGAAAGGGTGCATGATGAAGACGAAGACGATGGACTCGAAGACGTTCCGGCACATGTTCTGGAAGATGACGCCGACCACCACCATCTGGGTGGTGACGAAGAATATCACCTGCAGGTTCGCCAGCCCCATCAGCACCACCGTCACCGCCGCAATGATCACCACCACCACCACGCTCGCCAGCTTGTGGAGCTGGTGCACCGCCGTCCTCGTGTCGTTCAGGGAGTGCGCCAGCGACTTCCTCTCCAAGTATGCGCGCACCTAATTTAATTATAACTCAACATTGTTGATTAATTATAGTTTAAGTAGTTAAGTCATATCTTAACATAAGTCATGCATGGCTAGTTGGCTACGTGCGTACTAAAACAACGATTAAAGCATATACATATTACTAATTAATTATTAAATAAGCTCACCACCCAATTTCTGAAGGAGGGCTTGGAGATCCTTCCTGTCTCGAGGGCACCTTCGAAGAACGGGAATATGGTGTGAATCTCAACTCGGCTCAAGAATCTCATGAGATCTTCTTCTTCTATGTACCTTCATTTTAATCATCAATAATTAGTTCATATATTAACAATATGATAAATAATACTAATAATTATGTATTTTTTTCCCCCATATAAAGTAGCCACGTTGGTTGTATTTCAACTCTCACAATAGACAAAATCGCATGTAAATTTTTACCTCTTTATTTATTAAGATTTATGGCTCCGACACTGATAATATATAGGTTTCGATGTTTATGCACCTATTGAAAACAAATACCTAGGGCATGATCGATGTTGTATGTAACTACCTAAATATGATAGTTTACAATACTGTCAATAATTATAGCTGGCACACCTCTGTCTAGTGGCGGAGGGGGCGGAAGGGAGTGGGGTCCTAGGACCCCATTTGGATAAATTAAAATGGTTATATACTACATACTTGTTTAATTTGGATAGATTTAAAATTCAGGATCTCGTTCATATGAAATTTAACTGTCCTAGTATTATGAAATACACAAATAAATTATGCTATACTGGCCATATATCATTGAAAATCACCAATTTTATAGTCCTTATTCCAAAAATTTATAATTCTACTAAATATGTGTGCAAAAACCTCCAGCTATATTTAAAAAGTTCTTAGTTCAACAAATTTTTCCTATCAATATACAATTTCTTTGTCATCAGATGTGTTTTTATAAAACGTTTGTGTGTATTAGATTTTGCTTGGGAACTATTTACCTTAGCTAGTTATTGAAATGTCATTTTTCAATTATGAGTTACAGAAAATGTAAGGTACAAATCTAATAACTAATGGTTTGATGAATGACTACTTGACTTAATATTGTCAATAAAACTTATTTAAATAATTGAATACAATGTTATAATTTTTTTTTTTGTAAATGGGACCCCACTGAACTCGAATTCTGACTACGCCACTGCCTCTGCCGACCCATACACAGTGGAGCTACGTTGATCACCTCAGGTGAGGCTTTAGCCCCATCAACTATACAAATTGTTCAACACCAATCTAGAAAACTCAAGAAAATTGAAGCAAATCACAAATTATCCATAAATAACATGACTAATTGAAAGCTTCTTCCTTTCAATTAAGTTTGTTCACTCTCCACTCGATAATATCAACTTCATTCTACACAATTAGAAAGAAAAAAATTAGACATGTCTCCACAAACATAAATAAGATTAGTTGTTTAGAATATTAATATACCGAGAAAACTAATTATATGAGTGTGGGCGGGTACCCATGGGGCGGGTTTACCTAAACTCAAACCCAACCCAACCTGGTGAATAATTAACGGGTTTAAACCCAAACCCGGCCCGAAACCCGTCAACACGAATTTACCCTCGTTGACCGGATTGGGTCGGGTGAATACCCGTGGGTTCGGGTTTTGTTGCCATCCACACAATTATCCTAGAATATTCTTGGTCGGCCAGACGGCCACGCACGGTGGAACCGTCGGTCGACAGAGTAAAGGCGAGTGCGATGGCATGCATGGTCCCGCCGGAGCTAGCGCACCATCAAATGTTATTTGCGGAAATTAAGGAAAGAAAGCAACCGCCGTGCGCACCAGACAACATCACACTATGTATGGCTATCGGCCGGCGGTGCGGTCGTGACCACATATACACACGTGACGTAAGGATAGAAGTAGAACATTCCAAAAACACTTTGTTGAGTTGAGTAAAACACTTTGTTGAGTTGAGTGAGACCATTGCTGCGCGCAGCACCACCACCTTCGATCGAATCCAGTTCTTCAGACAAACTAATAGTGCGCGCTCGCTGAAAAAAGGTGCGAAAACAGTTGGACCGCGTGGGCTAATGGTAGGACACATGGTTATTGCCACTCACGAAGCCATCAATCATGTTTAGGCACATGTTTTTTGTGTACTAGGTTGTTTGATTACCCCCGATATTTTCCTTTCGACGCAATCAGCAGGTTCGCACGCGCCAAATAACATATTCAATCGAGTAGTCATTCATCAAATCACAGGTTATAGTTTATTGCGTAACTAATTTCTTAAGCTATTCATAGTCTAACATATCAAACAATAATCAAATATATAATTATTGATAAATATGAATTTCAACGCTTACTTGGCACCAGGCTTAGCCACGTTGACGAAAATCCTCTTGGCCGCGCCTCGGGCCTGCCACTCGCTGCCGATCTCGGACTCCGCCTTGGCGAAATCGTCCACCGTCTTCGAGATCGTCGACAGCCCGGACGTCATCACGTGGTTCACCAGCCGCCTGATCCCCCACGCCGACGTCCTGCTCTCCAAGCTCAGCCGCCTCAGCTCCTCCACCGTGTCCTTCTTCGACGTCGTATTCGTCGACCTCGACTTCCCCAACACCCGCCGCTTCCTCCTCCTCCTCCCTCCGTCGGCCGGCATCGACTTCGACTCCATCAACCCGCTCCGCTGCTCCACCGCCACCCTCTCCGCGGCCGGCGGCCCGGAGAGCGTGTCGAGGACGTAGTGGTGGAACACGCTCTCCTTCATCCGGTCGAAGTAGGTCGCCACGTGGAACGACGACGCGAGGGTCTTCACCAGCACGATCTTCACCAGCCAGATCACGGCGGCGACCAGGACCGCTACCTGTGTCATAGAACGCAGTAACGTAGCCAGAAATTTAGTTCAGGTAGGTCTAATATGTAAAATAACTCATCATTTATTAAATATTTCATAATAATTAATATTTAGAATACAATAATCACCCAAACTACTAATTATGTAACTCTCAATATATCCCGCTAAAAAGTCATTTATGAAACATTATATTATGTACCATAATTAGCTGTTAAATATGAACCATGTATTCATGGTTAGATTAGTGATGAAGATGCTAAGTATATTTTAGTATTTGCAAAATCATATGGTGGTCCGATCGAAAGAATTGCTTATTAGAGCCCTAGTAAATGGGTGATTTTAATGGTCTGAAATAGTTAATTTAAACCGCAAATTCGGCATAAAACACTTTATAATTGACTTTTCCGGTGCAGACTTACGATTTTTAATATCAGTCTATGTATCTATTTTATATTTGAGGTGGCGTCATGATCTCACTCAACCTCAAATGCCGAGTACTGTACTGTTATGTAATTGAACAACGAGTTATGTTCGTTATTAGAGTCGTACGTACCAGCCCTCGGTAGATGCGGTCGAGGAGCTTGTACTTCTTGTGGAGCTGCGGGCTGAAGACGAAGGTCCAGGAGAGGAGGACCAGGCCCAACCAGAGGCAGTTCTGGATCCCCTTCCGGAGCCCGTACACGAAGTAGAGCACCTTCTCCCGGAGCATGAAGTTCCTTTCGATGGCGAACACCGCCACCGCCATCATCCAGCCGGAGACCAGCCGGCCGCAGAACGTCACCATCACCATCAGGCACCACTTCCACACCCGCTTCCTCCGGTTGAACGGGTGCACCGTCAGGGACGTCACCAGGCAGGCCAGGATCGCCATGAACATGACGCACTCGATGAAGTACCTGGTGTACGTTGTTGAGAGAAATCAGAATACGGTGGAAAATTTTGTTGCGGTGTACTGTTATCGAAAAGCATGTACGGTTTAGACAAATAATTTATTACCATAACAATTACAACACTGAATATGAAAAGTCAAAGGAATAAAATTCTGCTCAATTACATAACAGTACTGTATAGTAACTTGGTAGAGAAGATAGAAATCGTCGATTGGAGGAAGCCGCGGCATCTGGAATGGGTTTATTAAAAAAATTACGAGCTAAATAATACGAAAAAAATGAATTCCCATTTTATATCTTGCATCGATAATATTTTTACCCTGGTGCATTCTTTTTTTTTTCTTTAATTAAAAGACGGGAATACTAATAATAGTAATCGACTCTTATAAGAAAAATAATAACTTCTAACAAGAGAAATTATATATTACTCGTAGTACTCATACTCTAATTGTACCTTAAAGGAAACTTCTTCCTCCTCCTGTGAAGCTTCTGCTTGGAGGAGGAGGGTGAGGTGCCCATTTCGTCAAAATCATCGTCGTCGTGGCTCCACTCGTCGTCGTCTCGTGACGACGACGAGGAATCCGAGTGGGTGGGTTTGTGATCGTCGTTGTTTGGTGAGTTAATATTCTCTGGAATGGAGGAGGGAGGAGGGTAGTTGTACTCGAGGAGTCGAGCTTTGGGCTTGGAGAGGCTGAGGCGGCGGAGGGTTTTGGTTGGTTTTGGACGGTGGTGATGATGATGATCCGGTCGGCTGGTGATTAGGTCGTCGTCTTTCATGGATTGGGATCTGGTGGTGGCTGGTTTTGGACGATGATGATGATGGTCCATTTCCAGAACGACGTCGGAGGTTCTGCTTTGCATTGGTAGAGTGAGAGTTAGGGTTTGTGAGGGATTTTTTTTGAAGGTTTGATGAGGGAAGCTATAGCTAGCTTTTCATGGCGGAGTGTTATTTCTCGTAATATATAGTAGTGTCGTTGCGATATTTGTTGCTTGGCTGAAAAATATCGTGGCTAAAGTGCGCCAGCTAGTCAGTAGTAACGTTAATGTATACGTACATGATTGCACACTCCACTAGGAGTGTCAATTCGGGTTCGGTTTTTTGGTTTACCCAAAACCGACCCGATTATATACATTTTCGGTTTTTTGGGTTCGGGTTCGTTTCGGGTTTCGGGTTTTTCGGTTTCGGGTTCGTTTTGCTTATCTGTTTTTCGGGTTCCGGCTAAAATCCTCCAATGAATAGAACTCAGCCCGTATTTTTAGGCGTTCGGGTTTTGGTTTTGCTTTAACCGAACCCGAAAAGGAATTTTTGGGTTTCAGGTGACGGAACCCACAAGTCCTTATCGGGGTCGAGTTCGGTTTTTAGTGATTTTTTATTTCGAGTTTTCGAGTTTTGGTTTGGGCAACCGAAACCGACCCAAACTGACACCCCTACACTCCACTTGCTCTGGTTGCTTGCTAGCTAGTAGTGGTGCGCACGTGAAGAATTGGTATGGTGATGATGATGATGGTATTGCGTCATGGCTACTTCCTCAATTTAAGATTAATGGAGATAGAAAAGGTGATATTGATCTTTATAGATCACGAAATTGTGCATAAACATGAGCATATCATGGAGGTTTGCCTCATATGGGTTAGGAACTAGTTTACAAGATACTTTGTGGTCCTGATTCGAGTCCTGCCCGTCTAATTTTTTCAGCTGGAGTACGAAAAAAAATATGTCCGGAAGTTAATTAGCCTACTCACGTATACGGAGATCCTCGAGTGCATACCGCAATTATGGTTGTGAAACGATAAATTGTCAAAAAGACGTACAAAATTTAACAAATGATAATTCATAGTTGGCATCATTCGCTTTTATCGCGACACCTCATATATGTCACGGGACGCAGATTCTCTATAAAGAAATCTCTCAAAAGATAAGTAACCATGCTTATCCTATCCGAGCTCTTAAAAAAAAATCGATACAAATAAACCGGTTTTACATTGCATTCACAGACGTGAATAATAACTCTTGGTAATTAAGTAAGCCGCATAAAGATGCTTCTTGCCAAAAGGATAAATGAATGAACATACGAGCTTAACTTCTCCAGCAGGGGAACAACTACTACATCTGTGATATTCCTCAGCACTGTGATCAAGGTGGAATGAAGATCGCTGTTACTGCTGCTTAAACTTCTACTATGCTTTCCTTTTGGCAAAACCTGGCTAGAAACTAGTCACAAGATTTCATTGAGGGTACTTGGATTGGATCACAAGTTTTGAAGCTAATAAAATATCGAATGAACTTCTGCAAACGCGAAAAGAAGACAAGAGAAACAATGTAATGCAGAAAGAACATGTATTCTCGAAATCACTTGTAAACGAAATACATTTTTGTTTCGTATTTGTCGAAATGACCACTGAAATGCAGAAAAGAGGGCATCTGCACCATGCTGGTATCTTCCAATCTATGCCCTCTTGCATTTTACGAAACCAGGGCGCATCATATCATTCGACGACTGAAAATGCTAGAGCACATATCACTTGATCAGATAACATCAGCGAGAACAGAGCAACACCATTCAAGGATGAGTTGAATCTTAAGACCTCTATGAAGAAAATTTACAAATAGTGGTTGGCGTGTTTGCCAGGTTTACATTCTTTAACTCAGGGGATTACAACAGATGAGGTGAGAAAAGGAGGGAAAGGAAGTGTGACCAAGCCAGGGTCCTTTGTTTAGTCGCCTTGCAATTCAATAATGTTAAATGCAACTCGCGAGGCACTTGTAAACATAATTAACAGCTACCACAACAAAATGGATCATTTGTTTGTCATGATCCAATTTTTTCCCATCCACCAGAGAGCCAGCATTACTGAATGACCAGATTCCATATATCTATCTTTATATTCTGCAGGCCAATATACAAGACTAATCTCTTGAATTTAGAAATCTGAAGCAGAGGATGTATATAAACCGCGCAAATGAAGATCTATCTCGCCACATTGCCCACCACCCAGCAGCTCCCATATTGTTCACATCCACTAACTGCAGATGAAGTTGTCTGCAGAATTTGGCTGGATGATAGCTCTGATCATCGTTCTCGGAACACATACAGTTGCCTCTCCCTCCCGCAATCCTTTCTTCCGGGAGATTCGTAATCTAGAACTATCACCACAGATCCTTACTGTGACAGGTAATATAGGCAAGAGCTGGGAACCATGCATCCTTCTATTGTTTTTTTCATTCCTTCTTATAGTAACATCATCATACCATTGCCTTATGATATGGGGACTCTTCTGCTGAAACCTTATGCAGGATGCAACAATCACTGTGATACGGCTTGCTGCAACTGCAACATCGAGAAACAACCACCAGTATGCGAGCAGTGCTGCCTATAAGATCATTGTTCTGCTCCTACTGCTCCTATTTTCCATCAATGGATAGTACTGCAGTTGCTCGTTGGATCAAAAGATTATACATCATAGGGTTCCACGTCCCTCCATGAAACCGCAAGTATTGAAGGAAGAGAATAGAAGAATAACACAACAACTTTTACAGCAGAAACAAAGACAAGAGTAAGATATAGCCGTTAAGCATAAACTGCTTTCCTGGATAGCTTAATTCTGCATTTTTCTTTGTCAGTTCACTTCATTGTACATCAATCAGCAGTAACTGACTTCTCATATCCAGAGATGGATTATTACATCAGCGAAACTCTCAGGCAATCACAACAATAGCTCAAAACTATCCTTAGGAAAGCTGACTCTTGTAGAGACATATTCTGTAAGATTCTAGCGATACACAAAGCTTAAAACTTTGAAAGACCAAGGAACACTACCGCTGATGATATTTGTACCTTGAGATCAGCAATATCCAAATCATGACCTCCTTCAACTAAACCCCAGTTGTCAACCTGCCAGGAATTTTCAATGTCAGGGAAAGCCAACAGAACAAAGAAAAGAAAAGGGCAGATTAGCCCAACCAAGTTCAGAAAGACAACGAAGAACAAAGAACCTGTAAATCTTCTTCAAGTCTAATCAACTCAATTGCTTCTTCAATGTCCAACCTCCCACGAAAGATCCCAACAGCAATCACCAAAGAATGCGATGCAGCTGCTAGAGCATCAATCGCTGTCAATTCACAATTACTGGTACTTTTCAGAAGTTTTTCCATTGCCTTCGCCAGACCTTCATCTTGCTTCCCACCAAAGAAACTCGAATATACCACAGGCTTAAACCCAAATTCTGTCTTCACCCAATTGAGCAAAGGATCGATTTTCTCAACCTGCCGATCTGCAAATCAGAAAACCAGACGCAGATGATCATTCTACATTAGCATAATAATGGCACCAAAAAACAAGCATAATATAGCAAGAAGTGGACAATCCACAGAACATACCATATACACCACTGGTTAGATTATTATCCCAAGGAGCACGACAGAAAACCAAGTCCTGGTTGAATTTCTTCATCAAGTCGTCTATAATCTTTGGGCGTGTGATTGGAACCCTCTCCAATGCAGTACAAGCAAGCCTCATAAGTGGCATGGTGAAAGGTCTGATTCCATCTGTTTGCTACAACAATTCACATTTCAATCACATTCTTCGGAACCATATTTATAGCTGGGGGAAACCTACCCAACCTATATCATACCATTTCAAGCAAATTTCCAGAAAGAAAGAGAAGATCCAATAGATGAATTCACCTGGTAATCCCACTCAGCAGCAATTGCCTTGGCAAGAGACAAAGTCGGCAACTTCAGAGCCCTTTTCGAAGGGGTCTTGAGCGTCCTGTAATCAAGCATCACCGACCACCCGTTGCCGTCGTCGGCCTGTCTCGTCGTCACTTGCTTGTAGAACCTCTTCCCGACGATAGATCCCGTCATGAACGACATCGGCATCGTCACCGACGACGACCCGCCCCCACGTTTCGAGCCAGAGCTAGGCCCCTTGAGATGGATTGCATCGCCGCCGCTATCTCCACCGTCGCCGAAAGAGAAAGACGACTGCCCTTCCGGATCCGGCGGCTGATGGGCGGCGGCGGTTGAGTTGAAATGACGGACGAGGGGCGACGACGAGGACAGGGGAGCTAACTGTCTGGGTCTTCTGATCAAGTGGAGCGTTCTGGTCAGAAGAAAAGCTGCCATCTTTCACCGGGCGCTGGATGGAATTCAGAGCTGATAAAACAGAGATGGGGAATCTAGGGTTTAAGGAGGGGAAATTGAAGAGGAAGAAGAAGAGAGTTGAAGCAGTTGGATGATTTCAGGGTGTGTTCTTGAAGCAGAGAACTGTGAAATCGATAACATTGGGCCACAAGTTCCATCAAATTAGGCCCAACTGATTAATTACGATTGTGCCATGGAGATACAAGATTGGACAAATATTAATTTCGATAGAAAAACAATACAAATCATTATAATGACTTTTTTCAATGTTTTTTTTATCATTGGATAACACGTATCATCGCGTGAAAAGGAACATGAGTTAATACACCGTCCCAAATCAAGACGTAAAATCATACCCAATAAATTGGTGATAATATATTAATATTCTTCATTGATACATACCACTTTGAATGTACAGCTGCAGTTTATGTCATTCCTTTAATTTTCAGTTTCCTATTCAAGACTTCTTTCCTACTGAGATGTCCCCTAAACTGTACAAACATAAACATTACATATCTTCACCTGTTCTTCCATGTCAAGATGCAGGATGTTGCTCCATTTCAGAAGCAGCTATAGTGGAGAAGCACTTCCCAGGGACGAACTGTCGTCATCCTGGACGACTTGCTCAACTGGGTTCTGCTCAGCCCACACGGCTGCATCTAGGTATCCGAGCTCGAAGAGCTGGTCGAGAACGTGGTCCTCTGCTGGCTCTAGTGCCCAACTGAAAAGCTGCAATCATAATATGATGGAACAGAAGAATTTAGCTTTGTTCTGGCTTTTCACTGGTAAGTGGACGAAATGAACACATGATGATGCACAGCTACCTGTCTTGCAGTTGCCCTGTTTTCAGGATTGCAGTCGGGACTGATCCCGATTCCTTTGAGTCCCATTCCACTGGCTGGGAAAGCACATACTCGAACCTGTTGCAGTAAGAACAAAGTGAGTTGCTCAAACACCAGAAATCAACTCAAAAGCAAATTGTGATAGAAACTGCTACAAATGCGCTGGTTAAGAGCACCAACTCAGCATGCTTTACTTTTACTTGAATCACTTGGTTCCCAATAAGTTATGAGGAGTTGAGAGACGTGATCGCTATAACCAAGCAAATACCGTGTTATCAGCAGATGTTGGAGGCATAAACAACGTCAATCCCCCATCTACACAAAGTCGGTTGCGGAACATGGTGGCAGGCCTTGGAGCAAGATACCTGCACCAAAAAGAAAAGAGAAGTTCGAAATCAATCTCAATATGAAAGCAATATCGCTCAAGTCCCAATAATACTACACTTGATATTCAACTAATTACCCTGGAATGAAGGAGGAAGTAAAAACTGCATTTATGAGGTCTTCCTTGGAGTCGAACTGATCTACCAGCAAACCCTTAGGCCGCCACAGAATTTGCGTCACAGCAACTGTCATAGGAAGGAAGACATACATCAATTTTTGGCACAGATATGAACTTTACAAGTACCAAATGCAAACAGATTGGTCATCATATCTTAATATTTCACGACAATTTCTAATTTTAAAATGAAAACTTCACTTAGCCTATTGGTTGCATCATCGGTATTTTATCTCAACGCAAAGGAATTGTGTCCATTTCCATTTTATGCAACAGCTAAAGAACGAATGAAAAGAAAACTCAAAACTTCCGATATCGAAATGAATCTCATCCTCACCTCGAACCCTCCCATTTGACCGAATGTGAACATCATCAGGAAGAAACTTTCCTAGCACATCTTTGAGAACTGCCTGTTAAGAACACAAGCATGATATCAGCTTACAGCAAATCAATAAAACAGTAGAACAAAAACTTCAAGAGGCACTTCATTGCAAATGCACCATTATCACAGTATGGGGTAGGAATATACCCCCAACCGGAATGCAGTGCCTCTTAGCCTGCAGTCTTCAGCCAGGGTTTTCGTCACTTCTAACGCCTCCTGCATGGTAGCACCAGAGGCAATCACCGCACAGACGATGGCACCAGCAGAAGATCCAGCCAGTGGTGTAGTATCCTGTGAAAGACAGAAGACAATAACACAAGCAAGAATTTAGCCAAGTTCCCATGCTCAGCAATAGTAAATCTATGGACACAAGATCAGAGTTCTTTCTTCATTTAGCCCAACGATATGCAGGACAAGAGAAAGACATCATCAAAAGCTTTGGTTTGGAGCCACACATATGATGGCTTGCAAAAACACAGTCCTCCTAGCTTCTATTTCATTGTCCAGAAGACACTTCACCATAAAATTCAAACATCCACACACTAGGAAGGAAATCAATTCAACAACAAAGCCTCGTTCTTGCCTAGATATATAAGTTGCAGATTACAGCAGCATGGAAGCTTCAAGTCTAGTGAACAACTAAACAATCAAAATTGTGAGTTTCTTCTTAGGAACAATAGTAAAACAAAAAATGACATCTTGTCACGAAAAAGCAATAACACTAGAATCATCATCAAAGCAAACTAGGTAAACAATCCAAAAAGAAGAAGAAAAGGGGCTCTGACCTTGATGTAGGCTTTCTCAATAAGGCATTGGGCGACCCCTAAATGGTAAGGGAAGAGCAACCCAGCAGCAGAGAAACTAAAGCCAGGGCTCGTCACAACTCGTCGCTCTTCCTCCGCCTCCACATCCTTAACCCTCTGCTCCCAAATAACCTCCGGCTGAATCTCGTCCTCCATAACCTTCCCAATCCTCTCCTCGTAATCGGCATTCCCGTTCGACTTATCGAACATCAAGATGCCGGAATCGCCCGCGCCAGAAGGAGGGGAACCCCCTTGTTGGCTGGACTTCAAAATCCTTGAAGCAATTCCGAGGAAAAGCTCGCCGGTGACCACCCCGAAGGATCTCTTCCCCGGCGGTGAAAGCGGCAGCTGCGGTGACGTTGGGGAACCCGTGAGTTTCTCGTCGGCGGGCGTGTTTTTGTCTTGGGAGGAGCTTTTAGTGGCCAAGGTAAGGACTTTGGGACGGTTAGGGAGGTGGGTCGGGTTCGGATTGAGGTTCCGAGAAGGGAAAGCTTGGCGGGTCGAATTGCGGGAGAGAATTGAGGTGGCGGACGACGTCGGCGGTGGTGGAGGAGGAGTCGCCGCCATCCGAGGCGACGATGGACGCGGAGGTGGAGGAGGTGGTGGTGGAGAAGGCGAAGAAGAAGCGTTGGTGGTAGTATTGTCGAGTTTGTTTTTCGACAACAACCGCAAAAGCAAAGATTTTAATTTGGGAGCCATTTCCAAGATTTGAAGAAGACGACGATTTTGATTTCTGCCGTCGTGTGAAAATAGGTTTTTACCTTTTATCTTTCCTGGATGAAAATGTCTACGTCGTGTTTGCATTTAACAGCAAACCGAGACATCTACTAAAAAATGTCGACAAGAAGAAGAACTTAAATATGTCATTGTCTTAAATAGCTCCAAATTCGTCGGCCAAAAGAGTAGCCTTCATAATAGTTTGCAGGTACCAGTCACCATTTCTATACACACAAAAATTCATAGGATTAGGCAAACCTAAAAGGGAGGATACTAATTAATTAGTTAGGCAAATTGGGATCTTCAGAATTGACTTCAATTGGATAACTGGAACAAGAGGTTGGGTCTGTTGCAGAGAGTAGAGGCTTCACATGGTGAAGTGAACTGCAAGTAAGGACTACTCCAGTCTCCACATAGACCATTCCACCGTTTGTATTATCCAACGTTCACTACTGGAAAGCTTGGTCCATTGTACAAACGATGGATTCCAAGAATATGACCGAAACTATACAGAAATGACAGAGCTTGATCTCTCCCTAGCAATTCCATGTTCCTGATATTCTTGATTTCTTCTTCTCTCCAGGGGACTTGGCCTGTGTTTCTTCAAAACTAACTCGTCAGATTTCTTTCAGATATGGATCCAAAGTTTACAGGGGTACCCTATAGGATGGATCCACCATCTTCAGGATGAAGAGGTTTCCCCTGTCTCCTCTTGAGATTCTGCAGATAGTAATCATAATCATCATATGGCCATGTCCTGTCAACTGAGGCCTCCCTCTTTGTTTTGGTTTGATATGACAGGTAACGAGGTCAATATTTGTTCTTTGTTAAAGATCAGTTAAGATTCATGAGACTGACCTTAATTCCTCATCCAAGTAAGTGATCTCGAGCTGCCCACGTCCACTTCCAGGCGATTCAATCGGAATCTGAACAAAAACCATGTTTAATCAAAGCATAAACCACAGGCACATTCTTTGCTTACATTAAGGCCAAAAGAACTAGATTGAATACAATAGAGAGAGAGGCATTAAAGTTGCCACATTACCAGGCCAGCAATCTTGAAGAAATCAAAGTTGACAGCGACCCTTTTCTCGTTTAGAGGTACTAGATTAGCTGTTGCCTGCAGATAGCCTTAAACTCACAGTTAATTTCTACAGCCTAAAACACTAAGAAATTGCAGCAGCCAACTACTGCAGAAGCAAACCAGTTTCTCTTCTGTTGTCCCAGTAGTCTTCTGGGATCCTATGACTCTTCTATATGGTTGCATGTCTTGAGAAGTGGTAATATTTGAAGAACCAAAAGAAGCAGCTAGAACTCACCTGATTAAAGAAGGGCCAAGTTTCCAGATTTTGAGCCCGCAGAGTGTCGACATTGATTGCCTGGTAGATTTTCCCATTTGGTCTCAACAACTTTGGCCACTGCTCCAACAAACACCCAAAAGAACCAGTGAACAATCAGTCAAGAACTTCAAGTGGACAGTAAAATGAAGTACCAGAAGTCCAGAACCTAGTAATCACAAATGTCAAAGGGGATTGATTCATTCAATCTTCACCTTTTTCTTGAGTATTGATTGAGATGTAGTGTACAGAAGCTCCCATTTCCCATTCAACAGAGTGGACTTGAGAGGCTCCTTTTCTGCGTTCACAGCCTCCAACTTACGAGCTATCTGACAACGCACAAATTTCATCAGATTCTATGTTTCCCCAATCGCTCAACTCAGAAAGCCTTGATTTTGGGGGAATTTGATGGTTGTCGACTCTCTCACCTCGTCGACGCGCTGTTGTTCCTGAGGGGTAGCTTCAACGCCGCGGTCGAGAGGGGCAATCGCGTCGTAGAGCTGAGACTTGAGGAGGTTGATGACCACATCTTGCCGCCTGGTGGAGGAGGAGGAGGATGAACCCTCTTTGGAGGAGGACGAAGAAACTTGGGTCCGCCATTTCCAGGAATCTGAAGCAGCGTAGAGGCTGGGATTCTTCAACTTGGTAGTGGAGCGGAAGATTCCGCGTGAATGGGTTGTGGGAAGGGAATCCGATGAGAGGAGAGTGAGCCGTGAAGATTGCCGCCGGGAATCGAAGACTTCTTCTGCTGACGATGATGATGGGTAGTGAATTTTCAGACCCGAGGAAGAAGAAACTATGCCCGCCATGAATGGAAGAAAGAAAGAAAGAAAGAAAGAAAGCAAGCTCTCTCTGTAATTGTGAAAGGTTAGAGCTTTAGCTACTTTCTGGGAGCTGTTTTTTTTTTTTTTTTTTTTTCCTCGCAGGTTGTGGATCGGAGCAGTTTGTTTTCTTTGCCTTCTAGAGAAATCCCTTGGATTTTAGTGTCCAACTGTAAAAAACTAAAAAAAAAATATCTTAAAGAATATGCATCTAGAACAGTGAAAGAGAGTAATCAAGAAGATGATAACTCTTTTCTTTTCCTGGAAAATATCTTGTTCGTTATTTACAGACATTCATAAGATGGTAGCAAAATTTAAGATGTGTCAAGCCTCAAATTTGAATATCTGTAACTATGTATTACACCCTTGGAGCATTGAGTTCTGAATTCTGATGATGGCATACATCTCTTTTGTGTGCTGAGATGCTGTTTTTGTATAGCCCTTATACGAAAAAAGTTGCAGGCTGCAGCAGCAGGAGATGAGTAGTAGCTCAAATCCAGCTCTTGGGAAATGAGGACTGATACTCATGATCATCCAGTGGCGGGGACACGGTAAGATGGATCCAGCATTTTCAAGATGAACAGGTTCCCCTTGTCACCTCTAGATATTCTGTGATCATGAACAAACACCAAAACCGATACCGAGAAATTCCAGTAAGTGATATTGGGATTGAATTTTCCAGCTACTCTGATGGCTAACTAGGCAGAGAGGATTAGCACGCTGTTCATATCGCAACTATGTTATGAATTCCTAATCCTTGTAATCCTGTATGATTACTTGATTAGCCAGAACTTCATCTTTTTGAAGCAAATGAGTGTGCAACAAGTTCCAGGCAAAAACTATAGGAGAAATTTCATGCTACGAACCTCAACTCTTCATCCAAGTAAGTGATTTCCAACTCCCCAAGAGCAGTATCCGGTGCCTTTACCGGGATCTGTGACCATATATTAGCAGTAGCAGTTACTCTACTTTGTCTGACAGTCATTTCGAATTTGGGTACATCTACAAGAATCGCAAATGGTGTAAGGACCAGTAATCTTACCAAACCCAATATTTTGAAGTAATCAAACTTCACAGCCACTTTTCTTGTGCTCAGAGGGGTTAAGTTTGCTGTTACCTACACAAATGCATGAAAGATGTAAAATTTATCATTCAACCACATGACTTCCCTTCAAAATGTTAGTGTGCACATGAAGGTGAGCAAATCTACTTCCTAATCTAGAACCACAAGTATAGTATATGCCAAGGTGTGTCCAATATGGTATCGTTGATGACGAAATAATAATGTCAAGCCCTAAAAAACAGAGAGTAGGCTAGGATATTCATCAGTAGACTCCTGCATAGTACTTGGCCTTCATATGCATCCATCAAAAGAAAAAGAAAGAAAAAAAACTTGAGCTTTCATACATGGAGGGTGATCAAGTACAGAAAACTGATCTTTCTAAGAGAGGAAAGAATTGCCCTTTTGTTACTTAAATAAGATGAAATGTGGATAGGGGCGTTTCACTAATACACTTAAAGCACAAAGCTTATACTTGATCCCATAATGACATTGTAACTAACCAAATTGCATCCATCCACTCAGGAACACAATCATAGAGCTATGTAGAGCTATATACAGCATTGCCGTCCAAATGAAAGCAGCAGCACAAGATTAGTGAGAAAGGTACATACTTGGTTGAAGAAAGGGGCAGACTCCATGTTTTGGGCTCGCAATGTATCTGTATTGATAGCTTGGTAGTTAGTTCTGGACCTCAGCAACTTTGGCCTCTGCATTGCAACAAATAGCAGCAGTCTTCCTTAAGAACAAAGCAGCTTCTTCCAAGTAAAAGGATCAACTAATCCTTTCTTAATTCTACACAAAGCAAACACCAAAAAGCCAATTTTTACCTGAGTTTGCAGGATTGACTGTGAAGTAGTGTACAAAAGTTCCCATTTCCCGTTCAACAGCTCCGATTTCAATGGATCCTTAGTGGGATTGGCCGATTCCAGCTTCCGGGCAATCTACTCAAAACGAATTTTTACATGCATCATATAACACAAGTTTCAAAATTTCACCACTCTTCAGATTGTGATTCACGAAAACACCCACCTGATCGACGAATTTCTGGTCATCGAGAGTAGCCTCGGCGCCGCGATCGAGGGGAGCAATAGCTTGGAGAAGCTCCTCCTTGAGAGCATTGAGGTCCTTTCCAGGAGATTTGAAGAATGCGGGAAGGAAAGAGACATTGGTTCTCCACTTACTGTTGTTGTTGTTATCTCGGCCGGTCTGGATCAGGGCAGTGGCGAAGGAGCTCGTCAAGTTTTTGGAGAGGGGAAAGATGGCGCCAGCGGCAGGGTGGAGCTTAAGGGGATGTGGTGGGTCGCCGTGAAATATGGCGGCAGAAACCGTGGTGGTCGAAGAAGATAAAGCCATGGCCATATCGAAGCTCTGAGGTGGTGGTGGAGGTGAAGGAGGGGTTTAATGGCATACTGGCAGTCTGTGTGTGTGGTTGCTATGGATTCTTGTCCCGCTTAGTGCTCATTGTTAACTTGAGAGACGTGGCAGCTTGTTACATTTTGCAAGTAAAATCACCAGCGCAGCCCAATTGCGGTAATATGAGATTGTGAAATTGTAAAAGAGGTTGTATGGAAAAAAAAATCAGTTGTAAGTATGGTCCATGAAACCGTACTGTACCGACGGTTCAACCACAAAATACCAGTATCGGAGGCTAAATCGGTAGGCGGTATTTAACGGTCTAACGGTTCAACTTCGGTAAAACCACGGTTTTATCATAAAATATCATACCGCTGACTTTTTCGGTACGATACCCGATACAGTTTCATGGACCATGGTTGTAAGTTGTAACATATTTTATGATGGAATTATAATTTAGTTTGACGACATTTAACGATTTAACTGTAATTCTACTGTTTCACTCTACCAATATCAGTACTGATATTTTACAGGTCCCTTTTGTCGCATTAGCAGAACTTCACATGTTGATCTTTATTATAATTCTTAAATCCAATTAGCGATGATGACAGAGGCGGCAGCAACTACTGGTTGCGAAATAACGTTGAATTTCGCGTCCCGGTGGCGGCGGCGGCGGCGAAAGGGGAACCAACGAGTATCGCCACCGGCCACCCCATTAGGTTCTTCGATCTCTCTACAGGGCAAACTGGTGCTGATGTGAAAAAAGCTTCGATCTTGATAAGAAGGGAAGGGGGTGCAGTGGCGCGAGTACGATGCTCTCCAAGTTCAGCGTTTCTTGGTACAGCAGTGGTTCGATTGCAAGTCCAGGAGGGACAGGACCCAGTTCGTTGTTTTTGTATCGAGGTGGTTTCCCGAAGTCTAGAAGGCACAGGTTGAGGTTTAAGCTTGTGGGTCAGTCTTCTGGGGACAACAAATGGAAGCTCAAGGAAATTGATACCAGTGAGATTCCGCTTCCGCTTGTTTTTTGGACTTCTTTTTCCCTTCCATTTGACTATCATCTTAGTTCGTTATACTAGAAATTCGTTGTTGTGAAGTGATCAATTAGGCGTTGCTGAATAGTTAGGAACGTAGCGAGGCAAAAAGATGGAGGTAGGAGAATTAGGCAGTGGTCGTGAAGCTTGCGCACGCACTTGTTTGATTTTAGCAGTGAATTTCCAATTGGAGGCGCAATTTTTTTGGTTAAACAGATGCTAGCAGCTGTCATGGATGGAGCTGTCTGCTATGGCATGCATATGTTCCTTTCTTTTATTCCATAAAAGTCGGACCTTTCTTGTGAATTATCCCAGTATGATCTTGTGCATCCATGAATGACTTCATGGTGGTGTTTTTTTGTACTTTTTAACTCTTGACAGAGGCAGTGCAGGAACAGTTGAGCTCATGGTTTTCGAAGACCCAGAATTTCATAGCGGAGGTGGCTTCGCCGCTGGTGAAGTCTGGTTCCAGTGGGAAAATCACTTCTCGAAAAGCTAATGATACTTTAGAGCTGGAGGAAGTATTTCTGGTTGAGCCAACTATTCAAAGAAACACACGGAAGGGAGTTCTTTCACTAGCTGCTTTGGTATCTATTGAGCAATTTAGCAGGTAGAGTCCATATTGTTTTTAATTCCTAACTGAGATAATTACCGTCCTTTGTGAATCATGTGCTACAATGAAACAATTCGCAAAAAGAAGAAAAAAACAGTTGCAGGTTCCTCCCGAACCTCATGATGAACTAGTTCTGATCAATGACAAGCAATCCCCACAAGAGAATTTCGGCTAGCATTGTTTTTCTGAAGTACATAAACAAGGATATGTTTTCGTTTGTTTGATAATGTTGCAAATGATAATTCGGATAATTGGAATTCCTTACAGGTTTTTGGCATATCTTCTGTAGGTGATATTTTATGGTTTCATGTTAGACTGATCAAGGATTTATGGTATGCAGGATGAATGGGTCGACCGGATATAAAATGCAGAAGATTTTTAAAGCACTTGTGGCGGAGCCTGTTTATAGTGATGCACGTAACTTGGTGGAGTATTGCTGCTTTAGGTTCTTGTCAAGGGATAGCTCTGCCTTCCATCCATGCCTCAAGGTTTGTGCATTAACTGCCTCCCACTTCTACTGGTATATGAGGTGTGTCCAACTCCTACATCTGTTTTTCACCAACTTGGTAAAGTTTCTGTGTTCTGGAATCATGGCTGCATATTTTTTTGTTGGTTGAACAATCGTAAAACATATATTTCAATAGATATGACCGGAAAAAAAAAACATATATCCATACAGGACGATACAATGGCACTCTTAGTTTTGGTCTGCTATAGTTTCTGCGAATTTCTGCTTTCCCCCTATTTCTTGGGACTGTAATTGTTATACCATGTTTACCTGAACTGAAATTGGCTTCCCTTGCATATATTATGTTGCAATTCTTTTCCCCTTTCCTTTTTCAAGGGATGCCTGCTCTGGGATCAAAGTCCTTTATCCTTCTTAACTTCCTGTATTTTTGGGAACTTTTGTTTGCTTTTTACAGGAAGCAGCATTTCAGAGGCTAATCTTCATCACTATGCTTGCCTGGGAAAATCCTTATTGCAAAGAAAATTATTCGCCGGAAGCTTCTTTAAAGGTTCAGGGTTTGCATTCCCCATTTTTAGTGTACATTTTTCTCGCTGATTATTTATGAGAAGATAATCTTGAAATGGAAAGAAGAAGGGGGAAAAAAAAACATTCCCCAAAAGCAGAACTAGTAGGCTCATATATATATGGATAATATGTTCTATGGTGATTGTTGTCCACAAGGTTCGAACCAAAGGTATGGTATATTTTATCAACTCAAATTATCCCAAGGGTATAAATATAAGTCATCTAATTAACTGAATGGAGCGTCCATCATCCTATAAAATGCTTGATGTAGTAATCAGAAACTCAGAACTGATTTTTGTTTTCTCTCACTTTCTTTGCAATGACGGCATGTGTTGCTCTTGGAAGTCTGTCTTCGTAGAGGGGGTTTGTAGCTTTTGGCTTCAATGTAGTCTTTTTGGTTATATTCTTTCATTAAGATACACTCATGCTGTTCTCCACAAATGGGGCGATGGGAAATTTACAATTAAGGGAAACTTAGTGTTGTGTTTGCTACTAGGTTTAGCATCTCCGGAGTTTCATTTTCTTTTTCAAGTGCTAACTAGATTTGTTTACTTCTGCTGTTCTGTTACTGAAGGGAAAGCTTGTACGGGAAGATGCATTTATACGTATTGCTCCAGCTGTTCCTGGTGTAGCTGATCACTCCACGGCGCATAACCTTTTCAAAGCCCTAGCTGGTGATGAAAGAGGCATCTCCGTTGAAGTCTGGTTAACTTATATTGATGAACTTCTCAAGTAAGTCCATATTCTCTCGGTCGTCTTTGTTCTCCTGATCTTGTACTTTATGTTGATTCTTCGACAATAGTCAGCAAGTAAACTTTATATCGTATGCACTTTGTCTCTTATATTTACTATTTCTGTTGAAATATTGTAGAGTGCATGACGCACGAATGTCATACCAGACTCGTGAGTATTCACCAGTTTGGAACGAAAGAGTCCTGTGCATTGGCTCTAGCAAGAAGCAGCCTGTTCTGAAATGGGAAAATAATATGGCATGGCCAGGAAAAGTAACTTTAACAGACAAAGCACTATATTTTGAGGTACTTTACTTTTGAACTGAGCTAGTGGTTGCTAACAGGTTCCATATTCTCATTTCATTGAATTTATAACGACAACTTTCAAATGGTGCTCGCGGTACTGGTGGTTAAGGTTTGCTCATGAAATTTGTGCGTGTCTTGCAGGTTGTTGACCTACTCGGTAAAAAAAGCTCTACAAGGCTTGACCTTACAAGAAATGGATTTCAAGTTCAAAAGACAAAAGTTGGACCTTTAGGTGCTTTCGATTCTGCAGTCTCTGTTGGATCAAGTTCTGGGTGAGTGAGGTTCTCTTGGCCTATTAGTTTTGTTTCCAGTCAAATGTTTGCATTAGTTGGATATATGGCTGGACTCTCCCTAGTTTGTTGCCTTATGTCTAATGGGTTCATAATTTTTACTTATTCTTACTATTGGTTTTCATTACCCTTAGTTTTTTTCTTATTTTTCCTTCGTGGGTCAGATCAGAAAGATTGGTGTTGGAGTTTGTTGACTTGGGTGGCGAGTTGAGACGAGATGCTTGGCATGCATTCATCTCTGAAGTTGTTTCCCTGCATAAGTTCATATCCGAGTTTGGACCTGAGTATGGTGATCCGTTACTATCACAAGTATATGGTGCCCGAAAAGGGAAAGAAAGGGCTATCAACAGTGCGAGCAACAGCATAGCCAGACTTCAGGCTCTTCAGTTCATGAGGAAATTGGTGGATGATCCTCTCAGACTTGGTCAGTTCTCATACTTGCGCAGTGCGCCCTTTGGAGAGATAGTGTGCCAAAGTCTGGCTCTTAACTATTGGGGTGGGCCCTTAGTTAAAACCTATACAGATGATGATGACTATCAACCAACTCCAGGGACAGTGCCACCCACTGATGGTGTATCAAAACTCAGTAGTCATTTGCTTGACGTAGATGGGAGCATTTACCTAAGGCAGTGGATGATGAGATCACCATCTTGGTCTTCCAGTGCTTCCATTAACTTCTGGAAACGCTCGTCCAAAGGGCTAGGTGTAGTTCTAAGTAAAGATCTTGTTGTTGCCGATCGGAACCTAGTAGAGAGGGCAGCTTCAACTTGTAGAGAAAAATTCAAAGTGGCAGAAAAAACGCAAGAGACGATAGATGCTGCAATGCTTAAAGGGATTCCAAGTAACATAGACCTTTTCAAGGTTTGCTCATATTGTTTCATGTCTTCTATTTCTCATCGACTGGCAAAGTATCTAATCGTATTGGTTAGAACTTATCTGGTATTTTGAATTCATGCAGGAACTGATACTTCCTCTATCTATGACTGCAAAGAATTTTCAAAAGCTGAGGCGATGGGAAGAGCCACACCTGACAGTATCATTTCTTGCATTTGCTTATTCCATAATTTTCAGGTATCATGTTCATCGTGTTCTTGCTTTTATATGTTTTATGAAGAATGCTAATAAAGTGCCCCATCAATACCAGACGTCCAGACCTTTGCTGACTAGTTTTTCTATTCAACCAAAAGCTTATAGTTCCTGTTCTTCTTTCCAATGGCAACCAATCTAAAGCTTCTCAATATTGGCTTCTTCTTTGCAGAAATTTGCTGTCGTATGTATTTCCGATGATGTTGATCGCTTTGGCAGCTGGGATGCTAACACTGAAGGGGCTAAAGAGGCAGGGCCGCTTGGGAAGGTCATTTGGAAAAATCGTTATCCGTGACCAACCCCCTTCCAATACCGTTGAAAAGATCATAGCTGTGAAAGATGCCATGCGAGATGTGGAAAAATACCTCCAGAATCTTAATGTAGTGCTTCTCAAAATACGAAATATCTTTCTTTCAGGTCAACCACAGGTATGCTCCCATCAGTAACCAACACTTAGCTGCTTCGCCACGTATTACTTCCTCAAGTAGAGAGCTTAAGGGCCACATGCACTGTGCTGTCTTTGTGGTTTATCTTTTGTTTCTGTGCTTGCAGAATATAGTGAGACATCAGATTGCTTTATTAAAGGTTTTGTTTCTTTCAGGTGACTATGGAGGTCGCATTGGTGCTATTATCGTCAGCTACCGTCCTTCTCATCGTTCCATTCAAGTACATTCTTGCATTTTTTCTCTTTGATACCTTCACTCGGGAGCTTGAGTTCCGTAAAGAAATGGTGAGAAAGTTCACAACCCTATTGAAGGAGCGTTGGGAGACGGTGCCAGCTGCACCTGTAGTCGTGGTGCCATTCGAAAGTAAGGAGTCTAGATCAGCAAATGAAGGAAAGAAGCCTGATAGATAGTCAATCATTCCGAAAGGAGAGATGAAAAAACAAAAAACAAAAGTGTACAGTGGCTGCTGAGAGTTGCAGGTGTGCAGGTATCTGCATGCATAGTTTTGTAAGAGTACAGAAAATTCTGGTTGTAGTTCTCTACCATATTTGTGCAGTATACAAGGTTCAGTAGATCTCTGCCATATCTCAGTGCTCTTATAGGTGCTACATAAAATATCTCAATATCCAGGCCACCATCGGAAGCCACCATGCAAAAGGTAGAACTTGAAACTGATCATTCGAGGAGGAACTGATGCTGTTATTATTACTGCAAACCACCTTGTTGTCATGGTAGGAGCACAGTGTTTGATTCCTGCAAGCATATAGTAAATAATTAATCATCTTGTAGTAATAGGTAGTTACTTCTAATTGCCTGAATGAGATTGTCATAGGAAGTTTCGAAATTCGACCTCGATGAACAAAAGGTGATCAAGTAATCAGATGCAGAGCATGTCATCACTGTGGTACGATCATCGAGTGCATAGCTCGATGCTGCAGGGCATACTTGTTTGAACGCCTCCGAGTAATTGTTCGCCACGCACACCATTGGATCTGAGTACTTCCCACGGCAGCAATACTCATCGCTGTCGAACACCTGACAGGCACTCTGGCACGCAACCACCCTGTCGTGGTCAGATTCGACCCCAAGTTCCTGAGGGCAACTCTGCCTCAGGTCACCATCACATCCAGCAATGCTGCAGTTTCCTTTGCCGTTCAATGGAGACACCACCAGAGGCAAGTTGAACCCTTCTACGAGACTGACATCGTAGAAATCGAGGTCGTGGTCATCCCCAAGGGTGAATTCTGCGATGGTGTTGGGAGGTGAACTTGGGGTGGTGCAGTTGAGGGATGTGCCACAGCTGCCTGTTTGGCAAGTCCCAGTAGTGGTGCCATTCGTGGCGTTGAAGGTGCAGCCGGTTCGACCCCATATTCTGCCGCTCCAGCCAGGTGGGGCAGGGTAGGAGGCGGTTTGGCCGGGCTGCAAGGGGAACCCAATGTCGCCAGCAGAGTCGTTGTGGTCGGCTTTGGTTAAGATTCCTGGCCAGATTGTCTCGTTGCAGTTGTTGTATAGTGTGAATGTTCTGCTACTCGTGGTCGAGTTTTGTGCTGCGGTGTGAGCAATGTGATCAGTGCTAAGTATGCAGAAGAAAGTTGCTTAAGTATATCAAAAGATGTGGAGTTTAGTGAGCATATGTTTGCTACCTGAAGCAATGCAGAAGGTTAAGAGAATGCAGGCAATATGGTTGCAGAAACGATTTCGATAAGCCATGCTTGTTGCTCAAGTCTGTAATGTGGTTGGTTGGAGTATTAGAACAGACCAACTTTATATATGTTAGCAGGGGAATGGAGTTGGGACAGAAAGAATGGCTTCCATACTTACAATGCTTGCTTGTCTATATCCCCTTTTCCATTGATACCTTGCTCTGCCTCCAGCCTTGTTATTCTCTCAATCTTCTGGCAAATCTGAACCCCAAAATGTTTGTTTGTATGTAGTTCAGTTCGTAGTCGTTGTTTAAATCGGTTCTATCTAAATTCGGATTGCATAGAGATTTCAAGTCATGAAAATTTACGAGAGAATCTACTTTTTTAAAGATAAAACTAATAACCTCGAACCATATATTCCATGATCTTTTGGTATCATCGTATTGCAAAAGAGATTAGCTGCCCAACAGTCGACACCAAAAGTAAGACACTGACCCCTTCTTCAAGCAATCCATTCACAAACATTATCATGCAACTACCTAGGAGATATTTGTAGTACAAACTTGGAAAGTGCTCTTAATCACCTCTTTCTTTGCCTTTCGTTTCGTGTGGAGCAAGTTACAATTGTACATGGACTCGAAATTGTCAACGAATTGAGAGTCGAGAAGGTTGTTCTGTAAACAGGTTCCCAAACAAACAATCGAGCATCTTACTAATACTACTACATACAACTACCACGTGTTGAAGTTGAGATCCCTCCACTTTTTAACATCATCTTACCATATCAATTCAACACGTATTTATAAAGATGTCAGGCCGCCTATTTTAATAACTTTACATATTGAGAAATATTTTTTTTTTGGTACACTCTCCTTTTCAAATTAGTAATTATATTTTGATCAACTTAATTGATGCTCACATCTTTATCAACATAAAATTAAACTTCAAAAAATATTGATAAATAAAGACTTAAGCACAAAATCATATCATAATCCTATTTATTCCCCTCAAATTTTGTATTGCTCATCAACCTTTCAATTATGGAAACCGCTATTTCCCTAATCGGAAAATTGCTTACCCAACAATAATACACAATTAATTAAGAAAGAAAAAAAAATCCAAAAAATCATTGGCTCTTATCCAATACTTTATCGCCACCGCCGCCTCCGGAACCAATCTTCTCCGCCGCGGCCTTCCTCTTCTTGGCGGCAGCGTAGCTCTTCCCGTGGAAATCAACGAAAAGCGCCAGAAGCGAAGCATTGAAAACGGCATTGAAGCACCAACCCCACATCCCGGAGCACCCGCCGCCGGCGAAATGGTAGTACAGCATCAGCCCGGAGATGCAGAAGCTGAATACGAACTGCACGATCTGGAAATCCGTCACCAGCCTCTTCCACCGGGGCCGGGACCCCAAGGCGGTGCAGAAGTAGTACCAGTACATGACCACGTGCACCGTCGCGTTGGTCACGAGCGCCACCGGGAACAGCGACTGGGAAGTGCTGAGCCACAGGTAGCACATGACGACGACGGTGGCGTGGTGGTACACGTGGAGGAACGTGAGCCGTTGGTTCGACTTGCTGAGGATGATGAGGAGCGTGTCCCCGAATTCTAGGTATTTGGAGAGGTAGAAGATTTGGGCCCAGAAGAAGAGCGGGCCGGACGGAGCGGTGTTTGGAGGGAAGCAGACGGCGCGGCGGAGGCGCGGGGGAGGGGAATTGGGAGAGAAGATGGAGAGGAGGGTTCCGGCGGACATTACGGCGGAGAGGAGGAAGAGGACGAGGCTGTGGGCGGCGGTTAGGGGTTTGAGGAGCGGAGGAGGGAGGGAAGGGAGGGGGAGGCGGCGGAGGAGGAGGGTGAGGAAGAGGTAGGAGAGGACGGCGGTGGCGACGAATTGGGGAGTGGAGGCGAGGGTTTCATCGGGAGACCAAGTAAAATTGTGGATCTGGGGGTGGTCGACGAGCCAGTAACTGAGAGTGGGGAGGATCTGAGACAGCGGTTGCGGAGCCATTGGGTTTGCCGAATGATTCGCCGGCGAGCGGCGACGGCGGCTGGAGAGGATGGGGGATTGGAATTTCTTCTGACTTTACCAGACGAAGGATAAGTGGGATGGGGAGTGAAGAAGACCGTTGATTCTTTCTTTTATGCAACTGGTGGTTGGCAGACGGTACGTCGTCGTCTTATACCGGTGGGCCCAGACCCAATGGGCCTTTCAAAGTAAACAACGGCCCAAATTCTATTTCAGAATAAGAAATGTTGAACAAAACCAGAAAAACAATGCCAACATCCCTACACCAAATTCTATTACTTACTTCCCCAATTCAGAATCCTACACTCATGACTCGCTCCATGGCAGCTTCAAGTTGCGGCTAACAGGAGGCAAAAATTGGATTTGAAGATGATCAACAGCTTTACTATCACTTATGCTGAACCAGCAGGAACCTTTTTCCGGACTACTCTCTTCCTGCGGGGCTTAGCTGCAGACTCGGTGCCACCAGACTCTGCATTTCCTTGTTTGATGCCGAGGAGGCCAAGCCCTGAAACCAAGGCGTTCTTTGAGATGAACCACTTTGAGGATGACGATGCTGCATCGAGGTCCTCTGGCGTTGTCGGCCTGTTGTACGCCTTCAGAAGGTTCTCTGACTGAGCAAGAGGGTCTACCTCCACTCCTAGCCAGGCTAGCCTTGACACTTCCCCTGCTTGGTCATTCATTATTCTGCATGGCAACAGAGACGTGCTGAGTATTGGGACGACAACAAACTAAGCAGAATGTTCGAGGAATCGCTTATATATGGAGACAGATCAAACCTTAGAGCTGTGCCCAGAAACAAGGCCACTCCAATGACATCAAAGTGGTTGACAACCGCTCTATCAAATCCGCATAATAGCTGGTATCTCACATTTCCATAAAGCCCAAGGAAAGCACCATAACCCAGAGCATAGGTACTCACAGGTGGGACTGTTACCGACACCCTGGGGAAAGTAGAAGGTACTTGTTGTCAAAATTAACACACAAGTATATAAAGTTACCAACACAACCCTGTGCATAGATTTTCAGTTATTTCCTTTGGGATAGAGGCTAATCCTGACAAAGCAACATCATTGCAGTCTTTGTTTGCTTACCTGTCCTTTTTCTTAGAGGCTAGAACATTTGACAATGAACCTTGAACTGCCCCCGCTGCTAAACCCACCAAGGATAATTCTGCAGCCTTGAAGAAGAATGAGTGGATTCTCTTCTGCAAGTCGAATTCTCTGAGTGGGTAGCTCTTCTCAAATATGTTGTTTGGAAGCTTCTGTAGTGTGTTCTGTAGATCGAACTGGAATGTGTTTCCATATGAACGACAAGGAGCAAGCGACCAGACCATGAAGGCATTGCATGCTGTCACCGTCAATACATTTACAAGGGCCAGGTCCCACTCTTGTTTTATCCTATAATGAACACCAGCAGCAGCAAAATTTGAGTATCCATTCAGCAAAAATCTCCAAGTCGGACTTACTTCCAGATTGGCAGAACAAAATGCCAAAAAAAAATATACCTATCTCCACGATTCTTAAACTCCCACCACACAGAGCAACCAAGTGTTGCAAACTGCTCTAAGAGAAGCTTGTAAATGAAGGCAGGATCTGCAAGCATCCTGTGAACCACAAAAGAACACATCCAAATGTTAGATACTTGATTGATTATACATGTACCATCTCGGGAACAGATCCCATGAATTCCAAGATCGGCTCAGCAGATGTGGAATACAATCTACATAGATTTTTTTCGGGTATCAAGTTAAACACACAAGCTACAGCTTATTTGGGTTAACCATGAGTGCAAGTTCAAGTATTCTACCAATTGTTGACCACCAAACCTATATAAACAATATTCATTCAAGATTTTCCAAATCATTAACTGTGCGCTCATTCAAGGACTCAATGGATTCATAGACAGACAGACCCACAAGGAGAAGTGGAAGTAAAGCACATGAAGTAATGACTAACTTTGTTTGAATTGACAGAAGATAGACGAAACCAAGAAACAACTCAACCTGTCCCTCATGGCCAGGATTAGCAAGTATATCAGATGTGAGAAGGAAATGCATTTCAAAACATGACCTTCTATCTTTAGTTATAGTATGAAATAACTCTGACAAATCGACTCATCAGTGTGAGCAACTTCAACAAAGGAAACATGGCATATTAGTGTCATATGTTTTACACTTACAGAAAACGGATACTATATGTTATTGTGCAGAAATGATTGCATACATTTGGTCAATCAATAAAACAAAAATGATAGGGCATGAAGACTCAGCAATAAAATACCTTCCAATAAACGCCCTTGAAATTGCTTGAGGAAGCGATCTTGAAATGAATCTTGTGGTGGTTGGTCTGGCATTTATTGCAAGGAATTTTACCATTTGAGCTGAGCTCACCAAGCCCTGCAAATTTTACAAGTTAATAATCAGCATATAGTTTTACGTTGGGCCAGACAATAAAATGAATCATAAACTAAAGGTCATAAAAGAATAAAAGAAGAAAGTATTAACCATTTCATAAGCTTGTCGGAACCCAGCAGGCAAATCCATCATGGTTTTCTGCCATTCATTCAACACAGCATCTACAAACTTTTTATCAAAAAGCTGCAAGAAACCATTATAGATATCAGTGTCGGCATCAGTTATCATTAGTCTAAATATCATAAGTCCCAGGAGGTAACTTATGGCATTCCGACCTCTTCAAAGATTTTCCTCCTTCTGAAGAGCCCACCTTCATCACCCTCATCGCCATCATCAAAGTCATCGAAGTAGTCATCATCATCACCATCATCATCGCCTCCGTCTCCACCACCGTGATTGATTTTTTTCCCAATATCCCCACCACCTCCACCAAGCGCAACCTGCAATTTTCTAGAGAATTAGGCCCTACCTCAAATACTCAATTTTGACTAATCAGGTAAACTGCAACATCCAACTAGATTTTTAAGATTACTCTCCACTCTCAAAGCTGAGGATTTGACCAACTTAATCTTCCTCTTCACTGTTAAAGCAAGTGCCACCAGGACACATATTCAAAAAATAATTGGCATGATTTCAGTTGACATGAAAAAATGAAGGGCATTGCCAAGTGCTTCTATAAAGCTCTGGTTCAAACTGTTAAGGATGCTATGTGCATAAACCTGAGCCTCTCACACAGGCAACAGCCTAACGTCTAGCCGTCTACTGAATTCCAACTATGTTTCTAACCCTTTCTCAATTCTATTCAAAGTTGCCTAGATGACAGGAAACCACGGTACAAAAGATGGCCAATTCCTTTTTTCCATTTCACACTGAATTCAAAGAAATACTTGAAGACGAGAACTCCAAAGTTTCATGGGAGAAGAATTGTCAAGAAAGAACGTGATCCAAAAGGAAATGTCATCATCCACATCAATATCAATCCATGAGTTACGATACTTAGACCAACTACCCACCTACCAGTTCTCAATACCAATTTTGAGTCAAAACAATTCACCAAGTCAATTACCATAGAACTTCCCAAGATAAGGTTCATCACCCTGAACTTTCCAGCTCACACGATTACATATATTTCCAATTCAATTGCGAAACCACAGTTATAGAAATGAGAAGAAACGCCAAACCTCAGGAGTAGACTGCGATTGCTTCTGGGTTAGATCAAGCTTCCCCTTCTCCAGAGTAACAGCACCAAGAGAACCAAAACCCTTCCCCTTCATAACCGGGCCGAACTCAACTCCCGAGCTCGAACCCAAACCCTTCTCCACTGCCGCAGGCGGGGCCACAAAGCACCGCTCCAGCAGCGCCACATCGCCCCCACCGTCAATTATCGAAGAAGAATTAGAACAGGAGCACGAAATGGATAGACTCGGCACCCGTCTTCCACCGATGACCCGCGGCTGCAGTCTGAAGAACAGCCGAGGATGCGGCAGGGACTTGGCGGCCGATGAATGGTTTGGCGCGGTGGTCGGAATTTGCGCCGCCGGGATTTTCAACACCAAGTTGGACATTGTTTTCTCGACGGAGACCACGAAGAAAAAGGGAAAGCTTCTAGCTGTTTCCCTCCTGCTGGGAAGTGTGTTTGGATGCCGAGAAAATTGAGCGCGAATGGGTGTAGCTACTTGGGGTTCTTCATACCGATTGAAGAAGGGATTGGCGAAGCTGGGCTTTCCCTCTCTAGAATTGGGGAGTTCTTCTAGTGAGAGAAAGAGGGGAAAGAGGATTAGACGAAGGAGAGATTGGTTGGGGGGTTTTCTTGACGCCGTGGAGGAGGAGTGCGGATAGCGGCCGCCTGCTAACCGACAAGACAACCAGTGGGTGAGCGGGCGGACCGAGTTTGAATCGACTCGGCTCTATATGGGCCCTTTTGATATTGGGCCATTGGATTTGGATCAATTAAAGAAGACTAGTACTTTGGCCTGCCTCGGTAGTCTTCTCTTCGGGCTGTCGGATGGAGTACAGGGCCGGGGACATGGGCTTCTAATAATAAGTTGGCCTTTTTAACAGCCCATTGTGAACGAGGACGGGCCGGGGCCACCGCCGGCACCTTTCTCGGCGATCGTAGCCTGCCGACGGTGTAATGACGGCGAAAGACAGTGATTAGTTATAAATTACCCTATCTATATTTAGAAAACAATTGAGCTGTTCTTCTCGTTTGACTAATGCCTGGCGAAGAACAGTGATTAATTATAAATTAGTAGCTTAGCAAATGCCAACCAGGCAGCAGTTTTGGTCCATAAACAACCGGTGCAACATCGTATTTAATGATGATGGCTGCTGAAATTTCAACAACTCGATTCCCGCCGGCGGCTGCTGCGGAAGATGTATGCATAATGCATAAACATTAAAGAGTGATGGTATATATAACATCAATTAGTTGCACATGTATTTGTCAAAAGAGTAAAAACTAAAAGAGAGTGACAACATCGATTGGAAAGATGAGTAATTATATACGTCTAATTATTGCCATGATATTTTATTCAAATATTTGTTGTTTGGTCCTCAATGGAAAAGTAAGTTGAGATTAACAATGTGGCTCTCTAAAAGATTTGGAAACTCGATCCTATACCTCGCCAAAAGACGGGGGAAAAAAGGCAGACGTTAACCCTCAAATATCTCGTGAACCTACACAACCAGTACCTCTGCAATGTCTTAACGTACAACAGGCTCAACACGAACCGCGGAAAGACACAGGAGTTTAAACTTCCTAGCCAGTACAATATATATATATATATGTAAATGTGGTTAATTATAGAAAGGCACTAATTGTAACTTATTAAGAAATAAATAATAGAATTATCTTTGGTAATTACTACTATTCTTTAGTCAACATCCAAAGTAATGACACCAGAGACTTTTAAGTGGAAGATTTAGACAAATAGCACAAGTGTAGTGGCCGCATCATTAGCCTCTGATTTTGACGGGATAGCTGATTGATTTTTACAGGGTGCGGCCCCATGCATGCAATATTGCAAAGCCAATAATTTCCCGTACGCGACAAACTATGGTGAGGTGCAATTTGCAGTCGTTTTTGTTTTTTCATTTACTAATGTTAGCTACTTCATTAGTTGGATAGAGCAAGTCTCGTTATACTTGAGAGATACAGATTACAGAAATTGGGAAGGTATATGCAGTACATTTTACAGATGACCTAACCTATTCAATCCGAAAGAGAAAAGGTTACTGATGACCAAGACCCAACGCATAGACAAACGACAAACGTGTATAAGCTCAGACAAACAAGCGAGCCCCCATATAACTTCCCGTCTACGACAAATAATATGTCTTCATGTTCATCTGGTTTCGTACACAAAAGATCACCTCTGTATCATGAAAAAACTTTGATACCATGTCAATAAGCAGTCGCGCGATCTCAATACTTTCTAATTATTGGGAGGGATTCAATTATGCATCTTTTACTAATACGCACATGAATTGCTAACAAGTAGCAACTACTAGTTGTTTTGAATCTTCTTTCCTAGCTAGCTAGCTAGCTAGCTAGCCTCCACATTATTTTCAAACAGTTTCCCCCTCTTCACCATCCCCGTACGGTTTTTTTGTCAAATAAACACATTCTGGAAAATGAAAGGGGATTGTCTTATTGAGAAGTATCTGTGGCTGTGCGCGCGCATTCCACGGACGACGATACAGTACTCCTGCAGTCAGCCAGAATGAGAGGAATATTATTCTCTAAGCCGATAAACGAAGACCGGAGATCATAATTAACCATACAATATTAAACCTCTCTCCCGACAAGTTGAATTATTGGGACAAATTGATTTTTGACACGCGGTATCAGAGTTTTCTGTGATCGAAAAGTAGGAATGACAATGGGGCGCGTCCGGGACGTAGATATCTCAAATACACATACCCGCATCAAAACATATTAGGTAAAGTATCACGAGACGCGCATATTGTACGTAGTACGTAGCTAGAGGTATATGGATGGATATATAATTTAAAATGAGAATATTAGAAATGTCATTTTTTCGTTTAAAAAAAAAAACAGAAAACAAATTATAATATGGTAAATGTAATTAAATTATTCGACAATTTGAAGTTCCCACCTATTTACAACTTTCACTATAGTTAAAAATATGAGGTTATACAAACTATGAAAGCAAAATCTCGGAGTAATTTAAGAAAATCGCATATTGTATTTAGACAATAATCGATCGAGATAGAATGAGATGAGTTAGGGGGCATGACAGGTTGAGGATCGACCAGTCATGTCCGCCCTCCCGCTCCAAAACAGATCAAAGAGGTCGTGTAAAAACAAGTCGTGTTAAAAATTGTCATTCCTATCGCGCGCGAGTGATACGTTCGAAATTCCCCATGGTCCTAATAGTATGCTCATGGCTGTTTGATGTATGTACAAACTTCAAGAGCCTACATGCAGTGATTTTGGTTTAATGAGTCTATCTTAACATTTGTAATACAAAATTTTTATTATTAAACATGTCACGAGAACTCGAATTATTATGGAGATGGTGGTAATTAAGAATCGGTTAATCAATTTGATTGGCCAAAAACTTCCCCCTGTGTCATTTCAGAAACAGAATCACCTTAACAGAATAAAGTTACCTGCATGCATGCATGTTCAGAGATCCTATAATTGTACTACTGGCACCGCTAATCAAGTAACTAACCACAAGTCAGATATATTACAGAGAACAGTCAACGAAAAGAATTCCATTTTGTCTTCCAATAATTAGTTAAATCATTAAACCCCACGAAATTTTCCTCGCTAAGCTGTACATAGCCGACATGTTTTACTAATCCTCTGCAACACTTTTCTTCTAATAACAACAAAACCGCATCATCAATCTACGTATCTCAATTCTCATGCAAAAAGCTTCACCACCTTCCTATAAATAGCCCGCTTCACTTCCACCATAGTAACCCACCCACTAAGCCATTGAGTCATAAACAGCAAAAGAGATCAGATGGCGAGTAGTAGTAACAGAATGAGCGTGCTCCTTTTTCTGGCTATGGCGGCGGTGATGACGACGACGGTGCATGGGCAGGGAACTCGGGTCGGGTTCTACTCGACCACCTGCCCGAGCGTCGAGACCACGGTCCGGTCCGCGGTTCAGTCCCGGTTCGGCTCCGACCCCACAGTCCTGGCCGGGCTGCTCAGGATGCACTTCCACGACTGCTTCGTCCAGGGCTGCGACGGCTCCGTCCTCATCTCCGGCGCCGGCACCGAGAGGACGGCCATCCCCAACCTGTCCCTCAACGGGTTCACCGTCATCGACGACGCCAAGGCGCAGCTCGAGGCGGCTTGCCCCGGCGTCGTCTCCTGCGCTGACATCCTCGCGCTCGCTGCTCGAGACGCCGTCGTTTTGGTATACTTTTTCCCCTTAATCTGGTTTTTTAAGATGCTATTAATTAACTAATTGCGTTAAGTTAATGACGGGGATGGGTTGATTGCGATTCAGGCGAATGGGCCGACTTGGGCTGTGCCGACGGGACGGAGGGACGGGATAGTCTCGCGGGCGCAAGATGCGTTGGATAACTTGCCGGGACCTTCCGACTCCGTTGAATCCCAGATCCAGAAGTTCACCGACCGGAATCTCAACGTTCAGGATCTTGTTACTCTCACCGGTAATTACTTACGATCAATCTCACTAAACCACAAATGCCAAAAAAATGATTACCATAAACATAATTAATGACCACACCAACCTCGATCCAACGCGGTCAAAGCGGGTAAAAACATAGTGATACGATGGGTTTGAGTTATGTGCGAGTTTTTATCCTCTTTTGAAAATGGCGGGGTTGACAAACCTCAAACCCATTCTTCACCCGATCTGCACTCGAAACGCAAAAACGATGGCATTGTGTATCTAACATGAACAATTTGTACGGTTTATATATGTTATTAGTTTCTAGGTGAGTATAAACATAATAATATGGATATTTATAGATGTTATTATTCTTTATAGAGATATATTTATAGATAAAATTTTGATAATATTATGATATAGTTATTCGGAGAAGTAACGTACATAGTTATATCCGTGAAACCATGGATACCCATACGCTTGTGGTCGTGAGTACGTACCAGTTGGATTTGCTCTTACAAAACCTGTCGTGGGTATTTTGCAAGATTTTTTAACGGATGCACACACAGGGGTTGAAGAAACTCGACCCTACCCTTTTGTTATCTCTAGGTCTGATTGAACAAACTTCCTACCAGTCCCTAAATCGATAGACCGTTTTTTGACGATACAAAACGATTTAACCACTATTTCATTACACAATATCTTATCGCTAATTTTTCCGGTACGCGTTCTTACAATTTTTGGTGCTTGTGCTGTGCATATATATGCTTGTGCAGGAGGACACACCCTAGGAACAGCATCGTGCGCGACCTTCAACGACCGGCTGTTCAACTACCAGGGCACCGGCGGCCCGGACCCGTCGATCGCCGCCGACTTCCTGCCCACCCTCCGGTCGGCCTGCCCGCAGAACAACAACGGCGCGGCGCGCGTGGCGATGGACACGGGAAGCCAGAACGAGTTCGACACGTCCTACTACACCAACATCAGGAACGGGCGGGGAGTCCTGGAGTCGGACCAGCGGCTGTGGACCGACAACCGGACCGGGCCCTTCGTGGGCCGCTTCTTGGGCCTCGGTGGGGGCCCGAATCTGAACTTCAACACCGAGTTCGGCCAGGCCATGGTCAGGATGGGCAATGTTGGCGTCAGGACGGGGACGGACGGCGAGATCCGCCGTGTCTGCTCCGCCGTCAATTAGTTGCCTAAAAGAAACGGAGGGGAAAACGTTTCTGGGTGTTTTTGTACTGTTTTTTCCGTTATGGGAGTAAGGTTGTAAGCGTGTAATAGTTTGTCTCGTATGCAAGGAATCGAGGCAAACGGCGTCGTAATAATGAATCCATTTCGGATGTTTCACTTTTCTCTTGGTTAAGCATATGAAATTCTCTAGGAAAAATCTTGGAAACCTATAACCTACCACAATAAGCAAAAGTCAAGTGATATTCCCGTTTTATTCCTAAAAAGCGACAATTAGAACGACTAGTAATCATAATTTTAAATATGCAATCACTTCAATATTACATTAATTTATAGAAATGATTGTCTGAAGTGATTGCATATCTATTCGTACGATAATAACAATACAAACTGGCAATTTTACAATCTGACGTAGTTTGATTGACCTACTTTCCCAAACATAACAATTGTATGACAATAACAAGTACAAACTGAGTACTTTAGAATCTTATGTATTTTGATTTGCTTGTTTTCTTTTTTATAAGGGCAAATACCATACTTGAAATTTGTGAAAAAAATATCAATTTTCATACGAATTTCTTAAAATGGCAACAAAACATGCTAGTCGTTATATTACTAGTTTGTGTCGGGTAAGAGAAAGTAATGTTGATGATAATGTGTAGTTCTTTATTAATAGATATATTTAATGAATGTTTAGAAGGTTAAGACGTTAAGTACAAACTTAAATGTAGACTATAGAGTTGGAGGAGGTGGTTCAGATTTTCAGGGATAATCCGGGTTTTACTTACGATTTGTAGGTCGGGGTGACAATAGGGTAGCTCATATTGTAGCTAGAAAGGCTCTTTCTTTGTTCCCGACTACGTGTCGTTATTTTGATTTTCAGACCTGATTGGCTTCCAGGATGTAACTATCGATTTGTTTCTATTAATATATGATTATCTTTTGTAAAAAAAGGTAAGAGAAGTTGAAAATTGATTATCCCTTTTTTTTATTGACTGAAAGTGAGGACTGAAGTGCAGATTGCAAAGTAGACTCAAATTCCACCTGTGCCTCACACCCAATCGATTTAGCTGCTCAGCTGGTGAGTCCTAGTACCCTCAAATTCCGCTGGTGCCTGCTAGAAACTAGAAAAGGGGGAAGACGAAACTGATAGGGAAATGATGGGATCGTCGTTCTCATCTTCTGCGGCCGGAATCCAGCCTTGGTGGGTTCAATACGATGTTCAGAAGGCCGGAGTCTCCGCCGCAGCTATCAGCCTCAGAACAACAGCCGGTTCTCTTCGCATTGACTACCTTCTCCGCTCCTTCTTCAAGGTATTACCCATTCACCTACCCGCACATCTTTCACCGGAAGGATGTTGAATTAGTAAATGGGTAGTCATCGAAACGATTAGAATTTGGAAGATCCCGGCAAATTGCTATGCTTTTGTACTGCGGAAACATTTATTGGCATGCCAAGGATGCATTGTTGAGAAGGACAGTGGGTTTCCTGTTCTGTTTAGTGTCGAACATTGCTCGTCTTCGGGATAGTTAAAGTTTGCATCTTTGGTTATATACATTGTGTGGGATTCCAGTCATCCGACTCTGAGAGTCCTTGACAAGGGTGAGAAGTTATTGGGATTTGAAGGGTGTGTCGGATTAGTTGATGGATCATGCCATGAACTTGCATCTGCGGAAGCTATCGGTTAAAATGCTTTTCGTTTATCAATTTGTCATCCTCTTTTGGGGATCCCATTGAAAACTATGTGTTCATTTGATATTAGAATTGATCAGCTAATAGCCCGGTTACCTGATATGCAATACTTACATCATGATCCAAAGTGATTAATCTTTTTTTTTATCACCAATCCAGTTGCTTTGCTCAATTACCTTCCTAGAAGTAGTTCATGATTATGATATGCAGTCATGAATGTCTAGGCTTGGCTGCATTTTTACGGTTGAGCATACACATGTTGATAACTTTGTTTTCTAATTATTAACGATGCCCTGATTGTAATGAAATATCCTAACTGATTTGTCCTGCTGAACAGAAATTTCTTCATCTCAATCACATACCTAGAGCGAAGGATTTATGGTGTGAGAAAGCATCCCAAATTCAGGACTTCAATTTACTCAAAACCTCAAACGATTTATTCACTTCCACCAGTGCATATTACCTTTGTCTTCTCCATGGGACTGAAGAAGAAAAGAATTCTGGAACTAAAAAACAAACGCATTCGGAGACATCTGGAAGAAAACCATCTGGTGGAAGACTGTGCACAAACGTTCTTCTTGCTGTTAATGTTCTGTGAGTATTGGATCATTAAGATACTACTAATGCAGAGAAGTACAGTAGTTCATTTCATCAACTGGTTTTCTCTGCGTTTGTTCACACTTTCTAATGATAGCTAATACTCGAGATTCAAACTAATGAAGCAGTGCCATTGCAGAGTTTTTGCAGCTCAAATTGCAACAGACGGAAAGCTACTGTTTATGGGAGCTAAGGTTAGACAATTTGGGCTATGGATCAAGGAACATCCTTTTGCTCGACATTGAAATTTGTTTTCATTAACTCTTTATGGATTCTATGTACAGGTCAACAGCCTCATTGACAGAGGGGAAATATGGAGATTGGTGACCTCTTCATTTTTGCATTCTGGCTTTTTGCATCTCATGGTCAATTCTTGGTCCTTTGAATCTCTAATTTCCTTTTTCGTCATGGCTGGTTCAGTAAGGCTGAAATGTGCTCTGCATTCTTTCCAGGTTAACTGTTATTCTTTGAATTCAGTTGGCCCTACCATTGAGAGTCTTATTGGACCAAAGAGATTTCTAGCAGTCTATTTCACCTCTGCAATTGCAAGTAAGAGCTCATAAGCTCACCACTTCATCCATAATCATTGTTTTGCTGATAATCATTCTGAGTCACTTATTTCAAGGAAATCAGGTTCGGCAACAAGTTATTGGCTGTGCAAAGGCCCCTCAGTTGGTGCCTCCGGAGCAGTCTTCGGATTAGTAGGTCTTCTTAGACTCGAGAGATGAAACTCTACTGATTTCTTTGTGGGTTGGGAAAATTTTCTGAAGATATAGACAAATATCATAATAAGATCAGAATGAAGGAAGAAAGAAACCCAAGAGAAAACTGATAGCTTCACATGTGATTTTCCTTCAAATTTGCTGGATGGAAAATATTACCTACATATTTTGTTGTTAACCATTCCAAAGTTCATTTTCCTTAGTTGATTCCTTACTCTGTTGTTTGATTTAGGTTGGGTCCCTAGCTGTGTATGTCATGCGACATAAACCCATGATACAAGGTGGCAAACAGGAACTACAGTACATAGCACAAATGATAATCCTAAATATGGTTCGTGTTATTAGGCTTTTGTCTTTCATATCTTCAGTTACCTGTAATTTCTTGGACCCTTTGCTTTGAATTCAGTATGATGCCCTGTGCTGCAAGCATCTGATCAGAGCAGTGTTTTTGGATGTGATCTCACGAGTTGTAACCCGCCCACAACATTTTAGTGTTGGAGCATATTCAAAGCAACCATAATAGTCATTTTCCCCCCTTCTTTTTTACTACGGTAATAATGTGAAACTTTTATGCAGGTTATTGGTCTACTTAACCCGCAAATTGACAACTGGGGCCACGTAAGTACACTGTAACTCTCTTATGCACAGATCCTTTTCCATTGAAAGATTATGTATGAGTTCACCATACATGAGATAGGTAATTACTGTGACAAGCTTTTTCCTGTCCCTTCCCATTCAATTGAAAGCCATCTTAACAAATTGCTCAAGGACAAAGATTAAGAACACTCTAATATCCCCATTACATAAAGCTTAGCTGCTTGCAGGAATATGTTAGCATATTCCCATTGAGCTCCAGAATTTAGGAGAGGGGGATCTTTGTGAAGAAATGCTGCTCCTTTGCACTAGCTGGCACCATTAAATATTGGAATTTGGGTTCATTTTCAAACGTTTCTATCTGTTGATTATGGTGTGTTTTGGCATGAATAACTTTGCAGTTAGGAGGGTTGCTTGGTGGGATCGCTACATCATGGGTGGTTGGACCTGCCTGGACATTGGACTATCTGTCCAAAGATGGCCGCAGAGTTTTCATCGACAGGGCACCCCTCAAATCTCTCACCACAAGAAAGGGAAACGGGGTCCCCTAGGCTGCTGATCTTGCTAAATTCCAAACTACATGGATCCCACTCTCATAGTTCTTTGTACCTGTATTGCTGTTTCTTTTTGTTTTGGATCGTCGACATATACAGATTGATAGACCAAACAACGATACATCCATAGGGATTGTTTGAGCCCCCATTTGTATGTTGTGTTGTATCCGATTAGGCGATTACGATCAATTCCAACCCGCTGTATTCTGCAACTGTTGTTATCAGCTGTAAAACAATGGTTGGATTCTTCCATGTTTACTGCATTTCCAAGTGGGGCGATATGTGTTATTAACATGGTTGCATCAGTTTCAGAGTCGCGTTTCGTTCTTTGCCATTGCATTGGCGCATTTATGTTACAAAATTATCATTACATCCAATCGAACAGCAGAAACCCGAGGAGAACCAACAGCACAAGCTGCTCGCCTCACATTTGGATAGCAGCCAGATTTTGCCAGGATAACAAGTCGTGAAAACACAAGTTGAAGCCATTGCAAGTATAAAGGTGATGAAATGAGTTAAAACCACCACCAGGTATTCAATCATCGCAAACGAAAATAAAAATACTCTGCATTACAGTGATTATCTGGCTTTTTATCTTGTGTTTTGCCTTTTCACTCGGGACTGCATATGCTCAAAGGAAAGAACCAGTCCTCACAGACATTTTTACACTTGCAACGACACATTAGTAGCAACTTGTTGGTTCTTATCTTTAAACTCTGCAAACCCAGATGTTCTGCTTCTCCAGATTCATAATAATACTCTTTTCCTTCACAGAAGTTCTGATTTCTTTCCAGTTGGGAAAGAAAGCTTAACTATGGGTGGCACACATTGCTGTCTGTGTTCCCTTTGGAACAATAGACTTCTCCAGTAGTAGCAGCATCCACAAAACCTACAAAGTGAAGATGAGAGGCCTGCCACCTTTTGGCTTTGACCTGCCATTATCTCCCCCTATTTCATAGAATTTACACTTGCTTTTTTTACCGGTTGGTTGGTTGGTTGTCGGTAACCTGACAAAGAACGAAACTCTGCAACTTTTTTTCGCACAAATTCCTACCATCCTCGCCCCCAAAACAAAACTGGGTACTGTGATATCTTCAGCAATCATCTCCCCATGCATTACGATGATGAGCAGGCTGAACAACTATCCATGTTGCCAACAAAGAAGATGAGAGATCAGAAGGCACCATAATCCCAGCAGCCACATCTCCGCAGCTGACCAGTGTTGTCCTGCAAAAGCTGCAGCAAGCAGGAATGGAAGTGTGTTATTCTAAAAGCTGAAATACCAGGTAGTCTATGCTTAGAAAAAGTGACTTGAAAGGTTAGTAAACAAATAGAATTCCTCAGTCTAACTTTTTAAAACAACAATTCACTTAAACCTCACAAATTACTAAGATCTAATAGTAAGTCGTAATAAAACTTACATGATCCGGAATGAACAGATGGAGAAGGAGCCAGGGACGGAGACTCTGAGTCTTCTGAGGGTGTTGAACCATATGAAACTGCAGGTAAAGGAGAGAGGTCGGGGGACAACTGTGGTGGGGGTGCATCTGGATGGAAGAAATTTTGCTCATTGGAAGGCGATGGAGATCTCCTAGGTGGAATAACTTTACGACCATGATATGGACAAGGGTCAGGAGGATGAGCAGGAGAATTTACAGGAGGGAAAAAATGGGAAGGTGTTCTTTTCCTTTTGGGGGCTTTTCTTGTATGTTTATGCGGAGAGGGAGCTGGAGAAACAGCTGGAGGGTTTATTGGATAAGGGGAAGCTGATGGTTCAGAAACGTCATCACTGGGCTCGGGAGAGGGAGCAGGTGCAGGAGATGGAGTGTTTGGATTTAGTGTCCGATTTAAGTAGGATGACAGAATAACACCCTTCACCTTACCAAAGACAGAGTTATGCAGGCCGAGATTATTCTTGCTATCGGAATCTGCAATGGCTTGAGCCAACTGTTTTAACCTTTGTGGCAAAAGTGTTCCGAACTCTGATGAGACTGAGGCCTCCAATGTAACTGGGGGATGTATTGTGGAACCAGCTGAGTTTGTTATTTGCAAGAATAGATTCTGCAAATTCAAATGTAGAGAATCAAAGACCTGATATGAGCATTTCCTTATTTAGCAGATAGCATAGCATATTATACTTGGTTACCCTATTTCCGATCTTTGCACATGCAGGCTGCAGCAACAAATTAGCAATGACAGAACAACATAGCTTGAAGTTATCTAACCAAATCATACCTCGTATGCCCTGAGACGCAATCCTGACCTCAGCTGGTCCCTCAGTTCACCGAAATTGTGGAGGATCTCAGATATTGAATTGTTGAGGGTAAAATTTAAAAGGGGCTGTCGGGGTGTCCAAATTGAGCCATATTGGAGAGGAATTACAGTGACCCCTCCAGGAAACTTGAGAATTTCAAAATCATAAGGTTGCCCAAAAACAGAGGTAGTTACGGAGAGATTCATCTGCTTCAGGAAGAGGTCGACCAAAGAGGACCGCAGCACACTTAGGTGTGCTGGATTCAAAGGAGTATTCATATGATCAGAAAGTATACCAAAAACCCCATCCGTCCAGTTGGAAGTGCCATTTTGGTGCATTGACAGCATAGCCACCTGCAAATTATACACAGCCTTTTAAGTTGATTTTATTAGCTTAATATTAAATGAATTGAAGGTGAATACAAAAGCATTGAAAAAGACCTTCATATCATCAATACTTATTTCATTGAAGATGTCGTCTTCTAATGAATTAATGTGTGGAACAACCTCTGAAACTGGCTTTGGAATTTTGAAGCATGCCTGTACAGTGGCTGAAATAAAAAATAAAAAACAACAAGGGAATTAATACAGGTGTAAATTTCTTTTGAAGAACAAAGTAAGAAACCTACGAATTTGGGCCTAGATTATTTTCTTTCATTGACACAATCTCAATGTACCAGCCATATACTTTGCATTTTAAGCAAAACTGAAACACAGGCATAAAAATAGAAACACAAAAACTTTCATCGTATTTAAAACACACAGCAGAACTGCTAGATAAAGAACAAACATGCAAGACGATCTGCAGACATACAGCATGAATTACTTTATGTACAGAAGATCAATGCCCTAGATACAAGGTAATCAGATATGCAGTCAAACTTTTCATGTGATACATGGAAGTGTAAAAGTACACCTACATTTCATCACTTTAAGAAAACAACAGTCACCAAACGAAGTGTTATATAGTTGATAAAAAGTTCACAAACTTCATCAAAATATCTAGCCACTCACGAGAACAACCCCCTTCATTTTTCTCCTAATGAAATACTAACGAAAAGGCTATAAAACAATTAACACAAAGGCTGGTAGAACATTAGAAACCATAAGGAACTCGGCTAACAGGAACCCGAATGCAACCAAGAGCAGGAAAGGCTTGGCAGAGAGCCATCAAAACAGTTGGACAGGCAACAGGCGCCTTGGCTAGCAAAATATGCAAGACAGGCTTACCCAGATATCAAATAGGATTCGTGGTATGTTTTTTAGCCATACATGGTAATTGGCAAATGAACTGAATGAGAGCTATACGGAACTTTTCACAGCCAAAAGCGTGAAACACTTGGGTAACAATGCCAGTCATATTTAGCACAAATTACTCCAAAGAGTCAACAGAAACTTCATTCCAAATGAACTGAACTAGAGGGTACACTTTAGTGCTAATATGAACTGTATCTAGCACAAATACCTCCAACAATAAACTGTAAGCAATGTCTAAAATGAAGCCATAGAAGTCTAATGTCTGCGTTATTAGAGCAGTAACCAGCTGAATAACATTTTCTTCACTCAAGACAACAGATAGACTACTCACTGAAAATCAATAATACTAAAATCCATCACCCACGAAAGCCACAACCAGGGCAAGATGTTAAGAACAAAGAGTAGCCTGATGCCCTTTGATCTAGGAGGTTCCAAATGATCAAATCCACATCTGCCCCAAAGCATCAGCCGAACCCTAATAGCATAACAGTGACAGCTACGGCGGCTAAAATCCACAAACCAAAAAAATAGACGCCGAAACCCTAATTACAGTACCAAGCACAACTACAGGATGATGAGAAGTTCGAGGAGCTCACCACTGAGCTTAATTGCCTCCTTGGCATCAAAACCATTCGAATTGTGTGAGCCGAAAGGGAAGATCCAGAAGATCCCGGAGAGTACAAGTGCCAGAGAAAGGATCACAGCGAAGACACATCTAAAACTGAAGCCGATTCTGGTTATCGAGCAGCAAGAGCTCCTCCCGCCGTGAGTACCCCCATTGCCGCTCTCCAACTGCTGCAGATTCTGCTGGTGCGCGTCTTTATTACCCATTGAAACAGCATAGCATCTGGGATGAAGCCCCGGAGAATTATAAAAGAAGCAATCGAATTCTCACGCCCACTACCCACCTCCTTATTTGCTTTCCCCTTGTACGATTCCCTCCGCTCGTGGGACTGTAAATTTCGAAGACCCAACAACAGTGATGACAATAAATGACGATGAGCCGGACGAAGGAGGAGGAGAAGAAGAGGCGGAAGGAAGGAATGGTGGGGGGAAAGAGAGGAGATGGGTCATGCTCATGTGAGAGGAGATGAGAGACAAGTGTTAATGGTGGTGGGCATTTGTCTCTATACTCTCTCCCTTTCTTCTCTCTTGCATAACACAAACAATAGATTACTACTATTACAAACAAAAAAAAAGAAAGAAAGAAAAAAGCTTTCACGAGCTTCTCTCCCCTCTTCTTCCCCACCACTTTCCCTCTCTTACTGGAAAATTCCCATAATTTTCTTTTCACTCTCACCAATCACTCCGCAAGTGCGAGAAAGAAAGCCAAAAAAGAAGGGGGGAAAAAGGGAAAGTTTCGTTTTTTTCTTTGTGGGTTAATCTTTTTGCCCAAGTTTCGACTTCCTTTCTTCTCCACTCCTTCAGTTCACCACCTTCACCTTCACCTTCACCTTCACCTTCACTGTTAGTTTATTTTTCTCAGTTTCTAACTTCTTATCCGAGAATGACCAATCCAGGCCGTCGATTTCCCGGTGATATCTTCTGGACAGTTGGATCAAAGAGTGGTGGGCTCCACCTGAAGCGGAAAAGGCGGAGGGAATTTTTCCTTTATTTATTTCTTTTATATCTCCCTTTTTTATATTAAGTTCGGTTCTGAAAAATGTCTGTTATTATTTATTTTATTTGTTGTATTTATCTGATTGGAGGAAGGACGTAGTGAGTAGGAATGGGATCGGTGTTTTTAGGCTACCGAACGTTGAGGAGAAGCAAAGGCAAAAGAAAACCCTATCCTACTCATTAACCGTCTTTTAACTATAAAAAAGTGCAACCCTAGTAGCTCGAGTGAGTTGATATGTTTACGAGGAGGTGTAGGCAGGGAAACGGTACAATCTGGTTCAGATCGAATTATATACTGCGGTTTAAAATTCATATTGAGAGGGTGGAGTACATATTAGAGATCATATCATATATTGCGGTCTGGTCTGGTATGATTTGGTCTAGATAGACCATATTAAAAGGAAAATGAACAATTTGTTTAGTCAACCACACAAAAAAATTGAACCACCAATAACCAAGAAAAACTATTTGTTTCCTTAAAACATAATTTCCAGCACGTATGAATAATTTTGAGTTTTGACACCCTAAAATCTAGATCTTAGTAAGTGACAAAGATACAAAGTCAAAAACATCACAGCTTGCACCATAGTGTCATAAAGATTAACATAATGTCACTTGGAGACACGATCGTCTCTATCCTCTCGTGAAATGTGGTTGTGAAGGAAGGAGGGACGAAATTCTTAAAATTAGGGATGAGACTTGGGCCTCGTTGATGGAGTTGAGAGAGTGGCCCAGTGGAATGCTAATACGTATTGGAAAGTCGGCTGAGTTCATAGTTTAGTTCGGTAAACCGCGGTCTAGACCAGACCAAACCAATATATCAAAATATCAATAATATAGACCATGGACCATACCATACCATTCTTAACAGTCTACGGTATGAATATGCGGGCCGATTTTTGGCCCATGGTCTTTCAAACAACCAGGTATATTTTCCCATCCCTAAGTAGTTGGACGTTCACTTAAAAAAAAACTTGTTAATCAACGAGTTAGACATGAGTTAAGTCTTGTTCAGCTTGCGAATTAGCTTGACTCGGTGACTTGTTGAGGTTACTAGTGAGCAGACTCGTTTTTACTCATGAAATAGCTCGACATTGTGGTTGGCAAGCCAACTCAACTATTGATCTATGAGCGAATCAATCTATATCTTAGAGTTTGCTTGTTGATAATTCATAGGTTTGTTAAAATATATATATCATCCTATGTGACATTTAAGACTTTGAGTACGTGAGCAAATATGAGATATGTCTCATTTATAATTTAAAAAATGAATTATGCATAATTGTTTAGATATTAATTACTACGAAATAACATTATATGGTATAGTTAAGATTTATAAACTAAATAATAATATGATACTAACATAGTATATAAATATTGGATTAATTAATAGTGAATTTTTACTACTATTTTTGTTCATCATGACATAGTCATGTGTATCATGCATGACATACAAATATAACAATTGTATGCTAATCAAAGATGGATTAGGCGATGAATAAGATAAGACACCTATCTAGAAACTACGTTCTGTAGGCAGCGTGAATAGACCAAATGCAAGGGCGTTTCCAGCTGTTGTTCCCCTCCCAATGGCCGGTTCTTACGCATTACTCACCTATACGCCGCATTGGTAACACTACTTCTCGATCGACTTGCACAAGTCCACACTTACGTACCACTGCTTATTGAGTTCGACCAATCCTTTGGGATTTCAACATAACTCTACTAAAATAATGGTATCTCTCTAAGGTTTCTCGGTGTGGAAGAGTTGGGACTCGGTATGGAAAGGTGGACCGATTCTTTAGGCCTTCTCGCCTGCTTTAAAGATGAACCGACCAGCATCACCACTCGTGCTTCTCCTCTTTCGAAGAACTATCACTCTGAAGAACAATGGAGAAGTAGGAAGATTTCAGCGGCGATTCAAATTCAATAGTAGGTAAAACTAGCCTAAACCCCTTGTTGAAAGATCCAAATTGAGAGCAAGGAGTCAAATAAATGACCAAAGCATCGGGATATGACACCAAGGTAAAATACTACCCACATAATTAGATAATGTCCCTTAAATTTGATAAAAGAAAAGCGCATTAGCGATTAATACGATGTAATTGGAAAAGTAAGGGTATTTAATTACCTTACAAATTATTTAAGAGTTTAGTTTAAGGGTTCAACTATTTATTATAAATGGGTTGCGCTCGAACCGAACCTGTGAACTTATTGATGGACAAAACTCGAGTAAAGATTGTAGACTCATTAATGAGTTGAGCTAGAAACAAACAAGAAATTACTCTCGAACTCGACTCTCACTTATTAACAACCAAACTCTAATCAAACAGAACTCGGCTCGCGATTCATTTGTGATCATAGCCTCACATAAAGATGAACATGTAACTACCCAAAAGCCCAAGAGCGATGTTGATGGTCAAGAAGCATCACTTCTACCACACTTCCCAACTGTAACCAATTCCTGGAATATATAGAATAACTCAAACATGTATGACCAAAGCTGTGTAACAATCTTTGAATGCCTGCAAATGACAATCACACACAAGAATGACCATTTCACTTACTCCCTAACCATATCAAGATCAATGTAACAATCCCTTAAACTTAATCTTTACATATAAATACATAATAATCTGGCACTTGATAAAAGCAATAAAACCCAAATCTATGGCGAAAACCACCTTATTGTTCTTCTTCGCAAACCTCATTTTCCCTCTCTTCATAATCGCCTCACTAAACGTCTCCCCAATTTTCTGCTACAGAGCCTGGCGGAGGCCGCCATTCCCTTATCGCCGCCCACTCCCGTCGCCGCCGCCGCCGCCACCGCAGCCGCTGCCCCACAAGATCTCCACGGTCCTCATCTTTGGCGACTCCACGGTGGACACGGGCAACAACAACCACCTCTCCACGGTCTTCAAGGCCAACTTCCCGCCGTACGGGCAAGACTTCCCGGGCCACGTGGCCACGGGCAGGTTCTCGAACGGGAAGCTGGTCCCGGACTTCCTGGCCTCGATGCTCGGGATCAAGGACACCGTCCCGCCGTACCTCGACCCGGGCCTCAGACCCCGGGACCTGCTGACCGGGGTCAGCTTCGCGTCGGCCGGGTCGGGCTACGACGAGCGGATCAGTACCGGGTTCACGAACGTGATCCCGGTACTAAAGCAGGTCGACCTGTTCAGGAGGTACATCGAGCGGGTGGAAGGGCTCGTCGAGGAGGCGCGGGCGCTCGAGATCGTGAACGCGGCGCTCGTGCTCGTCACCGCGGGAACCAACGACATGACGTTTAATTTCTACGACGTACCGTCGACGACGAATAGGAGGGCCGAGTTCAATCTCAGCGGGTACCATCATTTCCTCCAGAACAACCTAGGGATCTTCGTTAAGGTACGTTATGATCACGGTTTCATAGTTACGAAAGAAAGTGTGAATTGAAAACAGATTATCTGCTATCAACTAAAAGTCACGGGCCCACAATGCATGGACTTACTCACATTTTCGAATCGGATTGAGATAGGTTCGGACCAAAACCAAAGGAAAAAACGAGGATCGAAACCAAAACAAAAGCATGTTTGGTTTGATTTGGTCCCGTCCAAATTCAAATTTGTACATTTTTTTCTTCATACTTAAAATAATTCATAGAATGAAAACTTAATCAAAATATATTTGATTCGATCCAATTCGATTCAGATATCAATTGGGTAATGATTCAGTCTAGTATGAACTGGATGGTTGCCCACCCCTATTGGAATGTAACCTCTTTTTCTTTCCATGCTAGATTATGAGGTTTAGACTTTAGCCCGATACGTCATATTAGTAAACCACGTAAATTTTTTAATGTTTTTTCATTATGGATTCTCCAATCCGTTCTAACAAGTAACAAGTTTGAAGTTTGAGTTTAAATGTGTCCTCAGGAACTGTACACTCTAGGAGCCCGGAGAATGCTAATAACAGGGCTCCCTCCGATCGGCTGCCTGCCGATCCAGAAAGCAACCAGGCATTCCCAATCCTGCGTAAAACAACAGAACAAAGACGCTCTTTCCTACAACAAGAAGCTCAAGAAACTGCTCCCCATCCTGCAATCGGAGCTCCCCCGCAGCAGGTTGATCTTCGGGGACATTTACAAGCCGTTCCTCGAGATGATCCGATTCCCCAAGAAATATGGTAAAGCTTAATCAACCCCCATGGATGTCTGATGTTATCCTTTCTCTCGATCATGATGCGAGAAAACACCGCAAATGGTATCGATTGCAGGATTTTCAGAGGTGAGCAAAGGATGCTGTGGAACAGGGAGGTCGATGGAGAGATCGATGCTGTGCAATCGGAAGACGCCCAAGTGCCACAATGCTTCTCAGTATGTGTTTTGGGATAGCATCCATCCTTCGCAGGCGACTTACGAGCTTGCTTCGAAAAGGATTCTGCTGCGTCTCCTTCCTGAATTGACATGAAAAAAACAGGGGATTCTTGCTCTGTTTCTTTTCCATGGAAATTGTCACAGAATTTGTCGGGTGCAGTTTCAGTAATAATTTGATTATTATTATTATTATGAAGGCCATAAAATTTAAGCCCAAGTTCTGCTTCGCGGCCCATTTAGTTGTACTGTAAGAAGCCCATCCAGTTATTTATGATTTTTATTAATTAATTATAAAATAACGGAATCTGAGAGGCGGGCGCCCGGACCCGGACCCGGACCCGTGAGAATTGCGCGGGTCGGGGTTTTGAGTTCAGTGTTCTATTTTATACCGTTAAATATTTTTGTTTTGGGCGGAAAACAATAAAAAAAAAAAGACAGAGAATCACCAGACACAGATTTCAAAAAGTTTCAAATTTTGAAAACTTCACCCAGCCGCTCGCAGCTCCCAAAAGAACAATCCGCGCTTCTTCCTTCTCTCTTTTTTTTTTTTTATATCTTCCTGGGATTCGCCATTTCTACCGAGCCGCCCAACTCCTGGACACTGTACACAGACCTCACTACTCAGCTACCATTTATTTCTCCTCTCATTCCAAGTTCTCTCTCTACTCCAGACCGGCGTCTTCTTCTCGGTCACCACCAAGAAAAAAACTGCCTGCTTCCTTGTTTCGCAATTCGTACGTATCCTCATTCCCTTTCTTTCTACTGAAGTGGTTTCTGTCCTTGTTTTGCTGCCAATACTAGTGTTCGTGCGTCTGATTGTGGCTGTGGTCGTTGGGGGGGGGGGGGGGGTGGGTGGGAAAAAAATCTGCAGAAGGAATCGTTTTTTTGTTGTTGTTGTGTGTGGGTAAGTTGAATTTGCGAGTTCGAGTGAGGTTGAAGCTTTTGTGAAAAATTGATTGTCCCCGCGATTTTGATTTGTATGTGGAGTTAATAGCATTGAATTTCCAAGTGGGTTTCGTCTGGGTCTCTTGATTTTCCTTTTTCTATGTGTAGTTGGACGTTTTCCTACAGAACCTTGTGTGACACTCAACCCGATTTGATTTCCCCATTTCAATCAGTTGGGTTTCCCTGGTTAAGTAGAAGAAAGTACATGGTGGGTTCTCTTTGGAAGTGAATTTGCGCAATTTGATATTCTCCCTTGAGAATTACTCTTGTGTATGTGAAAGATACAGTAGGAATGGACTCCTGTTATTGTTGGGAAAAGATACTTGTAGTCTTGAAGAAGTGAATGGTCATGGACCGATAAAGAAATTAGGAAGCTTTAGATTTGTAACATGGTTTTGAAAGTCCGGTGCTGAAAAGACTCTTTTGCTAACCTCATTCCCATTTTGTTTGAAATCGATTGATTGACTTTGTTGTCTTCTCGGAATGTTCTTGGGTAAAATCTGACTCTGCTTGCTACCTGTTTGTTTAATTTCTCCAGAGAATGGAATCTCTACCTGATGCCATTGTCCAATCCATCTTCTCATACATGAACAATGCTAAGGATGTAGCAATTTGCAATTCGGTATCAAAGAGCTGGAAGGACTCATTGTGTTACATCAGAAGCCTCTATTTCCCTCGAAGCTCTTTCGATAACTACAATGGTGTTGACCATCCTGATACTATCGTTTGGAGAATGGTGGCTGCTGTTGTTCATCTGGAAGAGCTTGTTGTATACAGCCCATTTACCAGCGAAGGCCTGGCCTCTTGGCTGTTGCGTGCTGGGTCATCACTCAGGCAGCTTGAGCTTAGAATGGATAACATTGCTGAGTACCAACAAGGTTGCAGTGAGGCCCTGACTTCCAAGGTGGATTGCCTTGGTTATGCCAGGAACCTTGAGTCCCTCAAGCTTTGGGGTGTCCTCATGATGAATGCCCCCAAGTGGGATGTCTTTCCAAAGCTTCAGAACCTTGAAGTGGTTGGAGCTAGGTTGGAGGATTCTGCATTGTCCTCTGCACTCCAGGCATGCCCTAATTTGAAAACATTGGTCCTCCTTGGCTGTGAAGGCAGCAGGAACGTGTCTATTGACTTGCCCCATTTGCAGCAGTGCAAGCTTGACTTTTATGGCGTGGGGAACTGCTCAATCACCTTGAATTCGCCCAAAGTTGAGGTGCTTGAGATACAAGGCTGTAGTTGGATTAGGGTTCGTGAGACCAAATGCTTGAAGAATCTTACCATCTCCAACAGTGCAGGTACAATCTCATTATATTATGTGAGTGTTAACCTTCCACTACTACTATAATTTTTTCCCCTGGTTCAGGCGTCATTTTAATCTTAACTCATTTTTGTGATTGCATTAGGGAGAGTATACATGGTTGACTTTGGCAAACTCACGGCGCTTGAGTCCTTAGCTATGAGAGGGATCCAGTGGTGTTGGGATGCCGTCAGAAAAATGCTTGAATGTGCAAGCGAGGTGAAACAGTTGTTCATGAAGGTTGAGTTCACTGGGGACTTTGATTCCCTTGATCCTTTCCCGGAGGTTGATCTTGTCGATTTCTTCAATAGCCACCCAAAGCTGCAAAAGTTTGATATCCATGGAGCCATGTTTGCATCTCTTTGTCACAAGAATAGTCTGAGAAATGTATGCAACCTTTCTTCAACACATCTCATATCAAATGATTTTTTTTTGACAATGAAGGTAGCTTTTTCTTTCTTTGTTTTGCAGCTCAACTCTAGATTTGTAATTCCTTCACTGGAGGAAGTGGTGGTGACAGTGAGGTCCCCATTGAAAGCTGAACAAAAGATCAATACTCTGGAGTCGCTGTTGAAGTACGGGAAGAACATGAAGACAATGGCGATTAGGATCCTTCAGATGAAGAGCAGCCATAGTTGTGCAGATGATTTCTTTGATGATATTTGCAGGTTTCAACGACTAAATCGCAAGATAGTTAGAATAGAATGATTCATTCCCATTTGTTTAGTCTGATTAAAATCGTTCATTGAGAGGGGGTGTCTTCATCATTTCTACCCTTTTATCTTACTTTTAGATTCACCAGATTAGAACAGTTTTTCCCTACTGAGGGTTGATTTTCTCTTCTGTTACTGTTTCTCATTTCATCAGAGACCTGGGGGTTGGAATCACTACTACTTTGCAGTGTACTCTCTGTTGAACTATGACAAAATTCAGCTAGCTTTTCAGAGTATTCTCTGAGCAATCCAACTTGAGGAACACAAGTGGTCGATGGCTATGCCCAAATGTGGAAGAAGTCGTCGATGGCTAAAACTTACTCCTGTTATTAATAAGATTATTTAATGACTATAAAAAAATAAATCCAACTTGTGAGGTAAGGAGAAGAAAGTAAAACATGGATCGAGTTCTTTTTCATTCATTCAAATGGTCGAAAATGGCTACATAAGGCATTAGTTGAGGTTAGCTCAATCAAGCAGAAATTAAGTCTAGTTACTACTAAATTGCAAAAAAATTCGGCAAAATTTGGGTAAAGGCGAGACTTGGAAGCCTTTCAAAACTTTCATTTGCACCTTTTCCCCTAGCTCACACACCTGACTTGAAAATGAAGTTTAGATGAGCTTCTTCTTCTGGAAGAATCGCTTCAAGTGCCAAAGTTGGAGAATCGAAACACTGATGCAGACACCCAAAGACATGATACTGAACCAAGCTACTTTAGAGTTCGTTTTCTCACTCACAATCCTCATCTCTGATTCCCTGTGTTGCAAGGGGGAGAGTGGATTAGACGGGTTAAAAGACGACTTGTAATTATGAAATGACCATACAGGTTGTGGAAGTTGTTTTGTACCTGCTCTTGAGATAAAGCAAGTTCTCATGGATAGCTTCCACAGCTCCTTGGAGTTTCGCCAACTCTAGTTCAACACCCTGTATTTGGATGATAGCCAAATGTGAGGAAAGGAACAAGATATATGTGGCATAAACAGCAGGGAAGATGCTTGTCAAGTGGATGGAGGAGCTTTAAACTTAAGCATATAGTGAAGTGTTAAAACTTTTTCCAGAGCAAAAGGAAGATAAAAAGGTATCAACTTCTTCTACAGAGTTCAACTATGGAGAAAGAACAACCAGAAAACACTAATCTCCCCCTTCATTAGCAGTCCACGAGAACCTTAACATAAAGTCTTATACTGGTTACTCGATAAGACGGCCAGCAAATAGCATGTTTTTCGCGAAAACATCTTTGAAAGGCTGATGAAGCTTCCTTGTTGGGTGATGAGAAGTAAAAATTTATATTCTGATTAAAAACAATACTGAAAATGGTTTAACTTTTTACCTCAATTTTCTCCTTTTTGGCAACTGTATCCCAATCCTTTGCTGCAATTCCTGTTTTCCAGTCAAGGTTAACACTCACATCTCCCTTTCCTTGGTTATGCGCATCTGCCCAAAAACAAGCAAGGTAATTGCCAGCCTCCTGAGTGGTAAATGCAAATTGACCATGTGTAGCATTCTCCTTGTGATGGAGGTTGTTCCCATATGGAGATGACACCTGAAGAGGGGGGACAATCGCAAACTGAGGTGAGACCAGCCCAGTCAAATGAGTCTAATAGCTAAAGCGTCCACGAAACAACTACAATAAAGAGTAGCTCGCTCCATCATGTTGTACAATTCTTTTGCTGCACTACTCAAATAAAGAGGATATCTGTATCTCATACTCAGAACTGCATCAATAAACGCATAAAAGTATACATGAAAGGACTATCAGATAGATTAAAAGATCGCTGTGAGTTCATATAACCAACTCCAACCGCTTCGTGTCGAGGAAGATAGATCTTTAGAGAGGGATCAGTTCTTTTACAAGGGAAGACTGATCCCAATGAACAGTGTAAACATATCTCAGTTTCACACACATAAGGAAAGTAGCTAGTAGTACGATTATACTCAATTTACTGATCATAGATACTAAAGACTAAGGAACATGTGCACATAACAGAAAGTGATGCAGTTAAAGAGAGTGATCGCAACCAGACAATGTAAATCATGCAGTAGCCTATCGAATTCAAATCACTTGTAACATGATGAGAATACACAAATTATAGAACTGCAAATGAAGATTGCCTGTCCGTTTCAAAAGAAGAAGAATCCTTGATGCCAAAGCTTTCCATCACTGTCAAATCTCTTGCCATTTGCCCCCTCCTGACATACATCTAAACATTGTTGTTCATGCACACAGACCAGACCATCCTCCATTCCCGTCCTCCAGCAAAAAAGATACTCACTTTTCGGGTAAATTGAAGAAAAATTTCCACCCCAAAACATCATCGAGAACAAAGGAATTTCAACAAATCAGAATGCGCAGGGGGAAACAACGAAGAATCCGGTATGGTTCAATTACTGAGCAACGGATCCATGTAGGGAAGCAAAGCATAAAGAGAAACGAATCAGGTTTAGGAAGAAAAAAAAAGACAGGGAACCAAGAATCGTCAGACCTTGACGGAGATAGCGGGGGTGTGAGAATGATCATCGGAAACGACGACGTAGTCGGCGAGAACGACGACGTTGTTGTGGAGTTCCTCGGAGACGCATTTCGTCCCCGACGGCGGGAGATTCAACCATATCGCCTCCGTCACCGGCGCATTGCCCCAAAACGGCGACGTACACAGCAGCAAGAGTAAGATGGCGAAGAAAGGCGGCAATTTCATCGTAATCATCCCCTGTCCGAGCACCTTTTGGCTCTATCTGTCACACACTTCGGTCAGTTCCCTCTCTCTAATAACCGGTACTTCTGAAAATCTGATTCTAGGGTTTGAAGGCGGGGGAAATTTGGGGGAAGAGGAAGAAGGAGGGGATTTGGAATCACGGTTGGCGTTGGGATCGCTATTGTGCCTGCGCTCCTCGTGTCCAAACTTCTGCTTCAGCTTCGCTCTCTGCAATTTCTTCGAGGAAGAAGAAGAGTTTTATTTATGTCCGTGGATTTTGTGGGCTGTTTGTTGGGCTTTGATGCAGGCCCAATTTCAGGTTTGTGGGCAAAAGTGGGATATTTTCCATGGGGCCGCATAACATAAGAGGGATTGGAAGTAGTAGCAGAATAATGGCCTTTTACTTTAGAAGATGCAATCACCATGAAATTTTTTATTACTTGGTTGGAAATTGAACAATTATATTGTGTTTACCAACTATTTTTTTTTTTTTAATATAATTGGTCCGATGTGAATCACACACAATACATAATTGACGATTGTTGTTTGCGAGACTACTTCTACTCGATTTTCCTTATTCAGAGTTGAGTTGCTGTCTCTGTCTTCCTACGTCCTTCGGACACACTCTTCTTGGATTGCGGCTTTGTATTTGACGACGAAGACTTCCCTTGACCTACATCTTTTGAGATGGTGCCAAATTCGACTAGACAGCCAAAGAGAGAGAGAGAAAAAAAACTATAGTAGTTCTACATCTCGATATAATTAAGGGCAAAAGGGAGGATGGATCAGTTGATGTTAAATGTGTCAAAACGGTCGCGACCATATAAGACACGAAAGGAAGGCGCTCCAAAATAAGGGAGATCTTGCTCCACGAGCTCTCCGAGCCCTTGACATATGAACAACAAAATTTGTCCTCAACGAGATGATACGGACTTTCATACAAATATTGCATGGTTGTCGTTAACTCGTGTCGTGAGATGTTTGCTAAAGTATAATGAATGTCCTGGTAATCCATAGAAAGCATTAGGGGTGGCAGTTCGGTTATCAGTTACTGGTTAACCGGCCGGTTATCCACTAATCAGTAACCGAAGTAACCGAACTTCGGTTGGTTACCGGTGGCTAGACGAAATGCTTTTTGGTCTTAAAAGTAGGTCGGTTAACCGATAATCGAGAAATCAAAACCTATTTCGGGCGATTTTCGGTAGGGGGAGTGGTTATTTCGGTTTACCGATTACCGGCCGATTGATTATCGGTTATAATCGAAATGCCACCCCTAGAAAGCATATCTTAGTTATGCCTTTTGTGCTTGTTCATGAGAAAAGAAGAAGAAAAAAAGTTGTCTTGCACTACACAATCTCTTTGAATGAATACAAATACCTCAAACAACATTCCAATACCTCAGCAGCCTTCTCTTTGCTGCAGAATCGCCATTACAAGGAAGGAAGAACACACAACCTCTGTTCCCAAATTCGAACGATTACATTCGTTTACTTATTGGTGGGTAATGCAGGAAATTAGACAAAGCAAACGAGACCCAAAAAAATTACGCAGGATGAACCTTTTGCTTCGAAACCCCTTTCCAAGCCGACCTCATCGTCGCCGTGGCCGAGTTCACCGCCGCCTCAACATACCTCTTCGAAGCCGCCGACGCCGCCTTCTCCATCACTTTCCCCATCCTCCTCGCCTTCTCCCCGGTCCTTTCCAGCCCCTCCAGCTCCGCCTTCGCCATCCCCTCCATCTCCTCCTCGAACCTCCGGAACTCCTCCATCGCCGCCTCCATCGCCGATTCCAGCTCGTCCTCTGCAGCTTCCATCTCGCTCTCTGCAGAATCGACCTCCTGCTCGTGCTCCAGCTCCAGCGCCGCCCAGGCCTTGTAGGCCTCCAATTCGAACAGCTTCATCAGATCCGAGTCGATTCTGGAGGGGTCGAAGTGCTTGTCTCGCAGGGCTTCGTCCGCCAGCAGGGTGAATTGGGAAATGAGATTCTCCATTTTCTCTGAAATCGGCCGTTCCCTTTTCTCTCTCTGTGGAAAAAAGGTGGAGATAGTGTTGCAGCATGAACAGAGAGTATAAAGCTTCTGGTGGGCGTTGAAATCGGATTATTCGTACACATTCCTCTTTTATTTTTTTAGGATAATCTTTCTTATTCTCCTATATTCGTTTGGGCCTGGGCCGGGCCCATAATTAAACTAGGAAAGATGATGGATGTTTGGGCAGAGTTGGACAGTTGGTCCAGTAATTAATTTAAATGGAAAATATTAAAAATATTCATCCTTTTATTAAAAAATAAAGAAAAAAATTATAACGTGATAAATGTAGATAAATTACTTGAAAAATTGAGATTCTCATTTGGTTCCAACTCCTGAGGTCATAAAGGTAAAACACTAAGTAGTTTGAGTAAAATTACATGTAGGGGTCGTTTGCTTCAAGGATTTGGTACATGGATTTGGTACCAAAAAACCAACTATCAAGGATTTAGGTACAATCCTTTGTTTGCTTGCACCTTTTTTGGAGACCAAATCCATGGGGCCCACGGATTTTAATGGTCCAAGGTTGCCCTCAAATTTAACTATTATACATTATAATTAACAATAAATGAATAATATAAATGTTCAATTAATGTGCAAACATGAGTTAGATTTTTTATATCATTTCTTGTGTTCTAGTTTTCTTTGACCTTTTCATGGAACGTGTAATTTTTTGTTCTCCCGATTCCAATATATGTTGTTATATGCCACTTTTGAAAAGGAGGACAAAGAATTGGTAATTGATTATGTTACGTTAAAAGTTAAAACGAAATTTTCTCGTTTATTATTATTGTCCATGTGGCAACATTATGCTTATTAGTATGTATTGTCCTTGTTTTGTGTACATATCATAAACATGTCAAACATATAGAAAATGATAGTAAGGTAATTTTGAAGTTGTGTCCTTGTTTTGTGGACATATTATAAACATGTCAAACGTATAGAAAAGGGCAGTAATGTAATTTTTGAATTCAAGTAGTAAATCTCACACCTTTAAATCCATGATAAAAACATCCTGACAAACAAAGGATTGATACAAATCCATGATGCCTCAAATCCTTGATAAATCCTTGGGTTTTTAAATTACAAAACCCTCATTTTTAAATCCATGAAGCAAACGACCCCGTAATTTAGAGGAGAGAAAAAATGATTTAAGAATGAGTTGGATACATGGATACAGTACAAATGAGTCAGGTCGGGAAGAGTACACATGCCCGCCTTGCCCATCTACAAATTGAGCATTACCCATCACAAAGCATATCAAACAGATAATGTAAAACGAGTCAAATCGAAATTGTTTCCTTGTGCAAACGATACGATGTATACTCCCAAATTTTATGGGGGGTTTTATTAATTAATTAATTTCATTTAATAAAAGTATTTCAAAATTACACTTCCAAATACATCCCACCAAAACAGGACCCGTCAAATGAAAGAAAATAGAAATAAGCGGCCAAGATCATGTTGTCACAGTGGAAATGGTTTGCAAGGTACAACAACTATCAACATCCCCATTTCCATCACTAAGCAGTTGATAATCCTGACTGGAGTCTCCAGCTGCAATGGCTGCTGCAGTCTCGTCTCCAGGATCCTCCTCCTCCTCACTGTTATCCAAAACCCCCAAACGAATCACCAAAAAGTCGCCACATTTCTAAACCAGAATCATAATACAACTTGGCAAGAAGAGATAATGAAGGTTGTTATACCTTGTGGAGTAGACAATTAGGCCAACAGCCACCACCCCGAAAGCCACATAGTACAACCACTCAACCTGTCGCGCGGAGAGCAAAAGGATTAATACGATGTGAGATTCGATGGTCGATCTTGAGTTATGAGACTCGACTGATCGCTTGATGACATGCAAACATGAAGATCCAGAAGCAAAGAGTAAGATATGAGGAAATGATGTGTGTTTGTTCACTGACCTGCTGATGGTAGAAGAATAGACGAATCAAGACTACCCACATATCCGATGTAAGAACCGATAGATTGTACATTGTAGCCCCTGTCACCTTTCATAGAGTTGCAAGAGAATTATTAGCTAGTAGAAGAATAGAGTTGTTAGTTATGTTTGAGAGCTGTGCAGATCAGGAGCAAAAACCAACCTGTATGAACCAGGAAAATGTGGAGAATAATAGAAACTCACAGACACCGTACCCAACAAAGGCCAAAACCTGGGTAAGTTCATAAACAAGCCAAATGAGGAAACTACAGCCATGTTCAGAACTGTTTAGTACCAATAAGCTCAAAACTAAGGACAGGGGGAGCTCAGGCAAAAGATGAAACGTTAATCAAATTCGGAAGTGTTGGTTTGTGCTTACAAGATTAGGGGACCATTTGATTGATTGCACATTCTTTAGCTCCACCACTGAGCTTAGCATATGGTTATGGAAGCGAAGCTTAATATTCATTCTGCTGAAACTAGCGTTTTCATGAATCCAAAAGAGAAACAGTTAAGGATACATCTCCAGAATGCTGATCAGGAAGCCGAACACGCCTATCATGGCCATCAACTCGATCCGGTCTCTCTTCTTGGCACAGAATTCCTGAACTCATTAACAAACGGGACCAACTTCATCGAATCATTTCCACTGAGAAGAAGGAAATCAATGAGGTGAAGAGAGCAAGAAAGTGCAGTAGAGTTTCAGGAACCTCGCCAACATTGCTCAAGGCGTAGAAGACTGTTCCAGCAATCACAAGGAAATCGCCTAGGATTGGTTTGGATCCACCTAACGATATAAAAAAATACACTTTAAGAGAAAGGGAGGAGACAAGGCACCAATGCATTCAAATTTTCTAATTTTTTTGTTCACCTTCATCACCACCTCCTCCAATGTCAGAGAGGATCACCAAGGCAAGGCCAGCAACACAAATGGCTGCACCAAGGAATTGGCAGATGGTATAACGAGTTCCAATGAAAACCCGACTCAGGATTATAACCCATAACAGCGCGAAGCAATCCAGCATTGTCACGCTTGTGATCGAGGTGAATTGGTATGCCTTGTTAACTGTAAAACCCAGTTTAGTTTAGATTCTCAAAGCAATGGCTGAAGAAAGAGAGGATATATGAATTAGGAAGGCTTTACAGAGAAAGATGCCATGAACATCAAGGAAGCTGAGGAGAAGGTACCAGTACCAAGATACCTGTGCAGGAAAAAAGGAGAGGAAAAGAATGTGCTTTGTTACAACTGCAACCCAACCCAGTTCTGCAAATTGAAAAGTGTAGGAGGAAATGTACCAGTAGCTTGTGGCGTCTATAAATTAGGATGCCTCCGTATATCAGAGCTGCAGCCAAGTAAGAGGAAGATCCTTGAGTAATGGGGGTATCAACACCTGTAAAAAAGAAGTGAAATCTGATAAAAGTTCACAAATTTGGAATAAAAAAAAGGAGAATATGAGAGAAGGTGATCTTTGATGTGTTAATAATACTTGGTTACTTACCAAGGGCGGCTATGAGGGAAGCAAAGAAGGTTGTAAGAGCTAGTAGTAGGGATAACACTTGACCCAGCAAGATCAGATACAGAGTTCTCCGTGGAAAATTTCTTCCAGACTTCATGTCAACCTTCATCTTTCTCCCCTGCACTTCAGACCCAAAAGAACCTGGCAAGAGCTGCTACAAGCGTACACCAACCACAACAACTACTAAATAATTGAGCTCTTTCCGGGTCCAACTTGTGTGTAAATTGTTGAAAATTGCTCTCTCCAAAAAGAGAAGGAAAACTTGATTACTAATAATGTAGGCGGCATTTTGTTAAATGATACATACGCTGCCCCACTTCCCACGAGAAGATTTTTTCTTTATTCTTATCTGCTTTGTGTCAAATATGCAAGTCAACTAGGTAAGTGAAACAAACATGTATAAACAAATCTGAAACTGAAGGAGGAATGTTGAAGATTTTGGCAACCAGATCTGAAGATAATTTACATCAGTTTGATAAACAATGGAGGTGATTTGGGTAATGTAGAAAGAAACCATTGGAAGATAATATTCAAGTTAATCATTCTGTTTGAATACTACCTACCTGATCAGCCTGCCAAGTCCTATTGCATAATCCATTGATGACTGAATCACGCTCTGATATAGCTGCAAATTACATTCTCTGAAACTTTCTGTTCAATTACTTACATTCAACAGATTACAAAACAAAAATGGGATCTCCGTAGCAGCTAGTTTGCTTTACGTCTCGAAAAACCGGAGCTCCACCATGAACTCCCGCTGCTTGGGCGAATACCATGCAATTGCCTTAGCTGAACCAAGGACTTGTAGGGCATACTCGATCGCGAACACTGTGTCATGTGCATGCACACACCAATCGGTCTGGTTTTTCAACTCCACGGAGACCCTAGAATCAACTCTGAAGCTAAACGGCCCAACAATCTGCAATCAAAACGCATAGAGAGACCCATCTATCAACTAAGATGCATGCACTTTATGCAGTAAATCATCAAAGGAAAAGCGAAAAAACCATATGGGTGTTCAAAAGACTTGGTTACCTGCTGTTGAAGGGAAATAGTTGCATTGGGGGTAATGGCTTCAATTGCTTTATTAGTCGGTTGTTGAGAGTTGACGAAATCATGTGCTAATTGAGTGGCACCTGAAAGAAATTTGCGGCCAGAAGGGAAATCAAGACGGACATGGAGCCGTGTGAGATCTAGGAACCACTTCTGGAAACTTCCATGCTGAGCCATGAAAGAGACAGACGAAAACATGTCAGCATGAACTGCAGATTTGAGGGCATGAGATCGATAGGAGAATCCAGCTGCAGTGCTTTGCAAATCATCCACTTCTGACCCAGCCGAGTTGTCTCCATGAGAGGCCGTCATCACAGCACCTGCAAGCAAGATTTGAATATTAGGCTGGTTTCTAAACTAATTACTTCAAAGATTATTGGCCCGCCACTTGGGGAAAATGAAAAGTGAAGGCAAAGGGTGCAGAACTTGAGCTATACCTATGATACCAGATGCCGAAATATGAGGATTAGATAGGAAGATGTCAAATGGTTGCACCATCCTCAACTTCTTAGCTTCACCCCTCCAAATTTCTACATTTTTCTTGAAGGAGATGGCATGTCTGAGAGTAATACCAGGTAGCAGTGTAGCAGGAATCATCTTTCCAGCGTTGTCGTTGCCACCTTCAAACAGCTTTGGCAATCCAGCTATATGACGCATACAGAAATGGTAACTGGCACCAGAGTAGGAAGGAATGGATGCAAGATCAAGGGCGAGAGACAAAGGTACGTCCCAATAGTTTCCAGAGTTGTCCAGGAAGAGGGCAGGGGAAGCTGCCTCCAAAGTGAGATTGTGATTAGGGAACTACAAAAACACAGAAAGAGTTTTAAAAGAAGCAAACCGAAAGCACCACTGTGGAATAAAAACACCACCTTAGAATTAAAAAAAAAGGTTAAGAGAAATCAGAAATGGTGTCTTGGCTAACCTCGTGATGGAGGACTGCCTTGCGACGAGGTGGCATATCGTTATTGCCATTGGCGTCCGAGCTGAGAACAAGAGTGTCTTGAGGGGTTAGTAAGAGCTCAGAATAGATGCCAAGTGCATACAATGATTTGTCACGAAGACATGCACAAATGGCAGGGATGAGGGATGCAGTCTGGGAATCAGAAGATCGAAGCAAGGTTATCTGCTTTCTTAAGGAGGATACAAACTTGTGAAGATTGAATTGGCCTTGCAATGCGGCAAACCTGTGCACACAAATTAAACCAGACAAAAGATATAGCTCCATTGTAAAATCTGAGATAATCCATGTTCTATAAAAAGAGATGGATAAAGAGCTGGGTAAAGAGGCTAGAGAAAGAAGAGAACTGACAAGGTTCAATAAGAAAATACCAGTCCTGAGATAAAGGGATGGTTAGACAACGTTGGAGTGAAAACGAGTGACCGCTGGAGGCTGGAGAATAGGAATAGGAAGGTAGGAAAGGAGCAAACATGAACCGCTGGAAGAAATCAGTCTGCTTAGGCCTGGACAGCTTCGTCCCACGGGAAACCCCAAGAGGGAGAGGATATCCAGGTACCGCCCTAGCCTCTCCTTCTAGGGTCACTGGAGTTGAGATGTCCAGGTCCCAAGACCCTCCGTCCATCGCCCATCTTAGCTTGTTCATTGTGCCCATTTCCAACTTCCTCTCTCTTGTGTTTCCACTGCTCCGCTGTTCCTTAGTTATTCATCCACTCTTCCCATCCACAAGCAATGCTGCTGTTCCTTTCCTTTGTCTGATGAATACAATGACAGCATTCTCAGTTTTCCAGAATGATTGCCCCTGCCTATCGATAAAGATCATAAAATCAACTTACTACACCTTTTCATCTAGATGTGAAGAAATCGCTTCACGAACCAGTCAAAGGAAACAAAAATAACAGAAGAAAAATCACAATTCCAGATCATTGAGCCCAACCCAAGTTTCATCAAAACTCGATTTTCTTGAGCTGCCTAGTATAGCCATTAGTGCAAGTTCCTTATGAGACGATTATTCCTCCAAATGCCTAGACTGGCGTCAACTACTTGTTTCCTCAAGAGCAAATTAAATCAGATAGTACAGCACCACCAATTATGTTCTTATACCCATCAGCAAATCTCCAAACAATTAAACCGAAAAGAGACAAGCATGAGCAAAGGAGCAGAACACCAAGATCAAAGATTCCAACTTTCAGTAAGCAAAGTTTCAAACTTTCAAAGACATAACAATTACATACATACATACGCAATTGTCATTAGCGAGTAGCAGTGAAGTGCATAGATACAATAGCAGGGGTGAAGTACCATAAGTATAATGACAGGAATCTGAGAACCGAAACACAACCGAATTTCCAACCAGCAATTGGGGTATCGTACATTCACATCCAGCTGATTAGAAACTTAGAATTAAGCTAGGCCATTATCAATTGCACGAACTGAAAAGGGTTGTACCTTTAGCTGCTGTGTCACCAAGGCAGATTGATGATGCGCGAGTGCTCTGCTTGAAACCCCGAAAAGGAACCTTGAAATCTCTTGAGTTAGCGCCGGCTAAGTGCTCTCGTGGGCGAGGGGAGAGTTAATGTTGCTATCAGGAGATAACGTCGCCGTCATCGTTATTAGTGACCAGCCACTGCGACTGCGGACTGCGAAGAGAGATTGAGAGGAAGGCAATGGAGAAAGGCCGAAAAGGTCAAGCCCTTTGTATTAATGAAAAAAAGAATTGAAAAAGAAAAAAAAGATCGGGGAGAGCTAAAGAGCAATTTGATCACACAACTTGTCGTACTTCCATTTTCAATGACACTAGCTTTGAACCCGGCCAGTTGGTCGGTAGGCGAATTTTTACCGATAAGATAATTAATTTGATTTATACTCAACGATAGTGTTTTAGACATTGCATGAATCTGTTATGCATTATGGTTAGAAATCTGAATCATATTTGTATAGTTTAGTAACACTGTAAAATTTGAACTTGCTCCATGAGTTATGATGGTATATGCGTCAATCCTATATGGAGGTACAAAACTTAGTGATATTGATGTTTCTAGTAATTTTGTTAAATAGGGACATGGTTTGTATACTCGTGCTCGTGAGTCATGGTCTTATTATTTATTTTTTAACATATATCAAAATGAATATCGTTATATAGATTACATAAAATATGATTTCTATGTCCAAAATATCCAAATTCACTTTGAAACGAAAGAAACGCGGGTCAATTGAAAATGATAGAAAAACTGAAAGGAAGACCTAACACACTCTCATGGGATGACCAAAAAATAAAAAAAAATAAAAAACTAAATAAGAAATTAAACTACATGTTAAGCTTAACTCCCACACTTTTACACTCTCCTTTAAATTCTGTGCATTGTGCATCGTTTTGAATATAAAAAAAAACTGCACTGAATTTAGAAGAAAAAATGGACAAAAATGCTCAATCACTAGTTGTCATATTTAACTTTTGATTGATTTTACTTGATCTCAAATTTTTATTCCTTAATTGAGGATTGTCTTAAATAATTTTTTAGTCTGTAATTCTACTTTTATGACTCTTAGTACATAGCGCTATTACATAGCGTATATTTAAATATGAGATTTTCTCATTTTGTTTATAATGTTACGGTTTATTTAAATGTTTTATGTAAATTGTAGTGAGACTGAATTGAGATAGGTTACATATATGCATATTTCATTTGCTTTCAATAATACTCTACTTTCTATGCATATTTTGTTAAAAAATTGGCATAAATCGATTGTATCCTGGTAGGATCATTTCACTTACTAAATCGACATCACGGTGTAAATCGGTTTGACAATCTTATATAAGATTCCTAATTAAAATAGTTTAGTACCAACGTGTGTCCATTATTATAGAAAGTGTATTATATATTCTTTATATTCAGAAACTTATTACTTGTATCATTTTGCCCCCTGAAGGTTATGAATTTTTATTTGTCAAACAAATTCGCCGAGTTATTTCCCTGGCCAAAAAAACGCCATACAAGAACCAAAGAAACGCCATAACTCCAAATTCGGGGAGTTATTCACTTCTTACGCTACTTTAAACTTTGTACGCTGCAGCTGTTATTACAGGAAAGAGCACATAGTTAGATCAATAAAATCCTCCCTCCATAGCGTTCCAGCACAAGAACAGAGAGGAAACAACCCATTTAGCCGACAGCTCCACCGGCCAATTAGCTCATCGGGAAACATGTCGACGCCGTCGTCGTCGCGGTTCATCCTGGTCATATTCAGCTCCATCATAATGTTGCTTGTGCAACAAGCATCATGTTACAAATACCACTACCACGCCGCCAAGCTCCGAGATTTCACGGCCAGAGCCGACAAGATACTGGCCGCGCCTCCGCCGTCCCTATCCGTCCGGCTCCTCCGAAGGTATGTAACGGAATTTCGCAGCATGCACGTGTGAAACAACCAGTTGATCCCAATAATTCGAGTTGTTGGAAAATGTTCGATTATATAGTACGAAATGAAAAAACAATGAATCTTGTGCTCATTGGATCACAGGTTGGCGGTGTGTTCTACCCGATCGGGTACGGGGCGGATCCCACCGGCCACAACGACAGCGCCGACGCGATACAGAAGGCGCTGAACGACGCTTTCGAGCAGCTGAGCGAGCCGAACAAGGAGCTGATGCCCGGAGTTAAGGACTTGGGAGGGGCGGTGATCGACCTCCAAGGTGGAAAGTACAAGATCAGCAAGCCCATCACCTTCCCGCCTTCCGGCGGTGGCGACCTTCTGGTAACTGACTCTCTCCATCATCGTCCTTTCCGTTCTAAAAAAACTCTGCATTTCGTACAGTGACCACTACAACACAGAGGACCTTTTAGTGACGGAATTTGTGACAGAGCAAATTCGTTGCTAAAAGATATATGCGAAATGTATTTGGTGGCGAAACTTTTTGGCGACGGAATGTACATTCGTGAGGAAGTTTCACTCTAGCGACGAAATAGTTATGACACCAAATAGAAACTGGCTTTTGCGACGTTCAGTTTTCCCCGGAGAAACCTGTGGCGACAGACCTTGGACTTTTAGAGATCAGGATTCCCGTCAGCAAAAGCTATTGTTTCTTGTTTAATTTTCTAACACGTCTTCTCGAACGAAAGTCAATTTATAGACCTGAAGTTTGCATAGACCCACCATACCTTATGGATAGATCAAAAGTTAATATTTGAGGTTGTGAAAATTCAACACACGACCACTTGGTCAAACCAACTCCGATATAATATCATAAAACTAGTTGGTCCTGCAATAACTCAAATTTTTTTGGAAGAAGGTTAATAATGGAGATCTTATATACCTCTTTGTTTTTGGTTTATGCAGATAAAAGAAGGGAGTTTCAGAGCGGCGGAAGGGTTCCCATCGGATCGTTTCCTGGTGGAGTTACTGTTCCCGCAATCGGAGGTCCTGATAAACAAAACGACCAACGTGTCCGCGTTGCAGGGCACCACGATCTTCTACGAGGACATAACGTTCCGGGACCTCCTGTTCGACTCCGGCCACAGCGGCGGCGGCCTGCTAGTGGTGGACGCCGCCCGGACCCGGATCGTCAACTCCTACTTCTTCAACTTCACGACGCAGGGGATCCTGATCCAGGGCGGCCACGAGACATTCATTCAGACCTGCTTCGTTGGTCAGGTTCCCACCGTGGGGCGTGACAAGAACGAGCGGTACGCATACCATCAGAAAACAATATAAGTTTACATAATTAACATTCTCTTAACAACTCACGCACTACAACCCTCGATATTGAACGGTTGATCTGAGCCCAAAGTACGGTTTTGCGACAGGCACTACTCCGGCACCGGGATCGACCTCGCGAGCAACGACAACGTCATCACCGACACGGTCATCTTCTCGGCACAAATCGGACTCCTGATTCGGGGCCAAGCCAACATCATCACGGGGCTCCACACCTACAACAAGTCATGGCTGTTTGGCGGGATCGGGGTGCTGATGAAGCTCGACGCCGCCTACAACCGGATCATGGACTGCTTCTTCGACTACAACCAGGTTGTGCTCGAGGACCCTTACTTCGTCCAGGTCATGGGGAACTTCTTCTTCGGGCATGCCAACGTGATGCTCAAGTCGGTGAAGGGTGGCACCACAGGGCTAACCGTGGTCAAAAACTTCTTCGTCGGGTTTGCCGGGGCGCCCATGATAGAGCTTCAGGGGAAGTTCACGCTGGTGCACGACGTGCTGGTGGATCAGAATCAGGGGAAGTTCTTGAACGTCCAGTCGACGTCCGCGAAGGTGACGGTGGCCGGGAAAGGGAAGAAGTGGGTTGCGGATTTCAGTAAGAAGCTGGTTTTCCCCAACAAGATCGACCATTTTCAGTACTCGTTTGCGGTGAAGCAGCAGCCGACGAGGCCCGCCGTTGCCGGCAGTGGCGGCGTGTGGGGTGGGCCGAGGTTTCCGATCCATGCGGCGACGAACGTGTCGGGGAATGTGGTGGTCGTGGAGAGCGAGGATGAGGTGGACGCCGTCGTTTCGGTGATGGTTGATCAGGTTAATCCGGTTGGAGAGGAGACTTTTGTGTTCGGCCGCAACGGCGAAGGCTATAACGTCGGCCTGCATAAGTGATAACAAACCAAACGCTTATGCTCTTTCGTCTTTTTTTCTGTGTTTTCTTTTATTTTCCGTAATCGGTTATCTCTTTAATCTTTTTTCCATTTAAGACGCAAAAGTTTTGTAAATTCTCTAATTAATAGTTGTCGAGCTCCACATCAAACAAGTTTTTCTTACTCATCAATAGTATCCTTCTCTCATCTATACAAAAAATATGCATTGTTACTATACTCCCTATAGAAAAGAAATTCTTATGAATGCACCTTCTCCTACAAAAGTTGCAAAGAGACTTCCCATCTCAGAAAAAAAAAAAAGAGATCCGAGAGAGAGATTAGATCAACACCGGCATTACCTGAACAAAAGATGAAGAGCTAAACCACGAAGCTTTGGATAAGTTCTCATCAGGGTGGCTCTGGAAACACTTTTTGCAGGAAATTGATGAACCGCTGAGCATATAGCTTTGGCTCGACGACAGAGATCGTTACAGGGTCGAACTTGAACGATTTGTAAGCATTCTCCGCTCTCTTCCTAGCATTGTACTCCTGCAATATGTCGATCACTCCCATGTACAGAACCACGTCGTAGACCTCAAAGAGTTCAACCTCTGTGGGATCGCCCTCGTCTTGCAGCAGCTTGTGACTCGCCTGAGCTGGCATGTTCACTCCTAACTGAACCCGCAACCTGGAAAGGACCTCCAAGGTACGCGTTTAGTGACTAACAGCGCTTTGCAATATACAAGCGGGTTTTGGGGGAAAGGTTGAGCTATCCCGAGTTTGGATGGTTATGTTTAATGATAATGAAGGTATACCTTGCAGTCCCAGGCAGTAACAGGTCGACCTCCCGCTCACCAACAGAAAAAGCTCTCAGCGTGCTACCTCGGATGTGAGGACCCGGTGCAGTGTTGACAGAACTAGGTTCATGAGTGACCAAGATTAATCCTGTTGGGGGTATCAAGAGCTCCCCTTGAGAACTCACACCAACTGTGAGCAAAACAAGCACTTTGCTATAAGTTCATTATCGAAACACATGACTATCATCCATCCGCCAAAAAAGGAAGGAAATTCATGAGTATTGATCCTTTTGAAACATGTCTGTAGATACTAGATAGTAGGATATCAGCTCTGTTGTGATTATGCCGGCCAAAAAATATTTCTATCTTTGCGGGAATGCAAGCATACCATCATCTGAAGAAAAACTATCATGATTGGTTGCGGCGCCAGGGGGCTCTAAAACGGCCTTCAGCTGCTCTGGTGCTCTGAAATGCAACCCCAAGAGGAGGCTGTAATCAATTATGTTCTGAGATTCTAAGAACTTGGAGTCCAGATGAAGTTGTCTGCAAGAGAAAATGAATTCTACTCATAATTAAATGACAAGGATTCTAATGAATAGTAGACTCAAACAGAAAAAAAAAAAAATGCTATCTCAAAAGAAGAAGTTTACTTGAAGAGGGATTCCTTCAACAGTTTGTCCATGTGAAATTCATAATCTAGATCAAGGTCCTTTAATGTGGTACCCTCTTTGATCTTATCTTTATCTGTATATCTTCCATGAGATGAGCCTTTCAGATCATAACGACGATGAATTCTCAATTCCGTGCAAAACATATTACCCATGACCACAAACCGTACCTAGAAACAGAAATGAAGAAACAAAAAACCCCGAGTAACTATAGGTAGCACATGCAGTGCAAAATTCTTTTGAGGTCTACAAGAAAAAAAGTCCAGTTACCTTTCGTCCACCTCTTAATTTTATTCGATGAACCCCGAAGAACTTCGTTATGAGAGTATTTTCATGCTTGCCTACATGACAGTAATATTTTGGCAACATCCTGAGAAGGGACTGTGAACAAAAAAAATGGAAACTCTGGTAATTACTAATTTGTATTTTTTCTGTGACCTTTTTCTCCAGATACCACACCAAGCAAGAGTTAAATGCAACAACAAAGTTACCATCCAGAACCACTATAGAAAGGGCACACTAATCAGAGATAATGACCCATTCATCGAGACGAATTTGATAACTCAACACATTTCAAATCAAGAAAATCGTTTTTCAACTAAAATACTCCAAAGTCTAGGCAGGTTAGCTATTTAGGAGGAACAGGGACACATTAAGCAGGGAAGTGACTAGGTGCTTTGACCTGGCAAAATAGTATAGAGAAGTAACATCTCGAGTCAAACCTTGAGTTCAGCCTTATTTAATGTCTTGATCACAAATCTATCATCATGAGAAAGATAGAAGAGACTGCCACTTTTCCCGGGTGAAGCGAGTTCTGTCAGACCATCATCACCGCAAATAGACATCATGTACTCAGCTGCATCTAATTTGAACATCTCTCTCAAATTCCTGAAAGATAGATCAGACAGAATAGTAACCTCAGCTAATGATGATCATACATATCAATCAAGCAAGTCCAGCACAAAACATAACAGACAATTGTGTGCATGAATGGAAAAATGAAGAGACTTAGCGAACATATTAAGCACCGACAATAAGAGAACCAGTAGATTACTGATAGTAAAAAGGTTAAAAAAAACATTAAAGGGGAAGTCACTCTTATTAACATGAGGTGTAAAGTTCTTCAAAAAATGAAAGTCGTTTAATCTAAGAAGTGGAGGACGAGTAACAGAATAGTAATGTAAATCCTATGAACTATGTTCAATCATGGTTCTAAACATGTCAAAGAAACTTGTAAAAAGGCTCCATCGACCCCTCCAAAGACAACTTAGCAGCAAGTTCGAATGATACAGCAGACCACATACATATATATCCTTTAATCCAATGTCAATAACCAGAACCTTATGACTATCTCGCAAAGATAACAGCGTTTGTAATCTTTGAGGCCTCAAGTTTGGTCATTGACAAAAACAACTCTAGCCGGTAATATATCCATTTCCAAGCAAAGAGGGAACCAATAGACAATACCTGAATACCATGGGACAGTAATCTTTCCAATAGAAATCAATGGAGTAGTGAGGCGGGGTCAACTGCGATCCTTTTTTGGGAAAATACATCCTTATTCTAGCTCGCTCTCCAAAATCAGAAGGACGAACTTCACGCATGGGCACAGGAGTGATCTTTCCAACAGTATACCTGTGAACTTCAGAATTAACTGATCAACAAGCAGTTTGATGTCCCAGAACAGGTCCAAGAACTTTTACCAGGAAACACAATTTTAGGATCACAGTACACAAAAGAGGTACTGGCACTGCAGAAATTCAAACTCGTTAACGTTATTGTTTACCTCTGTCAAGGAGAGTAAGCATTAGATTGACTATAGAACGAAGACACAATTATAATTTAAATGCAACAGCTAACATGTCTATCTAGTAGACCGTGACGGAAAGCTGAAGCACTTAGTTTAAAGTTTAAACCCCTTGGGCAATCTGTATGCTCCATAACCAAAAATGCATACTTGATCCTGGTAGTAGCAGGACAGCATTGGACCTCTAGGCTCTAGGGGTGTAAATGCTACAATTTGATTTGCACCAAAAAGGAATATGAAAGGTACCAAATACTCCACATCCTATTTCCCATACCATAATTAACCTTAAAGTAAAAGGTGAGAGAATAAGCATTAAAAAATTTAAGTGCCTCCAAAAGCATGTTTCAAATTAGGCTTCTTACAACTATAAAATGAAATAATAACAAGCAAAGAGCCATATGAATGAAAGGATCGAGTTGAAACCTCGAATTCCCATCAATGGGGAAAGAGCAAAGCAGCAGACACAAACTGCACAGTAAACAACAAAAAGGGAAGGAAAAGAATTCAGCCTAAGACAGGTACCTGATACCAAGTTGTAAATTAAGCATCAGATAATAGCTCTGCCGACTCTGGAAAATATTCATCCACGAGTTGGATTTTCCTTCTTTGACATGGAATTTGTTTTTATGTTTAGTCTTCCGTGACCGCTCTGCAGTTATAATCCTCTCTTTGATCAAAACGCCTTGCATGTATTCTCGTTCATAAGCTATTCTATCGCTGTCTAGCACCACACTATGAACATCGCCTGAGACGTGAGACAGCGCACTTGATAAGTCATTATTAGGTATCAACTCTCTGGCAGAATGACCACGACTTGAATTTCTGTCCATTGATGATGTTCTCTGTGTTATCCTCCCTGAACCTCTTAAACTTCCACTACTTGACAATTCCGAGACACTGGGTCTGATACTTGTTCTTTGAGCCTCAACTTCTACTGAATTCAATGTTGAAGCATCATGGGACTGAAAGCTACTTGGAATACCATCATAACCAAGCGATCTACACCATCTCTTTAGAGATGGATGTCTCGTTCCAGCGGGATAGTATGTCCCTTTCCCATCCTTCAAACCTTTGGTCCATGTTCCAAAGTAGAAACCCCCATCTGCAAACCTATAAACCCCAGACCCATGCCTCAGACCATTTGACCAAGAGCCATCAAAGATATCACCACTGATCCATTTCATGATTCCTCTACCATTCATGATTCCACCTTTCCAATTTCCCACATAGACATTACCATTGCTCCAAGAGTACCTACCGTTACCTTCGTGTACACCTTCCTTCCAACAACCTTCATAAACATCAAAATTGGAGTACTGTTTCGTACCAAGCCCATGCTGTATATTCATCCTCCAGGAACCTCGATATTCAGATCCATCAGGACGAGTAAAGGTGCCAAAGCCGTGAAGATAACTGCCAGAAAATTCACCTTCATATTTGGTTCCTGCGGCCCATGATATATGTCCTTTTCCAGTCATCTTACCTCCTTCCCATTCTCCATCATAGACAGTGCCATCTGACCACAAATATTTGCCTTTGCCATGGGGAAGTTCTCCCTTGAAGTCGCCAACATAGACATCTCCATTGGACAAGATCTTCTTATTTATCCTGGGAGGAAAATATAACATTCCCGAATGAAATAGAAAGAAAAAAAAAAACAATTCAAGGTGTTCTAAGGGTGAATCAAATGAAATAGACCTTTCATTTTCTTCTAAGAACAGTTGCCGCAAGCCCACCATTTTCTTCTACCTGTAAAATACATTTTTTCAAAACCAAAAAGGAAAATTGGAATTACAACATGCAGTAACAACTCCACCAAAGTTTCTTCAACAGTGACTTGATTCCTCATGGAGTCATTTCCTCAAAGCATTCATGTGTATGCGTTTTCACAAAGCAATAGGGATTTGATGCTGAGATATAGAAAGACCCCACTGAGAAACTAAACAAATTGATCATTTCTCCTCTTGAAAGATGACCAAATTGATAATGTGTGTAGCTAGAAGCTCAGACATAAACGTAGGATTTAGCAAAGACAAAAACAAAATCAACCAAATGCTTTTATAATTTCGCTGCCATTAACCAAACTTTCCCTAGTTGTTTCAAATCCCCAATGCATCAGGAGAACTTTCAAGGAATTGACTGAATAGAAGCTAAAAATAGGAATACTAATCACATACAAAAATCAGTCTTTACATCCCAGAGCAAGTTAAGGACAACCCAACCCAGAAGCCAGAAACTCAATCCATCCCAAAAGCACCCCGAAGAATGGCCCCAAAAAGAACCCACAGGAATCAATAACTGCCCCTTCCCTTCACTTTCGTCGATACCTGTGAAAAGCTTGTAGCTTGCCCTGTTCTCCGCAATTTACAGATTCTCCGAAAGATCAAATCAGGCAGTTCTTTCTCTCCCCACCCTGCTCCTCTGTATCTCTATCAGAAACTTACAGAGAAAAGAGGAAGTTTTAAGGAAGAAATCCTTTCAATTGCGTCACCCTTTTTGCCAGATGCGGCAATAAATTCAAAAGGGCGTGACTTGTGACTTGCCCACGCACGAAGAATAAGAATTTTGTGAGTTCCCTCCTTCGCATGCCAAGTGAAAGCCAAACAGAGAGAAAAGAGAAAGACACAGCAAAGCAAGAGAGAAATGGAGGGAAAAGAGACAGAGAGGCCCCATGGCTGACGACAGCTCAAAGGAATCGCAAACCAACGTGGCTGTTTTCGGTGGCCGCGGGACTTTCTTTCCTTCCTCATCACAGTTGATGATGCCAACATTGAACACCTTTCAGTACTGATCTCATCGTTAAATAGTTATCAATTCAGAGAAAGAAAATATCAAAAATACTCCACATCTTGTGCAGAGGACCAGAAATGAACAGCAGCGTATTTATGGTATCAATTTGCAAATACTCCACCTCCTGTGCCATGCCTATCTATAACTGTAAACCCAACAACGGATCCCGCAAAATCTCCCGCCTCGTAGCTCTCTCTCTCTGCTTCCTTAGCCATGGAGATTTCAGCTGCATTCTTGGGCGTCGGCCAGGTCTCCACGCCTTCGTCTTTCCCTTCCGTTTCCTTGGCATCCGCAGCCGCTTGGAGTTGCAGAAGTTGTGTCCGCATCATGGCCGCGGGAACCGCTTCTCCGGTCGAAGAATCCGGGCGGCCGCCGCCGCCGAGCATTCGTAAGGCCAAATTCTCCAATTCCCGGAGGCGTGACTCGAGTTCCTACTCTGCCAGACAATCCGCCGTCGTTGAGGTTGAAAAATCCGCCGACTTGGAATCTGCTCTCCAAAGGTCAGTTCTATCTGTTCAAAGCTCTTGAATTGGAGTTAAGTGACTGTGCTGAAACAGTTCAAATTGGGGCTACTGAATGGTTTGAAAGAGTAACGTTGTTAAATATCGCAGACTAGGAGGGGTTTTGAAGGTGCAGGACTTGAATGTCATTTTGCGGAGTCTTGGAAATCAAAACAGATGGAGGGACCTTTCTCTGGTGCTGGAGCTCAAAACCTTGATGAATAAAAGCTTAATGATTTTATCTTTTGTTGTTTTTCTAACTCGTTTCAACTTTTGGGGGTTGCTGCAGCTATTCGATTGGATGCAAAAGCAGGGGAAGGTTTCTGTTGCGTCCTATAGCAGTTACATCAAGTTCATGGGGAAGAGTCTTAACCCCACCAAGGCGCTGGAAATCTATAAAGCGATACCGGATGAATTAACAAAGAGTAATGTCATCGTCTGCAATTCTGTTCTCAGTTGTCTGGTCAGGAGTGGCAAGTTTGACAGCAGCATCAAGTTGTTCCATGAGATGAAGCATAGTGGTTTAACACCTGATGCCATCACATATAGCGCAGTAAGTTCCATGTGTCGAAAACCTACTAGTATTAAGGAAATGATGAAGCCAGAATCTTATTGACTGTAGTAGATAATGAGCCGGTATTCACAAATCAACACCCTAGACTGTGAGCTGGTTCTATATAACCAATACTGCTTACCGGGCACCTGTAGTAGATAATGACCCAATATTTACAAATCAATACATCGATTGTGTGCCAGTTCAATATGTTCAATTCTGCAGACCAGGCACTGTCTACTGTTTGTGGTATTGTGTTATTGTATACTCCTACCAACATCAACTCTATGCTAGCTTGTTGCCACTACTATAAGATTTCTTGTAATGGTAGATGTGTTCATCTATTCATACTTTTCTTGGTGCCTCTGATGATATGAAATATTTCTGAACCTTGAACTTTTTACATTTCAGATATCATCTTGATTGCTTTCATTTTTTCCTTCCTCAGTTACTAGCAGGGTGTATCAAAGTGAAAGACAGCTATGATACAGCATTGGATCTGGTTCAGGAACTAAATTATAGAGGGTTGAAGATGGACAGTGTAATGTATGGGACGCTGCTGGCTGTCTGTGCTTCAAATAATCGACGTGAAGAAGCAGAAAGCTATTTCAACCAGATGAAAGATGAGGGTCATTCACCTAATGAGTTTCATTACAGCTCTTTAATGAATGCATACTCTTCAGGTGGAGACTACAAGAAAGCTGAGGGGCTGGTTCAAGATATGAAATCTTCAGGGCTTGAACCAAACAAGGTGGTTCTCCTATTTATCCCTCTGTTTGAACTAGCTTTAAGTGTGATATTAGCTTACTCTTTGTGATTCTTTCTGTTCAAAGCACACAATTGGGGTTACTTTGGGTTGTAACTTTAAGCTTTCTTCATTTTAGCCAACCTGTTTAGCTTGGATTATGGATGAGACTACATAACTTCATTATCCTATTTCTAGCTCAATACATACTCCTTTTTTCGCAATTATTTTTTACCTTTTCATCTGTCACCTTATGTCCATTGTTGTAGTGGCAAACAGTTGTTCCTAATTGTTTTTATTTAACTCCTGCGCCAGGTAATATTAACAACATTACTAAAGGTGTACGTGAGAGGAGGCTTGTTTGAGAAGTCCAGGGAGCTATTATCTCAATTGGAATCCTTGGGCTATGCAAAAGATGAGGTTTAGTTCTATTATGTCTATCTTTCATTTTTCGCACTCTTGGACTATTGCAGCATAAAAATGGCTTTAGTTACAACTTTTGTGACACATGCTCTTACTCTGGAATCTGAAGTCTGAAGCTAGGCAGGTTTATTTCACGTGTTCAGAGCCGCATGTAGCTGATGAACCAGTCAATATCTAACCAGATAATTGAAATCCCACTTGATTCGTGATTGGTGCTAAATTTCTAGAGCAGCTTCAACTTTGCTTTATTTTATTTTGATATGACGCTAGCTTTTCCTTTTTCATCCTCCATTACTACTGTCTGTTGCTCATTGCATGAAATTCCAACTTGTAGATGCCTTACTGTTTACTGATGGATGGCCTGTCAAAGACTGGGCGTATAGATGAAGCAAGATCAGTTTTTGAAGAAATGAAGGCGAAAGGGGTTAGATCTGGTATGTGATTAGTTACATATTCAGTACTCTATATTAATATTGAACTTATCTATCTGGGCTGTGGTCTCTCCAGATAATGCTTTAAGCATAGTTGTGTTCTATTAACATGAACTGAATTAACGCACCTACCTTTAGTCAGTATTCAAGGCCTGCTACTAGTGATGTTTAAATTTGGTTATGTGATGTGCAAATTTCATTTTGTGAACAGTGACTGCTCAGTGCACCAAATTGAGCAAGCATTTCTTCTGTTTCTAGCAGCTTGCCTCTTTGATTCCTTTTTTATGATTTCTTAAAAAGTAAAGGGTATTTACATCTCATTGTACCGTACCAAGCGCACACACCACATTGTCAATAGCTCCCTGTGTAATGAATAGTTTATTCGCTTACTGTTTCCCTGAACGAATATTATATAGCTTTCACCCTTCTTTTGTTCTCTCTTGCAGATGGCTATGCTCACAGTATTATGATTTCGGCATTTTGCCGAATCAATCATTTTGAAGTTGCAAAAGAATTGGCCAAGGACTTTGAAACTCGGTATCAGAAATATGATGTGGTTATATTAAATACAATGCTTTGCGCATACTGCAGAGCTGGTGCAATGGACAATGTTATGAAAACAATGAGGAAAATGGATGAATTGACAATTGCTCCTGATTACAATACCTTCAATATCTTAATCAAATATTTCTGTAAGGAGAAGCTATACCTACTTGCTTTCCAAACTATGGAGGACATGTGTCGGAAAGGCCACGACCCAGGAGAGGTATGTTGCTTTTTTTTTAAGAGACCAGCTCATGTTTATTTGTTGAAAGGAATCCACAATGTGTTACTTAGAACATCAAACAGTCCCATGCAACTTACCAGTGCTTGTTCCCAGGGAAATTTGTTCACATGCTAACAATATTATTTCTGGCTGTGTATGTCCTTCAACCATAAATCCAAATAAAAGCCTTCTGACACCATTTCAATATTGCAGGAACTTTGTTCTTCTCTAATTTTCCATCTTGGGAAAATGAAAGCTCATTCTGAAGCATTTGCGGTGTACAAGATGTTGAAATATAGCAAAAGAACAATGTGCAAGGCTCTTCACGAGAAGATCTTGCATATTCTTATTTCTGGCCGGCTTCTCAAGGATGCTTATGTTGTTGTCAAGGCATGCATCTTAAGCTGTTTGTCTCATAAATCATTTAGTTACAATTCACCAAACAAAAATAAAATAGTTATAACACCTTTCTTGGCTATTCTGATCAGGACAATGCAAACTCTATTTCCCAGCCTGCTATAAAGAAGTTTGCGAATACATTCATGAAGCATGGTAGCATTAATTTGATTAATGATGTTATTAAGGCTGTCCATGCTTCTGGATACAGAATTGATCAGGTAATGACTCTGAAATGCACCTTGGTCATCATGGAAAGTAAAATTTGAGGGTGTGTTTTGTATGTCTGGGAGTCAACAACCCCAGTAGAACTTGTGATAAAAACAACCACATTGTGGAAAAACCATACAAAACATTAAATCCGATTGAGCTTTGTGTAATAGAGAATCTCTGTTAACCCACGTTACAAGTTTGACTTGAAGTCTATGTATTTCCAGGGACTACTTGAAACGGCTGTATCGCGATATATTGCAGAACCTGAAAAGAAGGACCTACTTATCAACTTGTTGAAATGGATGCCTGGACAAGGTTATGCTGTAAACTCTTCCACAAGAAATGCCATTCTTAAGAACTCTCATTTGTTCGGTCGCCATCTTATTGCTGAGCTCTTGTCCAAGCAACGGCAGTTGTCAAAAAGTGTGAAGTCTTAGCTGTTGGATAAGTGAGATTGACACTAAAGGAGGAGAGCTAATCCAATATACAATGGGCGATAAACAAATTAGGTAAGGACTGTGATACAGGTTTAGTACTTATCATATAGTCTGTATTTTTGGTGGCACCTTATTAGCTGAATATTTATCTGTAATACATTTACTATTATGATCTATGAAAAATCTGGCATCTGGACAGGATACATATGAATTCTGTCTGACCATGCATTTTTCCTTTCAGGATCAACTTTTGCGAGGGATTTCCAAACTGCACTGTTACACTTGAATCCACTCCCGAAAGAAATCTGCCAAATTCTGTCTCCCTTCTTCACCCTGCCCTTTGCTTCCAGATAAGAAAGCTCATACCAGACCGAAGAAGATGAAGTATTCCCAAATCTATAAAGTGTCATCCTTGAAGCTTCTCCATCTTCCTTCTCCAGCTTCAGATTCTTTTCCACCCCATCGATTATGGCCCTTCCTCCAGCATGGATACAGAAATGTTCGAAAGCACTTTTGAATCTTGGCACCACCACAGTTGCTTCCCCCTTTGCTCTTCCTTTTTCACAGAGTTTCTGACAAGTCACTAACCAAATGTATCTGAGCTGTTCAGAGTACGGCAGCACAAGGGGTCCCAACTCTGATACATTAATCTTCAGAGCACGAGCTGCCACATGTAACAGTGACTTGGATAGTGAAACCCCAACAACATCGCCCTCATCTGGTTTCTGAACGACGGAGCAGTAGGACTGTTCATCTGCTCCCATGTGAGTTCGTACGAGATGCTGAAGCTCATAATTGGCTCTCCACTTGTCCTGTTTCTTGTTCGACAGCAGAATAGCAGCTCCACCCATTCGGAATATCGTATTGGCTACCAGCATGGACTTTGCTCTGCCTACGTACCCGTTTGGGGTTACAGCTTCCATGGTGAGAACTAGAGCCATTGAATTTTTATGAACTTTGAACAGTTCTTTAATCATGCTTATCGAGATAAGCCCAGCACTGCAGCCCATTCCGCTCAGGCTGATGCTTTTTACATTGCTTCTGAGTCCAAACCTGTTGATGATCATTGATGTGATGGATGGAGTGGGACAGAAGATGCTGCAGTTTGATATCAGGATATCGATTTCTTTCGGGTTTATCCTGTGCTTTGAGAGAAGATCTTTCACCACTTGGAAGACGACTTGCTCCACTTCTTGTTGAGATGGGTTGAAAGAAGTGTTGGGAGGGAGCTCGTGCACCGCGATTGGCATGCATGCTTCATCCCCAATCCCTGACCTTTGAAGAACCTTTTGCTGGAGATCTCTGTTCTCTCTACTGAAACCTTCTGTTCTCTCTATATGCTCCGTGAAGTGAGGGACAGAGGCCCGCAAGTAATCAGGTGGGCGGTAGCATGTGTAGTCTATGAGGTAGACAGAGGTGTTGTTGCTTCTGAAGGCAAGATAAAGAAATCCCAGCATGAAAAAAGCTGCCCCAGCTGCAATGAAGTGCGTGAAGACGATGGAAGAAGCTGCCACTGTTTCTGTAATGGTGATAGCAGAATTGGTTAGAGACCAATCGCCGAATAACAGTAAGATATTGGTTCCCATTGCTGGAAAACTTGAATGGTTTCTTTGTCAGTATATATTCAAGTTGGAATTTTTCTTCTTTTATAACTGAATTCCCGCCCCAGGAAAAATACGATAAGTGTGATAGTAAGGAAGAAGGAAGTTGCAGAATGCAACTGTTTTGTTTGGCAGTTTTGGTTCCTTTCCATCCCCATATGTGTGCATTAGTTTTGAGCTGCGTTTCGAGTTTGATGCGTATGCTACTGAACTGGAAATATCATCATTTATTTGCCGATTGCTGCATTACAAAATATCATCAAAACAAAATATTTGGGACAATGTCTCATATCATACTATCAGCATTTGGGAAATGAGACGTTGCCTGTATCTCATCTAACAACGCATAATAAGTTTCACAAATCGTGGAACTTGGCCTAGTATTCCTGAAATAAATGTTACAAGCAAATTTGCATTAATAATCATCGCAAAGTCATTCGAAACCTAGTTACACCATCTATAGTTGCTCGAGAAATGGATACTTGTTCATTCACATTCGCTGGAGATGGATGTCGTAAAGACTGAATGAATAATAACTCATCAGTAACAAAGAAATATGGACATCATACACCCTTTCTGCAGTGCTGTTCACTAACCATTAACATGGTGACAAGTACATGAGTACATCTGATAGATATTAAAGAGTACAATAACCCTACAGCCTGCCATAGTGCCATACTGACATGGGCCATGGCATGGTCATCTAGTCAGTTGACTTGCCGTCGTAGCCCTTCATTGCATCACTTATAGAGCTCTGATACTGCTCAAACTGCAACAAAAGCAAAGATTGATAGAACACTTGAGAAGATGCCCTGGAATCATGATCTTAAGAATGTATATTTTCAAATAACTATGCACTCTTAGCATATACCATCAAGAATAACAGAGTCCAACAACCCCTTAAGTTCACATGCAATTATGAATGTACTTTTAAATGTCTCACCTGCTCCACGAGCTCTTGAATTTTCTGATCCAAAGTCCGAAATTTAGCAGCTCCAGTTTCATATGTGAGATTGATCTTTGAATCTATGGCATCCGCCTGAACATCAAGCACTAATCAGAAGTATTCTTTATATGCAGTAATAGTACAACCTCGGTATTAAGATAAGTCTCCGCGAAAGCAGAAAATCATGCTCCTAAGCATAACTGACAACACAGTACCTCTCCAAGAACAGCTTCTACTTTCCTTTGCCTTTCCTCCAGTTCATGCTTCCTGGACTCCACTTCCAGCTTCTTACTGTGTAATACTTTATCAGCATCTTCAAATTTCATCTGTCTTTCTTTCTCCAATTGCCATCTCAACTCAGCAAGCTGTTGTGCTAAAAAAGGATTTGATCCACCGTTGGGCTCAGCTGTTCAACGCATCATCAACGTAGATACGATACAGTAGAGAAGAGGAAGGTACCTTTGCCTCGACGTTCCATTATTTTTGCAGCAAGTGACTTATCCAACACCGCATCATCACTAAGCTTAGCTTTCCGAGCCTTCAGGTCCTTCTCAGTTGATTTTGCAGAATTCATCTGGTTGGAGCAAAGGATTAGGGACAACTTGGAGTTGGATGCTTTAGAAATGAATTAAGGCAAAATTTTAATCCCACTTCTAGTTATTCATTTGAGCAAACTGTGGCTTGCATACCTGCTCATGTATAGCCTGCATCTGAGAGTAGAGTTTTGATAATTTCTTGGAAGTCTGAGAGAGATGTTAAAAATAAACAATGATTAGTTGCTTTTGATTGCCATTACAAGCTTTGCAGAATTTAAGGAAGCTCTTTGCCTGGAAAAAGGAATTAACCTATTAACATCAAACACATGAGCTGCATGGGGATGTATCATGTTGATGAACCGATGGAATTTTTTATCAAACAAATTGCAAATAGATTTGATCTTAAATTCTCCAGGAGGAAAGTACCTTTGAATACAACTCGAGAACCGAAGTCTTCTCCTGAAATGACTGCATTGCTAGCCTTTCGGCATTCCTTGCCTCTTCCCGAATGGATCTCTTCTCTTCAATAGCTTTCTATTCAACAAGTTCACACAGGTCAACAAGTGATAAAGAGAATGCTTTCTCAAAGGAAATGTGATCGCTTCAACAAATCCTTCTGTTCAGTTGGTTCATAAGAATCCCTAGTCAATACTTGACCAAGCGAATGTTAGAACAGGGGAACATCATCACACGTGGGAACTATGTTTCAATTAAGCGTTATGATCCAACTACATTGGTACCTACATCACCAAGGAATATGCAATTTACTAGTACTATAATAAGCAGCTAAAGTTGGGGAAATGGCATCAACTTGCAGACTTGGGATTGGCATATAAATACTTTCTACAAGTGGAGTTGTTTTTATCAATCACCATTTCTAAAGAGTGGAAACCAGAATATACCTGCAGCTTATCTGGAGACTGAACAATCATAGAGCGCAAATTTGCATTCTCCTCCTGGCTTCGAATCAGATCATACTCAGACTTTGAAATCTGGTTTGAGGGCCAAAATTAAGGCAAATTGAAATTAGTCACCAGCAAGCAACTAATACACATTTCATTCTATCCGACTGTCTACAGGGACAATTCACATTTCCACATAGAAACAACTCGATGCACCAATTCACATTTGGACAACTTAATTCCAAATGTAAATATGCAACATTGCCATATTAAGATGAGTGAAAGTCGAGGGAGAGTAAAGATAAGAGAGGATAGTATGTGGTAAGGCTGTATACAAATGATTGAAACAGAAAGGTGGAGATGAATAAGGTAAAGCAAAGTAACTGGAAATCAATGAAGAAAAATCCACCTTGGTCTAGCAAAAAAAAAAAAAAAGCTTTCTAGTAAGAGATCATAGACAAAAACAAGGAAGAAGTTAAGATCTTTATAAAATCAGATCTTCCGCCTCCTAAGTATCAGCAACTCATGCATGCAAATTAAGGACCCTACAGAAATCACAGTTCAATTAGTATTTCTGATCTTTTTACATCAGAAGGATGTTAAGATATCAGGAGGCTAATTATAGGACCCACCTCCTCATCCATATTTCCAGTCTTCTCCTTCAAGTTACGCAGAAAAGTTCTGAGTGAGCTCTGCTGACTGTTGAGGCTGGCAATGGTCTGGTGCAACTCTTTCACTTTTTCATCCAGCTCTTGAACAAATGGCAACTCACGCTCTCTTGCAGCGTTGTAGTCAGCTATTTCTGCATCCAACTGCGGTAGCAAAACCCTTTAGCACCATTTATACCATAGTTCAAAAGTTAAATAAAACATGTGCTTTTGCTGTTACCGCGTCTTTCATTTCCTCCAACTCCTTTCGCTGCTGAGAAAGAAGTTCAGTTTCCTGGATTATTGTTTCGACTGACTGCATCTTTAAGTCTCTGATTTCCCACACAAGGAACAAAAAAGCACAGATTATTCCACGGAACTCAATATGCAAAGATTGGAACTTTCTGCTACCCATTCTGCCATTCGGTCAAACAAGACATGATTCACACATGGGAACCGACATACCTGTGGAGGCAGAAATTAAGAATGGAACTAATGAAAAACTCGGTGCTTTTAGGTTCTGGCTTGATAAGGTCTTTGAGAGTGAATTCATGAGGGCAATCAATTTGAAGCATGAACTCCCGTATCATGTTATACTCGTTCATTAACCTAAACCATTCCTCGTCGTGACCAGGGGGGTTCTCAAGCTGCTCAAGGTCATCAAATTCCATCTGCCCTTGTTCCTCTCTGGAGAAATCCAGCAATAGAACAACGCCAAACCAAGCGAAGTAAAACAGCAAGTAATCAGAAACAGTCTAGCCCTAAATAAGAAAGAAATGCACAGTGAAGGGGTTGAAAGCTTACACGTTGAAAAGGCCGAACAGGTCTAGCAGATCGTGGTAGACGCGGCAAACGAAACCGGGAGTAGGGTTTTCTAAATCGCTTTTACTGGCGGCAATCTCTGTTTTATTCAGTAGGTCGATTATATCTTTGCGGTGTAATACCGGGTAATTGAAAGTCGACATTGTGGCTCCAAAGTTGCGCTCGATTGGAGGTTTTCAGTATTATGCAAGAGTAACAACAATTTCTGCAGAGAAGAGAGTGAGAACTGAGAAGAAAGAAATGAAGAAGTGGGTCTGGTTGGTGAAACTGAAATGGGGAGATATATTAGGGATTGGAATCAATCGCCAAATTTTCCCGCCAAAATTCTTTTGCGGGAGCGAGTGGGCGAGTGCCACCCGAGTCCCGCCGAGTTAACATAATGATGTCCGTAATGGAAACAAAAAAAAAAAAAAAATTCAGGTACTTGAAAATAAGTATACATAGTTGAGGGTGGAATTCTCATATTTTCCTTTTGTCAGTTACCCGATTGTTGCTGTTAGAAATTTGCTTTTGCTCTCTTGGCTGAATGTGCGGTTGATTAACTTCTTCTCTGCTAGGCTCGATTGCGGATCACGGAATTGCGACCTTGAGCTCAATTTAGCGAAATGGAGACTCCTTACCCAGAACCCATCTCACCCTCAAAAACCCGCGTTGGTTGGATCGGGATCGGCGTGATGGGTGCTGCCATGGCTTCTCGCCTGCTGTCCGCCGGCTACTCACTCACTGTCTACGCCCGAACTCCGTCAAAGGCCGCGACTTTACTCTCCCTGGGTGCCCGTCTCGCCGATTCTCCTTTTGCCGTTGCTCAGTCCAGCGACGTGGTGTTTACCATGGTGGGACACCCATCAGATGTTCGATCAATTGTCTTGGAGAGCCAGGGCATTCTTGCCGGCCTAAACCCTGGCGGGGTGGTAGTCGACACTACAAGCAGCCATCCAGCTTTGGCACGCGAGATTTTCGATGCGGCTCGAGGGAAAGGATGTTGGTCTGTTGATTCCCCGGTTTCAGGCGGGGACATTGGCGCCAGGGATGGGAAGCTGGCTATTTTCGCTGGAGGAGATGATGGGGTCGTCAAGTGGTTATCACCCTTATTTGATGTTTTGGGGAAAGTTACTTATATGGGTGGAGCTGGGTGTGGACAAAGCTGCAAAATTGCGAACCAGATTGTGGTGGGGGCTAATTTGTTGGGGCTGAGTGAAGGGCTGGTTTTTGCAGAGAAAGCTGGATTGGACGTGAACAAGTTTGTGGATGCGGTGAAGGGAGGTGCTGCTGGGTCGATGGTGATGGATTTGTTTGGGCAGAGAATGATTGGGAGGGACTTCAGGCCTGGTGGTTTTGCAGAGTATATGGTTAAGGACATGGGGATGGGGGTGGATGTTGTAGAAGAGAGTGACGACGGCAAGGTCCCTGTCTTGCCTGGTGCTGCTCTGGTTAAGCAGCTCTTTAGTGGGATGGTGGCCAATGGGAATGGACAGCTTGGAACTCAAGGGCTTATCACTGTGATTGAGAAGCTCAATGGCAAGTAAGAAAAAACTACGTCCAGATTCCCTAAACCTCTTCTGCAGTTGAAGCAAGTTGTTGGGATAGCTTTAATTTGTGTTGTATTTTGCACTTTTTGTTGCAAGTAGTTGTTCTCGATGAACAAATCGTCTACTTCTGGTGAACAACTTGATTGTTGGATGAGAAAGTTAAGAAGTGTTGTATCCTTAACCTAATCTATCTGTGGATGGACATCGTTTGTCATCTCGGCAAATGGAAAGTTTAGCTCTTTTAGATGCAAGTAAGGAGAAAACAAACAAAATACACGGGTGCCATCAATACCATCCAGAATCAGGATACATCAAATTTCACAATTGTGTTCCTATGAATATGTGATTTTTTTGGGGATGTTCCTTGTGCAAAAATGCATTTATGCTCTTAGTAACCAACGAGAGAAATAGTTGATAACTAAACTGCCACCTTGTTTCTCTCGTTGTTTATGGTGAATTCTATTATATTTCCATCTGTCAACTCTATGAAGTTGATACCTCATACCCATTACTCAGTTGTTGACCAAACAAGTTGCTGCTTCTCGTAAATCTTCAGCACCAAGGGAGAGTGTGATTGTTGTGATGCACAGTAATCAAAGTAAGTGTGATGTTGAGGCCGTGGATTGGGCTCTCAAGCATGTGGTTCGACGAGGAGACGATGTTATTGTGCTTGGAGTTATAGATGGGTGTGGAGTGAAGGCCACGTGCTTCCCTTTCAACATGGCCATGGGTTTTTCTGCAATTTGTAAGCAACCTTTTTGGGCTTTGTACTGCACTCCACTCTTTTCTTCTGTTTCTATTGGTTTGCAGTTCAAGTGGTGCTTTCATCTGGAGTTTCGTTGATTATTTTCAGGGGAAAGATTAGATTGCTCAACAACAGGACAAGAGCTAAGACCGAAGGAACTTGCAGAAGAAATTGAGAGAAAGAAACAACAGTGGCAGAGTAAACTCCAGCCATTCTATCGAAGATGCAAGAAGAACGAGGTTCATGCTCTTTTTAATTTTCATTATCATCAGCAATACTATCCCAGAATACCCAAATTCCATGTCATATTTTACTGGAGGCAGGTGCTTTTAACTACGCAGGTAAACTTGGAAGCCAAGCTTACATTTGGTTGCTGCCCTGTAAAAATCACAGTAGAGCAAGCTCAGAACTCAAATCCTCGTTGGATTATCTTGGATAGGTGGGTCCACCTTCCGCTTCTCCCCTCTTGATATACTAGCTATTTGAGTTTATGATTCTGATATATCATCTCAAGAGCCAGGAACTCACGTTATTTGGTGACAGAAGAGAGTGGATTATGTATGGGGTTGGGGTGTGATTCTTATGGCTAAGAGATAAGTAACTTCAGAAAAGTTAGACTTAAAAGTTAAAACAAAAACATTTTTTACAATTTAACTTCCTAGAACAATTCTTTACCATCAACTCAACTGTTTCAAAAACCCTATCAACCAAAAACATATCTCTTTCAGAACTCAAAAAAAATAAACAATAAAGCTAAAACAAATACATGTTTTCCTCTCTCAAGATGTTAATTGATAGTTCTAATGTGTGTGGTGGTGACTGTGCAGCTACTTGAAGAAGTATAAAATGATCATATACAACCAAGTAGGCTGCAATATTGCAGCAATGAAGGGAAATGATCTGGCAACTTTGATTCCATCAAGAAACGGACAAGGTGGAACATCTGGTACTGCTGCTTCTTGTGGAAATCAAAACAAGCTTAACGTTCCGGATGATGATGACTCATCATCAGCATCTAGGCAAGCATCAGCAGGACAAAGCCCTGCATGGTATCCACTATCATGGAGAAGTGGGGTTCCTCAAGCTTTTTCAGAAGCAGAACTTGAAGTGATAACAAATGGTTTCTCCAAAGAGAACGTTATTCTAAACGAGATGGCATTGGAGTATATGAAGGGATGCTCCAGGGACGTCCTGTCCTGGTAAGAGCCTTTGCGGGAAATGATGAACGCTTCTGGCCGACGCTGAAGATCCTTTCCAGGATCCGCCACCGGAATATACTGAATCTTGTGGGACACTGCTGCACTGCCACCAAATTGTTCTTGATTTTCAACTACCCTTGCATGGGTAATCTGGAAATCAACATTCTAGGTAATATAATGAAGAAAAATAAACATCTTGGGGTTTTGAAAGCGCTGACATTTTTTTGAGCTTGTAAATTTACTTTAATTTGTAGTTGATGATTGGGCCAAGAACTTGCCCTGGAAAGCAAGGTGGCACATTGCTCTGGACATTAGCGGAAGCCTGCGGCATCTTCATGAAGAATGTGCGACTGATGGAACCATTGTTCACCTTTCTGTTTGTTCTTCTTATGTTACCTTATCTTGTGGTTCCATCACCATGGTAAGGCACGCACATAACACATTGTAACTCTTGATCTATAGTTCATTGGTTCCACTTAGTTGATTAAACTTATGTTTGTTCTTGTGCTATCTGAATGTCGTTCAAGCTTGCCTACTTTGCATCCGCTAGAGTCCTTAAAGATGAAAGGGCGAGTAACGATGACGCTAGAACAAGGTAAGCTTTTTTCCCCCTTCCATTTTATGGTGGAATGGTTCATTACTTGTTCCAGTGTTTAGAGTTCTCTTTAACCTTTGGGGTTGAAGGCAGGGAAATGAGGAGCGGGATCAACTGATAGCTGTAGACATACACGACTATGGAGTGCTCCTGATTGAGCTCATCAGTGGAATGAGTGCGCGGCTGTTCCAGAGGCAAGGTGTGGGACAAAGCCTGATTGACTGGGTGAGAGACCGACGGAATGTGTGTTCTTCAGAATATCCTTACAAAACTGCAGGAACTAATTTTATGTGTTCGCTATTGCTGTGTGCAGGCACTGCCACTTCTGGAGGGTTCCGTAGATGCAGTGTTGGATCCGAGAGTGTCAAAGGAGATGAATGATAGCAGGATGATTCAGTATTTGGTAAATGCAGCTTTGCTTTGCCTGAGGAGTAATCCTTCTCCTCGCCATTGCCTCTCCATGGGCCAGGTGTGAATTTGTTTCTGTTGTCTAATATGTCGTTACCAAATGCATTTCTGATTCTGTCGCTGGAAAGAAACTCATCTGGCTTCCTTGGCATTGCAGGTCTTGGCAGTAGTTAGAGGTGACCAACTTGCAAATGACAAAGCAGTGAGAGCTTTTCCCAGATGTAAACAGGAAAATGCGAACACACTACTATGGTTTGGAATAATGGTCTCTTTTTTATTTCATGACCAAGATTGGACTCATTTTAACCGTAGCAGATGCCACTGGAGCTTCGCCCCTCCCCAGAAAATTGCAGCACTTTCAGGAGAGTAGGCGTCGCAGGAGCCACACCGGTGACTAGGCTGTAGGGGTTGCTGGATAGTAATGATATATATGGTTCATTTTCGGTAGTGAAAAGATGTTGTTTTAATACTGAGATGATGTTGTTTTAGTACCGAGATGATGTTTTTCTACTAGTGGTATGCTACATTTTTAGTAGTGGTATGGTGCCTTACTGGTAGTGATTTCCCAGTTGAACTGCGTTGGTTACCAGATTGTAGCGGTATATTGCATTATTGTACAGACATGGTGCCTTATACTACTGGCTAGTCCATGTAGCACCACTAATATAAGTCGTAAACCACGAATTTAAATTTTGATCATACAAGATAAACACACAACGTTACTGACTTACTGATGAACATAAGGATATTTGTTCCACACTAACGGCTACGAAAACATAAATTTTGGAGTTGAAATCCTTACAACCTTTTTCGCTAAACTTGCATCGAATCGATAAATTGTAAATTTAGTTATAGTTTTCTTTTGCCTGCAATTTAAAGGGGACTGTTGGAGGAAGAGAAGTCAATCCTAAATTTTTGAGTCGAAGATACATAAATTGAAAATCGGAACTAGCATTAGAAGACCAAACTATCTTTCATTTTCTTAATGGATACAACACAAGAACTTCTCTACAAATCATCCACCCAATGGCCAATGCCACTCTCGCAGCTAAAGATTTAGGGTAACTATTTTTTTGAACAAGTAAAAGTACATAGAGACGAGTGATTGAAAACAAGTGAAGAAGCAATAAAAAGCAAACTTATTTTCATCTTTTTTGCAATGCTAGTCGTTGGTCGTTGCTTCAAGAAAGCAGCAGAAAGTACTACTACCATAAAATTGCAACTTCGCTTTTATTTCCTTGCTATTTATTCTTCGAACAAGCTTCCGCCTTTTTGAAGAAACCTGAAACTTGAGACCTCAAAGCTCTAACCTTTTGCCGCCGCCGCCGGTTGCAACTATAAAAACGAAGCCAAGCCAGAGTTCTGACTCAAAGCTGGATATGGAGGCGGTTCGTAGTAAGGAGCAAATCATGGACGTTAGGTCAGTAGCCGAAGCGGTCGCTTCTGCTGGGGACGACGACCTAGACTCCCCGCTTTATGAGCTCGAGAGCCTCTGTATGCGTTGCGGCCAAAATGTTCGTTTTCTCGTGCTCCAACCCTTTTCGCTCTTGTTGTTCTACTTCGCGTCCGTATCCTTTCTTTTTCCTTCCTGCTATGTGAATGTGAATTGACATTCTGGGTTCTTACCATTGATATTGGGAAGCTAGGAGAATGGGTGCTAGGTTCCCCAATTGGAATGAGGGATAAGTTTCTGGAAAAGGGCTGATAAGGATACCCACTTAGCTACCTGATGCATAGTGGCAGTGGTTGTTCCAAATAGTATAGACGTGAGAATTTTTGTAGATGCATAATCTCATATTGTTGTTTTGGAAGTCCACCAATGTTGATTATCTTGTACAAAAGATTGCTCCGGTGAACTTATAACTCCCCACGGTAGCATTTGTTGTTCTGCATTGCCCCTTTCCACCTCCATATTTGGTAGTCCCTTTTCTGTCTTATTTTAATGGTGAAAATGAGACTTCCAACTTCCAAGCAAGTTACTTTATTGCTCTCCTTTTTCTTCTTTTGTTCCAATCTTGTTGTGCATGTTCTGCTTCTTGCTATCACAATTAGTTTGGCAATGAGCGCTGTTTTCTCACTTGCAACTTCTACTTTGCTAAACTTCTTTGGCTATGTTGTTTTGTTTGATAGGGAGTAACAAGGTTATTGTTGACTTCAATTCCTCACTTCAGAAAGGTAGCGTCCATACTCACTCCAACTCTCCTTCTTGTATTCTTTATTCTGATTATTTTTTCCCATGAAAATGCATTGTAAAAGTTTTACCTTTGAGATAGATATATTGATAGTGAAAATTGAGCACCAGTAATGGTTTAATCTGCAGTCGATAGCAGATTAAGTCATAGGTTTCCTTTCGTTTTTCTACTTCTATTTTCCCTGTTGGTAGGTTCCTTTCACAAAGGAAGTTCTGTAAGCCTTACTTAGTTACCTGTTACTAAGCCTTACGCAAAAGGAAACGGTAGACTGAAATGTGCTCTTGCTGCAGATCCTGTTATCAGCCTTTGAATGTCCACATTGTGATGAGAGGTAGTTTGCTTTTCATGGTTAATATACAAGTAACAAACTATTAGTTAACTTCTTTGTAATTCCATCTTCTTCTGCTTTTTGTTAGGAATAATGAAGTCCAGTTTGCGGGTGAAATTCAGCCACGGGGTTGTTGTTACTGCTTGAATGTCACAGCAGGCAATCAGAAGGTTGAACTGTTGTGATGTGAAAGTTCTTCATGTTATTTTAACTTGAGCTCTATTTAAACTACTCACGTGATGTATATTTGCTAATGCAGATGCTCGATCGTCAGGTTGTGAAATCTGAATCTGCAACCATAAAGGTAATCTGAATCATGCTTTTGCTAGTCTCATTATGCTTTTTCCTTTGGTTTTGGTGCGACAGCATGGATTGCAGCCCTATGTCGTGGTAGTCATGTCCTGTTATATGTTGTCCTTTATAGGTTGGTCAAATAGTTGTTCAGCAGTTGAAGTGGAATTGAAAACCTTGTGGTCTAGTATATAATGTTTTTTGCTAAAATAGTTTTGCATGTAGCATTGTTTAAGATCCCAAATTGGCTTATTAGTCTGTTTTATGTAGGTGAACACACGACTCAAACCTGCTTCTGTTGGCACATGTAGTTTCTTTAGTAAGATGATTGCCACATTGCTTATGTAACCAGAATTTTCTAGCATGTGTAGTTACTGATCGACTTAAATTGATATGTTTGCTCATTCTTCTGAGCAGATTCCTGAACTGGACTTCGAAATTCCTCCTGAGGCACAGCGTGGTAGCCTATCAACAGTATGTTTCATCAGAGAACTAGCCCTTTTTTAATAAATACAATGGTTTAACTCTGGCTGTTTCTTGTTTATCCATTTTGTTCATTTGCACTCATATTTGTTTAATAAAATAAGGTTTTGGAGCTTCAGTATTACTAAAAGATAAATCTTCAAGATTCAGGGTAGAAACTGGTTAAAAGTTTATTACTTGCGCTGAATCCTGATGTTTCGAGAGGATATAAAGTCGCCTTGATAAAACGAAACATGTTTCCTTTCGGGAGCCAATCACCTCGACGAAAGGTGCCTTGAATGAATAACATGGTTGGTTGCATTATATTTTATGCTCCAAAAAAGTGTAATGAACCTGAGGTCAAATAATTTCACTAAGGAGATGGACGGAAGGAACCAGGATTTGGGGTTTTGAACAATCTGTGATTGGATGTTCCTTGTTTGGACTTTAGAAACCTATAATCCACTCATCTCAGGGTGTTGAAATAATTCTTACTGAGAAATTGAGCTCATAATAGGTCTCAATGGTGTACCAAACAGTTCACTTCAGGATTTTAAAGCATGTTTGTTGCTGAAACTTGTGGAGTGGGCTGTTCATGCTGATTTAACAGAAATGTTAAGTCCTTGGCTTTACTCCTCTTTTCTTGTTTGATGCTTTTATAATTGGCAGTTGGAAGGAATTTTGATGCGTGCTGTTGATGGCTTGCAAGCACTTCAAGAGGAACGCAGGGTGTGTCACCAATTTTTCATCAGTCACTTTTGGTTGTTTATCATTATTTTCTATTTTCTCAAAGTAGTGGCTGTTGTGCTTGTGTAGAAAGTGAATCCTGAAACTGCCGAAGCAATAGATCAATTCTTGTCCAAGTTGAGGGCTTGTGCTAGGGGAGATTCATCATTCACTGTCATCTTGGACGATCCTGCTGGAAACAGCTTTATTGAAAACCCGTAAGGCACTATCTTCAACAGTGAAGTAAATTCCTTATTGTCCTCTAATATTGGATTATCTTCTGAGAACACTTTGTGCGATTAGGTGTGCTCCATCACCAGATCCAGCATTGAGTATCAAGTTCTACGATCGAACTCCAGAACAACAGGCATCTTTGGGATATATGCCTAATCCAACACAGCCTGGAGTGGACACAGCATCTGCAGAGAGAACAGAGAATGATAATGCCAATCCAGGAGAAGTAGAACCTCACGGATCGATAGGAGCAGTGGCTGGTCATCGAGCCATTGCTCAGAGTAATAGTTCGGAAATTTCTGAAGCTTTGTTCCGGTACACTTCACCAGAAGAGGTCAGCAAGCACAATAGTCCAGGAACCATGTTCTTAATTTCCTTTTAAGTTTCAGTTTTGGTATTGACTGTTATCTATGCTTTGTACAGGTTATGACATTCCCATCAACCTGTGGAGCTTGTGCTGTCAGGAGTGAAACTCGGATGTTTGTCACTAGTATCCTCGATATTTCTTCTGGTTTAGTTTCTCTGCTTACTAAAGCAGTTCAAACGTGCAGTATGAGCAAGGAAACATGAACCACACATTGGCTTAATTTCTCGCATCAGTTTCTGACCTTCCGCGTATCATTATCAGTGGTTCCCCTCTTCTGGTAAATGACATTTCTAGGTTTTTTGGGTGAGCATGTTTGACCTTGACAATGTACAGACATCCCATACTTCCAAGAAGTAATTGTGATGGCATCCACTTGTGATTCCTGTGGTTACCGTAGTTCTGAGGTTCGTGATGGTTTCTATATTGCCTTTCACATTGTTTGGGTGGGTGTATATTCGGGAGATGATATTTGCAAGTATATGCAATTGAACAAATATATCATCTTTAGTAGACTCCTTTGATGTATCTGGTGTCTTTGAAATTGCACATGGAATCTCAAATCTATCAAAATTATACAAATCCCATACACAGATAGTACACACTTTTGATGTATCTTGTAATTGTGATAGATAGCATTAATGCACAAATACGTCCAACATAACACTATTATTAGTGCTTTGTCTCATGACAATTCGTATCTCTTCGTTGCAGCTGAAGCCAGGTGGGGCAATTCCTGAAAAGGGGAAGAAAATATCACTTTGTGTGAAGAATGTTAAAGACCTCAGTCGTGATGTCATAAAGGTTTGCTCTGAGCTCCTGGATTTGTGTTTCTTGTCTGTGAATGGACGTGCCGGTCATTTTACTAATTCCGCTGAATGATCTTCCCAACTTCCCAAAAAAACATTCATAATTGTTCCAGTGTCCTTATAAAAGAAGCTGGTGCAGAGCCATGATCTTCTTTGGTCATTGAAAATCTTGGTTGTTGTTTAATCATACTAATCTTAATATGATATAAGCAGTTGACTTGGACATATGTCGATCTGTTTGATATCACATTGGTGTTCCTTATTGATATGGGCATAACAAGAGATAATTGCATCTGATGATGGTTTTGGTAACACATTTTCAACTCGGTTCTTAACTTCCGCTTGTGTTTGCCAGTCTGATACTGCAGGTGTGACAATCCCCGAGCTTGATTTGGAACTGACAAGTGGCACTTTAGGAGGATTAGTGACAACAGTGGAAGGGTTGGTTACAAATATCAGTGAAAGTGAGAATTGTGGTTTTATGTGATGTTATAACTTATAATCTCTTAACTGCTCACATTAGTTCTCTTTCTAGACTTTCCATTCAGTTATTAGTTATCACACACACACAGTAGCCACAATGATTTTTCAACAGCCTTGAGTATCCAAGATCAGGAGAGAATTCAGGCCTATCTAATATGATTTAGATGGGTTGAGTTGAGTTGAGTTGGGTCTCATAGAAACATCTCCGATCTATCCTGCTTGCATATTTAGGTCTTTTGTCTATAAAAAGATCTCGAGTTTTATGATCCATTGGTCCATGTTATCTTTTTTTTTTTTTTTTTTTTTTGTTTCTTATTCTATTTATGGGATGATGAGCCGCAGCAAGATGGACATTTCCTTTAGCTTGGGGTTGCCTCTAGCTGTTCTTACATATGATTTTGTTTCAGGCCTTGAGAGAGTGCATGGATTTACATTTGGTGACAGCCTTGAGGAATCCAGGAAAAGCAAGTGGCTAGATTTTAGATCAAGACTAATTAAGGTCTGGTACAACAGCTCCAAACTGTGCATTGTCGTGGTCTTCCTTTTTTTGTTGTTGAGTTATTGGAGATGTTGACTCCACTGTTTATGGTGGGCGAGGATCTTTTTAATCTCCACATTATCACTCACACGTATTCTGTAGGGTTCATAAAGCCTATTTTTAGCCAACATGGGTTTTTTTATCAACTCGTGTTTAGAGGCATGACTATCTCTATTAATGCTGCTCCTCTGACGATTACTATGTTAGCCACGAAGTACCAGATTCAACTTCCGGGATGTCAATGGGCATAATTTGTTTCTCTTTAGGTGCTCTGGTTCGTTGTGGTGGTGCCATTCATTGAAACATAGAATATGTATCATGAACCAGTATGATACCAATCATGTGTACATGAGGAAAGTTACTGCTTGACTTAGGTTAAGAAAATGCATGGATGTGTTCAGTTGTTCCTGTTATGCACCACACTGGTTTTGGCTTTTTGCGTTCTCTTTTCCATACTCCTGACTTGCCATTTATTTCTCTTGTCAGATTCTAAACCTTGAAAAGCCTTTTACTTTGATTCTTGATGATGCATTGGCAAATTCTTTCATTGCTCCAGCAACAGATGATCTCAAAGACGACCAACAGCTTATATGTAAGTAAATTGTCCATCCTGTTGTACAATTACAATCTTAAATGGAACACTGAGGCCTGAGCTGAGTTCATGCCCTTGCATTAACTTCAAAGCTAGTTGTCATATGTCGTCGTACTCCTGCTACAGTAATTGACCGAGTAACACGTGTTTGTTTTGTCAACGTGGGTTGCTTTGATGAATCCAGTTGAGGAGTACGAGAGGTCGTTCGAGCAGAACGAAGAGCTGGGACTGAACGATTTGGACACGTCTTCAGCTGATGCAGCGTATAACGCTAGCTCCAGTTCTGCTGCCGTTGAAGAAGAGAAGTAGTTCTCTGCTCGTCCTGCGGGATTGTTTAGCAAATGCAGAAAGCAGATTAGAAATATTCCCCTTGATGGGTACAATGTGTGTCTTACAGGAAATGACTATTGTATCAAAGACGGAGAGAACCTGTTATCGTTTGATCAGATAATATGCTTAAACAGGCGAAGGAAAGTCAGTTATGGCTCATTCTAAACAACTACCGCGAAGAGTCTTTTACAAGGAACATTTAGTTTTATTAAAAAAGAAACGATTGATGACACTTAATAAGGCCAAAATTTCAGTTATGGTTGCCCTTAATTAATATAATATTGAATATTGATAGTTGATACAAATGTTTATAAACTAGGATGGTTACTTTTTTTTTTTTTGGCATAGATATTCCCAAAAGAGGGAAACATCAGATATGCAAGTCGACCACTTTTCATTGAACGGAAAAGAAGAGATGCAAGTCGACCAACTACCGACCAACGATAAGAGAGCATGCTTCACGTTACGTAGCAATAAATTATAAATCTCTTGCGAGAAGTTAATAGTAATTTAAGATTCTTCTGTTAAAATTATGAGAAGGCGTTAGTCGAAATAGAAACCCCTAGTATGAAAGACTATAAATACTCATTTTTTGCACATTTTTTCTTGAATATGAGAAGCTAAAACGAAAAAAATATTTTACGACAAAACAATAACAATAGCTCGCTTTTAGCAAAACTAAAAGACAAGCTAGGAATGGCGAGGAGATCGGCTTTAGTGCTAGCGACGGTGCTGGTGGCAACCTTTCTTTTCTCCGTGACGTTGGTTGAGTCGACGTGCGACCTACGGGAATATGGCCCACCGTACCCAATTGAGAATATTGCTGACGTGTTTTACCGTGACGTCGTCAGTTTCGCACTGTCGGTGAAGAACAAGGAACGCAAACCACCTCATCGAATGACGCTCGTAAGCATTGACGAGGGCGTCTTTTATCCTCTATCAGACTATGTCAGTTTCTATCGTTTCAAAATAACTACATCCAACCATTACGGCCAAGCAAAGTACTTAGTATTTGTCATTAATGAGCATCCCCTTCACAACTCGTTTACCCTGAAATGCTTCGACAGAATTTAGCTATGTACTAGTCGAGAGAGCTTTGGATTGGGGAGTTAATTATCTCTCTCATCTCATGGTGTACTTTCTTTTATTGGTTTAGTATTAATAATAATGGCCATGTTTGTAACTTGTAACATCAATCGTTATTTTCTAAAGGGTTAGCTAATAATACTCGTGAAAGATATCTAAAGGGTTGCTTGCTATATTATTTCATCAGCAGTGGATAACAAACCCTTCATCAAACCAGAAATTCGATCAATAGAACATACTACGGGCCAATATTCATCAGTTCAAAGTTTGTGGTCAAGTGCTAGCTTAGTTACTAACTAATCATAATAATAACAGTCCTAGACATCATAGAAGGTGGTAGAGAAACAGAAGGACTAAACAGACTACCAAATTCTTCGCAGGAGCTGGAGCTCCACCGCACCGCAAGCCCTCGAAGATCTGAGGGATCATGCTGTCGGAGATGACGCGGTAGGCGTGGTCTGTGAAGTGCCTCCCGTCCCAGAACATGTAATGGCTCCCCGGAGATCCGCAGTTGGTGTTGCTTGCATTACCGCAGCAACGGACCGCGTTGGAGTGCTCAAAGCCTGCAACAAGTTGAAGAAAAAAAAATCAAACAAAGATCAGAATCATGCCAAACCAAAACATGATCGATCATAACCAAAACAATTGCTATACTACCGAGGCTCCGGTAGTTGTGAAACAGCCGGTCCACTCCGCTCCAAATGTTCCCATAGACGATCCTGACATCCGGGAACTCTTTGCTCAGGTCGCGGACAAGCTTCTGCACGAGCTGGTTGTGGAGCTCGTGGTACGAGTTCCACGCCTTGCTGCAGAAGATCCCGTCCACATGCAGCATGCTTTCGTTTGTGCCCGGCAGACAGCCCCCTTGGTAAACTCCGAGGAGGACGATCTTCTTCGCCCCGTACTGGATTACCTTCTGAAAATTAATCAAATAGTGATGTGAAACAGAGAATGAAATTCACCAGGTCTAGCAAAGCAAGGGAGAATCAAGAACAAAGTATCACATACTTAATTAAAAACAGGAAATAATGAGACTTACCTTCGTCCCATTCTTGAGGGAATCAATTACATACGGCATTATAAGCATCTTGGCCCTCAGAGGGTGATCGTTGAAGAAGCTGTCGTTCATCTGAAAACTTGCATAATCATTCCCGCCGCCGCCCAAGACGAAAAGAGCTGACCCTATCTTGTCTGCGCGAGCTGCAAGGAAAGAGAGATTGTTCAACAGAGTTAGATTAGAGATAGTTCTCACAAGATAAATGAGTCGCGGGCGGGTTAATACAAAATAAATACTTACCAGGTTCTTCTCGGAGAAATTCATCGAACCACCCAAGCTGAACCTCCAAACTGCTCTGGGACGAACCGAGTTCGACATGCAAATCTGCTCGAAGCTCTTTGGACAAGAGCCCGACACCACCGACGGCAAAATTGGCGCCGGTCGAATGGTTCAGACTCTTGTTTTCGAACGGATTGGTCGGCGGTAGCCCCGCCGACTCAGCTACAAAATGAAAAAAAAAAAAAAAAGGGGACACCATATTAGATGGAGAAGCAGAAGCAGAGGAATCAGTCCAAGTGCTCAAAAAGAAAAATGCTAACTCAACTTACCGATTCTGTCCACTATTAGCAGCCCGTCGCAGAATCTTCCGGTGGCCTTCCCTATGGTCATTCCGTTGGGGAATTGGCCGGCGTAGGAGTTCGGGTACTCGACTATGGCATTGCCGGCGTCAGAAACGGAATCTCCAAATATATACATGGAAGAAATGGAACATGGTTCCAGTAATCCTTTTCCCGTAACAGATGGGTTGAGAGAAAGGAGTAGGGTAACCAGAACAAGGGGAAAGAGAGAGGATTTCATGGTTTTTGGAAAAAAGGATTGAACTTTATTATTTGCTCTGGGTGATAGTAAGTTTGCTCTGCTTTGTGTTTGTGCAGAGACTACAGAGTAGAAACGAGCCTATTTATAGTTAGCTGGTTTAGGCTGTGGTGGGCGAAAACTTCCTTAAGCTTTTGAGGTTGGAGATTCTGATGGGGCAAAAATGAGCGGATGTGAAGAGTTGGGTAGATGAATGCTTGGTTTGGGGATTCATGGTGTTTACACAAAAAATTATCCATCTACCACATCTGTTAACCATGGTAGGCAAGGTTGTTCCCTTCCCCTGTTACCAGATTCCGAGTGGGGAAAGCTTACACGTTTGAAAAGGTTTCCCAGATCGTGGTTCGGCAAAGGAAATCGGGAGTAGGGTTCTCTGAATCGATTTTAGTGGCGGAAACCTCTGCTTTCACGCTGGTCAGCGAAATCGTGGTATTTTTGAGATTGAGGGATGGCGGGGAGTGACGATCATGAGCACCACGAAGCAGATGATGGCTACTGCTCAAGCGTTTCTGCATCTTCTCTGGACTTGGTCTCTGCTGCGTTTGTTTTGCCAGTCGCTCTTTCAGTACTCCCAGAGAGACTTTCGTGCTAACTTGCCGGGATTCTTTCACCTCAAGTTTCATTCTCTTTTCTTAAACAAAAGATCGTGTAGCATCTCCAAAACATGATTAAGGAATGTATTACACATAAACAAATAAATAAAGCGATCATACTTAATTATATATTGAATTAAGAAAGGAAATGAATCTTGTGTAAAGAGATACTTAGCAAGTTAGCACTTTGTTTTTGTTTTGGTGTTTAATTAATGGATGATGAGCTTTTCCTTTTCGTCTAAAAAACTATAAAATTTATTTGATATCGTTCTTTGTAATTTATTTATAGAAAAGTTGGATACCTTTTTGCATAATTATATATCTTAGCTATGATTTAGTTTACAAATTTACAAATCTTTGCTCTGTTTTTTTATAATGTTTTCCAGAGACAGTGTTTCCCACGTGTTTCTTGCTAAGCCACCTACAAGGCTACAAGGCTGCAACGAGAAGTCAAGAACGCAAAAGATTCATCATTGGACCTGGGAAGAAGACAGCCGAAGAAGTTTGGAACTAAAAATAGAATTTGATTCCAATCACGCCTCCTCTCTGGTACAAAGGCACAGATCCGTTTCTTGACAGTGGGAAATTTCTGCTTCCTCTTCACTTCCAAGCTTCTGGACGTTATCAACCGCAGTCGTTTCTCAGTTCCTCTCGCCGGAAACGACGAGGGAGAGAGAAAGATTGGAGCTTTCCCACTCAAAAACGATGGAGCAAATATGGTGGGTTTTGGTCGCCACTGCAGCAGCATTGCTAATACCCTTGATCAAAATCGCCTTCTCCAAGTCCAAACCACTACGCTCCTCGAAGAAGAAATTAGCCGAATCGCCGGACCCAGAACCAGAATCAGAAGCATCGCAATCGGTCGAGCTTTCTGCTCCCTCTAATTCGCCGCCGGAGCTTCCCGTCGGGGAATACGAGGTGTTTCTGAGCTTCCGAGGTCCCGACACTCGCCTCACTTTCACCGATTTCCTCTACACCTACCTGGTTCAAGCCAAGATCCGCACTTTTAGGGATGACGACGAGCTCCGCAAGGGGGAGACAATTGGGCCCGAGCTCATCAAGGCAATTGAAGAGTCAAAGATTGGGATCCCCATTTTCTCCCCAAACTACGCCGCCAGCAAGTGGTGCCTCCAGGAGCTTGCGAAGATGGTGGAGTGCAAGAGGAAGAAAGGGCAGGTCATTTTGCCCGTGTTCTATTATGTTGAACCCACCGATGTAAGGCATCAGAGAGGGAGTTACAAGCAGGCGTTTGAGGAGCATAGCAAGAAGTTTGATAAGAAGACGGTGGATGAATGGAGGGCTGCTATGGAAGAGGTTGGAGCATTGAAAGGATGGGTTGTCAAGGACTCAATTTGGTAATGATTTCTTAGTATGTTCATGTGGTTTCTCAATGTGATTCCTTTTTCATCCTTTTGCTTGTATCTGTACTTAACCATGAAGATAATGATGCAGACATGTAAAGGAGTAGGGTTCTTTGGGGATTTGATTTGGTTGCGGTTGAAGCTGTCAATGCTAAATGACCTGATTTATTGTTGTTTCTTTGTTAGGCAAGGAGCTACAATTCAGAATCTGTTTTCAGCTGTATGGTCGGCATTGAGGAGGGAGTACTTGTTAGTGACTGATAGCTTGGTTGGGATTGAGCATCATGTAGAGGAAATGATGAAATTACTGGATTTGGATTCCAAAGAGGTGAAAATTGTTGGGATTTTTGGTATAAGTGGGATTGGCAAGACGACTATAGCCAAGGCTGTTTACAACAAACTGTTCGAGCAGTTTGATCATTGTTGCTTTTTGGAAGACGTGCGAGGAACGTTACAAGAATATGGGGGCACTGTCAAGTTGCAGAACAAGCTCATCTCTAGCGTTTTGAAGGTGGAAGCCGACATTGATAATGTTAGTCAAGGGGTCAACTTGATGAGAAACAGAGTCTTGAAGTACAAGCTTCTGATAATTCTTGATGATGTGGATAAGAAATTTGAATTCGACAAGATCTTAGGACATGCGGATGAGTTTTCCCCCGGTAGCAGGATTATTATCACAACAAGAGACAGGACAGTCCTTAATCGTCTTAAGGTGCATCTGAGATATGAACCCCCTGCAATGAATCCAGAACATGCTCTTCAACTTTTCAGCAAGCATGCCTTTGGTGAGGATTCTCCTCCAGAAGACTATGCAAAACTATCTTCTGACATTGTATCAACTGTAGCAGGGGTTCCTTCAGCCCTTAAGGATGTAGGGTCACGTTTGTCCGGAGAAGATAGAGCAGTGTGGGAAGAAACTTTGATGAAATTGAAAGATAAAGCCAGCGAGAACGGCAACTTGATAAGTTGAGGACCTGAGGTAACTTCTGTGGTACTAAGAAGGTTTTATCTTGAAATTTGAGTCTTTCAGAAGGTTATCTTGAACTTGCCAAGATTGACAACATTGAAGTACTCCAGTCTCTGGAAGTTCTAGAATATTTGAGATCAGTGTGCCTTCAGTTGATTACAAGATTGGCTTGTCTGTCCTAGTTAATTAAGTTAGAATTTCTACTCATAAAAAAGATGCAGTCTTTAGATGAGATTGAGGCCCTCAGGGGCTTGAAGGTGTTGGTGAAACTGGAGCTATTGGGGAGCTATATCTGCTTCTGCTTAATTCTTGGCTTATGAACTATTTGTCATATTGTTTAAACAAATGTATCACACTGCCTTGTAAACAGGTTTATGTCAGACATAAATTAGTCAGAGCTTGTTCATGCTCCAGAAATATTGTCTTCTCTAAAGTCTGCCTTTCTATTTGCATAAAAAGTTATACGTTTTAGACAATTGCTTCTGTTATCAATCAATGAACCAAATGGCATGACCAAAATAGGCAGATGCAAGAGAGCTGAACTTGAAGAAAGGTAAAGGATGGGTATGGTTGCTGCAGACACAGATGACAGGGGAGAAATGAAGATCAGCCTGTGGCTGCTCTCATCCCATCTGGAGATATCTGAGCAGTTAAAAAGCTTCTTTTTCTTTTATACTTCAGAGCTAATGGCTTTACATGTTTACAAGGGAAACATATGATGTCTGTGGAAGTAAGCATCTCACTTGACAGATAGCACTGTAACTATGATGCTAAGAGTGGCATTCATGACTCTGGTTACTGCTTTTTAGAATGAGAACTATGAGCTCTTTATATTTCTTCTGAGAAATGCAACTTTTATGAATTCCACAGTCTGAATCGAGCCATTTTAGAAATTCCCCAATGTTTGAATGGTTGTATTGTATTAAGTATTAACCAGACATGATAATTTGACCGGGAAGGATCTGAAATAGAAGGATACACCCCGAAACCAACCGAATCAGACCATCCGAAGTCCGAACCACGACCAAGGACCAACTCGGCTTGACTCATAAGTTGGTTGTTCATTGTAAGTTGATCCGCCACGGTACAAGGCACGCACGCGTTTCTTGACACAATAGAAAGTTCTTTCCATTCGTCTTCCAATTTGTTCGTCGCAAAAGCAAGCAAACTTTTCCCTGCACCCAGAAAGAGAAAGATTGCAGCTTTTCCACCCGCAAAACAAAATGGAGCAAATATGGTGGGTTCTGGTGGCTACGACGGCAGCGGCATTGCTGATACCCTTAATAGTCTTCTGCAAACCATTACTCTTCACGAAGAAAATAGCTGAATCTCCGGAACCAGAAGAAGAAGAAGAAGTATCGCAATCCGTAGAGTTGTCAACTCCTTCTGATTCGCCTTCGCAGCTTCCCGTCGGGGCATACGAGGTGTTTCTGAGCTTCCGAGGTCCCGACACTCGCCTCACGTTCACCGATTTCCTCTACACCTATCTGGTCCAAGCCAAGATCCGAACTTTCAGGGACGACGACGAGCTCCGCAAGGGGGAGACTATTGGGCCTGAACTCACCAAGGCCATTGAAGAGTCCAAGATTGGGATCCCAATTTTCTCCCCTGATTACGCCTCCAGCAAATGGTGCCTCCAGGAGCTTGCCCAAATGGTGGACTGCAAGAGAAAGAAAGGGCAGGTCATTTTGCCCATTTTCTATTATGTTGAACCCAACGATGTAAGGCATCAGAGAGGGAGTTACAAGCAGGCATTTGAGCAGCACAGCAAGAGGTTTGATAAGAAGACGGTGGATGAATGGAGGGTTGCTCTGGAAGAGGTTGGAGCATTGAAAGGATGGGTCGTGAAGGACTCAACTTGGTAAAAATTGCTTTTAGTTTATGCATTTCTTACTAGCGTTGATCTGTTAATGTGGCTTCTCAGTGTGACTTCTTAAGATTCTTCGGGATTGCACCATGGTTGCTATTGAAGCTCTCAACGGTTGGCTAGCTTAATGTAATTTTGTTTAAAGCTTCTCACTTTCTTCCTAATCTATTGTTGTTTCTTTGTTAGGCAAGGAGCTACAATTGAGAATCTGTTTTCAGCTGTCTGGTCGGCATTGAGGAGGGAGTATTTGTTAGTGACTGATAACTTGGTTGGCATTGAGCATCATGTAGAAGAAATTATCAAATTACTGGATTTGGACTGTGAAGAGGTGAAAATTGTTGGGATTCATGGTTTATGTGGGATCGGCAAGACAACTATAGCCAAGGCTGTTCACAACAAACTTTTTGAACAGTTTGATCATTGTTGCTTTCTGGAAGACGTACGAGAAACGCAACAAGAACATGGGGGCATTGTCAAGTTGCAAAACACACTCATCTCTAGCATCTTGAAGATGGAAGCCAACGTTGATAATGCTAGTCAAGGAATCAACATGATGAGAAACAGAGTCTGCAAATACAAACTTCTGATAATTCTTGATGACGTGGATACAAAATTTAAATTCGACAATATCTTAGGAAAGAGGGACTGGTTTTCCGCCGGTAGCAGGATAATCATTACAACGAGGGATAGGAAAGTCCTAAATCTTCTTAAGGTGAATGAGAGATACGAACCCCCTGCAATGAATCCAGACCATGCTCTTCAACTTTTCAGCAAGCATGCCTTTGGTAAGGATGCTCCTCCAGAAGACTATGCAGAACTATCTTCTGCCATTGTGTCAACTGCTGCAGGGGTTCCTTTGGCCCTTAATAATGTAGGGTCATATTTGTGCGGTGAAGATAGAGAAGTGTGGGAAGAAACGTTGGTGAGGTTGAAAGAAAAAGCCAGCGAGAATGGCAACATGATAAGTTGAGGTAACTTTTGTGGACGAACTCATGAACAACTCTTATAGATGTTTTTTAACATGACATGGTTCTTGACTAGAAAGAATGAAGAAATCGCTTGGTACATTTGGATTGGGCGATTGGCTGACACTTTTATCTTACAAGAAGCAATTGTCCTTTTTCCTAGGTCTTTGGTGAAGATTGGAGCATTTATCATGCATGATCAGCTTAATGACCTTGGTGGAGCTAGTATCCGTGAAGAAAATATTGAAGAGCTGAGGAAGCATAATTGATTGTGGTCTAATGAAGATACTTTGGTTGTGCTAAAGAGAAAGAAGGTATTATCGAAGCCCAAAATAAGTGTAGCTATTTTTCAGCTTTAACCTAAAAAAAATTCACTGTGCAGCAGTTGAAGCCGGTTAAAGGCCCTTCGAGTCAACATGCAGTTGAATCTGCAGAATAGTTTTGGTTGCTGCAGACAGAAACGCTACATGGGGGGACTTAAAGATCAGCCTGTGGCTGCTATCATCCAACTGGAGACATCTCTGTAGTTGAAAGGGTTGGTTTTGACTCACGAGGTAATGACTTCTCATGTTTACTATTAATTGTACACGGGAACATATGATGTCTGTGGAAGGATAAGTTAATTGGTTGGATGATGCCGGTTAGACATGTCCAGCATCACACTGCTGAGAGAGCACTGAATTATGATGCTAGAATGACATTCACTACACTGTGTTATTGGTTTTTACAATGAGAACTAAGGGGTCGTTTGGTTTTGGTGATTGTTTGGTTGGGATAGTTACAATGCATGCATTGTCCATAATGTATTGTTTTTTTTGAATTCTTCTTAGAAATGCAGCTTTTATGAATTATACAGTTCAAATCATGCCATTTAGAAATCCCTGATGTTTGCATTATTGGATTGAACTATAATATGAAGACTATGTTGATATCCAGACCATGCTCTTCAACTTTTCAGCAAGCATGCCTTTGGTAAGGATTCTCCTCCAGAAGACTATGCAGAACTATCTTCTGACATTGTATCAACTGCAGCAGGGGTTCCTTCAGCCCTTAAGGATGTAGGGTCATGTTTGTCCGGAGAAGATAGAGCAGTGTGGGAAGAAACTTTGATGAAGTTGAAAGATTAAGCCAGCGAGAATGGCAACATGATAAGTTGAGGATCTGAGGTAACTTCTGTGGTACTAGCATGAACAGCATACAGATGTTTCTTGACATTACATGGTTATTGACTAGAAAGAATGAAGAAATCACTTCGCACATTTGGCATGACTGTGAATCTTATCCATAAGTAGATTAAGTCTTTTTCTTATCTTACAAGAAACAATCGTCCTTTTCCGTAGCTCATTGGTAAAGATTGAAGAAATATAATACGTTTAGGATGCATGATCGGCTTAATGGCCTTGGTGGAGCTATTATCCGTGAAGAAATACTGAAGAGCCAACGAACCATAGTTGATTATGATCTAATGAAGATGCCTTTGCTGTGCTAATCGAGAAGCTACTGTCTGGGGTGGCTTGAGTGATAAGGCTTGCGGGTTAGCATGGTGTGCTCCCTGGTTCTAATCCCACAGCCTTTCCATTCTGAAGAAATCCTTTGGCGGCCACCAGCAGGGCTATAGCACTTGAGAATTTCAGATGGTTTGAGCTTGAAATTTGAGTCTTTCAGTAGGTTTCATCTTGAACTTGCTCAAGATTGACACCATTGAAGTTCTTCAGTCTCTGGAAGCTCTAGAACATTTGAGATCAGTGTGCCTTCAGTTGATTATAAGATTGCCTTGTCTGTCCTAGTTAATTAAGTTAGAATTTCTATTCGTAAAAAAGCTGCAGTCTTTAGATGAGATTGAGACCCTCATGCCTCAGGGACTTGAAGCTATTGGAGAAACTGAACCTACTGGTGAGTTACAAGCAGGCACATGAGTAGCACAAGAAGAATTTCTACCTGTATCTGGTTAATTCTTGGCTTAAATGAGCAATTTGTCATATTGTTTAAACAAATGATATCACACTGCCTTGTAAACAGTTTTTTTGATAACTTTGTATGCATATTGAAAGGCAGACTTTCGAGAAGACTTTCGAGATAACTCTGTTAATAGTTAATACTATTTTCATCATTATAAAAAAAAATATATGCATACAAAGTTATACTTTTTAGACAATTGCTTCTGTTACCAATCAATGAACCAAATCACATGACCAAAATAGGCAGATACAAGAAACTGAACTTGAAGAAAGGTAAATGATGGGTATGGTTGCTGCAGACAGAGATGACACATGGGTGAAGTGAAGATCAGCCATGGCTGCCATCATACCTGAGCAGTTTAAAAAGCTTAACTTTTTACTTCAGAGTTCAGATGTAATGGCTTTGCATGTTTTCACGGGCAACATATGATCTCTGTGGAAGTAAAGCATCTCACTTGACAGAGAGCACTGAACAATGTTGTTAGAATGGCATTCATAACTCTGGTTACTGGTTTTTAGAATGAGATCTTGGAGCTCTTTAGATTTCTTCCGAGAAATGCACATACTATGAATTCCACAGTGTGAATCGAGCCATTTAGAAATTGCCAATGTTTGAATGGTTGTATTGTATTAAACTATAATGACTACTGATAGAATGGCAATTCATTGACTACTGATGGACATATTATGTTCTACACCATACCATTGCATAGTTAGAGGACGCATAATCGTAACCTATGAGATCAATCGACGAAACATTTGTTGAGGTCGATTCGAAATATTTCTGGAAACTTGTTCTGCTTGATATTTGCTATGCTGAACCGATAACGCTAATAATGCAAACACATTTGATAGCAAAGAGGGAAAATATTGGTTTTAACCGTCTGAATAAAAAGATCACATGAAAAACAAGTTACTATCAGGGTAAAGTAATATATCAATTTTCTGGACGAAACTAGCCCCGCCTCCATTCTACTGTCTCATACTTCGCAACCTCACCACGTTTTTGTTGAACCGAAGCCTGAAGCCGCGGGGAAATGTCAGCACCGGTAACCGCACAGGCAGCTCTATCATGTGCGCAGTGGAGAAGGATCGACGCCGGTGCAAATCCCTGTCACTCCACTCTTAGCAGCAGTGGAAGAGCTGTCGCCTTCATTAGTCGTATCCCCTGCTACCCAATTCTTGCTCGGTCGTTCAAAATCGGTTCTTCTTCGACATCTTCTTCGCCTTTTGAGCTCTCGCCTCCTCCAATCGATCATGACCTTCTTGTAAGCTCCCCTCGCTCTCTCACTCTCTGTCGGGTCTTCGTCGAATTGGGAGCTTTTTCATGGGTAAATTAAGTTGTCGCTTGTCGAAATGGGAATTGGGCAAAATATAGAGCAGGTCAGTGATTTAGATTCCAGTTAATGGAAAGAGTGGATTAAAGCTTGTTACTTTTGCAGGAGGAGATTACAGGGGATGGGGCAACGGTTTCAGAAGATGGGATTATTGAGACATTTGGCAATGACGATGAAGCCTTGGATGCCTTTGACAATGGGGTAGTGGTGAGTTTCCCCCCTGAACTAGCAAAATTATTGAGGTAGAAACAAGTGTCTAGCTCTCTACTCTTTGCCCCACATTCCACCACTGAACTGAACAGTATGGATTTGGTTTTATGCTCTTTTTCATTCGTTTAGGTTCACCAAATTGACACATTTCTCTCTGATGTTCAGGTTTCAGATCTCTCACACTTTGGACGGATAAGAGGTAAGTTTTTTTTGCCTCTATTCTTATGTGGCTACTCAAAGCTTCCTTACCTTTGATACCCCTTTGTTCTTGTTCCCTTTTTTAGCTTTTGGAACATGAATGAGAACGAATCCATGGACTCTTTCTTTCTACTGGTTCTTTAAAAATTTGATGACTTTGGAAGTTGATAAATCGGAATCATAATTAAATTTCAACATATCGATACTCACAAACTAAGACGGGCATGGACCATCTGTCTTGTCTGTGATCTGTTAATGATAGACTGTAGGTTCATGTTTCCCCATGATACTATATGAATGTCTTTAATTTACATTTCTCCCTTTCTTAATTACAGTGTCAAGGATTAGTTCATAGGTTGTTTCAACTGCATATTAATTGATGGTTTTATTTGCATTGACTACTGTGGTTGTGTGACCTGAATGTTCTGGTCTGTGTGTGTTCCTATGGATTTTGATTTGATATTATGAGAAATTGGAATGTCAAATCTGCCAAATATATGGATGTGGAACCATATTGGAGCTTGGATGTTCTTGAAATTGTTTAACAACAATGGTTCGGTTTCCATTTTGAAGTCAGTGGAGATGATAGAATTCAGTTTCTCCACAACCAAAGTACAGCGAATTTTGAATGTCTTCAACAAGGACAGGTATGTTTTCAGAGGAATACACCACTTTGTATTCGACCTGTTCAATAATGAATACTTTTCCTATAGTGCTGTGTATATAATCTACCAAAAATCTTTCCTCTGCTTTAAATTTGATGCAGTTTTATATGGAATTATTGATAGGGTTTGTTCGATTGAAATCAATAGGGATGTGATACAGTTTTTGTTACACCAACAGCTCGAACGATTGATATTTCACATGCCTGGAACATGGTAGTCTTCCTTCTTTGATTAGTGTCTTATTCGACTTTCTACCCATTTGTAACTCATGATTTTCCTGTGTCCTGCAGAAAAACTCAGTTTTGTTAATGGTCTATCCTCAGACTTGTAGCAGCATAACTCAGATGTTGAATAAGTATGCTCACTTCATGTCTTATTTGTTCTCTCCCTATTCTCAGCTTTATGGCTGAGTAGTTATGTGGTGTGAGTAGAAAATTCAATGTTTGTATTGTATGTAAGTTGTTTGTCCCAGTGATATAATCGATCTAAGTTGACGGAGAAACTCCAATGTTTGTATTGTGTGTCATGTGGGGTAAATATTAGTTTTAGTATTGAGGAAGTTTCCAATAATTTGAAATGTACTACTTCGGCATTCGAAAGACAAGTTTGGAGTTTCTTTACATATTTCTGTTGGCTTTTTTCTCTGCAGGTACATATTTTTTGCTGACAAGGTGGAAGTTGAAGACATCACCAAGAAAACTAGCTTATTTATTTTAGCAGGGCCAAAAAGCAACCAGGTAACACACTTTCTTTTATCATTTTTAAAAGATCGAGAAGTAAACATTAAGCCTTTGTTTTGTTGTGCTAACAGGTAATCGAGAGTCTAAATGTTGGCAATCTCGTCGGGCAACCTTATGGTACACATCACCATTACACTGTAAGCATGATGTTTGTTTCCGTGCAAAACATTTATCTTTTTCTTAGTGAACGCTCTCTGAAGCATTAAAGCATGAGAAGTCTGAAGCTTTTAGTTACCCTAGGTATACTGCATAATAGGAAGTGTGCCACAGCTGATGAATGGAGCTGGTCTTTGTATTTTTAGGTAAATGGGATGCCTCTAACCATAGGGGTAGGAAGTATCATATCCGAAGAAGGTTACACACTGTTAATGTCCCCTGCTGCGGCTGGGACTGTCTGGAAGTCCCTCTTATCGCAAGGTGCCCTTCCAATGGGTTCTAATGCCTGGGAAAAGCTAAGGGTTGTTCAAGGTCAATGATTTTCAATCTCTAAAACTTGGAGTTCTTCGCCACTTGTTTATTTTTGCCTGTTGAATTCTTCAACTCTGAGAAGCACCTCTTGCATTGATGACTGCTTATTGATTTTTAGAGCTATCCAAATCCATCGTAACCACTTTCAAGTTTCTATGTAAGTAAAACTCTGAAAAGACTGAAACTTTCACAGGAAGACCAGCCCCTGGTAAGGAACTGACGGATGAATTCAACGTTTTGGAGGCTGGTCTCTGGAATTCCATTTCTCTAAACAAGGGTACCTACTTACTATTCACTACTAAAGAAGAAAAGAAGCAGCTTTTATGGAGATGCAAAATTCATTTCTGATTGCATACACCACCCTTCTTTTCCCCGCCTCTGCTAGGGTGTTATAAGGGACAAGAAACCGTCTCTCGACTCATAACGTACGATGGAGTGAAGCAGACGCTATGGGGGATTCACCTTTCAGCCGCAGCTGAACCTGGAACCCTCATCACAGTCGATGGTAAAAAGGTATGTGCTCAAGTCTTGTAGAATTATTCTCTTATAGAAGAAACTTGTTTCCAGAGATGTCTACTGTTGTGATCTGTGATTTGATCTGGATTTTGAAACCGGCATAATAGGTGGGAAAGCTGACGAGCTATACATATGGAAGAGAAGGATCCAACGAACATTATGGATTAGGATACATCAGAAGGCAAGCGGCTTCCCTGGGAAAGACGGTTGCCATTGGGGACGACATTGTTGGAACCTTGGTCGAAGCTCCTTTCCTCTCTCGCCAATCACCTCCACCAATCCCATCAAAGAGCTCCAGCTAGCTCCTCGAAATCTGGCTGAAGCAACTGGTCACACAAAAAATGTGTTCCAGAAGGAAAAACTGCATGTACTAGTTTCAGACTCTTTAATGTTGTAACATTAATATAAGAACTGTGATGCTTACATATGTCGAGTTGGCTGGTGAATTTTACCAAGGAATATAAGAATTATGATGGCAAGCAATAGGTGGGTTAATGCTGGTGGCCACTGGCCAGGGATTTCTTGTAGGGAAAATAAAAGAAGCCATTTAAAAAGGTTAAGGCTTAGGCTTTCTTCAGAAAAATTATTGCTCTCGTTGAGAGTCGAACTCAAGACCTCCCGCTTACTAAACGGGTGCTCTAACCAACTGAGCTACGAGAGCTTCTTTGGTGAATTTTGTTGTTTCATCATTAAGAAATCGTTAGTGTATGGATCCTAGCTAGTACATTAATATGTGCAATTAGAATATGAATGCTTATAAATACAACTTGTAAATTACAATTGGCTAATCAAGTGAACTTTAATTAATTATGTTGATGGTAAAGCGATAGTTATACACTTGCCGCCCGTTCTCTTATGTTAATTGGCCCTATAAAATCACAAGATGGGGTGACAATTTCAGAGGTCTTAACCATTGAAAGCACTGCACAAATTCACTTTGGTTGGAAACTTTGGTTTTCTAACAAAAAGCCAAACGTTGAATGCCCTACTATTGTACTAATGACAAAAACAAATATAGCTTCCTTTCTTTGATGTTGATTGTAGGGAAGTTCTTATAAACATATGGAAATAATTTGAAGGAAGAAGAACGAGACCACAAAAAGGAGGAGAAAGAAATTGCATGCGATTGACAACACGAGTTTGGTTTAGTGGTAACATCTCTATTTTTGAACTATGGCATAACTAACTTTAATTAGTTTTACTCAGATTCTAGGATCGTTATTATTATTATTATTATTTATTAAAAGCCATTATGACACACACTCGTCCATCGAGCCTGTTCAAGTTCAATACTCCGTTCAAATAAAATCATGGCTAAAAGAGTGGCAAAGACATTGCTGATTGGTCGATCGTGGCTAAAAGAGTGGACAGGTTGGTTGCTGATCAGTGGTTTCATTACCTTATTTCCAGTGTTCTTCCGAGGACTCTTTCCGTTGGGGGCGAGTAATGATCCCCCGCAGCACCCATCTTCTTGACGTCTAGCGACTGCGCAGGTGCCGTTTCTTGCGGGAAGCACCGTGTTTTTCTTATTCTGGTGTCTGCCTTTTTTGTTTTAGTTGTTCGGCTATCGCTTCTGTCTTTGGTTGGTGGCGCTGGATTCTTGCGCCCTCGCCTTTTCTTTTGTGTTGTTCTTGTTGTTTTCCTCTTGTAATCTAAACTTATTTCACCCTTATTAAAAAAAAATCATGGTTTCATCGTGGTTAACCGTAGTTGTAGGACAAAATGTTTATCAGAGTAGCATGTTTGATTATTTTTTTAAAACTACATGAGTATATCTAATATAAAGATAGTATGATAAAAATGCATAGTAGAACGACATTGGCACTGCATAGTCGAACAACTTTGACTATCGTTCTGGTGAATCATTAACTCTTAACGTTCATTTAACTTTAAGAGTAGAAACATATATACCCTTAAATTCTCTCGAAACATTTAAGGGTATATATGTCGGTAACGGGATATGAATCAATGACAAAGATGGAGTACTTGGCTTGGCCGTCGTAATGGTTGGATGTAGTTATGTTGAATCGATAGAAACTATTAAAGTCCGATGAAGGATAATAAACGCCCTCGTCAATGCTCACGAGCTTCATTCGATGAGGCTCATCGGAGCGTTCCTTGTTCTTCTCCGTCAGCGCGAAATCGACAATTTCACGGTAAAACTCGTCGGAAATATCCTTTTCCTTTATTGGGTGTGGCGTGCCGTATTCTCGTAGGTCGCACGTCGGCTTAACCACCGAGAAAAGGAAGGTTGCCGCGAGGAGCAGAGCCGCCAGCACCGGAGGTGACATCCTCATCCTCGTCATTTCTAGGTTTTTTTTTTTTTTGTCTTTTTAGTTTTGCTAACCGCAGTTTGTTTGGTCGTAAAATATTTTTATTTTCTTTTTGGATTTATCTTCCCATATTCAAGAACAAGTGTGGTGGTGGAAACGAGTATTTATAGTCTATTAGTCTATAATATACAGAGATTGTATTTTGACTAACGTCTTTTCCTCGTAAATTGAATTGGAAAGAGATTTATTACTAATTAACCATCTATTAGTTTTCATTTGTAAGAATTAATGGTCACCATAAGTCCATAAACTGATATTTTGGTCTTTATTAAAAGTCGTCAATCGTTTCTTTTTTTAATAACACTAAATGTTCCTTAAAAAAAAAAAAACTCTGTTCGATCGCGGTAGTTGTTGAGAATGAGCCATAACTGACTTCCCTTCACTTGTTTAATTGAGCAAGCATAGAGGTAAATTTATAGGCTACAGAGTCCTTAGTAGTTTTCATCTCGAATTAGGAGACCCTTATTCTTGTCGAGTTGTTTGCTGTGCGGGAAGAGCTTTTCATTGCAGCGAATCGCCAGATTCATGGAGTGGTGATTGAAGGCGATTCATAGGTGATCATTCGTAAGTTCTATAAAGGTTTCTTGTCAGATGCCTTGGGTGCTAATAGCCTTCGAGCGTCCCTCTTGGTGGAGAGTTTAAAGGGCGATCCCTCGTGATATCAGTTGGGTTGTTCATAGAGTGGCAAGTAAAGCCTCTTTCGCTGCCGTTTTTCACACTTTGATTAGAGTTGGTGAGATTTGTAGGGTTGAGGTTTTGTTGTGTATTGTTTTTACTTATTATTGCCATTTCTCGGTTAAAAAATCTTGAGAGAAATAAACAATTTGAGGTTTTAAGATGGGGAATAATTCACAAGCAAGAGACACATTGTAATACAAAACTAACTATAGCAACAATCTCTCAAAATCCGGCAAGCCTCCGATCGCCGTTCATCGCTCAAACCCGCCGGAAAACTGACCGAAAACCTAATGAGAAAATCCCCTTTCCTCCCCTTCTCGCCGGGAACCGGCATGCCTTGCCCTCGAATCACCTTCTGGTAGCCGGGAGATATGACCTCGCCGTCGGCGAACGACAGCCACATGTTCTCCCGGCCGATCAACGGCACCGACAGTGTGCAACCCGCGAGCGCGTCCGTCAGCGACACCTCCATCTCGTGGACCAAGTTGTCGCCGTCGCGGCTGAACAGATGGTGCGGCTTCTCGTTGACCACGAACACGACGTCCGGCGGGAGGAACCCGAGCCGGTCGTCTCCTTTCCCTTCGAAGGTGATCTTCGTCCCCGCCTTCCACCCCGGCATCAGTTTTATCTTCAGGGTCTCTTCTTCCGGCATGAATATCCTGCACCAACCGTCGGTGTCATTACGTTCGAATAACTCAAAATTGTCAGAAAAAGTACACATATGAACGTTAACCACTTTCTTATAGCATCTTCTCAAACAAAAACTGACTAATGAACTCAAAGTTTTCACTTTGCATAAGCCTTATCGAGGGCGTGAAACATGTTTTCTTGCGACGATATAATACCATGTTACAAAACCAACTGATTTCAGTAAATCGAATTTTTCGAATTTTTTTTAATGAATTTCAATCACTTTCTTACGTGTACGTTGTAACGCAAATGAAATACGTACCCGTTAACATTTGATGACATATGGAGTGATATTGACACGCTTTGACCTGGGATAACTCAGATTGTTGGAGAGGTCCATATATGAATGTTAATCACTTTTGTACGTACTTTCCTCTCGAAAGCTAAATTATGAACTTAATGTTTGTGCAGATCACCCTACCAAATGTTATGAAGACTCGAACATAAGCATGTCATGATCAAACTAGTTTTGATATCATGTTGACATGCAAAACCTAAAGAGATTCAGGGAAATATTCATGTATGAATTTTAACCACTTTCTAACGTGTCGTTACGTACCCGTTAGCGTCGACAACGTGTCGAGTGATCTTGACCCTTTTGATCCGGCCGCGGAACAGCTCCTCGAGGGTGCAGTCGAGCGCCATCTCAATGGGAGGAGCCTTCTTCGTGGGGAGATAGTTGAGCGACCTCGACTGCGTGAACACCATCGGAGCAACGCTTCTCCTCATCGCCGACGACGAACATGGGGTTTCGCTACTGCTAACAACGTTGATATTGTTGTTCCCCGTCGTCGGCGAACAAGCAGTACTGTTGCTCCTTCTGCTCAGCTTCTTGAGAAGGACCAACGGCCGTAAGAAGAATCCCCCCTGATCCGTCCCCTTCTTGTTGGAACCCCCGGCCGGCGGTGGCGATTGCACGATCGGCGCCAGCAGCTGGTTGGGCGGCTTCTCCGCGACGTCGTTTTGCTCGTTTGCGGCCTGGATGTTAATTATATTATACACCTACGTAACGTGGAAGAGTAGTGATCATATATAGATAGATAGAAGATTAATTGTTCGATGGATTTTGTTTCCACGTTAAATTAGTAGAAGACGATGGTTCATGCATGCATGCATGCATTACCTACGTACGTACCTTGGACGCGTCGACGTTGGTTTCTGGAGTTTCAGGCGGCGGGTTTGTTTCGTCAATGGCGGATGATGACGTGGAGCTTTGGCATCTCTTGTGGAACGACTTGTAGGAGTTGCAGAGTTCCTTAAACGACCGGCTTTTCGACGACGACATCCCGAGGAGGGTGTGAAGCTGTCTCGACGGTGAAGGCGGCGTCGGCGTCGTCGTGATCTCTCCCATGATGAGGATCAGATGATTTACAGGGGATGGGATGGGATTGGCGAGAGGAGGCTTACAATCGAATATGGAGTCTGGATGATGATTTACAGCTTCTAACTCGAGCTTTTGTTATAGCTTTTTTTTTTAGCAAGGCCGCAAAACAGAAGCAAATTGTACGCTTTGGTAATTACTTGCTTCAGTTTTTCTTGGGTATTATTACGTACTCTTTCTGTTGTGGTTTTCGCATTTCAGTTTTGGAAAGTTTGAACTCTGTCGTTTAGTGTTTTCTATGTTTAGATCGATGGGATAATAGCTAGGTTTTGGTCTTCAGTTCTGAACTTTTTTTTTTCCCTAGCCGACCATTGTCGAGGAAGACAATGGATTAACTGCAATTAGGTTACGGGCACGGGCTACTGATGAATTCAGTGGTCCGGAAGAAAGTAAAGGTTACCCGATGAAGATCAGCAGCGATTGAGACCAATAATTTAAAAACGAATTATGGGTGGATTTACCGGTTTGGCAAATCGAGTTTTTTTTTAAATAATAATTAATTATGTGTCACAAAATTGTACAATAACCTAACTGAATATCAAAGCTACGAAATTCACGAAAATCGATAAATGTTAAAGCGTATCTGTTAGCGAGTTGTATTGCACAAATCTATAACATCAATCACTTCATTTGTGAACAAAAAAGACTGATAGTTATCATGTTGTTTTGAATATAATTGACATATGGGGTTTCTATGGTAATTAACTCGAGCAAAATTTATGAAAATAATGATCTTTTAATCGAATCATGATTAACATGTTGAGATAGAACAGAGTTTTGGCCGCCTCGTCGGCGCGGCTGCCTGCCTGTCTCCGGCGACAGTTTCCACTTTCCCCCCTTCTTCGAGAGAGATGTCCACGTGGCTGTAAACACTTGACACACGTTTGCATGATGATGATAAGAACAAATTAATAATAAACTAACGTACACTTGAACTTAGCCCTAAAAGCCCTCAGTCTAAAGTCAATCAAATATATCCTTTGTGTACAAGGAAACGAGATGTGGCGTTCATGCGTGGCGGTAACCGGTACTAATTAGACATGCTTTTGGGTACAATAGTCGTACTGATCAACTAGTAGCCCTAGTTAATACATGCAATTTACATGTGCAAATCCTTGGAGAGGTTTCAAAATGCCACGTTGCATGCATTCATGCATGCTCGCGTAACGTTATTTTTTGAAGAGCCATGCCAGAAACGCGTCACTTGTCACCACATCCATGACATCCTCAAACACGTGCATGCATGACCTTAGCTCTTTTGTACCTAACCGGTAGGGGTGGCTATACGGTCGGGTCCGGTTAAATTGGAACAAATTGATCCGGTCCCAGTCCGGTCTTTTTGGGAATATAAGGACCAAAGATTGGATTGGATACAGTCCGGTCTTGATCCAGTCCGGTCTTGACCCGGTCCGGTCCCAATTCTATCTTGATTTTTGGTGTTGGGGGTCTCTTATCCGGTTTTTACCTCAAATCTAAGCCCGAATATGAGATTGCATTGTTTGCTATCCGGTCCCAGTCCGGTCTCGGTCCGGATTATACGGTCCGGTTTTCGGGTAAAACCAAACAGTCCGGGACCAAATAGCTAGCTCTACTAACCGGCCTCGCGTGTTGTTAGTAATTGATATATAATTCGTAATTGAATACCCTCTTACTCAACAATTAAAGTTAATTAGTTCTTAATATGATATCAGAGCATTCCGTGACACATAGATTTTATGTTCGAATCACGATGATCAGTATTTAACGAGTATATTAGTAAATGACATACGATGATCAATAGTTGAACTGTCTCCAAACAATTCGACTTATTTGAACCTACAACAACAATTGTTTCTCTCTCTTCCACCCCTGTGGTATCTTTCTCTATATATATATATACGTAACCCACATTCCTCTTTCTCCCAACATACCTAAACCCAAAACTCAACCATCTTGCTCACTTCGATCTCCACAAACACACACTAACTACTCGATGGAGGCAGCAGCCGATCACAAACCCGCTATGTCAGTCCACAACACCACCGTGGTTATCATCGGCGCCGGCCCCGCCGGCCTAGCCACCTCCGTCTGCCTCTCCAAGCTCTCCATCGCCAACACGATCCTCGAGAAAGAGCACGTCGCTTGCTCCCTGTGGAAAAACCGCGCCTACGACCGCCTCCGCCTCCACGTCGCCAAGCAATACTGCCACCTCCCCTTCGCGCCACCTCACTCGTCCTCCCTCCCGACCTTCATGTCCAAGGACCAGTTCGTGTCCTACGTGGACACCTACGTGTCCACGTTCCGCATCAAACCCACGTTCGACCGCCACGTCACCAGCGCGGCGTACGATGCCGGGACGGGGAAGTGGAGGGTGGAAGCGCAGGCCGCGGGCGGGAGGAGGGAAGTCTACGTGGCGGAGTTTTTGGTCGTGGCGGCTGGCGAAAACGGCGTGCCGTTTTTCCCGAGAGTGGATGGGATGGAAGGGTTTGGTGGTTTGACGGTTCACTCCAGCGGGTACAGAAACGGGTCGGGTTTCGCGGGGAAGGACGTGTTGGTGGTCGGGTGCGGGAATTCGGGTATGGAGATCGGGTTGGATCTGTGTAACCACGGAGCTCGTGTCTCTATTGTAGTGAGGAATCCGGTAAGTAAAAAAACTATTTTCCTTACGTGGCATCTGTGTCGTCCACGTGGACGACACGTCACGCGGTCAGATAAAAATTTGAACTATTGGTGTAAAATAATGCAGTTTCACGTGGTGACGAGGGGAATGGTGTATTTGGGAATGCGAATGATGAAATACATGAAGATGGAGTACGTGGACTCGATCGTTGCCTCCGTGGCGAACTTGTACTACGGTGATTTGTCCAAGTATGGGATTCACCGCCCCTCCGACGGACCTTTCACGTACAAGTCCACCGCCGGCAAGACTCCCGTCATCGACGTCGGGACCATCGACAAAATCCGCGCCGGACAAATTCAAGTAACTTTCATTAACACACACATCAGATTTATTTTAAGGATAATTGGATAGTAAAAGTCTGTATTGCCCTTCCGATTTTTTTTATGGGGTTCGAATGATTCCGCAGGTAGTTCCAGGAATCAAGAGAGTGAAGGGAAGGAACGAGGTGGAGTTCGCGGATGGAACGACGCGTCGTTTTGATGCCATTGTGTTTGCTACTGGTTACAGAAGCTCTGCAAATAGTTGGCTCAAGGTTGATAACACTATATAAATACGTATATATTATTGGTAAATAGTTAATTAGGTTATATAATAATAATGATGTTTTTTTTTTTTTTTTTTTTTGCATGCATGAATTGGCAGGACTTCAGGTACATATTTAACGAGGAGGGGATGCCGAAGAATCGAACGCCAGACCACTGGAAAGGAGAGAATGGGATTTACTGTGCTGGATACTCGAAGATGGGTATTAATGGAATTTCCAATGACGCCGAAGCAATCTCTCAGGACATCATGAGCCAAATTATGAAGAACAACTAAGTCGTCGGTGAAGTAATTTCAAAGAATTAGTGTGCAATAAGGGGATTGTATATACAGAAATAATAGTTGTTGAGATTCGAGTCATTGTATAGTTTGGAAATTAAGTTCGTTGAAGAGGCTGATCCTGATATGAAATATGGGGGTTCTTGTCCGATCTCTCGTGAGTTGTAGTGTTGTGATGTCTTGTTAAATATGATTAATATATATCCTTATTAATTAATGATATGGTGCAAGTCTTGTTAGTTTTTAAGGATATGGAGATATAACTCTTGGTTATCACATCTTATATAGCAAGTATATGGGGGTCTTGATCAGGTTGTTAATGTCGTTAGTTTGAAAATACCGTTCCTGATATTAAAAAAACGGAGTCTTTGTCTGAGCTCTCCTCAGTTATTGAGTACTTGTGGTGTGCTGGTGAATAATAATTAGTGCGTTCTCAATAATGACATGTTGTACGTCATTAAGGATTTGGTTATAGTAATGGTAAACCCGCCGGTTATAACATCTTCTACGTAATGATTGTGGATTTTTTTTCCCGTAATCCTTTTAAGAGATAATATAGTAAGCATTTGTGCCTCTATTAGTTGGCATTTGAAAATTCGTATAATAAAGATTAATTAATAACGCATTCGTTTGATCGATTAATAAGCTTTCTAATATCGATTAGTAAGTATTGAAAGATTAATGAATATCATGATTGTGAGGTCATTAATAAGATTAGGGATGACCAATTGATGAGTTTTCTTTCTCCGAATCTTTGATTCCTCCCATTTTGATTGGCTGTGTAAAACCAAACGCAGTCGTTGAGAAAGAGGACGAAATGTCCTTTGGGCCTTGGGTCCTGCTCTTGTTTAAAGGCCTTCATTGATGGGTCGGCCCGCTAAGCCTATGAAGCCCATTGTCAGCAATGTCTTGCGACTTAAGAGAGCCGAAACGCCTGACACTCCACCCTGCAGCTTGAGCTTCAAAAATTGCAAGAAAAACTTCCTCACAGAAAACCAAAATAGAGTGGCAGAAAAATGGCGGCAGAGTCTTCCTCGGCAGCGGCGATGGCGGAGGAGCTGACGCTAACCGTGAAGTGGAGTGGCAAGGAGTACACTGTCCGCGTCTGCGGAGACGACTCGGTGGCCGAGTTGAAGCGGCGAATCTGCGAAGTCACGAATGTACTGCCCAAGAGACAGAAGCTCTTGTACCCTAAAATCGGCAACAAGCTCGCCGACGACACCGTTCTCCTCTCCCAGCTTCCCCTTAAGTCTTCGCTCAAGATGACGATGATCGGGTTCGATTCTCCTCTCTTTTCTTCGTCAATCAAAAGCCTGTATTGGGTTCCAGATTATGGGAATTTTGCCGTGTGTCGGTGCGGATCGTGATTGTCTAGGACGAAGCATTTAGAAATTCGTATTCTATCTTTTTTTTTGTTGGGTTCTCTTGCCTCTATTGCAGTTTTATTCCTTTACTCTCTAATACTTAGAACTGGGTGTTGGGCTGTTGGCTTGGCTGTTGGGTTTTACAGAACGGTTGAGGATGACATAATTGTTGACCCAGTGGATGACCCGGAGATTGTTGACGATTTTGAGCTTGGGCAAGATGAAGCCGTCGAGATTAAGGACAAGGAAGTTAATAAGATGAAGTTGAAGAGGCGCACAGACCAATACAAGGTAAAGTTCTCATCTTTTTTTGTTATGACACACGATTCAGAGTAGTGGAATGAGCTTAGTCAAGGAGCACATTTTTCTTTTCTAGATTGATGTTTATTTGTTCACTTGAGTAAATTATCTAAGTTTCTGGTGTGGTATTGATGTTTCAAGGGTATCAATTCCCTTGAAATGTAGCTGCTGTTTTGAGCACGAGTCTTGCCATTTCTAGTTGAACAGCCTCTCTTGGAAGAAGCCACAGCATTTGTGTCCTATTGTAGGATTTTTCTGCCTAGTGACCATGAAGTGAGTTTTTCCATTTAGAGCCTATCAAAAACATCTTCTGTAATTATTTTCTTCATCTTGGTATGATGGCTAGGATAAGTAAACAGTTAAGCTATGTGAAAAATTTGGTCAGGGAACTTCAACATGTTCTCTGCATCCATTCAGGATGTTGATCTTGATCTGCTGCCAGATTTCATGCCATTTAGAGCCTATTAATGAAATTGACTCTATTGTGTTGTGCTCTAGATCAAGCTTCGTAATCCATGTCGTGAGGGAAAGAAGTTGCTCGTGCTGGATATTGACTACACCCTTTTTGATCATCGATCAACAGCGGAGAACCCTATGCAACTAATGCGCCCTTGTGAGCAAACTGTTGTTGCTAAATGTTATCTTATGCATTTTTTCCGTACTCTTTTCTAACATCAGTTTCTTCAGATCTTCATGAATTCCTTACAGCAGCTTATACAGAATATGATATAATGATATGGTCGGCAACTAGGTATGAGATCGTTCTCTACTTTCCAGTTTTACCCTATTACCTTCCTTGTCATACCAAACCTTCTTCTTTGTCATTGTTGGTTTGGCGAATTGAGTTTTTTTGCTTAATTCCTTAGGTTATACTTGGCGGTGTGAACATGATAATTACTAATTAGTATTCTTCCTCGGTTCAGTTCTTCTAGATTCCATATAAGGAACTTCAACTAGAGAATTCCTTTGTCTAGTACTGATAACGGCCTATTCCTTTCTTGCATAATCAGTGTGCAAAATTCCATTCTTAGTAACTAAATTATGCGTTTGTTTTCCTTTTTGACTTTTTTGTGCAGCATGAAGTGGGTTGAACTGAAGATGGGAGAGCTTGGAGTACTAAGCAATCCCAATTACAAAATTACTGCTCTCCTGGACCATTTAGCAATGATTACAGTGCAATCTGATGCTCGTGGGATCTTTGACTGCAAGCCTCTTGGACTAATATGGGCTCATTTCCCTGAGGTGAAACTCATTAAAGATACTTTGATTCCTACCTCATGCGAAATTCATTGATAGATTCTCCTCTGCCATGCGTGCATGATTAGTGATATTCTGAAATGTCCCTGTTCGTACCTTGTGGCAATTTGGGTTTAATCCCAATGTCTATATGAGGCTGCTGTTGAACTGCTGCCAAAATATCACATAACCGCACTAGAAACAAAATCCCAGTACTTTTATTTACAGTTTACATACAGATCAAAGGAATTCCAGCATCACCAGGTTAACATACTCTTGTTGCTTGCCTCTCAGTTTTACAGCAAGAAGAACACCATCATGTTCGATGATCTACGACGGAATTTTGTGATGAACCCAAAAAATGGGTTGACAATTAAGCCCTTCAGGAAGGCTCATGCCAATCGAGATAGTGACCAAGAGCTCGTGAAGCTAACGGAGTACCTTCTTGCTATTGCTGAACTAGATGATATAAGCAAACTGGATCACTCCAAGTGGAAGTACTATGCAGAGGATGGCTCGAAAAGGCGGAGACATGCGTAAGTTGCACTAATAGGCTCCGAATATCCTTTTGTGCTGCTTCCGTCCAGCACTTTCTGTGGTTATGTGTTCTTGCTCAAGGCACCACACTCACAACAAGGATCACCTCAAATGGAAATACTGATTTCGTTCCGCTCCAGCAACTATGGTGATAACGATGTGTACCTTCAGCATGCCTCTCATTTAGCACCCGGGTAAATTTATCTCGAGGATGAAGAACCTTTGATTCTGCTGCTGTATCCTTTATTTAAACCACACTTCCTATTACCAGTAGGTTCAAACTATTGGCATTATGAGCTTGTATGCACGATTTCATTTACATATGCGCATGCAAGACTATCTATTCACTGAGGTCCTAGCCTCCTATGTGCTATTCTTCTTCTTCTGATGTTTTGTTTTTAAATTTTGACAGTGTAAGTCGGTAGAAGATGGTTATTCGTAATAATAATTCGTGGATGGAAATAAAAACTTTGGACGATTAATTAGCTGTAATTTTAGCTGGCAACCGATTTTTCTTCCTTAAGAAATGCAGCAGAATAGAATCTTCCCAATTGCTAAATCAAGCTGCATGCAAAAATGGGCAACACCGCCCATTATTTCTTGTTGGTTACATTACAACCATCGACCATGCATCATGGTTTACATTAACTAGTTATTTACACAAATCATCAACTAATTCACGATCCTACTCATTCCAAAAATATCATCAAAATTTCGAACAAGGGTTTGGTCTGTTGTGATCTGTCAAAATTGTTGCCTTATGAAGCATGATTGTCTGATTAAGGATTCATTGTGATTTATGACCGTTTCATTTACTCTCTTTTTCGTCCATATTAATTTCACGCTGATCTTTTTATTTTCCCCTAATTCAAAACTGACCAGAAACGAAGAACCATTTGGCTCTCATCTTTCTCCCTAACACCTACAAGCGCCAAAATTAGGACAGAGAGATTGAATGAAAACAGAGTGAGTGATCGAGACTGACTATGTACGATATTCAGCTGGTTTTTTGGCACCATAATTTAAGATTCTAAGAAGAACCCATTGTGGGTTTTGGATCGGATATCAATGGGGTTTGTTTCAGTTTTGGTTTGCCTCGTCGTCCTCTCCTTCTCTTCTACACCTTCTTGTAAGTAGTCCTCTGTTTCTTCCCCTGTTTTTGTGTGCTTCCTTTCTTCTCACTCGTTCGGTTTCCATTTTTCTTTCTTTCTTTGTTGGTGATCAAATGATTCGAAATTCTAAACCCAATTTTCTGGGTGGAAACAATGCAGATGGTTTTGATCCATTGGATCCTCAAGCCAACATAACTATCAAATGGGATCTCCTGCTATCAACAGGTAGCTCTGATACGGTAAGAAGAAAAAAAACTTTCTATTGTTAAGTTTATCTCTCTGATTCCTTCAATGGTTTGTTATTGCGATGCAGAGAGTGTATGGCGGCCGTCGTGGTTTAGATTCAGTAGGGGGAAACGAAAGTTGTCTTTGTTTATACCTTACTGACCCTACAATATTTAAATGCCTACACTTCCTCTGTTCTCTCCACTCTGTCTCTCTTCTCTCTCTCTGCATTCACCAAAACTTAACCCAACATGTTCTCGAGTGTAAACGTATCACGCCTACTCGTTTTCTCTCGTATTACTCCGAAAACGGACATTATGTGATGTCAAGCTTCAATCTTTTCGTCTCGTCTCTCGAGTGAACTAATGCATACCTAACACAGATTGCATTTTTTTTACTACTTAAAATGAACAAATTGATTGCGACTATTGAAATTTGAAAAGGTTGCAACTTTACTATGTAATTTTCACTTGGTGCAGGTCAAAGTAACAATACTTAACTTCCAAAAGTACAGACACATAGAGGCGCCAGGGTGGAAGCTAGGGTGGGACTGGAAAGGCAAGGAGGCCATAAGTTCCATATTTGGAGCTGAAGCAACACAGCAAGGTGACTGCTCAAGATTCAAGGGCCAAGAACTCCCACATTGCTGCGATAAGCACCCGGTCGTCATCGATCTCTTGCCCGGAGCTCCTTACAACACTCGGTTCCAGAACTGCTGCAAAGGAGGAGTCCTGTCGTCCATGACACAGGACACTTCAATGTATGCAGCATCTTTCCAGATTGCCACGGTAGGGAGCACTGCTGCAAACTACTCCGATTTCGCGATGCCAGAGAATTTCACCCTTGGATTGCCTGGCTACACCTGTGGGCAGCCTGTTGAAGTCCAACCCACCAGGATCCCTGTCGATGGAGGCCGAAGATGGACTCAAGTCCTCAGTATGATACTAACATTAACATTACCACCATTCTTGTAACCACCAGTACTGTTTCTTCAACGGGTTCAAGTTTAACTAGATCGATTTGTTTTGTTTTGCAGGGACATGGAATGCGGTGTGTGGTTACTCATCATTCTTAGCATCGCCATCTCCGAAATGTTGTGTTTCGTTGTCAGCTTTCTATGATAGCAGAATTGTTGACTGCTCTACGTGCAGCTGTGGATGTCAAGGACAGCCTGGCTCGAAATGCATTAAGTAATTTAACTCATAAGCCTTTTCCATTAATCAATCTTCTATTGTTTATGATATAGTCTGTTGAAGTAACCAAATTGATCTAAGCCTAGCTTGGCTAATTATATTCGAGTGGATGGCAGGGATGGGGAAACACCAGCTCTTCTGCAGCAAAAGCATGATCCAAACGAGGAGCCACCTCCACTGGTGAGATGCACAGACCACATGTGCCCTATACAGATTCATTGGCATGTAAAGGAGAGCTACAGACAGTATTGGAGAGTGAAGATGACCATCAGAAACTGGAATATCATCAAGAACTACTCCCAGTGGAACATGGTTGTCTTGCACCCCAACTTGAAGAACATCACTACGGTTTTCAGCTTCAGCTATGCGTCGCTCAATGAATTTCGCACCACCAGTAAGCTTGTTGTTTTCTTTTCTTCACTTGGACTTCGTGCACCAATAGTTCAGTGGGTTAGAGCGTTGTTCTCTCTGATAGGGTGACTAAAGGAGAGTTGCTTTTTTGGGGTTTTGTTGTTTAACTTGAGCAGATGATAGCGGGATGTTTTGGGGGATCAAGTACTACAACGACATGCTTCTACAAGAAGGGCATAGTGGCAATGTTCAAAGCGAGATGCTGCTGGCGAAAGAGCCAGGGTTTAGTTTTGGCGGAGGATGGGCTTTTCCAAGAAGGATTATGTTCAATGGAGATGAATGTGTAATGCCACAGCCAGATAATTATCCAAGGCTCCCTAATGCTTCTCCTCCTCTTTCATTTGCCTCTTCCTTCCCTCTGTTGTCCTTCTCAACTTTGCTCTTCCTTTTGTTATTCTGCTAGTTCTTTTGGCAGACTAGGTTGGAAGTCACTCGTTTCCTTTTGTAATGAAGGATGCAACGGAAGCTATCCTAGGAAAAGACTTAGTTATCTCCATGACTATTTGCATGAACCATCAATTCAAGCTAATGCACAGGTGAGCTGTAGAGTAACAAACTCTAATCTACCCTAAGAACTGCTCATGAAACCCTAGAACTTCTACATCAGTAGCAAACCAGAACTCCCAGTTCACATAATGAAATGATTTTCATCAGTAACCACCTTATTGCACAAGGAGAGGAGACAATCTTTCTGGTGATGCCCCTGCAAAGCTGCAGAGTATAACGATTACCACATAAGAGAGCCAAAGAGAACTAAACCACACCTTATTTACCATTCCCGCTAGTTAAGAGAAAGAAGAACAAGAACACAAATCTCAACCGGAGCCCTTTTTTACATCTCTAGACATAGAAACAGATTTTACAATAGAAACCATATTCCCTCCCTAAAACACTGCTTCTTCAACTACATTGGACTTCCTTCCATCCTTCCACAGAGCATATTGTGGACTCACTGGAAGAAGATAAGATAGATATACTCTAAACCGGAATCCTGAGAAGCCACACAAGTTTCTCCCTCGAATTACAGCTACTTACTTTCTTTTTGTTTTTCTTCTTAAAATACAAACGAGGACCACCGACAACATGGTCACTTCTTTCTTTTCCTTCGCCACCTCCGGTGAGTCATTGGCCTGAGAAAAATACAATGTCCGGAGCAATGACCACCAGGTGCACATGATGAAGCATCATAAACAGTTAGTTTTCTTTCTTAGCTAATGGAGAGACGCAAGCAAAGGCCAGACAAACGCAAAATGAGCAAATCACGGTCATTGGTCAAACAGTGAAGGAAGGCTCATGATCCCCGTCACTCTCTTCAGGAGCAAGATAGCAGCAGCAACCCATCATTTCAATTCACTACTACATATTATACATCTAAATGCGGAGTGGACCAGTCATCGAATCCCGTCCAGAACCAGTGTCTTTGTGTTTCAAAGACAGGTTTCCAAATTGGGATTCAAGGTCCCTGCTGTTAGTGCGGCGATGGTGAGTAGATGGCTGCTGCAGTTGCTGTTGATTTGGTGGTGGCAGTTGCTGCTGCTGATACAAGGCCCGAAGCCTTGCAATCTCCCTCTCCAAAACTTCTTGCTCCACTGAAAACAACTCTTCCATGTTAAGAAGCAAACAAGCGGATAGATCCAACTTTGAAAAAGAAAGAGAATACAGTACACATATGGTTATGGACTTGTCTACCACACTTGCTTCTTTAGGGTATATGCTACACACTTTCCTCACAATCATCATGTACGTTATCCGATTAGCCTCAAAATAATTTCATATTTTCAATTACATTATCATGAAAAAGTGAATGTATTTACGATTTACTTGTATATCAAGTATTTCTAAGATTATCCAGGGACTCTAGATTCGTCAAATGCACTATCAGGCATCAAGTGGACAAATTAATGAACGAACATAAATAAATTAGTTGTAATTCTAGATTATATCATTATTTTAGACAATAATTTTGATAATTTAAGTTGGACTGCACAGTATGCCCTTACTCTTGTCAGTGCACTATCATCCAGTGGCCCCTCTATGCTATAGAAGTAAACTTAAAGTAAAAGAAGATCCAATAGTGAAGGTGAAGGCGTCATAAATAAAGATTTGAAACATACAGTGTTTAATAAGCTGCTCCTGGGCTATGCTTTCCACCCGCTGCTTAAGAGCTTTATTCTCCATGCTCAAAATAAGATTTTGCTGGTTGAGAAATTCAAGCTCTGCAGAGACTTCAGATCCTTCTGCCTGTAGGTACACGATAGCTGTTAAAACATCAAAATCTGAGCTATTGCTACAAAAAACGGTTTGGTAATACATCTGCACTTGCCTGTAGTGCCTGCACATTTCTTTCCAACTCAGCTATATACTGAAGTTTCCGGACACGAGAGCGCTGTGCATATTGCCTGCATTAGATATCATTTGAGTTAATTGATGGATAGCAACAACTTGTATCTACCTGCTTACATAAACATACAAAAAAGAGGGATATCAATCACATCAGATCAAGCATAACCCAATTAAACTTGTTTGGATAGGACCCAATAGCTGGCAACTACACCGGGCAGACTCTACAAACTACATCTGAACAAAAATAATAACAATTAAAAAGTAGCTCAGTACTGTCATAGCTAAGCGTGCAACAAAAGCTGTTATCTTCTGACTAGTAAGCATAAAGCAGTGGTTCAATGTTAGCCTGTACACCATAGAACTCCCATCATATTCAAATACAGAGGGCAGTCCAGCAATCTTTGTGGCTTCTTTAGGCAATCTTATGCAGACACCGGCTTTAGGTTATTAATGCTCAGTTTCCCATTGAAAGAAATGTTCAGCCATTCTTTCTTTGTTGGTGATCAAATGATTCGAAATTCTAAACCCAATTTTCTGGGTGGAAACAATGCAGATGGTTTTGATCCATTGGATCCTCAAGCCAACATAACTATCAAATGGGATCTCCTGCTATCAACAGGTAGCTCTGATACGGTAAGAAAAAAAAAAACTTTCTATTGTTAAGTTTATCTCTCTGATTCCTTCAATGGTTTGTTATTGCGATGCAGAGAGTGTATGGCGGCCGTCGTGGTTTAGATTCAGTAGGGGGAAACGAAAGTTGTCTTTGTTTATACCTTACTGACCCTACAATATTTAAATGCCTACACTTCCTCTGTTCTCTCCACTCTGTCTCTCTTCTCTCTCTCTGCATTCACCAAAACTTAACCCAACATGTTCTCGAGTGTAAACGTATCACGCCTACTCGTTTTCTCTCGTATTACTCCGAAAACGGACATTATGTGATGTCAAGCTTCAATCTTTTCGTCTCGTCTCTCGAGTGAACTAATGCATACCTAACACAGATTGCATTTTTTTACTACTTAAAATGAACAAATTGATTGCGACTATTGAAATTTGAAAAGGTTGCAACTTTACTATTCTTCCAGCAAAATAGAATAGCGGATGAAATAATACTCCCAACACAAGGCCAAAAAAATCAGTATAAATGTCCTTTTAAATTCAAAAACATGATGAAGACAACACTCACCTGATGTTCTACACTTACACAGGATTGTATTACAAAATCAACAGTTCCAAGAGATGACAGCTACACCAGATCAATGGCAATAGATCATACTAGTACATTGAGCACGGATAAAACATGTCTATCATATCACGTGCAATAAAAATCTTTAAATTAGAACAGACTGCCATGACCAACCACAGCCTACCTTTTTTTGTCCTTGCATCGTTTCTGCAACTTGGTTGTGACAAGAAAACTACTTGGCAATGAAATACTATTTGGTATTAATAGTTATCAGACGAAAATGATAGACTCAACAAGCAAAGCTTAAGCCATAAAAGAATCATCAGCAAACATATGTTTTGTTTTATGTACTACTACCTACTGGACATTGACCTGACTACTCTTGAGCAAAATGGAACAAATCATTCTTCACTGCATTTCCATTTTCTGAAAATGCTCAATAAACAAGTATGATTTTTGAGTAACATAAGTGCTTCAGTGGGCAATACATTATTTTGTATACTAGGATCATAAAATGGAATTTAAATCAACAAAAAGTTAGAAGACTTACTGTTTAGCGCGTTTTGTGTCACCCTCTGAAGCAGAAGGCTTAGCATGAGGCCCATCCTTTCTCTCAGAAGAAGGTTTCAGATCATGAGAACCAGATTCAACAACTTCTTGCTTCTCACCTGCTGAAGATCCATCTGGTTCCTGTCGAGCACATAATGATCCAGAATTCTGAGAAGCAACATTCTCCCTCACAGAAGAAACCCCACTTGAACGGCTTGCAGCATTTATAGATAAATCTCGGCCCCTATTCTTCTGTTTTGACAAGTTCCCTTCAGCATAGAAAGAACCTTGACGAGCATCTTTTAGATAATCAAATTCTTGAGATCCCCAAACAGGAACTGACACCATATTTTTATATCGGTAGTCCTCATATGCTACATAATCTACGTTAGAATTATTCATTGCATCTACATAAGCAAACGAGTCACTTGATGAACGCCTATGACCTCCTCTACGAACTGGTGTCTCAGGCTCGTTGAGAAGATCATCAAGCCAAGAAGGTTGGTCCTCTATTAGGAAAGACTCAGAAGATGTACGCTGGTGGAATGTACTTCCTTCTCTGGGCTTCTGTACAGCTTTTGACCCAACCACATTGCTTGGGATATATTCAACATATGTTGGAGCCATACCAGGAAAGGGGATTTTTGGAGGAAGTAAGGATTGCTTTCCAGAGTACATAAAGTTTCTAATGTTTGATGAACCTTTGGAATTTGCCATTTAAAAGCACAACTTGCACCCTGCAAATTCACAAGGACAAAAAACCAACAAAAGAATATGTAAGTAAATAGAAGAATCACAAAGGCATCAATTAGAACAACCAAAATGACGGTTTGAAATCGCTAAGGAAAAGATCAACTATTTGAGACAAAAATAAGTTTATACATTCTCTTTCAACTGGTAAAAAATCCATCTGCAAGTAAACCTGTACCTACAAGTACTCAGTGAAACTTGCTTTCTAATTGGGGCAAGTAGAAAGAAGTTAGAAATCCAGAAGACCACATAAAAACAAAAATGCAATGATTACATTTACGTCCTTGGGGTAAGTATGGATTCTCTAAGTTCTCAATCACCCGGATCCACTAGACAAATATATCCAATAGTCAAGATCACATACTATACAAGGTATGCTAGATTAATTCTGAGAGGCAAGAGACACTAACAGGACCTTAAGGCAGTAAAGAACATAACATAAAAACCTCACATACTACATACATTATTAATGTAAAATCACCAGAAACTACCCGGGGCGACCTTTTCTATCTTAAATTAAAATCATCAACAAGGAGAAGCTTACCGATTTTTAATCAGGTTTTCACTATCCCGTGACTATATTACTCAAACCTCAACCTAGATGGTTATCACAGAAACACAAGAGACCCCAGATGTGCAATAGTAAGAACAGTGCAAAGATCAGACGAGAATCTCCATCTACACCTTATTACTAAGATTTATGCTGATCACCTAAAGTCCATCAAAGCATCTATGCTGCTCAAACTTCTCACGGTCAATATAAACAACACCCCCAGTCGTTTATTCCACATGACGAGCTCATAGTGTACTAATGTATAAGCAGAAACTCAACTTCAAAATTCTAACAACTAAGAAACAGAGGCTAACCAGCATAACATTACCTTTACTACTAGGAACACAGGCAAACCAAAGAAGAGTAACACAATGTATGCTTTAATCATCACAATGCCACTCACCCACAGTTCACCCTAAACCCAAAGTTCCAAATGTTTTATCTCCTGGAATGTCTACTCAAGTTCCAATCTTTCCTACCGGATCCCCCAAAGTTTTTCACCGTATCTTTTCTGCTTCATTTTCTCAGTAACCAAACAAAGGGCATCCAGGGACTGAGACGTTTTTTTATACAAAAAACGTAAGCAAATCCGTCGCGACAATTTCCCCCGACAAAATGCAGCAGCAATGAACGATGAGAAATCAAAATCAGAACCCACGAACAGCCAAAGATTCCCAAACGAGAACCAACCCAGATTAACAAAGACGAATGTGAGGCGAGAGAAGGAGAAATTTACCTTTGGAGGGATGGGATTGAAGGAATCAAGATCTCAATAAAAAACGGAATCGAGAAAGGAGAGGAAGGAATCCAGAAAAGCTATAATCAACCCAAGCGAAACCACTTTTCCCCCCTCTGCCTGTCCCCCTCTCTGTGGTTAGGGTTTAAACCAGAAAAGAACGAGAAAGAAGAAGGAGACGGTGATGAAGATGGAGAAAGCTTGAGGAATTTTTCCTTTTTCTCGGTTTCGTGGGTGGCCTCTCTCTCTGCCCTTCCTCGCTCTCTCTCTATCTTCTTCTATCTCTCTCCCTCTGACTCTCTGTGTATGTCTGTCTGTCTCTGTCTTTTTTTTTTCTTTCTGTTTTCTTTCTTTGCAATCAGTTTTCCTTTTTCTCTCTTCCCCTCGTTCACCTCTGCGGTTGATAGAAAAGGAACGCTTGATCGCAAATTGCTAGCTTTTTTTCCCCCTCTCTGCGAGCAATAATAAAATTACAATAATAAACGCAATCAAACAACAAAAATTACAATAAATAAATGTGTGTTAAATGACATTTTGGGTCATCCTACTTTGATTCTCTTACACACAAATCTCGGATAAGTTGCACGATCTAAACAAGCAGTATATCAACTACTCTGTTTCATTCCTCGGAGTGAGTATGAGCATTGAACTAAGCATTTCTTGTACACAAAGTTATAGCATGCATTCATATTGTTATCTTCGTAACCGAATCCGATTAACATGTTAAATGAAGCACCTTTTAACCGGGCGACTAAAATTGACCGACTCTGTTACATTGATGGACAAAAGGAGAAAGCTACAAGCATATCCTATATTATGTTACATTGGAAAAAAAAAATTTGCACCAGATCAAGCCTTCCCAAAACAGATTATGCAAGTTAGTTGGCTCCATTGTTGGGGCTGTATTGTTTGAGCTAACCATTTGCTGTACCAAAAAGTTATAACACTCACTCACTCACATTGCTGTCTTCAATTATAACCTACAGCTTTTGACATGTAAAATAATTAAAAACAAAAGTGAGGTTGGAATCATAGGAATTGCATAAAAGATATATATATATATATATATATATATATATATATACAGCCTGAAAGTGGTCCAATTTGACAATTACAGTTGTCCAGTTTCTTTGGACTGGTCCTCCTGCAGACAGGGCAAAATGAGGTGGAGCTTCGTTGGCAGGTTTCCTCACATCCCCATATAAAAGATCGTCTCTTCTTCTTGTTCTTGTTGTTGGTGCAACTTGCAAGTGTAGCATTCAAGAGAACAAAAGAGAGAAAGGGGGAAATGCTGTAATTGGCTGATTGAGGTTTTAGATTACTCGAAAGAATGCAGCTGTACTGTAAACTCGAGGTGTGTTAATGGTCAAAAGCAACAGCAGCAACTGGCAACTTGGGTTTTATTAATTGAGTTGGTATATCCAATCCATGGCCAATAATGCAACCAGTTACCTTTCTAATCCTTTTTCTTGTTCCTTCTGCAAATTGAGCAAGGATTGTAAAACCAAGTGCAATGGTGTACTCTTCAGTTTATACAATCGGCTGTGGTACCTTGCTCTGAACTCACCTAACTCATAGCTCCACCATAGAACATGAGAAAGTTGACTTTGTCTCTCTGTATCTGTTTCTTGTACACAGGACCAACAGCAACTCTGTTGTACACTGCATTAACTTGTGCATTGTCCTTTTTGCCCAATAACAGCTAGAACCCTAATTCCCCCTTTTTTAGCTCCTTTGTAGGGGCAGAAGAATGACATGATATAACATATTGTGCACTGGCCATTGGATCATCAGATAGCATATGGTATACAGTGCTAGCTGGGATTTCTGGGTTCCAGTTTCTTACAACAGTAATGCCAAGTGTTAAAGTGCATCGAAAAGAAGCTTATCTATGACTAGAATGTAAGATCTTCAGTTGTCTTGGTTACGAAGTGATAGTTCAACCCTCAGGTGGTTTGATGTTCAGTTCTCGGTGAAAGTATGAGAGCAAACAGAGCAGTGGAAGAAAGTAGTTTGCCCCTCATCTGCGGATCTCATCTGTAAACAAGAACAACCCACGATAAGGTTTTAAACATGATGATAAAAAGCGAGAGGGATAGAGAGTAGTGAAAGTGGCTTTAGAGTAGCTGGATGCATACTTGTCTAGTCGAAAACTTGAGCTTTGTGTTGCTGCATTTCTCGCACTTTTTGTTTATCTGTCAAAAGCCGATTTGGAAACCACAAGTGCCATAAGATTACGACCCCCACGAAGGAAACCTTACAAACTTATCAGAGTACTGAGTAAGCAGTTACCTCCATGTCTTTCACTTCCATCTTTCCTTCAAAATGTGAGATCCCTAGATCCCTTCTGATATCCTGAAAACATAACATTGTCCATCAGGTTAACTGATACCAAAAAAAAAAACAAAAGCTAAACTACAATCCACCATCAAGAATCACAAAGCAAGAGGTTATAAGCACTAGTAAGAACAGCAAGTTGCATGCCTGCACGTTCCCATAAGTGGTACCAAAGCTAATACAAATTGGTAATGCTTCTAATGAATCAACTCTGTACCCATTCTAAACCAAGAGCGTCATCGATTCAACTGTTTTCAGTCTTCACCTTAGCATCAAACACTGATTCAGCTAAAATTTATCATCCTATCAGAATAACATCTAAAAAATCACAACTTTGATTCAGCCATAGCGAAGAACAAGTTCGGGGCCAACACACCAAACAGTTACGGCAAAAAATCGAGAAAGGTTCATTCTTGATATTGATAAGGAGATGGAGAGGCATTAGCATACCTCAGCAGAGACTTTGTAGGATATTTCTTGTCCAATCACCTCTGCAAACAATAGCAGCAAGTCATTATCTTCTTAATAAGAAACCGAGCAAGTTCAGCAAATCAAGGAGTTCAAGCCATGCCCTTTAACTCTTTAATCCGCTAAAAAAAAAAAACAAGCAAGAACAGTGCAATCGGAAGGACAAATCATCACCAAACTGTGTGCGTATACCTTTCGTCCTCTTCGAGCATTTACACAGAGGACATTCCACCTGATTCCCAGAACTAAAATTCATCATCGTCCCGCACACGTTGCAGAACATAAAATCCCCACGGCGAGCAGCCCTCATCGTTACCCTGAGCGCGAATACTGACAGTATCAGACGGATGGCGGAGAAGCGATTATTGATCCGGACGGTGGACGTAACCGATTGGCTGGCAGACGACGGCGGCGGCGACTGAAGCAGATTCGGCCGGACGGCAGGAGGAGCGGCGGTTTATGCAGGAAGCAAGGAGCAACGACGGAGGGATACGAGAAGGCGGCGGAGGGCTGAGGGAGTGATCGTCTTTCTTTAGAGGAGGTCCAAAATAGGTTTTGGGCCTTTTGGGCCGTTGGGCTTTGGCAAGCCCATATCCACTGTCACACCGACTTCATGCTGTTGTTCATTGTTCTTTTCCTTTTTAGCGCGAAAACAAACTTCCCCTCCCAATTCCTATGCCCTGCTTCCTCCATTCATTCTCTCTGACCTTCAATTCTGCAATTCGCCGCGAATCGGTCCTTTCTCATCGGCGAGACGAGACGAGACGTTCCTGTCTTCCTCCTGAAACTAGCGGACGCTTCGCCGGAATCACTAGCGTCGTACAAGAAGGAACAACCAGTGATATCAACGGTGAGCGCTTGGCTTACTTTCCCTCCCTTTTATGTTCTTTAACGAGTAGGAAGAGAATCGATAAAATTAGGGTTTGTGGCTGTTTCGCTTAGGCACTTCAAATTTCTTTCCTTTGTCTTCATGTTATTCAGTAATTAGTGATCATGAGTACTATTAGTAGGAGAATGGTTAGGAATTTGATTAAGCATTAATTTGGTGCAGCAAAGGGATCTGGCTGGCTAGGATGAGGGGTGCAGACAGAATCAGTGGGTTGCCAGGCAGTGTTATGGATCACATTCTGACGTTCTTGCCGCTACGAGAAGCAGCGAGGACGAGTGTTCTGTCGAGGGAGTGGAGGAACAGATGGGTAGACATGCCCGCCCTTGCTTTAGATGACAAGTTTGGTAAGGTAGTGGAACCAGTCTCTGGGGGTGCTTCGCCTGAACTAGCATCAGCTGCGAACTGCAAACTTATGTTGGATGTTTTCGAGGTTCTGTCGCGCCATCGTGGTCACTTAAAGGAGTTCTCCCTCTCGATTCCTGGATTAAGAAGCTCGTTTCGCGACCATCAGATTGACACAATCATCAACTTTCTAGACAGGCAACACGTTGAATCGCTGGCCATTGGGATCAAAGACTACGTGCTGCCGAGGCTTGTTTACTCCTTCACCCGACTCAGGAAGTTGAATCTGTGTGGTTGCAAGCTCACATCCTCCAACGTTGCGTTTGACAGCGCTGCGTTTGACAGCGCTGTGTTTGCTGAGCTCGACGTTCTCGAGCTTAGAGATTTAGCAGTACCACAAGTTGGTGAAGCTTGTTTCAGCTTTAACTGCCCATTGCTTTCTGCATTGACCATGGAAGGTTGCGGCCATCGTACCAACAAGATTATTATTGTCATTGAGGCTCCTAGACTCGAATATTTCCGTCTAGTGGGGAGCTTTAGCTTGCTGGAGTTCAAGCATACTCCACTTCTCAAAACTGTAGACATTCATCGAGATTTCAGCATCAATATACAGGACAAAGGGTACTCAAACTTACTGAATTTTACAGCCGGTCTTCCAGCAGTGGAGCATTTATCCATCTCTGGTCATATCTACAACGTACGTAAAAACTGCTGTTCTCAGCTCGTTTTTTACCTCTATTTTAATTTATAAGCATCGGGATGATAGTACTGTCAACTACTAGCTAGATGAATTCGATTTTGACAATTATATATGTTTGGTGCTTCAGTACTTGAAGATCGGATCCAAATATGCAGCTAAGTGTTCCTGGTGGCAGCGTCTCCTTAACCTTAAGAATCTCAGACTGAATGCAGTGTCTCTCGGCTCATCAGCTACAGCCTATGTGTGGTGTGCTTTTAGCTTGATGAACATTTCCGCTGGCTTGACTGAACTAACCATCGACGTGAGTACTGCAGATATCTTTCTCACCCATTACTCTTATCAGTTTCGCAAATGTGGTCATTTTGAGTTATGGATTATAATGATCGAATCTCATGTCATCCTAGTTTAGATTAACGTCAATGTAGCAAAGTCAATGTGGAAACAAACGAGACGTGTTTCCTTGCCACTGTCATCTAAGTTAGTTGTCTTGTGTTTGAATGTTTTTTTCAGATTGCGAAGCAACAAGAATCTGATCCAGCAGAACAGATTGTAAAGGTAATAAGCATGAGTAGGGGTATGTACTCGAAACTTAAGCGAGTGAAGGTGAATCAGTTCTGCGGTACAAGGTTGGAAATGGCTTTCATACAAAGGTTATTGACTGTATCACCGGCACTTGATAAGATGGAAATCGAGCTTTCGGACCGCTGTGGAGATGAAGATCAACGGTCCGTTTTCAAAAAGCTGTTGGAATTAACACGAGCCTCGACAACCGCCCAAATCTGGATCAAGTAACTTTGTAGCCATGGCCAGTAAGCTGCCAATGTGTATGCCTACTTGTCTATCAAACGTTCGTAGAACATTGGATGTGCATGTGTTAATGTTCACATCTGAAATTTACTTATGAATACTGCATTGTCTTATTGTAATGAATTAAGTTGTTTTATAAGTTTGATTGATTGCCAATGTTAAATATTAAAGAGTGACAATGGGTGATGACTGATGAGCAACTTGGCATTAACAGCCTCCTATACACTTCTTACTATGCATTTTCGTATATGCCACAAAACTATAAGCAAACTTCCTACTTACACGCCTCGAAGATTAAGCAATAAGCAGCCTTGTATATGTCGACTGTCGTTGGTTATCAACGATGATTTCTTCTTTGTCTTTAGAACTCAAGAACCAAGCAGCTTCTTCCATCTTGCATATCCTAGAACCACAAAGAAGAGCAGGAAGCACCCTGCAGTAGAGCCTCCGACAACATAGCCAAATATCCCGTGCATGTCGTACAGCGTGCAAGAATATTCATCCCAAACACTCATGCTATCAAGGTTTCCGCTGCTATTGCAAATGACGCTATGGTCAGTTGGAGCTTGAATTAATTCGTTTCGCTGGTTGTCAAGCTGGATGTTCACATAGTCCTCTGTGTCATCAATGTATTCACGGACCTGCAAGAACAACATAGACGATTATTAGCATTTCCATGAAGTTGTTTCATGACAGAATGACAAGAGTCAAGCAGATATAAACCCTCCTAACCATTGGTAGATAGGAACACAAAACCCTCATTCAACCCTTTACGAAAACCTATCAGATAAACCAATCCATAAAGTTTAGGCTATGTTCGTCACAAATTTGCCTTCTTAAGTTAGCTGCAAAAACTCAGACAAAATTATACAAAAGTAGGCATGGAATTAACCACCTCATTTAAGTTACAGTTCATGATCTTAATGTCTTTCCAGCTATTATTTAATGGAGGGGCATCAAATTCAGAAGTTCATAAGGGGGGCATAACCAGATGAACAATTAGTACAGTGTTTGGTGGACTTCCAAAACTACCTAACCCTAAATGAAACATGCATTCACTATAATTTTCTGCTTCACAATGTTAGGAAAGATAAGAATGAAACTATCACTGCCTCAAGCATTATACCTCGTTAAAATGTAAATAGCAACTTACAAATGTTAGCACATAAAATGGAACACAATACTAGTGAAACCATTGAATTTTCGACAATTTCAGAGGGAAAAAGCCAATTCCAAGAAGTTAGAAGAACACTTACAGACAATATCTTGTTGCGTGTGCCATCCAGCTGCATAAAGTAAGCCTCAAGCAACATCTCTAAATCCTCTATGTCATCATCAACATCTTCAGCGGTGATGTCCGTTGCATGACTAGTGCTTTCATTGGAACCAAGCAGAGGGACCTGAGTTTTAGCAGCAGGAGTGATGCTATTTGAAGCAACAGATCCTAATAAGGCCTCCGACTGCTGGCTTTGGATCCACTTCCTAGTTAAATATAAGTCTGCCATATCTTCATTATCATCTAGAAGATGTTCAATTTCACCCCTCACCTACAGTTAAAGTCAGACACATAAAACTACAGAGGCAGTATTTGCGAAGGCTGATAACATACACCCAAAAAAAAAAACAAAAATGTTATGCATTGCATTATTGAGGTATGTTCACCATCAGCAGCTTCAGTAACAGGGGGCATGTGTCCATCACCTGCAGCATGCATTTCATTGTCTCGTCTATCAGCATGGTTTGCTTCTTCAATCTGTAATGGTGCTTTAGGTTGAAGCTGTAGCCTTAGCTGATCGACAAACTGAAGAACCTCTTGTTTCAGGGGATCAAAAATCAGTACTTCCTCTGCAGTGACTAAAGCCCCTATGAACTCCAAATTGACAACCATTGCCTTCTCCCTGGCTGCAAAAAATTTGCAATTCCATTCAGGTTCTGTACTTCCTTCTCAAGCAATGAGTGAAACATATGTGAAAATGCCATCATTAGCAGACCAAAGAGAAAATCGAAACTTTATTTCCACTCTATCACTTCTTCCATAATTTCCTGCTAACTACAGTTGAAATCACCCTACGTCATAAGCAGAACGAGGGCAATGCAAACAACTCGGTCCCAATCACAGTTGCATCAACGCGATCAATGCACTTCACCAACTCCGGATTCCCAAATCCCTAGCAGGAAGCGCCACACGCTTGATAATGGCGTTTTTATCACACTCCACCAACTCCGGATTCCCAAAGCGATCGAACCTCATCCACAGCCTGGCACCTCCGGCCTTCTTCTTCCCCTTCACCACCGGCACCGCACCACCATTCTCGCCGGCCTCCGGCGGTGAAATAGCTCTCAGCGGAGGAGGTGGCGGCAGAGGATGCGGTAGTGAAGGCCCAGCCTTCTTCTTCGACTGACGCCGGCTCCGCTTGAAGGCAAAGAAGCTTTTCTTCCCCATTGTTCAGTTACCCAAAGCGACCAAAAGTCAGATACAACACGAAAAGGTACTGACAGAGTGACTACAGTGGATACAAGCAAAACCATATATTAGCTTCCTTTTCTCTCCTCTGCCGGTAGTTAGTTAGTTAGTTACCTTTGCCTGTTCTTTATTTTTGGTAAAATGCGTCTTACGAGTTACGATTTTATCGGATTAAGAGCGTACGTGAATGAAGAAACAGCAACTAAACAAAAAACTTTAAGCTGACCAAATCCTAGATTACGGAAAAGCAAACTGCAACTGATTAAACGAAAGAAAATGCTTCTTCTATTACCCAAAAACCTCATCCTGCTCTAAAGATATACAAAGATCAGGACTCAGTACACAATTGGAAAGACAGAGAATGCAGATGGATACTTGCTATGCTAGGAAATCAGTTAAGAACCAGGGAGAGGGATTGGATTAACAGCAGTCTGGATTCTCCTGAACGCAGTCCTCACTTTTTCTTTCAGCCCTTCATGCTCACTCTCGACATCCCCACTCTGCTTATCAAGCTTTGCCACATTCCCGTCGACACTTATCACCAGCTTCCCATTCTCGTCTCGCTTCACATCCCCAAACAAAGACACCAGCAGAGCGTAGATCACCTTTTCGGCTCTCTTCTCGTTCTCTTCCTCCGTCTTGCTTGCCTCCGACTCAATCACCACCTTGGGGAGCTCCCTGGAGATGTTCAGGACCAAGGCCACCACCGAGTCGGACACCATGTCGCTGACAGGATCAGCAGCCCAGTGCATGGAGATGTGCTTCTCAGAGTCCTGCTTAACAGTGACAAGCTTGTGCACCAGCAACGTGGGTACAGCAGACTCCTCATCAGTGCCAGATTCGACGCTCTCGTATATCTGCTCGAGCCGGTGCTTTATCACGCCAAATGCGCCATTGAATGGAACGGTGATCCTCTGAAAAATGTTTGCTGTGGAGAGCTGCGAGAACACATGAAGATCTTCAGGTGCCATGATTTGATATGTGAAGCCCTTCTTCACGAGTATTCCGCTGACAGTTTCGCCGACTTCGGGTGTCTTCTCAGCCAGCTTTCCTATGGTTTTCGCCATCTTCTCGGAGTTGAACATCATCTCGACCGACTGGCAGTTTTTGGGGGTTAAGACTTTGGTATTGCCATCAGCAGCAAACTCTGTGATCAGCTTCTGTTTCAGCCTTCCCATCTCATTGGCTTCTCCATGGACCAGAACAATGTTGGGAGGTCTGAGCTCTTTCAGGAAGGCACTTGTCTGGGCATAGTCAGCATGGGCTGAGAATGAGATGTAGTGAACTGACATGTTGAGTGGGGCCATTAGTCCATTCATGAGGGTGACTTCCTTCGGTTCATTGATGATGGTCTTTGCAAGTGTTCCTTCAACAACATATCCCGGTATGACACATGAATTCTTCTTATCAGAACACCACATATCGAACAACTGCCTAGACAGTCCACTCTGCAGCCCCCCAGGGCTGGCCATAACTACACACGGCCCATTATCGGTGAAATCGTCAATGCTGTTTAAGTTTTGTATGAACTTGAACTGGAAGGGGTTCGAGTGTGCAAACTGATTCCGGATCCTCTCATTCATGGCAAGAATGTACGTCTGATAAACACTCATGCACTTTCTGGCTAGAGGGGAAGCATAGTATATCGGGATGTTCTGGAGCTCCTTGTGGGTGCTCCAGTATTCATCGAGAATCAAAAGAAGTTCCTGAGCACGACCAAGCGCAAATGCAGGGATGAGAACCCGGCCACCTTGAGAGACGGTGGTGTGGATGACATCAGTGAAGCGTTTCTCTCTTACGTGTCGAGGCTGATGAAGCTGGACTCCATAGGTAGACTCAATGATGCATATATCAGGGGAGAATTCTGGCATTTCAGCAGCTTGAAGATGCCTATCCTCCTCGCGTGAGTAATCACCAGTATAGAGCACACGTACACCGGCTATGTCAACCATGAACATGGCAGCACCAAGAACATGGCCAGCGGTGTAGCACCAGAACTTAATTCCGTTCACTTCTTTTGTTTGATGGTAGTCAATGACCTACAAATCGAAAGACAGTGAACAACCCACACACAAAAATTGGTTCTTTCGCATGATGAAACAGGAGAGAAACGGGAAGTTGAATTAGATGCAGAATGAAAATGAAGCAACTCTAGCATACCTCAATTCTGTCCATGGAGTTGTTTATGTCTTGTTCGTCAAACAACATGTCTTCAACCGAAACTTTGCTCACTTTCACGTAATCAGTCAGGAGCAATTTGTAGATGGCCTTTGTGGGATGAGTCATGTAAACTTTTCCTCTGAATGTAGTCTGAGCAAAAGGAGTACAAGTTCAGCTACATAACTACAAACCACACTCATCGTTCCCATTTGCTTTTTACATAAATTGACACAAGGGAACCAACCTTCTCCAGAAAATAAGGTAAGGATGCAGCATGATCCAAGTGAAAGCTGCAAGCAGGCAAAAGGGTAGCAATTATTATTAGTGAACTGAAAACCCCAAAAGAACGCTCCCCCAAAGATCAAAGAGAACACCTACTGAGTGATTAGAAGCACGTCAATGGTGGAGGGATCAATCTCATCGAAGTAGGGCAAAGCAGACATTCCCGAGTAGGCCGGATGAATCCCACAATCAAACTAACAGACAAGAAAACAATGCAGCCATATCAGAACTGGAAACGAACTAGACGAAGACGGTAGCTAAGGATTTAACTGAAGAACACAAATGCTTCAACGATATGATTCGTTTAATTTACCAGAACAGTCTTCCCTTTGAATGTCATGTAGCAGCAGGATCTGCCGACTTCGCTTCCGGCTCCTAGTGGAATAATGGTGAGCTGATCCCCTTCTCTTGTGACCGGCGCATCCCTTCTCTTGAGTGACGAAGCTGGTTGGGCAGTTGAAGCCATTGTCGTCAATTATCGTGCAAAGGAAAACTGTTGGGAGGTAGTTTGTTTGCTTTGAGCCGCTCTGGAATTCAGATGGGGAAGTGAAGATGGCGAAGAGGGAAAAGGAAATTAGAGCGTAAACCCTAGAAACTGTAATTTCAATTTAATCCAGTCCGCAAAAGGAAAAACGAAATCATCGGTTAAAAACGACCACAGTGGGAGTCGAACCCACGACCTTCTGATCCGAAGTCAGACGCGCTAATCCACTGCGCTATGCGGTCTTTATTGTTAAAAAGGTAAATGTTTTATAAATAACCAGATATTTAGGATAGGATTGGGCTGGAAAAATGTATCGGATTTACATTAGGGGTCTTTTGTTTGTTGGATTTGAGTGATTGATATGCCACCCAAATCCCAAGCATGATGTATTTAACCAATTCCATTGTTTGTTGTATCAAAAAATTGGATAACAAATCTGTGTACTCCACGGATTTGTAAATCTCACATTTTATTTTGGGATTTGGTTGATGGAAGGCAAATTTGTGGGACCCTTGGTACACAAAGCTACACATCCATGATAAAAACTAAAACCCTTCATTCTAGAATCCAACAAGCAAACGGCCCCTCGAATAAAATCAAATGTTCTTTTCACTTTTCTTTAAGTTTTACTAGTTTCTATCTCGATTAATTTTGTTGTCGAATCGTCCAACATCCACCCTGATAAAAACATAGAAATCGCAAAAATTTCTCCTTTAGTTGTTTTCAATCACATTAATCCCACAATCATGGAACAACTATCATGAATGTTATGTGATCATGGTCTTCCTCACACCAATCCCATCCTAATTTATCTCTCTTATTTATTTATTTTTTTCTCCAAAATTCACATTCCAAATTTCATATCTCATCTTCTTTCCCTCTTTTCTTGTTCTAGGTTGGAGGAGGTTATTTCGTTTCGTTTTAACATCTATCATCACCTTCTCCACCACGTTAAGCATAGAAAATTGGAATTTTTATCATAGATGTTTGTAAATTTTTACTACATTCAATTTTATTCGCTTATTTGAATTTTCTTCTCCTTCATTTACTTTACCACAAACCTTCTCATAAAAACCCCTTTGAAACAACAATCAATATCTTTATAAAGAATAAAAAAAATGTGACATCGATCTATCAATGAAGATTTAGACTATAAAGATTTTTAATTTGAGAATTATCAACTCCATTTCATGCCATAAATCAAATCTCTCTTTCTTCCTAACATTATTCATCCCCTCCTTCAAACATCTCCGGAGGGGTCAAATCATACCCTCTTCCTTTTTTTTCCACATGCAAAGGTTACAAGATGGGTAGTGAAGCTGATTTAATAACGATCGCCGGCGTCTCATCTTCCACCCCAGACCACCAATCCAACAGCACCACCTCAGCGCGAGGTGGCAGAGCATCCACATCAAAACAACCGACATTCCTCCACGGCGAGCTCGACGTATGGATCCACGAGGCGAAGTCCCTCCCCAACATGGACCTCGCCTCGGAGCACATGCGTCGCTGCTTCAACATCCTCGGCTCCCCTTGCTCCAAGGGGGGCCACCGCCGCCGCAAATCATCTGCCGCCTCCACCACCGCATCGTCGGCTCACCACCACTCCATGATCACGAGCGACCCCTACGTCTCCGTGTGCCTCGCGGGGGCCACCATCGCCCAGACCCGCGTCATCCCCAACTGCGAGAACCCGCTTTGGGACGAGCACTTCTGCGTCCCTGTGGCCCACCCCGTCCTAAAAGTCGAGTTCCACGTCAAGGACAATGACGTCCTCGGCGCGCAGCTCATCGGCGTCGTCGAGCTCCCCGTCGAGAAGGTCACCCCGGGGGAAAAAATCGACGATTGGTTCCCCCTGGTGGGCCACGCGGGGAACTGCCTCAAACCGAACCCGGAGCTCCGGGTCTCGGTCCAGTTCAAACCGGTCGGGGTCGCCGCTGGACCGGGATGCGGTGGGGTTCCCAACACGTATTTTCCTCTAAGGAAGGGAGGGATGGTGACGCTGTACCAGGACGCGCATGTCCCCGACGGGATGGTGCCGGAGATTTTGCTGGACGGCGGGAAGATTTACCAGCATCAGAAGTGCTGGGAGGATATGTGTCACGCAATGTTGGAGGCGCATCATTTCATCTACGTGATCGGCTGGTCGATTTATCATCGGGTTAAGCTCGTCAGGGAGCCGACGAAAGCAGTGCCGTCCGGCGGGGAGCTCACATTGGGTGAGCTCCTGAAGTACAAATCGCAGGAAGGGGTGAGAGTCGTGATGTTGATCTGGGATGACAAGACTTCTCACGACAAGTTCCTCCTCAAAACGGTACGTGTAGCTTCGCGATTCGTATAAATGGATTCGTCCGAGCGAGAATTAATGAGTTTCATTGTGCATATACAGGAAGGGGTTATGCAGACGCATGACGAGGAGACAAAGAAGTTCTTCAAGCACTCCACAGTACATTGTGTTCTTGCACCTCGTTACGCCAGCAACAAGCTTAGCATTTTCAAGCAACAGGTGATTGATGATGATTTTCACGGAAATTGTATGTGATTTGATCGATTCAAATGCATGTAACGCCACGATGAATTGTTGCATGGTCTTTGGTGTAGTCCAGGTGGTCGGGACCCTGTTCACGCACCATCAAAAGTGTGTGATACTGGACACGCAGGCTTCTGGTAACAACAGGAAGATCACTTCCTTTATGGGCGGCTTGGACATGTGTGACGGCAGATACGACACTCCTGATCACAGGCTGTTTCGCGATCTTGACACTATCTTTCTCAATGACTTCCACAACCCGACTTTTCCAGTAAGCTATATACTACATATATGGCTTCTGCAACATGTATTTTCTTGACCCTCTTGTGCATGAACAAGCTAACACATGGTTAGTCTAATGCGAGGAGTCCGAGACAACCGTGGCATGATCTGCACTGCAAGATCGAAGGCCCAGCCGCGTACGACATCTTGACGAATTTCGAGCAGAGGTGGAGGAAAGCCCAGAAATGGAGGGATTTCAGGCTGAAAAAGGTCACCCATTGGCACGACGATGCGTTGTTGAGGCTGGATCGCATCTCTTGGATTCTGAATCCGTCCAATCATGGGGACAAGGATGTCTACGCTTGCGACGAATCCGATCCTGAGCGTTGGCATGTCCAGGTAATTGATCCAACTCTTGCTTTGATTAGTTTGAGCATAAGCAGAGATCTTGGAATTCTACTTATGAACAGAACCAGAAACTCTCCGTTTGTTCTGTAGATCTTCAGGTCTATTGATTCTGGATCTGTCAGGGGATTTCCGAAGGCAGTTGGAGAAGCAGCAGCTCAGGTTTTTATAGTTCATAGAAACTCTTCACTGATAATCTGCATATGTATCGAGACAATCCAGATTATTGAACAGTTTGATACTGTCAATGGCAGAATCTGGTGTGCGGGAAGAACCTGAAAGTGGACAAAAGCATTCATACAGCATACATTAAGGCAATCAGATCAGCACAACACTTCATCTACATAGAGAACCAATACTTCCTTGGATCTTCCTTCTGCTGGCCCTCTTACAAAAATGCAGGTATCGTATGAACTGGGAAAAACCCAGAAAACAAATTGGATATCAGGCTTTGGCAGGGGAGATTTGATCACCCTTTTCGGTTACGCTGATGGATCCATCATTCTCATCAGGTGCTGATAACCTGGTACCAATGGAGATAGCGCTGAAGATAGCGAGCAAGATCAACACAAACGAGCGTTTCTCAGCTTATGTGGTCATACCCATGTGGCCAGAGGGTTCTCCTACCAGTGCTGCAGTTCAAGAAATCTTGTTTTGGCAGGTGAAGGGATTTCTAGTTTTTTTCCGTAACCGGAAGTGATACACGGGATGTGCATCACGATAGACGGAAAGAAAGGTCGATGACTACGTACTGATCGATTGACTTGATCGTGTGGATGTGTATACTAGGGACAAACGATGCAGATGATGTACAAGATAATAGCAAATGCACTAGAGAAAGCAGGGCTGCTGGAGGCTTACCATCCACAGGACTACCTGAACTTCTTCTGCCTTGGCAAAAGGGAAGACAAGAATCAAGACTGTGCTGGTTTTTTGAATCCGCAAACAGAGAATCGTGCTTTGGTAACTCCACTACAGCTACTGATCTCACTTTCATTTCCAGCTAAAACAGAATAATCAACTAGGGGCACCTCCCCTGCTATTTGCTCTACTTGGCAGGCAGCATGTCAAAAGTACCGCAGATTCATGATCTATGTACATGCCAAAGGGATGATTGTCGACGACGAGTACGTGGTCATTGGATCAGCAAACATCAACCAGAGATCTCTGGACGGTTCAAGAGACACCGAGATCGCCATGGGAGCTTACCAGCCAGCATATACTTGGGCTGCCAAACAAGGCCACCCGCGTAGCCAGGTCTGGAAATCGAAATACTCTAGCAAACTGCCTTCTACGGTACTCCCAGTAAACTTCGCGACCCCGGGTCTGCTAGGAGTACAGAATATAGTCGATGATTGAAACAGTTTCGTGGATTTGTGGTTTGATTAGATATACGGATACCGGATGTCGCTGTGGGCGGAACACATGGGGGAGCTGGAGGAAGAACACAGGGAGCCGCAGAGCATGAAGTGCATGAAGAGCGTGAACAAGGTTGCTAAGAACAACTGGAAGGCGTTCGTGGCCGAGGAGAGGCTCCCGATGAAAGGACACTTGATGCAGTACCCTATTCAAGTCAGCAGAGATGGTAAAGTCACTGCTTTGCCCAGCCACGAATCTTTCCCAGACGTCGGCGGGAAGGTCCTTGGCTCGCCGACCACGCTTCCCGATTCCCTCACCACCTGAGCAACTACATGAGTGTAGCTGTCCCCTCAACTTAACTATGACGGGTCTCATGCACAGAGGGATTGTTGAAATACCATGTGAAAGGAAGAGTTGTTAAACAGAACGAGAACCAGAAGTGTTTTTACTAAACCATAGATTCATATGTTAGATGAGCTAGATATCTTAACAGGCTCCGCCAAAGAGGTTAGAGGGACTAACTGGTTTTGGTTTTCCGTTTAACTGACAGCCAAACCAATTTAGTAGATTTGAGCAACTTCCGGCTTTCCATTAACAGGTTAGCTTGATTACAAACCAGGACCAAGAACATAATTGAGAACTGCAAGTTCAATGAAAATATCCATGACAAATCTGGTTTATATTGGCCAAATTCATATCGATTCTGCAGCTTTCTGCTAATCATTCGGATAATCGATTTCGGTCCATTGGTTAACAGTTCAATCAAATGTTACATTACCGGGTCAATAGCATAAAAGGTCACTTACGTTTGGGGTTATTAACGAAATGGTAACATACGTTTGATTTTTAACGAGTTAGTAACTTATGTTTTCGTTAACTAACCAAATTGTCATTCTCTCTAACTCCTACCATATCAACGTTCATATTAACACATCAGCTTGCCATGTCAGTTAAATGTATAGAAAAATATATGATGCATATTGAATCAAACCCACAACCGAAACCAAACTGGCGGAATCCTATACCCAAATCGATTTTTATCTCTCTTCCTTCCTCTCACCGCCGCCAAGGCGCCAACCGTGCTTCTTCCTTCCTCTCACCAGTTAGGTTACGGCTTAAAACAAACGACTCCCAAATGGATTTCAGTTCCGTTTCCGGTTGGATTAACCGAATAGAACAGTAAAACTGGTTAGCCATCCCTACACCAGATTGACTCTAATTGTTTTTTTACGGTTAAGACAATAGACATCGGATCAATGTAAAATCTAAATGCAGGGAAGTCGAAAAGAAGAAGAAATGATATACAAAACAGTAAAGAAAACGGTAGTTATGAACCATCATCCACAATCGCAAGCACGGTTTGTAGGAAATATTTGAAGGGAATCGTACCAAAACCCTCTCAAGTAACTGTCTGACAGAAGGTAAAAGTAGCAAGCAGAATTTTCACCAAGTTCAAGAGGAGAACCGTTTTCTTTGCTCTAACGAGACACTGAAGGACAGAAATGCTTTACAGAGGCCCCCGCTTGTTTCCCGACTCATAGGAAACACTGGTTCATATACTCAATATCTTTCTCGCACCTGGCAGAGAAAAGCGTCAACGAGGATTCAGAGATGGGCCAAAAGGGAGAAATAGTGAAAGCAAAAACTCGATATCAGCAGGCATGGAGCAGTAGTAACCTAGTAATAATGTTATCTAAAGATACACACAACACTTTAGCTTATAATGAATTCCTGTTATTTATCAAGATAACGAGTGAAATATGGATGCTAAGAGCAGTAAACATTGATTCTTATATATTGAAGATCGAATGGATGTAGTGAAGCGGAGTAAAAAGGGCAAACAAGGCTTACTTGATGTGTCCCTGACTGATCCATAGGGTTGTTGAAGTCTCTTTGTCCTTCCTGTGAGTTCCTTTGTGAGAAGCCTTGAGCTTCACCTGGATAGCCACGCCCGCCACCAGCTCCACCTTGCCCATAGTTCCCACTAGGAACGGATGAATAATTACCACTATCTCCCCTAAACTCCCTCTGTCCAGGAGAGCCATAATTTGTCTGAGCACCACCCTGGAAGCCACCTTGCCCTGGTGGTGGATAGTAATTACCCTGCTGCCCTTGGCTATCCCTGGTGTTCACAGGCATCTGACCGGGTGTGCGAGGATAATTCTGTTGTGGCGGGAAATTCTGTGGAGGTCCATAGTTTCTACCATCACCTTGCACGGGAGGTCCTTGTTGCTGATGAAATTGAGAGTTACCCTGCTGCAGAGGATAGTTCTGTTGTTGAGGGAAATTTTGAGGAGGATGCCCCTGCTGCTGAAATTGAGGGTTGCCCTGCTGCTGAACTTGAGGGTTGCCCTGCTGCTGGTTGTATTGAGGAGGCCCTTGTTGGTTGTATCGATAATTTCCTCCTTGTTGATATTGCGGACCTTGTTCACCATATCTCCTGCGCATTCGTGATCTATCCTGCCTCTGAAATTGTACTGGAGGAGGCCTGTGTGTTATCACACCATTTTCATACTTGTCTCCTGAAAAATAGACATCAAATTAGATCTAAACTGTTCAATCAATTTCCATATCCACAAAACAGAAGTAGATACACGATTCACATCGATTAGTCATGAGCTTCCTAGCCTCACCTCCATATTCTTTGTTTGCAGGATCAATATACGAGTCCGGTAAAACGAAAACAACACCAGGCAGACCTGTTTAAAATTGAAAACAACAAATCAATATCAGCTGAGAACTCCACAAAGCGAATATGAATCAATCCAACCGAATTGGAAAAAACTGTCATGCCTGAAAGCAAAACTGACCATTGAATTTCTCGGATTCCTCTTCGGTCATTATAGCTTGAAACCCCTGGTAAGTTGTTGTGCTACAAGCATACATTTTCTTCTTGGCCTCCTCGATGCTGAAAAAAAAACCCCAACATCAATCAGGAAAAAAGACAACTACTTGCTCGTTCAAAATACCTCCTAGACCACATTAATTGCTCCCCAAGAACACAAGCTGTGAAACCCTAACTTAGACAGATGACTACCGTAATCTCAATCCTTCATGTCTTCTCAATGGAAGGAAAAAAGAAAACAACGAAGTACCTGATGCCGAGTCCTTGAGCGCAAATTCTCTCGTAAGTAGCAACCATCTCTTCGGCCGACGGCACAGGATCCGTGGGGAAATCGACGGTGATGAGCCAGTGGTTAAAGTCACAGCCTTCGAAGAGCACGGTATCCTCTGTCATCTCTTCTCCTTCCTTGAACAGCTTGTACTTCTTCTCCTGCGCCAGCGACACCCTCGAACCCGTAAACCCGCGAGATTGAGAGGGCGAGGAATTAGGCGGCGCGGACACGGCGGAAGTTCGGGGGAACAGACGAGGGCCAGTTTGAATTGGTGCGGCGGGGATGATTGGAGAGGAGAGAGAGCGATGGACGGCGGAGAGTGAGGTCACAGCTCGTCGGAGACGACCGAATTGGAGGGCCATGGAGGCGAGAGCGCGCGACGGGATGATGATGGAGACAAAGACGGTAGGGTTTTGTAAGGGGTTAGGGAAATTGTGAGAGTGATCACTCGCTCCCCGCTGGCCGCAGCTCACTGATATAAAAAAGAAATAACTGCAACCAAAACTAACTTATTACGTTTTGGTCCTTGAAATGTGCACTTTGTTCAAAACTACCTCCTAATTTATCAAAATTCGTGTGTTTTAATTTTTATGCTATTGTAACCATGTGATTTCTTTTTAGTTTTTACAATAACACGATCTCATTCATAATAATTGACGTACAAGTTACCTATGTTATAATAGTTAAGAGACCAAACAAGTTTTTTTAATTTATTCAGCAAGCAATGTTGTTTCGCTTCCCCCCCCCCCCCCCCCCCAACGCAATCAGCTTTCACGTTCCTCATCATTGAATGAGAAAATTTGATACACATAGCTTTCTTACCCGTTCGAGAAGATGATCGGAGATAGCCAAAATTCACCATAAGGTCAAGAGCCGTGAACAAGACTTCAACTTTCCGCAACAAATGTAGTGGAACAATAGAAAACTATCGAGTCCTCATGTCAGACACTTGTCCACGAGAGCCGGTTACTTACAAACAACCGCCCCCATAATCCGACACTTGAGACACCGAGAAGAAAGCTCTTTGTCACGGTGAATCTCCAATCGAGAAAGAATAAGGCGGTGGACTGAAATCTGAGCGGAATGAAGAGAGCTTGCTATCAATTTATTTTTGGTTCACAATGAAAACTAACATGTGTTCTGTCAATTGTGTGAACTCCATTGATGTTTTTTGTGTCTTGTGTAAAGTGTGAACTTTAAACTACTTAAGCTGAACCCCATGGCAGATTCTACTGTATAAACTAAAGAGCTTAAAGAAGCACGTGAAAATGTAATTCACATTAAACTATGCTCTCAATCAACATAAACAATTGCAGCCGCGTAGCAGAGCATACCCATTTTGATGGCGATGGAAATTTGACCCATTACAGTTACCAGAGCCAGCCACTATCCCCGCCATTTGTTGACTCTTAACAAATGCCATGTCGTACATATAAACAAACCATAACCGGCTAAGCAGATGTCTACGCCTCAGATCAGCGGATCCGCCAAGGAATTCCATTGACAAAAGAACACCGAAGAAGAAACCAAAGCCCCCGTTTTTTCCCCTGCTGTCGTCGTTAGCAGCAAGTAAGGACAACGGATACTTCACCATTTGTTCCAGGGTCGGCCGCTCCGCTTAAAGTCAAATTCCGGAACAGAGGGTCGAACAATTCAGGGGAAATGGGGAAGGGCGCGAAACAGAGCAGCAGAGTGAAGAAGATGCTGAAGTTCCCGGTGAAGTTGCTGGTGAAAGCCAGAGACTTTTACGTCACAGGGATGTCCCAATTGTCCGACCACATGCGGTATGATGCCGTCGCCACCATGGGCTGCCCGACCCCCTACACCGCCGGGCTCCCGAGGAGCTACAGCGTCGGAGGCGGTGGATCGACGAACTCGAGGTCGGATTACAGCGAGCTAATCAGGACGGCTTCCCTCAGGAGTAACAACAGGAGTGTTTCTCAGAAACAGGGTGTGATTTCTTCAGGGATGATCAAAGTCAGTGGGGAAGCAGGGAAGGTGTCCAGAAGCTACAGCGTCGGGCTTGGACGGATAGATGAGGAGGAGAAGTCAGGCGAATTCGGGGAAGATCGTGCGGCGAGCTCCGACGCTTTTCGCAGGAGCAGAAGCTGCGCGGTTTCAGCAACCGGCGGTGTTCTTGCCAGGACGGCGACTGCAGGGAAGTTCAGACAGCAGCTATAGTTTAGCATGGGAGGGGATTTGATCACTTTGCTCAAAACCAGAAGCTGCCCTGTTTCTGCCCTGCCTCGCTCTACTCACCCGAAATTCTTCGTCCTGATAGACATACATCAGGCAGGGGAGAACTTTTTCTTCTTCGTTTATGGTTGTAAATGTTCTGGAAAAGACCAGGAAAAAAGCTTGCCCAATACAAAGTGTTGTTGTTATGATTATTGAAACTAGATAAAGAAACAGAGACATCAAAATTTAACTGAAAAAAGCAGTAGCAGTAAGATCAGACAAGCAACACAGAGACAGCAAAGGCTCAAGATTAGACCAGATATCTCTCACTGTTGGTAACCACAACCACAATTGGGCAATGACATGTATTCTGGAAGAGCAGACATACAAAATGAGATTTTCATCAAACAATTTAATCAGGCGACGAGCTCTTCCTCCTTGTGGGTCTCGATGACGACGTCGGAGGTCGCGTAAGCCACGCAGGTGAGAACCCACCCCTCATCGATCTGTTCGTCGTCGAGGAAGCTCTGGTCGGACTGGTCCACCGCCCCGCTGACGACCTTCCCGGCGCAGGAGGAGCAGGAGCCGGCCCTGCAGGAGTAGGGCAGGTCGTGGCCGGCCTCCTCGGCCACGTCGAGGATGTACTCGTCGCTGGGGCAGTCGAAGCTGATTTCTCCCTCCGGGGTCTTGAGGGTCACCTTGTATGCCATCGCCGCCATCCTCCTCCCCGCTCCAGCTCCTCTGGATTTCAGCCCGAACAGGGCCTGGTTGGAATTGAGTGACTTGAGGGACGCGGCCGATGGGTTCGGCCGGGTGAACCTGGTGGAGAGCTGGATCGGGCTACATAGTCCTGCTGCTGCTGTAGATGCCATTGTTCTTCTTTCTCTCTCTTTGGAGGCAGAGAATTGTTGATGATGAAATGGGTGAGGAGGAGAAGTGAGGCGGTGGTGGTGGTGGTGGTGGTAATACTAGTAGTTGAGGTTAGAGTTTGTGGGATGGATATCTGCCACGTGGCGGGCAATGGTGGTATGTGTTATCTGCTTCTTTATCAGCACCATGCACCAGAGAAATTTTGGTGAATGAGGTTGGCTTAGGGGGTGTGGCTGCCACGATCCAGTGTCGACTTATCGGATCGTTAAACATTTAACGATCCGATAAATCTCTTATAGGAAACTCGAGTTTGTCTAAAGTCTAAACAAGTTTTTCGGATAGAACGCATCAACAAGCACCAACACAACTGCCTACTAAGTGAGATAGTATCGATTCTCGACCACCGATTGTACCAAAGAACAGACTCGTAGCAAAACAAACTCCACAGGTAACCACATTTCGGGAGTATATCGGGATACTTGCTCGACAAGGCATCTAGCGAGGATAAGGGGTCAGTCGCTTCAACAAGTAGCATGCAGCTTACATAATGAATGAAAATTAGGGTATCAGTTCTTAGTACACGAGGCCGACTACTCGTAAAAAGCGATAAAATGACGACGAGGGAGGTTCGATATATTTCCTGCTAATGCTTCACAGATATATGACAAATCTCTGGGACTCTAAATTAAAACTTTCACTTACAAAAGGGGGCCAAAAAAGAAAACCAGAAACACCAAGAACTACTGCTTCCCCCGCTACTCCAGGGAAGAGTGTTTACCGTCCCTCGTCCTCTCAAAACCTTTTGTTGTTGATACGTCCACTACATTTTTTTCCCCTGAAAATTCGTCCATCGAGTTGACCAGTTGCTTCGTCTCGAAAATCGTGTCCCCAGGATGCTAAAAGAATATTAGGGCTCCGGGAGAAAGAAGCGCCTAGTCTTCTGGTTCTGTGAACCGCCCAGTTCTACTAGTCACACTTTATGTTTCTGTAGATCCTCCTTACAAACAAGTTTGAGCCTAGATAACCAACGGCACCTGCACCATCCCAACATTACGCATTAACACGAGCGAAAGAAAGAAAATGCAGCAGAATACTATGTGGTGCTAGGCTTTCAGCTATTGTAGACTGGTGATGTTTTCTTCGAGCTTAGCTACTTAACCACCCATCATAACAGGGCCGATTTTAGTTGGTCCAAGAAATGACATAACCTAGAGATCCCCATTTCCCCTCATGCATGAAGGATAAAGGCATCTAAGAGAACGAGTGGGTAGTATCAGCGATTTCGAGCAACTCTCCCGGGACATAGAAGCACTACTCCCACTATATAGCGGCTGAAACAAAACATAGTCTAGAGCAGAACAACTCACCACAGAGTATTCCGAGGCCAAGGCAGAACATCAAAGTGTATCCAAAATAGAAGCTCGTCTGGAAGAAGCCTGACATCTTGGTCTTCACGTAGTAGTAGTAGATCGAGTACAAGTAAACATAAACAGCTGTTGATGCAGCAGAGAAGAAGGAGGTCCATTGCCAATGGTAGTTCTCAGCATTCAGCAAGAAATATGTGCCCACAATTGTCACGCAAACAGTTACGATGATGAGAATCAGGAAAACAAGCAGCATGAAGCCATACACATAGTAGACCTGCAAGACATGAAGGAAATTATCAGGATAAGGACTGGTTTGGTTTCTACAAGAAAATTAATAATTTGAAGCAATTGAAAACGATCAATTTGAGGTATATATTTACAATCCAAACCAGCAAAGAAATTTCACCTTGTAATTCCAGAAAGAGGTGAAAACAAAGTACATCTCGATGAATATGCTGCCAAAGGGAAGTAGTCCCCCCATCATTGATACTACAGATGGTGTTAGGTACCATTTCTTCTCTGGGATTGGCCGAGGAATGGTCTTAACACGGCAGGGGTTATTTGGAGCACCACTCCAATTCCTACCAACCACTGTACCAAGAAGTGCTAGGGGGAAAGATATGAAAGCCCAAATGACGAAGACAACCACTATGGTACCAAATGGGATGGCAGCAAGAGATCCATAGAATATAGCAATTGTGTTCAAAACAAAGCCAATTCCAAAGCACATAAATGGGAACAATGAAGCTGTTAGGATCATTGCCTTTATCCAACTTTTACCTGAAAAGAAAATACAAAGCCTTCATAAGAACACAAATGCCAGATACAGAGACCAATGGAAGCAGACAAACAAAAGATATGATATAGATGCATACCTCCATGACGAGAATACATTCCTCCACTAACATAACCAGAAATGAACGACGTTAGGGCATAGCAAACAATGAAAGTCGTGACAATTGCTCCTCTCCTGCACAACACAAATACATGCAACTATCATTAGATAAGAAAGTGCAAGAAAATCATAGGGAGAAGGAAAATTTTACAAACATAAGTCTTATTCCGAGAACACTCTGAAACGGAGACAAATAGATGGCAAAAATGACGTGTCCCTCATGACATATACAGATGACAAACGGAACAAGAGATATGGAGCAAATGCACAAACCGACAAACTAGAAAGGGATCGAAGTTTTGGAAGAAGCACATACCCAACATACAACATCCCAATAATAGCCAATAGGATGACAAGAAGCACAAGCAGTGCCAGCTGAGCACCAGTCCCAACAACAGCGGACAGAATAACTAAACTGCGTGGAGGACGGAAAACATCTCCATGAACAAGCTTCCAACCAGACTCTTCACTGACATCTCTTTCCTGTTAAACATCATAAATTGTTTAGACATACAAAAATTAGAAGTCTACAGTTAAAGATGATAAATCTTCATTATATATGGTCTACAGGAATCCCGACAAAATTAATATCATATGATTCTCCAAAACATTATATATAAGAAACACAAAATTTAAAGAGGTTCAATGGGACGAGGCAATACCAAAGACTCCAGATCATCATCATCTCTAGCATACTTAGCATAGTCATTTCTCAGGGTTCGCATCAATATCATTGAGACCAGACCAGTGAGAAAGATGACCATCATGAAAGAGTTGAAAATGGAGAACCAATGGATCTGCATTGAAAAGTAACTCGATAAATAAATGAAAACCAAATAAAGGGAAATAATAAAATTTAAGAATCAATAATCCAAAAATGGAAAACATTAGGTCTTCAAAAAAAAAAAAAAAATACAACATAAATTGTAAGCTGAGTAGCAGCTTTACCTGGTGCTCGAAGAAAGGATAATCCAAGTAGACATCAAAGCGACGAGCAAAAGAAACATTAGTTGCAATCCATTTGACAGAGTATGTCATTTCCACGCTTCTTCCCGCTTCGAGGGGTTTGGCACCCTCTTGAGTCAGATTCACATGAATTATCTGCAGGAATAGACACTTCAACATCCTGAACAACAAAGCAGCATTAACTAACAATTCAACTGACGGTGAAATACCAACCTGGTTTTTATTATATTTAACTGTAATACTCTTGTGCGTGTACAGGACATGTTTACCATTGTCACTGTTTTTATCAGGATGCAACTCCCCAACAAATCCTGAGGAAACAATTAAGAATCAACTCAAAACGATACTTCGGCAATAGGAAACAATAACAACAACAATGAGGTCAGTGAATACATACCCCATAATGGCAAGTCATCTGCATAAATGGTCACAGAACAGAAGATCAGGAATCAGAAGACACAATTAACTCATTAGTACATCAACCTTGAAACCAATCATGACAACTAATCAACCATAACCAATAAAACCAAAAAGAGAAACAGGTTCCTTGTTAGAATTGGTGTAGTGGTCATCAAAGCTATCACAAGATTTGCCAGGTTAGCTTATGTTATCGGAAAATGTTTGAAATCAGATGGAGATGGAAACATGACGCCAAAGACGAGCCAAAACAGAACATACCCATGAAGAACTCAAACCAGTAACTGTTCTCAATGGCATCTTTGAAGTGTCTGACCTTAGCTTCATCAAGGTCAAGCTGACAAATGGAAGCTTTGTCTACATTCTCTGTTGGAATAGAAAATGAAGTAAGCCAAACAAATACCATAAACAGAAACACTGCCTCGCAGCATCAGAAATTTGAACATGGCATATAAGAAGTTTGTACATACTCTGGAACTTTATGTCCAGCAAACTATCAATAAGTTCATTTCCACCCAGGACTTCACCAAGGCCACCCCATTTATGAGCAGTATTTCCAGCTGGACGGCAAAATGGAAGGCTGTAGTAGTTGTACGTTTCCTGTGGGTTATTATAAGGACCCACTTTGTTCACCCAAAGAGTAACAGGATCATCTGGTTGGTACTGAAAAGCAATATGTGATAAAGAGTTAGAGATAAACTCGACAAACCATCAGTTCATAGTGAAATAGTAATAATATCCACATTATCAATCGGAAAGAAACTTGCTAGCAAAAGTCATTAGTATGTCCACGAGGAATGTGATTCCAGCAAGTATTGCTACTATTTTTCCAGGGGATTCCGGCAAGTAATCAGCAGTTTAAAGTTCAAAATAAGTGAACACATTCCCTATATCATCAAGTTAATCGATCAATTCCACCTCAACAGAAACATCACTGGATGCCAATATAACAGCTTACGAATAGAACATAAACTAATCCCCCGCTAGCTTTTAAGCCTGACCACCAAATTTATACCAGGGAAAACACATACACGTGCAACAATTGCACACTCCTCAATAGCTCCAGTAATTCTACAAGTTTCCAGTACACATCGAAATTCAAAAGACAACTACATGCTTTGATGGGGCACAATGCAATATGTAAAATATCCAGTCCCATCGTGGACCTGATACTCTTTTTCATGGAGTCCATCAGAAACAACGAAATCTCAGAAACCCCGACATGGGGGAAGGATGAAGATTGAAAACACTACGCGAGCTGTGGGAAGTGCCTACAAGAATACTTGGGAGTAGATCCAGATGAAAATAATCCAAGACATGTGCATGATCCAATGCATCATTCTGACATGATGAATGCATATATACCAAAATCAATAACAAGGCTGAAACCATGAAGCCATCAGACCAATTGTGCAAAAACTAAATGGTTCAACAAGCAAGGTCATGCAAGATGCAACATCCTAGCACGGTAGCATCCTACTACACTTCACTTCGGCACCACAATCACAAGCATTTCCGCCAATAATCTGGAACCAGATAGGATAAAACAATTCGCAGCTGCTACAGCACTCTATCCACCATCATAAACATCAGCACGAATACAATACAAAATGAACAAAAAAAAAAATAAAGGGGAGATCTAATTCCCAATCGACGCGCTCTCAATCCACGCTGCTTCAGCTATCTAGGAACCCTAGCACCAGAAACGAACCTACTAACAATTCAAGAATCACAACATTGGGAGGAGCATTTTTCCCGCACAGATCTGAGTCCAATTCGGGAGCTCATAAACCTAGAGGAACGAGATCTAGAACCAACACCAACTCAGCACCGGCAGTGAAGCACGGGGATAAGGGAGGCTCGTTACCTTGTGATCTGACTCGGAGGCGAGGACGAGAGGAGAGATGAGAAGAAGAGCGCAGAGGAAGAGATGGAGAGATCGGGATGACGCGGCGGAGGACATTGCGATCGCCGGCAGGGGAGCAAGGGGGATCTACGGGTCCGGTGGAGCCGCGTCGTCGGGCGTTGGTGTAATCTGCCGAGAGCTATTTGCGAGCTCTGTGCATCCGAAGGTTCTTCTTTTCCCTTCCTCCTCCGACCCTGGCCGCTCTGCGTTTTATTGGACAAGACTGTATAGTAAAAAAAAATTGAGACCGAAAGTCCTTTCTCGTTTTTATTTTATTTTTTATTTCCCTTTAATTCTAGAGATGGTAATTAAGGGTTGCGATTGTTAAATAGATATATTGTTGAGAATGCATGTATAATACTATACATGTATTGTCGAATTTGATACATTGTAGAATACAATGTTTGGTATGTGTGATTGTGTATGTCGCATCAGCTAAAAGCTAAGACAAAACAATCTCAACTCAACTATCTCAACAATCACAACTAAAAGTTGAGATATAACAATCACTCAAAATGAGTGATAGTTTCTCTCACATCACATAAACAATCCATGTATTGTTTCTGCTAAAAAAAAAAAAAAAATACATTGTAAACAATACATGCATGCATAATGACAATCTCAACAAAACAATCGCAACTTCCAAACGACCCCTAAATTTACCGAATCCCTCCATACCGTTGGAATATCGGGTAATCAACATAAACGGTCACACAACTTTGCACTTTGTACAAAACGGTTAGAAAATTTTTATTCTGAAATTTCGGTAACACGGCTTTGAAATTGTATGAAACGGTCATTTCCGTCCATTTCCATCCAAAAACTTAATAGACAGATTTTTTTATAGAAACATGTATGCTTTTATTAATTAAGCGAATTGTTTACATTGTCCAAGCGTGATTGATCCATCAATACCAGTGGCGGTCTGTCAAACCAAACCTGCCTTTCATCCCGCCGAGTATTCACTTGGGCCATAGGGTGCGCTGCAGCATTCGCTTCTCTTCCAATATGTCCATTGAAGAGTTGGGCATTTCTTTCTCTCCACAAAAACCATAACAAACAGTTGATGTGGCGTCCAACAAAGCTTCTTAGTCGACAAATAATTAATAATATATTATTTAATGATTTATTTAATTTTAAATTTTATATACAATTATTATATTGAAAAATAAAATAGCTTTCCTCTCACGCCTCTTGGCTTCCCCTATATCACCGCTACAAGAGGTGACAAATGGTTTGGATTGGTGAATTGGTGGATTGGATTGGTGGATCCACAAATGGATTGGATCCAACGAATTGGTGGATTATCCATGAATCCACATGACATCTTAAACCAATGACCAATATGTAAAATGCAAAATGTTTAGATACTAAAATGTCATAATGAAAATTTTAAGGTACCAAAATATAATTTTCAGTGATATTTTCGTATAAAAATATAAATTTTATGTACCAAAATATAAAAAGAAAGATTATATGGACTAAACTGTATTTTGTCGATGATCCATGAATCCAAGTAGATTTGGATAACATGGATTTGATTTAAATGGATTGGATTAGTTGGATATTTTTAATGGATTGATGAATTGGATTGAGAATTGTCACCTCTCTCTAACTGCTACTCTCCCCTCTTCACCGACAATCCATCCCCCAAGTGGCGCAAGACGGTGAAATTCCCCTTGGGACAAAAACTCCATTGCCGGACAAAGCTGCCCTATAATCCACCGGCTCGGCGGAGAGATCAATCCAGGGGTATCTCTTCATCCCGTCCAAATGGTACCAGAGCATTTAAGTATAGTTGCTTATGAGATTTGGGTGATGGATTTGATACCCAAATTCCAAGCATTATGTAGTTGTAAAAAAAAAAATTGTTTGTTGAAGTACACAAATTAATGGTCCATGAATTTGAATTTTTTTAGCTCTAAATCTGTGGACCCCACACGTATTTGCAAATATCACATTTCATAACGTTATTATTTTCTCTCTGATGGCGAAATGGATAAACAGACGATTTTCGTGTACTGCAGTGCAATTTACCAGTGACACAGTGAGAAAGAAAATAAAACGGAACACAGTGCAATTTATCTCTTCCCAGCTCTCGTCTCGCATGCCCTTTCTTCCTCCGACCGCCGCGGTTTCTGCCCTTCCCGCCCGTCATTCCTTTGCCGCCGTTACTTGCCTCCCCATCCAGAGGGCTCCGTTTTCCTGTCCTTTGGCCGCGCTAGTTCTCTCCTGAAGAAGGGCATTCTCAGCAGGCTGAAGCTGAACCAGGTCTATACATCACCAATTCTGAGCTTCGGAACTCTCGCCTAATTGCCTTTTCCTTAGAAGCTACAATTACTGCTGTTAATAGCGTAAGGCCTGTTTTCTATAGCTTGAAATCGAGATTTTTTTTTTCAAATAACGTCTGCTTGGCGGTCAGCTGACTTCACGTTTTCCCGTCGTGTTCGTGTTCGAAGTTTTATTTCTTTGAATTGATATTCTAAAAATGTTTGTCTGCTTGTCTAGGCGGACTTGCGCGCTATGTGTTCGATGAATTGCCCCACTGAAAGTTGTGTCCTCATTTCTTGATTGTTGGTTTTCCTAATCGTTCTCTGGCTGGAATTCTGTAAAATTGCAGAACGTTTGCTTTCATCTGCTGAAAACATTGCCTGTCAACTGATAATAGCTGCTAGGTGGGTGAACTTTCTCCGCTGCTGGATGCCCCACTAATCGTCTGTGACTCTATCCTTCCATTTGCCATCTTCTCCTCCATCACCATTAACGTAGTTCGGAGATGCTGTCTTCAGCAATTTCCCGCCTCAATTTCCTTCCGAAGCCCTCTATCGCTATTTTATCTCACGAAGGCTTCAAACACTGCGAGCAGCGGTTGTGGAATCTAAATCGCTCTCTCCTTTACTCGCGCTCCTGCGTTGCTTCCACTCCCCGTGTTTCCTCCTCCTGTGCACCCACTCGGGCGTCTAAAGACGACTTGGTTGTTCTCGGCATTGAGACTAGCTGTGATGACACTGCAGTCGCTGTTGTAAGTCACTAGCCTTTCACATTCTTTCTCCCGACTATTTCATCTGCCCGAACTAGAATTCACTTTGGTTTTGGATTTGCTTGTTCTTTACATTTAGGTTAGAAGCAACGGCGAAATCCTGAGCCAAGTTATATCTTCTCAGGTATGCGAAATGTAAGCTTTGATGTGCTGTTGAATCAAATAATCCTGGAAGTGAGTGGCGCGGGCTTTTGAATGAGGTCATGAACTAACTGAATCTTTTTTACTGACTATGTCAAGTCAGAGTTGCTTGCTCGATATGGAGGTGTTGCTCCCAAAATGGCGGAAGAAGCTCATTCCCTGGTGATTGATCAGGTGTGTTGGTCATGTCTTAGTCAATATCAATATGGTGAAGATTTTGCTGAATGATAATGCTCTCTGAACTTCGGGCCTAAGGAAATTTTGACCTGGAGATGCTGAAAATAAAGATATTTATTTGCTGGGTGTAGTATCTCTACTGGCTCCTACATGTCCATGTTGTAGGTTGTGGAGGAAGCACTTGATAAAGCTAATCTTACTGCAAACAATCTATCTGCAGTTGCTGTTACCATTGGTCCTGGTTTGAGCCTTTGTCTACGTGGTAAGTAAAGTAATTTGCACTTCTATTCTGATGGACCATTGTCACAGTTGAGTCCAAGTGTGTTGAAATGAAAATCAGGTGTCTCTCTAGAATAATCAGGAAATGCCATGAACTTTTGATTCCTGCCTGTCAGTTGCTCGATTAGCCTAGATTGTAAATTCTTATTACCTTTCTCTCTTCCGCCATCATAGTTTCGTGGAATATGAATTCTGTAATATTCGTCTTGTTCAGTTGGTGTGCGGAAAGCTCGTAAACTTGCTGGTGCATTCAACCTACCAATCATTGGTGTCCATCATATGGAGGCTCATGCTCTTGTAGCCAGGTAATGAATAATTCGTGTGGATAGAGTATGGTGTGACAAATACTTTTTGTATGAGAATTTTGTTAATATGCCAATGCAATAGAAGTTTTATCTGTTTCAGGGAAGTGATACTTGATAGCTTTTGTCTGTGGTAGGATCATTGAGCACGATTTGCATTTTCCTTTCTTGGCCTTGCTTATTTCAGGTGAGGTTATTGCCAGAGTTTATGTACTTCCTTTCTTGGCCTTTCATTTATCGAATTGCATAGTTTCAGGAAAACATACTTGTAAGAACTTGACTAGGAATTGAACCTTGCAGTGTAAGAATATGATCGTTTGATTTGTGATATCAAGTGTCGGACAATAAGGGAGATTTGTTTGTAATGGATCCCTTCATTACAGTAGTGATGTGATTTTGTCATCTTTTTCTTATCTTAGGAGGGCATAACCTGCTTGTTCTTGCACGCGATCTTGGCCACTATATACAACTTGGGACCACAATAGATGATGCAATTGGAGAGGCCTATGATAAGACTGCAAAATGGCTTGCTCTCGATTTGAGGAAGAGCGGAGGACCAGCTTTGGAAGAACTTGCTAAAGAGGGGAATGCTCAAGCTGTTAAATTTTCGGTTAGTTCTATTCCAGTGACTTCATTTTCATTTTTAAGTTATGGTCGAGCAAGCAATACACCAGAAGTACTATATAGGTGGTTGGCTTCCTCATTATACGCTATTGTGCCACCAGACACCAATGAAGCAACATAAGGACTGCAACTTCTCATATGCTGGTCTGAAGACTCAAGTCAGACTGGCTATTGAATCCAGAAATATGTATGTCCTTTTGGATTTCTGTCGTTATGGTAATCAATTCACTTACTAGCATGATGCAAATTCAAACAGATACTTGTTAACTCCTTCGTTTCCTTATATTTTCCTTGCTCTGTTTCATATCTTTACTCATTAATATGGGTGCCTGCAGAAATCCTGAGATTCCTATTTCTGCCGCTAGTATTCAAGAAAGAAGCTCCCGAGCTGATATAGCAGCATCTTTTCAGGTTTTCCTGTTTTAGGTCAAGTAATACCTAGATTATGACCTACGATTCCTTATGGGTTCTAATCCTCTTCATGATACAGCGAATAGCAGTATTACATTTAGAGGAAAGGTGTGAACGGGCAATAGACTGGGCAAGGAAGATTGATCCCTCAATAAAACATCTGGTAAAGCGCATTGACCTACCCATTTAATTATATTGCTTGTTTTCTACTAAGATTTTCCAATAAATTTGAATGACGCTCTGAATTGTTTCTTGTTCAGGTGGTCTCTGGAGGGGTTGCCTCAAACAAGTATGTTAGGTCTCGACTTTACACAGTAGTCGAGAAGAACGACCTGAAACTTGTATGCCCTCCTCCTAACCTTTGCACTGATAACGGTAAGATGTAGTTTTGTGAAAATTGGTCAAAGTAGAAAGATCAGTTTGTTCAATGTGCTTGATTTTCATTTTGGTTGGCATACTGATTAAACACTTATTGTGCAATATAATGCGACCTGTCTCTATACTCAAGATCTTATTTCTGCCTGCACGTTTGAACGAAATTGAACACAGTATTCTGTTTTTAAGGCATAAAAGAAAGTTCAGTAGCTGCCAACTCATGCATATGAACCCTGTAATAGGCTTTCTGTTTAACAAAATGCGAAAGTGGTCTTCTCAAGATTGCAGTCAGTACATGTTTGAGTGCTACGCATATAAAATTTATGTCTTGATTGATCCATTTGTAAAAAACTCAGCCATTTGTTGTTGGTCTCACTAGGTGTAATGGTGGCTTGGACGGGAATCGAGCACTTCCGCATGGGAAGATTTGATCCGCCACCACCTGCTGATGAACCTGAAGATTTCGTGGTAATGCCTGGAACACTCATTGCTATATATACATCCCATTTCCAGGTCTCTAATGAAAAGTGTTTTTATTTTTTTACCTTCTTTTAATTTGTGAAACACATTTTGTTCGGATGCTAGTATGATCTGCGGCCAAGGTGGCCCCTGGGGGAAGAGTATGCTGAAGGAAGAAGTGAAGCACGCTCTCGTAGAACAGCTCGGATTCATCCATCTCTGACTTCTATAATTCAAGGCTCGCTTCAACAGCAGTAATACCCGCTAAGAAGAGCAAGCAGCCTTTTTACCTGATCTGGCTTAGTAGCTGCCGTTGCTTGTATAATAAGTCATTTTGCCTTCTCTAGCAGCATCCAACACCTGCAAACTGAATGAAATTTGGAGCTTCTTCATCAAGTCGACACCAGGAATCCGAGCAAACCGACCGTACATGTATAATATATATATATATATATGTAATTTATGGGTCGTTTGGAATGCATATTTGAAAGTGTTATTTGCGGTTAATTCCCATATATAATGTCGGATTTGGGTGCAGATACTATGTATTTCGCAAATACTAATCCTCCCCTAGTGTTTGGAGAATAACATATTTGTGGTATTCTGTTTCTTAATTCATATGGTTACAATAGTTATTTATCTATTCTTGTTATCTTCCTACTTTTACTCACTATGTTCTTCGTTGCTACGATTTTAATGTTGACCGTTGGGGTGTAGATGGATCACCTTGCTATATTCCACATATCATATTATTCCTTCCTCTAATAGATCGGATCCACCACGCCGAATTAAACCTAGAGTTCAGTGGTTGAACTTGAACACACACAATTTTTTTTCCTCTAAACGATCACTCATAAAAAGAGGATACAGAATCGATCCAAGTTTACAACCAAACTATCTACTATTGTACCAGGCTACATAATCAAACCCCCTTTGAAAGGGAGGTGATAAACTCAGAGCATGACGGGCCACAGAATGAGCCACTATGTTGAAGTTACGACCTATGAAAAGTACTTGCGAGTCTGTTGAACACACAATTTGCAAAGCGAATGACTAATTGGGTGGCCTAGGCCCACTTCTTAGCCCACCACTTTGTTTGGGCTTGAAATCAACCATGGCTGTAAAAAGTTCAAAAGAGTCATTGATGTTTGGGAGGAAGATTGGAAGAAGAAGAAGAAGATGGGTAAGCACACCACAGGCTGATGAGACTGCACACGTCGGATCAGGCCACCGTCTTCTCTACGTCTACGTTATCTGTTTTTCCAATTTAGCTAATAACTGAAAATCCATATCGGACTCGCACCACTTCAGTCACTGTAAAGGAGAAACGTTGACAGGGACGGTATATTTAACCATAGACAGACAAAAAAAAAAAAAAGAAGGGAAATAATATAAGGATCCGCCATTGCCCAATCCTCCACCGTCTCTCTTATTTCTTTTACCTTCATCGAAAGTCACAGAGACCCAATTGGCCAAATTCCATTTCCAAACACGAACCTTCTCCTCCATCCCCGCAAAAATTTCCTTCCTTTTCCTTCTCGTGTCCCATACCCAGACAAAAAATAATAATAATTATTATTGAGGAGAAAGAAAAAAAAACAGTTGCTGATTCTTTGGTTTCCCACTCTGTTTGGGGTTCTTTCTTTTTCCTTTTTTTAATTCCAACAGATTCTTAACTTTCCTTCTAATCCCCCCATCAATTCTCCCTTTTCCTCCCTCCATCCCACTTTCCCTTTGGCTCTCTCGCGCTTTGAGATATTTCCTTGTGATTTCCCTCTTCCGATTCCGGCAATCCGGTGGGAATTCTGGCGATTACCGCGTCGGAATCGTTGCTGGGTCTCTGAATTTGGGGAGCAGGAACAGAGGTATTGGATAAAGGAAGGATTTTTGTATATATATAGGGTGGTGGTGGAAAACGGTGGAGAAAAGTTGTTGAATTTTGGGGAGCTGATTATCGAAGCAGAATTGCCTTAGGTGGTTTGTTTGTGTATCTACTTTTTGGGGAGAGATGGACAAGTATGAGCTAGTGAAGGACATAGGATCTGGCAATTTCGGGGTTGCTAGGCTGATGAGGAACAAGCAGACCAGAGAGCTCGTCGCCATGAAATATATCGAGCGTGGCCCCAAGGTACACGGGTCTTTCTTCTTTCCCCTGTTTTTTTATCATGTCATGCTTCGTTGCCTGTGCTTCTGCTAGTTTTCATTTTACGTGTGAATTTTGGATACGGGGTGAGAATTCTGTTGGAGGAGATTAGGATTTTGGTAATGGTAAACCTCAAACGCGGTAGGATCGATCTTCCCAAAGAGAAGGAGAAAGGGATGGAGAATTTGCTTGATGGCAAGACGTGATGGGTTATGATTGAATTTGCAATTCACGGGCTTTTGTACCTTTTTTTCTGGGTAGGGAGATCAGAGGTGTATAAGATCGTAAAGCTATTTCATTATGTGTTGCAGATTGATGAGAATGTGGCAAGAGAGATTATAAATCACAGATCGCTTCGCCATCCTAACATAATTCGCTTCAAGGAGGTTGGTTGCCCATCATCACTCTGAAAGTTGTGGTTTTTGTTTGTTCTGGTGCAATTTTGTACTAGTTCAGTGATTTGATGGCCATCTTTCCTTTTCTGGGGGTGTTTGATCTTGCAGCTGGTTCTGACTCCAACCCATCTATCTATAGTGATGGAGTATGCTGCCGGCGGGGAGCTGTTTGAGCGCATCTGTAATGCTGGAAGATTCAGCGAAGATGAGGTTTCTCTGTCTGCCTAACCATTTATTAGGATGTGGGTTGTTGGAAAAAAGGTGTTTTGTGATCATTGCGTGGGTAGCATACTCACACCTGAGACCTTTCCTGTTTCACTATTAATTTTCCAGGCTAGGTACTTCTTCCAACAGCTTATTTCAGGCGTCAGCTACTGCCATTCCATGGTGAAATGAATTTTCTGATTGTAGTTTTGTTTTCAGTCCATTTCTTCTGAATCCTAAGAAAGAGCGACCAATTTCTTAGTTTCAACGTTGTTGCAGCAAATATGCCATCGAGATTTGAAGCTGGAAAATACATTACTGGATGGAAGCCCAGCCCCACGGTTGAAGATATGTGATTTTGGTTATTCAAAGGTTTGCTTTCAGAGTTGTAGATTTTTTTTTCCATCTTTGCCTGATCTATTGCTAGCTGTTCGTTTGAAATTGTGATCTCTATGTGACATTTGACAAACATTCTTCACAAATTGTTACAAGCAGTCTTCTTTACTTCATTCAAGACCAAAATCAACTGTTGGGACTCCAGCATATATTGCTCCGGAGGTTCTTTCCCGCAGAGAATATGATGGCAAGGTAATATCAGCTAAATGTTCATGTTCCGCCAGTTTTTATTATCGAAGAGTCAAGATGACATTTTGTTTTCTGGATCCTTTGTTCATAATCAGTTGAAGACCATCAGTATATTTCCTGGGCACCTTAGGGATTCTGAATCAAAACATAGTTGCAACAGCAGTCAAAACTTCATATGATTCTGTTTTGATTACTATCTCATAGTTATCATGGTAGGTTGCATGCATCAAATACCATGAGAATCCTGCGCCGGGCTTGCATTTTAGAATGTTGCTATTTCTTTCTTGCTTTCTTTCTTTCCAGTAGTGCAAGTAAAGTACTTCTGCAGAGGCAAAGTGTGTTTACTTTGTTTTTTCCTGGTTCAGTTGGCTGATGTATGGTCATGTGGAGTAACACTCTATGTTATGCTGGTGGGAGCATATCCTTTTGAAGACCAGGATGACCCAAAGAATTTCAGAAAAACAATCAACGTATGTCCCCTTTTTCCCCTCTTCGGAATCCTTTCTACTTAGTGGTTCTTTCTTTGTTTGCAGAGAGCTTAGTTTTGTCTTCTTCTGCAGAAAATAATGGGTGTTCAGTACAAGATCCCAGATTTTGTACACATATCGCAAGATTGTAGGCACCTCATTTCCCGCATATTTGTTGCAAATCCGCTCAAGGTATGTTTAGGAACTTCTTTTTATGTCTTGCATGAAAAAGACAAACATAGGAATGTGGTTGATGGTTGTCATCCTTTGAAATGATCCTTGTGTGTATCGCAGAGAATCACAATGAAAGAGATCAAGAGCCACCCTTGGTTTCTGAAGAATCTGCCTAGAGAACTGACGGAGGCAGCCCAAACCATGTACTACAGGAAAGAGAATCCAGCCTTCTCCTTACAAACTGTGGAGGCGATCATGAAAATCGTTGAAGAGGCCAAAGTGCCTGCAAAAGTCTCGAGATCAATTGGGGCCTTCGGCTGGGGAGCAGAAGATGAAGAAGAAGAGGATGATAAAAGGGAAGAAGAGCCCGAGCCTGAGGCTGAGGAAGGAGGAGGAGTGGTTGATGAGTATGAAAAGAGGGTTAAGGAGGCACAAGCTAGTGGCGAATTCCGAGTTAGTTAAGCGGATGATACCTAGTTTGCACGTTGGGGAAGTATGGACGTCTAGGAATATGCTGCTTGCTTCCTATTTTACCTCTACAATAGGATTGCCATGGAGAGTCTGTATAAAACAACCTTCTGTAATCTAGAACCCCCTTATGGTGCATGTGTGGTAATAATCTGTGTGTGTAAATTTGTAGCGGTTTTGGGTATTGGCAGGCAGGCAAGGTGTGGGACGAAATCTGCTCCACGGGAAATAGGGTTTGTGTTTGTGCTGAATTCTGCAAGACAGCTTCTGGTGTTGCTTTTTGGTTTGTTGTGATGTTCATTTTTGGGGTCTGTCAAACTTCTTACTGATTGTTAATGAGTTAACTAGTTACTGAATGGTACCGTACAGGTTGAGATGGAGAAAAGTTTTTATTTCTTCTTGTTCCTTTCTACATGTGCACAACACCTTATTTCAATCTCAATTCTCAACACAAGGGAGCAAAGTTATTATCCTCAATTACGAAAACAATGTTTTGGGCAAAGCAATTTGAATTCTTCATACATCTGAAGGAGGAACTTCAGTTCGCCTTCAACACTGCTTCTGTCAACATACTATGCAACTTTCTCGTTTCTCCCACGACACTTGATCTAGCAAACACAGTTGAAACTACTGCAACACCTTTCAGATTTGGCGGACCAATCCCCAGCACGGTTATTGCATTTGAAGCATTGATTCCACCAATCGCGACCACAGGTAGCTTGGAAGCCAAGCAAACGGTTTTCAGCCCATCCAAACCCACAGTGCTGTTGTTTGCCTTGGTGCTAGTTGGATAGACCCCACCGCAGCCAATGTAGTCCGCACCATCTAGCCATGCTTGGTGAGCTTGCTCCACTGTCTTGCATGATACTCCTATTACTTTGTCTGGTCCGAGAAGAATCCGGGCAACTCGCGCAGGCATGTCTGATTGCCCGACATGGACTCCATCGGCATCAGATGCAAGGGCTACATCGATACGGTCATTTATCAACAGAGGCACCTTGTAGGGATGGCAGATCTTCAGACATGCTTTTGCTGTTTCTATGAACTTTCTTGTTTCTGCATCTTTCTCCCTGCGAAATAACACACGAGAGCTAATTCAGTAACACAGGTTGCTACAAGTGTCAGGGTCTGCAGCGATTCAGTTCACATTGGAGCAAATCCATATTTGGATCTGAAAAAATATAGTTCGATTGGGTTTTGATTCCATAGATCCTCTCAAGAGGATAGAAATGAACTGGACAAGACCGAGAAATATGATGCAGAAAATAAGTTTAGATATGATGCAGGAAATGGTTTCAAAATTAGGGCGGAACTTATCAGCACAAGTATAAAAAAGATTTCGTTTGAGCTTGAACCTTAGTTGAATTATAGTGGCACCTCCTTCGATTGCTTCCTTAACTGCAACTTCCATCGGCCGTTCCCATTTCTCATTCATCCCAGAGTCCGTAACAGCATACAGAAACAATTCATTCCCACTGAACGTGCCCCCTGTGCTAGTGTTATGCTTGAGCCTCAAGAAGTGGTCAAAAGGACCCTGAGCTCCATTTCCTAATATAATGTCTTTGCTATACTCCAAGGCAGTCTCCACATAGCGCTTAGCTAGCTGGAAAGTTCAAATCTTTAGAATCATTGATGGGGAGAAAGTGAGGCACGTAAACAAAAATATATAACAGGATCGTAGAGAGCATATTGCATTACATTTTTATAGCAGGTTGAAGTGATGATATGTACACCTGAAATCAGGACAGGAAACTAGTGCTTCCACCTTACTGTTCCCAGTTTCCAGTGAAACAGATTAAAAAAAACATATTCTGATCCTTAGTTGCATTGCCTATATAAAAGCCACCTTATGTAAATTTCACATTCAACAATCACTCTTTCAACCACAAACTGCATGTGAACCAAAACACAATCAACAAAAGCAAAGGGGTTACCTTCACAGCAGAGAGCATAGAAGACCCTTTTGCTAGCTCAGCAGCAATGCATGACGCCAAAGTGCAACCAGTTCCGTGGGTGTTGCGAGTTTTTACACGAGGAGAGTGTAGTTCATGATACTCTTCACCTGCAAAATATCACAGAATCAAATCGGCCTGCAAATATGTTAAAGACATATAGATGAAATTACAACACCAAGAAAAACAACTGAACCCACTCAATACAGCTTACCATCAAAGAAGACATCAACAGCATCAAAAGACTCGGGAAGATCACCACCTTTGACAAGCACACTCCTGGAAATCAATACATTTAATTACAAACATAAACAAACAACTCTACATATGCCACTTTCGAATCAATTTCACTTTTCAATTGCTCAACTTTCACGAACCGTGGACCCATGGAGTGTAGTAGCTTAGCTGCACGTCGCATGTCATCAACTGTCTCTAGTCGCATTCCACCAAGTAAAGTAGATGTCTCTTTAAGGTTAGGGGTCACTATATCAGCCATCATAAGCAGCTCCTCCCTGCATTAAAAAGCCAGAGACATCATAATGCACAAGGTTTTCGGTTACTACTAACGCAAACAGCGGAAGGAAGTTCATAGGCTATTCAGTATAAGCCACCCTTTATCTTAAACTTATGAAACATACCGAAACCTTGCCAGAATAGAAGGATCTGCTAGCACATCTCCACTTGTAGATACCATAACAGGATCAACAACCACAGCTGCCTTCAATCATTTGGTTAATTCAAGGCCCTCTACAATTCGTGATGATACTGATATGAACTTAATCAGTTCAACATACCTCGAACAGGAAACTCCTTCAGACTTTGCTGAAGAACTCTAACTATCTCAATAGAGGGCAACATTCCTGTTTTCACCTGTGAACATTTTGCGAAACACGTTCAATAAGTCATCCAAGAAATTGAAAGCAATCCTTCCAACATCTGAACTGAGACTTACCACATCAACTTCCATGTCAGATAGCACAGACTTCAACTGCTGCGCAACAAATTCATCCGGCACTATGTTTACTCCCTGAAAACCAGTAACAGGATAAGGCTCAGCGACTTCACAGCAATTAGATAGGAAGACTTGAAAGACACTACTACAAAGAAAAGCAATGGAAGTAGAACCGGAAAGCATTAGAACCTGAACCCCGACAGTGTTCTGCGCAGTAACTGCAGTAATCACAGTGGAACAATACACTCCACGAGCAGCGCAAGCTTTAAGGTCAGCTTGGATTCCAGCTCCGGCACCGGAATCAGAGCCAGCAACCGTCAATACGTGTGGCAGTTTCTTCCTTGATACATCGAGTCCCTGCTTTGCAGCCCCATTTTCCTCCATCGACATGGAAATCCCCAAATTTTGAGCCAGATGAACTCTTGAGCTCGAGAACGATCTTGGATATGGAACTGCAAGCTTGTGATGACGACGAGGCCGAAAGCACTGAGACCAAATTGTATTCAGAAAGAAATCTCTTTCAAAAATCCCACCGAGCAAAGACAAAAAATTTCACCTCCGGAGACTGGGTTACCTTATTGGCAATGAAGGAATTGGACAGCAGACCAGAGCAGGCCATGGAAAGAGCAGAGAAGAAGAAGAAGATAGCCGCTGCGGGTTTCGCCGGCGTGGATTCGGGCGGGTAATTCAGCCGGTGTCAGGCCGGGTAATCTCCGAGCCCGAATTTGCAATAGCCCAGCTACTGAACTTGGGTCGGATAAATGGGCCGTAGCCCAGAAGTTTGAGAGGGTAAAAGAAAAGGAAAGGAGCCAAAATTTAAAAATGATTCCAGTGCTAAATTTTGAAAAGAAATGGGAATAAAACTGGGAAATATCCCGCCATTGAAGTCCGCGGTTATCGCTACTGCAATTCTGAAGAAGGCTCTCACTTCTTCTTCCTCCGGTTTCTGCCGCCACAACCGCCGAGCTCTCGCCGTCGGTCACCTCCCGCTGGCTCTCTCTCGCTTTTCGTGAAGCGAATTCCTCTTAAGGAACCACTCTCGCTCACTCGCTAAGGTCGGTTTTTGGTTTAACCTAACTTCATTTGGTCAGTGAACTTGGTACGAGGATTTGATTCTCTTAGAAATTTCCCCGCGATTGAATTGTTTCGGAAATGAAAGCCACAGTTTCTGATTCTCTCTTGTTTTGCGACTGCTGCTGATTTCTTGGATTTGATGCTCGTTTGTTATTTTGGGGTGTTTTTCTTATTTGCCATTCTACTCGCTGGTCTTTTTCAGAATAGTATGAAGTTGTAGCAGGAGTCCAATCAGTGCGAGTTGCTGTACGTTCCTAATGAGCAGTGAGAGACATATGAATCTGAAGTAATGGCATTCTGTTCTGCACGTCTCTTATCTTTCATTTCTTGAGTTTGTAATATATGGACTGATTCAATGTGTGGTTTGTTACCTCATACCTGCAGTCTAAGAAACTCAGGCAATGGTTTAAGGGGTAAGGAGAATCAGCTGCCTAGAGTGAATTGGTCCCAGCATGCAAAGGCATACGACAAATCATCAGCACCGAGGGAAGTTTTGAGCTCGAGTTTCCTGTATTCTTTAGAATCTCAGAAACCTCAAGTTGGAGTAGAAATGGCTGGAAGGTAGTCGTTTTCACTCTCACTCTCTCGCTGTCGTGAATTTTGGCGTGAGTAGTATAACTAGTATTTTGCCCATCAGATTTTATCAAACATTTTCTCCTGAATTTTATTATTAGTTAACGTGTTGGAAATCATCTTCGGGTGCTTTTTTCTTTCTTCGAAGCCTTCATTAGGGAAAGTGTTGATATTGTGACATCTTTAATTTTTTTAATCTCCTTATGAATAAATTTTTTCTGCTGTCTAGGCTAGCCTCTTGTCAAGTTCAAACTGTGCACAGACAGCTCAGTCCACAAGTTGAAAAGGTGATGTTTACTTATAAATGTTATGTTATCGGAAGAGGTAAACTCAATAAGGAGCTCTCGAATTTTACAAATGTTTATGTGAAACTTTTGGCAGGCTTGGCTGGCTCTTTCGAAACTTCATATATCTAGCAGGAGTTACAGTAGACCTGGGAAAACTGGTGTGCTGAAGAATGTGCAAAGTAGTCAGGGATATGCTACTGTTTTGCAGAGCTCATCTACCGTTCCTAAATATAATGAAGGTGTGGCTGCACATCAGAACTTTCCTCGACCCAGTGTACCAAGTGGTGAAACTACAGAGCATACACGGGCAAATGGTACCATGCCTTCTGCTCTTTCTGGTCCCTCCAACAATCACAGTACAAATATTGCAGAAGGGTCAGCTGATTTTATGGATGAAGATGATTTATTCCAGGTAACTCATGTTCGTGCTATGTATAAGCTATGAATTGGACAGCAGCTTGGTTGGATTCGGTATTGCAGATGCTATTTCAATTAGTTAGATTGTTCAATTAATTCATCAGTTGTTTGTCTGTTGGATATTTCTTATTTGGTTAAGTCACGAATCTGTTACTAAATTCCATCTACATGCTTATCCATGCTATTGGCTAGACTGCATTTCCTTCTTCAATGGATGTTCAGTTACCATTTTCATTCCTTTCCCTTTTCTGCATTGACATGGTTTCAGAGCATTGATGTTGATCAAATAGCTACGAAACACTGCCATTCTAGTTGCACACCTCAACATTCAGTTTCTAAGTTTCAACCAATAACTCCCTCCGTGAATAAAGATAACATTACTAGGCCAGAAGACACATTTCTACCACCTGAGTTATCGTCAAACTGCAGTCATGGAGTTCAGGTAAGCACTCACTAGAGTCTTCTAATATTTTTTGTTCTCTAACTGGTCCTGACATCTGATGGACTATTCATCTCTCATGCAGCTAGGACTTTGTCCACATGCAACTACTCATAGGCAGGAGATAAAGGACATGTTGCTCAGCATATCAAACGAATTACTTGATAACGCAAACCTTCATCCTGTAGAGATGGATAAGCTTCGTCAAGATAGGTTGAGTAGCTTTTCTAACTCGAGTCTTACTTTTGTTGCTTCTAATGTGACATAGGCTTGAAACAAATGAAAAGGTAAAACTGAAAATCACAATGCTAGTTGATTGTAGTCAAGAGGTGAACTGGGCTCATTTGCTTGTTGGATTTGAAAATGAGGGTTTTGAGTTTTCAAAACCTTTGGATTTATGATTGATTTGTTGCATTATGGATTTGTAAGAGTACATTGTTTGTGTAGTTTATTTTTGTCATAGATTCATGATGGATTTGTTCACATTTTGCCTTCCATTATCAAATCCCAAATTAAATGTGGGATTTGCAAATCCGTGGGGTCCACTGATTTGGATCTAAAAAATGGGTCCAAATCCGTGGGGCCCACGGATTTGTGTCCCTTAGCAAACAATGGACTTGTGCCAATTCCATTATGCTTGGGATTTGGGTACCAAATCCATCACCCAAATCCCACAAGCAAACTTAGTACAAGTTTTCATTTGAAATCCTTGCATCCAGATGCAACCTAAGATGCTTGAAAATTCTCATATTTTAGGTGTTGTTTTGAATCTTGTGAGGTATTTGATCTGTTTCCTTACTTGTTAGTATCCATGTGTGGCCATCATTAGGTTGAAACTTAATAGACAGCTCCAGCAACTTGAGGGGTACATTAATAATCAGGAGAGACAAAAATCAAATCTTTCTGCATCCACTACGACATGCAACCACCCATATGAAACACCTCAGATGTCAGCCTTCAAAATGCAGCCACATGATTATGTACAGAATGAATCGGGTGCAAGAGAGTATGAAAATTGGAACTCGTCATCTCTTCCATTCACCCCCATGGATGGATTTGGTGTTTCATATACTCCCGTAGAGAGGGAGCCTTACATACCAAAGTTTGTAGAGGTGAACTACAGTGACGGCTCAAATGACCCAAAGTGGAGCAGTTCGAATTTCCCCTGGGCAAAAAAACTGGAGGTCGTTGTCTATATTGGACATTTTAAGTTACCGACTTTGATTATCGCTACCAATTCGCTGACCTGTTTCTGATTCCAGGAAAACAACAAGAAAGTTTTTGGAAATCATTCTTTTCGCCCCAATCAAAGGGAAGTCATTAATGCCACAATGAGTGGATATGATGTCTTTGTTCTTATGCCTACTGGAGGTGGAAAGAGTTTAACATATCAGGTGAAAATATTCTTTCTTGGTATACATAGTATTCTTGCATTTCTATTTAGAGTCTGCAAGAGCTTTATATCTATTAGCTTGTTTGACATTCTATCTATTCTCGGTATCTTTCCTTGGGACTGCCAAAACATTTGTATAGTAATACAAGAAAATAGCTTGAAATAAACTGGTAGTTGCTTCAATTAGACTTCCATTCCTAATTGATGAATCTGGCTCACATGTTTAATATATTATGTCACTCCTGACATTGAAACAAGTGTGCATACTCACAGAAGGGATTTTTCCTTTGCAGCTTCCTGCTTTGATCTGTCCAGGGATAACACTAGTAATATCTCCACTCGTTTCACTTATCCAAGATCAGATAATGCATCTTTTGCAGGTACTGATGGTTTTAGTTTACCTATTCTAGCATTTGCATACAATAATTTGTGCATGTTGACGTATTAGCTTAAATTTTATTGAGGCCCTTTTATGCTGCAGGCAAACATACCTGCTGCTTATTTGAGTGCCAATATGGACTGGTCTGAACAGCAGGAGATCTTGAGAGAACTTTGCTCTGATTACTGTAGATACAAACTGTTATATGTCACGCCAGAAAAAGTTGCAAAGTATGTTTCATCTTTAGTGCAGTATACTGGTAATGGGCCCTTTAAGGTGAATTGTATTTTCCCCTTCTGAAATTGTTTGGAGCCCAGGTAATCCAATGCGAATTATAAGCTCCAGCACCATCAATCCGGTTCTGGAAGTGAACTTAACATATTGAAAACTAATGCATTTTGGAATATAAGATGAGATGCAATGTTCTTTTCCTCAGCTAGTTATTAAAACAAGTTGTAAATGCATAAGATTGTTGTGAGGTTGTATGGAAGCTAATATTTTGGTAACTTTCTTTTCCATCTTTTTTCACTTGCAGAAGTGATGCTCTTTTGCGCAACCTGGAGAGCTTAAATGCTCGTGGAATGCTTGCGAGGATCGTAATTGATGAAGCTCATTGTGTGAGTCAGTGGGGACATGACTTTAGACCAGATTACAAGGTTGTGACACTTGAACCCTATTGTATGTCCTGTTACAGCAAACATATTTGTGTGATTGTGTCTGATGCCAGATGACTTGTCATATATCCAGGAACTTGGAATCCTGAAAAAGAAGTTTGAGAAAACTCCAGTTTTAGCTTTAACTGCTACTGCAACAGCTAGTGTGAAAGAAGATGTTGTGCAAGCGCTTGGTCTTGTTAATTGCATTATTTTCCGACAAAGTTTCAATAGACCAAATCTATGGTATGTGTGAGAAATACAAATTTTTGCTGTTTTCTTTTTCCACTACTTTCATACAATAGTATTGTGGATGTATCAGGTATGCCGTGATCCCCAAGACAAAGAAGTGTTTGGATGACATTGACACATTCATTAAGGAAAACCATTTTGATGAATGTGGAATTATATACTGTCTTTCAAGGAATGACTGTGAAAAAGTAGCTGAAAAGTTGCAGGTTGGTGTTGCACTATTTCACTTTTTTTATGGAGTGCTCTAATTCACTCTTTATAACTGGCAAAGGATGCTCTGGATCTGCCATTATTGTCAAGGTGCAGAACGGAAGTCCACGATTCATTTTTCTCCTTGTACTGATGGTCTATGACCCGCTCTGGAGTCGCTACCAATTGAAACAATAGTATGCAAATGCACTTGAAATTTAAGCTAGGTTGATATCCTTGCATCTTGGTTTCATTGCGGGCATGTACTGATGCAAATCCAAGAAACTAGGAGAGCTTCAGTTGTTGGAATTTAGTAAGAATTTGTGAACATAAAGGCCAATGTTTTGTTATTGTCCCTTGGCACTTAGTTCACTTATTCGCTTTTTTTGCTGCTCAAGCTCTGGATATAATATCGACTTGAGCATAGTTCTTGGAGATTCTCTATGATAGGATTTGATGTTTATGTATGTTTGACTTATAACATTGTTATGCTTGTTTGTTTTCTCCACAGCAATGTGGACATAAAGCGGCATTTTATCATGGTAATATGGAGGCTACTCAACGCGCTTTTGTCCAGAGACAGTGGAGCAAAGATGAAGTTAATATAATTTGTGCCACAGTGGCATTTGGAATGGGTATAATTTTTAATATGTCTGATTTTCTCATTATCTGAAACAGATTAGTATGATTCTGCTAATATATGTATTCCAGGTATCAATAAACCTGACGTTCGCTTTGTGATTCATCATTCTCTCCCAAAATCCATTGAAGGTTACCATCAGGTAATATGAACACTGTTCACAAGTATAATTGCCAATATTACCAGTTGATCATAGAACTACGTGGAAGATTTTGACTACTAGACATCATAATGTTGACTGTTTTGGCCTGTTGGAATGGTGCAACTTTTTCAGGAATGTGGACGTGCTGGTCGAGATGGTGCCCGCTCTTCTTGTGTGTTGTATTACAGCTACAGTGATTATGTCGGTTCACCTACAAGGCTCTGTTGGTTTTATGTTCTTTGAGTGATGATGAGCTGCGTCTCTCTTTCATCTTTTATCTCCATGTTGTACTAATGCCTAGTCTGGATTTGAATCTCTTGTCATCTATCTAGATAAGGGTGAAGCATATGCTTGTACAAGGACAGGGAGAGCAAAGTTCCTGGACATCTGGCTATAATCGCGGAAACACGGCAAATTCAGATGGGATATATGAGAAAAATACGGAAAATCTCCTCCGAATGGTACTTAGAATAATTGGGTTTTCTTTTATGAATGAATATGTTGATTAGTTGCTTCTGCGAGTCATATCTACTAATGCAATGAAATATCACTTTAACTGTTTCAGGTGAGCTATTGTGAAAACAACGTTGATTGTAGACGTTTCCTACAGCTTGTGCATTTTGGGGAGAAGTTTGATTCTGGGAACTGCAGGAAAACATGTGATAACTGTGCAAAGATGAAAACCTTGGTGGAGAAGGATGTCACCGTGATAGCAAAGCAATTGGTTAGAAGACTCTTCTCTTCTACTTTTATCCATGTTTCTTCAGTCAGTAGAACTTTCGAATTTGGGACTGCTTTTCACCTAAATGTTGATCTGTGTTTGGTTAGGTTGAACTGGTAAAAATGACGGGACAGAAATATTCGTCTTCTCATATTCTGGAAGTCTACAGGGGTTCTATGAGCCAAGTGGTATGTTGTGGCATGAAAACTTCTCACCTTTTTCATTTAATACGCTTGATAATCGATTGGTGTTAATTGCTACTAATTACTGCCAGGTAAAGAAACATAGACATGAGTCTGTGAGTCTACATGGAGCTGGAAAACATCTGGCAAAAGAAGAGGCTTCTCGTATATTGCGCCATCTTGTTATTGAGGACTATCTTACTGAGGAAGTGAAGAAAAGTGATGTCTATGGATCTGTTTCATCAGTGCTAAAGGTAACTACCGTTTCCACTTTCACCTTTTCACATCCTTTAAAGCTTGAAGTACTTGCATTTTTCACCTTCAGTAGCACCTAACTATAAATTCAAGCTATGTCATCTTTATTAAAAAAAAAAATCCAGGCATTGTGACCTTATTGCATGCTGAACATGAATGTCAGAAATGTTAAGGTGTTATAGACGAGCTTGCAAAAACCAGGAAACTCATAGCCAGCTCTTCTAGGTTTGTTTGGCAAATTTTGGCTCTACTTAAATGTAGAGCGGGAGATGATGCAGCCAGTCCATAGAAGGTAGTACTAGTAACTATGGGAGGAAGAAGCTACTCTATTGTAATAAGGTCTCGGAACATTGTCCGTCTAACGACCATTGTTTCCTTGAGTGCTTCCCTTAACATAAGCATGTGCTTTAGAGAAGATATTGGGGTCAAGTTGAAGCTGTTTACAATGTGGAAAAGGGGGTTCATTGGAAGTACAGTGGAGTAGCAAATGGATTTGCTGATCGCTACAACACCCTTTAGCTCTTGTTATATGGTGCATAACCAGCTCTATTTAGCCCTTATCGTTCCGAGGTGTATGATCTAGTTTTTCTTTATTTCAGGTGAATGCACGTAAAACTTCGGATTTATACTCTGGCAAGCAAATCCTGCTAAGGTTTGTTCAGCTCTAACTTATGGAGGATCTAATTTCAGCCTTTTTCTGTGAATCCTTCCCTGTGCAAAGAAGCAGAGATTTCCTACATGTTCTTTGAGCTATCTCTGCACGTTCATTATTGAAATTCCTGTATTCTAAAAGCTCTCTTTACGTTGCAGGTTCATTTCATCTGCAAAAGCATCTAAAGCATCCAAATCTGATGCCACTCCAGCAAAAGGAATATTGCAGCCTTACAACAAGCTAAGTCCTCCACCAGTCGACACTCCGGCATCTGCTGCACCTAAAATCAACGTGGTATGTGGAAACTCGCATCTCTCTCATCCATGATCCATCTCTGATCAACCCTATGGTTAAATGATCACCTTATTTCCCCCAAAATAATGATCTTTGGTTTGTTCATCAGGAGCTATCTACCAAAGTATACTCTGCTTTACGACTGCTTCGGACTAAGCTCGTTAAAGAAGCTGGCGAGGGGTGTAATGCATACCATATATTTGCGTAAGCTTGCAAACCGCTTGTTCATTTCTTTGCCTCCTCTTCCATCTACTAAGCCGGCTTCTAAAGAACAAGGCTTGTTGGAATCATCTGAATCTGTTAACTGTTGGGGTTTAGGAATGTGACACTCGAGCTAATAAGCAGAAGCCTTCCCAGAACCAAGGAAGAGCTCTTGGAGGTCAATGGAATTGGAAAGTGAGTGAAGCTTTCCTTCTGCAGTTGAATATTGTTTTTTTTGGCATGCATTCGATAACTACAACTCATAACAATTACATTTTACCGGATGAATTCAGCATTAAGATAACAAAGTACGGGGATCGCGTACTGGAAACCATAGCCGCCACAATCAGAGACTTCTACAGCAAGGATGGAAGTGGGAGCAGTAGCAACAGCACTGATTCGGGTAAGAGGAGGAGGAACCGTGCTGCTGCTGCTGCTGAAAACGGCGATGGCTGTGGCATGGACGACGACGACGAGGATGACTTCATCGTGAGAAGCACAGGTCGGTCGAAGAAGAGGTTGGCAAAGAAGCAGCAGCAGCAGCAGGAGAACATCAACAACAATGGCGTTGGTGCTTGTAATGATAATGGGAATGGATTCACACTTCCTCCCCAGGAATGCCTGGATGACGAGGATCTAGTTTTCTACGATTCAAGTGGTGAGTTCGAAGCCGCCGATGTTGCGACGCCTTCGGTTGATCAGAAGAACAGTGGTGGAAGAGTGTTGCCTTGGGTAACGCCGGCCAGCAACGTGGTTCGTACGTCATGGTGACGTTATCCAGTATAGCTACGGTTGATTGCTTATTTATGTCACTAACGGAAAAGTCATTTTGAACTTTGATTTTTACCGAAATTATTGTGCTTACAATAATTAAATAAATTATTATTCTGGCCTAAAGAAAATTACTTCTTTGACTGCGTGCGAAGTGCGAACAAACTGACGGAGTTGCAATGAGATAAATGTTTTGTTCAGTTTCAGGTGCTGTTCCGTTATTATTTTCTATCTCGGGTGGTGAAATGGATAAACAGACGATTTTCGTGTACTGCAGTGCAATTTACTAAGAGAAGTAAATGAAACGCAGAGCAGCAGAATTTTAGCGAGTCCCTCTCTTTCGTCTTTCCCGCTCTCCTCTGTCCTCTCGCCTGCCCTTTCTTCCTCCGACCGCCGTGGTTTCTTCCCTTCCCGTCCGTCATTCCTTTTCCTGTCCTTATGCCGCGCCGGCTCTCTCCTGAATAAGGGTATTCTCATCAAGCTGAAGCTGAACCAGGTCTGTACACCATCAATTCTGAGCTTCATTCGGAACTATTGCCTTTTCCTTAGAAGCTACATTTACTGCTGTTGATAGCGTAAGGCCTGTTTTCTATAAGCTTGAAATCGAGATTTTTCTTTCAAATAATGGCGGTCAGCTGACTATACGTTTTCCCGTCGGGTTCCTATTCGGATTTTTATTTCTTTGAATTGATATTCTGAATTTGTGTCTGCTTGTTTTGGCGAATTTGCACGCTATGTGTTCGACGAATTGCCCCGCTGAAAGTTGTGTCCTCATTTTATGACATTCATAGAGCGTAAAGGCTATTGGGACGATGAGTTCGGAGGCGCCGCCCAAGACCAAATCCCCACAAATTGTTACATTGAATCATGCGTTCAAGTTGGTAAATGTCTGAACTTTACGCCGGAAAACCATCATAGAATCGGAATTCGCAACCAGTTAATGATTGGCTAGGAACACACGGCTGACACAAGACTTTATTTTTTGTGCACAACCATTTTTTTCCAGGCTGAACAATGGGTAAGTAGAATGAGCAGAAGCAGTGACGATGAACCAGTGGAGGCAGAACAACAAGGACGACCTCTAAAGTCTGTAATACTCCCTCCCGCTGTCTTTCTTTTTCTGTTCAGCTTGGTGTTTGCCTTTTTTCTTGTTTCATTGGAATTAGGTTGCGCCAAAAACAGGCTAACGCAGACAGTTGTACTCAGTCTTGGACTTGGAGCTAGGGCTGTTCCGCGGTCGAATCTTCTACCTACAAATGATCCCGCGGCGAGGAGGCTGCATAACAAGTTGGAAGCTGCGAAGAAAAGATCTGCTAGAGTAGCTAGTGAGACTGGAGGTGATGAAAGCGATGGCAGTGATGGAGAACTAGAGAGCAGAACCGGTGCATTCGCCAAGAAGAGAGGTTGGCCCCCAGCTTTACCTTCACAACTAAACACCAAGAAGAAGAAGCAGCAGAAGTAAATGTTTCTAACCTTGCATCTCCTCCTTAGAACTGTCATTTCCTTATGTGAAAAATGCTGACTTGAATGATAGATCAATCTGTCAGTGTAGATTAGGGGCGAAAAACCGAATCCCAATCCGATTTTATAGGCCTGTTGGTTTCCTTAACTGAGTAGAATCCCGAAACCGAATCCGTTAAGGACTTATTGGTTTCGGTGAACCGAAACTGATAAGCTCTTAACGATATCTTTTTTGAGCAATTTGGATAATTCGGGTTTCGTTTTCATGGTTTTTCGGTTATGTTAACCGAACCGAACAGCCCCCTGGTGTAGACAATGACACCTCTAATGTCTTTCTTTCGTATTAGGACATCCATAGCCGAAATCCTAATTGAGTGGCCAGGCTGCAACAAGAACATAGTTGAATGGTATCGGCAGGCTACAACTTTATAACGTGTTTGGGGACCGCAGAAAGGCTGGCTAGTGGCTATACTGACTCACAGGAGCCAAGAAACTCAAGTGGTGCTTTAGGTGGCCAGCAATTCTGTACGAGTAGACTTCACAAATCGGGACCAAGGCCCGGTTTGTCCACTTTCTAGAGAGGCCGAACTTTTTGTCTTCCCACTTTTGGGCCCACCTGGGCCCCTCTCCGTTAGTCCTCCCAAATTAAAAAGCCCAATTTAAATGGGCGAGAATTTCTTGTTCAGATATAGACAGGCAGCCGTCGCAGCCCGTCATTACATACGTGGTTCTTGTGGCGCCGATTACATACAGGAAAGCAACTTCCCCTGCATCTTCTTTTCTTTCCCGCTTTCAAATGGAGAAGGAATCCTCTGCATCCAACACCAGAGGGATCTCGAAGAATCTTGCTGCGGCTTTTCTGCCACGTGGATATATGATGAGAAATAGATTAGAATTGGGGCTAAATTACACGTTTGGTCACTCAAATTACCTAAAATTTTCACGTTTGCCACCCAAATTACTTTTCTTTCATATTGGCCACTAACTTTACGATTCGTTTCACCATTAGTCATCGGCCGTCAGCCACCGTCAAATTCTGTTAGCTCCGTCAAAATTTTGATGACGTGGCAAACGGAATTGCTGACTGGGTCGTTAACTTAATGACATGTCAATTTCTTTAAAAAAATATTACACGTACACTCTCTCTTCTCCTTCCTCTTTGCACGACCAGCTCCAACAGGAACTAGGTCGCCGACCTCTTGCGTCCAGGTCGCAGAGCAACGAAGGCGTAGAACAGAACGGCGAAAAATCTGCCGCACTCACCAACTACCAAGTAGCAATCAAAAGCAAAGTTCCCGGCCACTCTCTCTCCCTCCCTTATCTCTCCGTCGCACCCCTTCCATATCTACGGCCACAAAGGCAGCCACAAAAAGAAAAAGCTGGAAATCGAACTCGAACCAAAACCCAGATTAAAACTAGATCCTAGCCCCAAATCAAGTTCAGAAAGCAAATCAAAATTATATAATAAAAATTTTAAGAAAAAGGGAGGACAAGAAAAGGGATAAGTTTGCATTACATCGCTGGGCATTGAAGAAATTGAGGGCCATCTTGAGCGCGACGGTGTAATTGCCCAACTTCCCTTCCGCTCCGTTGCTAGAATTGGGTCGATCTCTTCTTTATAATGTTGTATTACAAAGAAAAAGGAGAAGCCAACCAACGGGGAGGGATGGGCAGATCTAATATGAAATGGAACTGGGTAAAGGAAGAGGAAGGATGGAGAAGGAAGAGAGAAGTGGAGAAGGAGGTAGTGAGCCAATAATCAGTAGAGCATAGCAATAATAGTAAGGAGTAGCTCTTGCTGGATACTCGAATTACTCGCCGTCGCTTGGATTGGGTTTTTTGTGGCGGTAGATAAGGATTTGGAGGAGTGCGACGAAGAGATAAGGGAGGGAGAGCGAGTAAACGTTGGGGAGTGCGGCAGATTTTCCGCTGCTCTGTGCCTCCGTTGCTTTAGAGCCTAGACGAAGGAGGTCGGCAGCAGCCTCGTTCCTGTTGGAGCTGATCGTGAGAAGAGGAAGGAGAAGAGAAAGTGTAGGGCAAATCTGAGGACAGAATGAGGTGTAATTTTTTTATTTTTTTTCAATTGACATGTCATTAAGTTAACAGTACAGTCAGCATTTCGTTTGCCATGTCATCAAAATTTTAACGGAGTTAACAGAGTCTGACGGTGACTGACGGCCGGTGACTAATGGTGAAACAATTCGTAAAGTTAGTGGCCAATATGAAAGAAAAGTAATTCGGGTGGCAAACGTGAAAGATTTATGTAATTTGAGTGACCAAATGTGTAATTTAGCTTTAGAATTGGATACACGTAATAATTGAGTTTGACTATAGGTTACAGATATGATGAGAATTGGAGAAAAGGTGCATTTCAATTCCACTGTGCTTGATTATTGACCTAAGCCGTGTGTTTTGTAGGTAAGTCGGGGATATTCATATCAATCCTATTCAGCTGGATGACCCGTGGAATCCATTCATCCAATTTTGATGACAACATATACGTTGAGAAAATCATTTTCTTGATTCATAAAAAAAAATTAATAATCATTTTCTACTATGAAAGGAAAAGAAAAGAACATCAAGATTATCGAAATTTTAAAACGCTAATACGGAGTTAGAATTTCAAGAAGTGAGAAAAATATATGTGGTTTGAGGTGCTCGTCTTGGCCGAAAGTGCAATTCAAAACCTGAAGATATTTGGGTGTTGATTAGGTAAGGCGACATGTAATTTAAACGAGGAAAATGATAATCAAGATGAGATTGCTTGACAGATTAATCGTTGTATTAACATATTGTATTCACATATTGCCCTTGATAAATTTGTATGGAATCTGCCAACACTATTGATTGTCGATTGTTCTTTAAATTCGTTTTCCTTGGATTGTAAGAACTAATTCGTTGATATCGCTAATTTTTTGACGATTTAGAAAAATGTCTAAAATACAAAATATTATATTTTACACCGTCGGAGGGAGCTATCCAATGACGTGGCGCATTCCTCGTTTGGCAAGCAACTCCATCTCTTTCTTTCCTCCTAACCTCGTTGCATTTTTCTTGGCTTACAAATAAAATAAAAAATAAAACACAAAGAGAGAATATTATTTGAATTAAATAAAAAAAAACTCGGGGAAAATAAAAAGTAGCAAAAAGAACCTCCTCCTCGAAGCTTTTTCTTTCGTTGAAAGAGATAAAAAGAGGAGGAGGAGGACGACGAGAACCCGAAATTAGATAGAATAGAACGCAAAGAAAAGTAACACACTAGAGAAGAAGTACACGCTTTTCCTTCCTTCTCCTTCTACTTCACCGGCGTCGGAACTGCAATTCGTTAATTCATTTCCTTTGATCAATCGAATTCCCGGCCACTTTAATCTGCGGGTTCGGTTGTTTCCGGGGGGAGAGCCTGTTTCCTGGCGAAACATCGAAACACATGGCTACAGGAGTAGAATCGTCACCGCTATCCTCCGGGACGGTGGAGAAGGTGGCACCGAGTGGCATCGCGCTTGATTTCCCGGCGACTGATGCTCCTGCGTCTGCCTCGCCGCCGAGAATTCCCAAGCGGCTTCGGAAGCGGATGATGGAGGCAAAAACTTCGCCTGTCAGTAGTGTGCAGGAGATCGAAGCTAAGCTTCGCGACGCTGAACTCCGGAGGCAGGTTAGTTTGTTTTTCGACTGAGGCTCACTTTCTGCTGTCTGCTTATCCACTCTCTCTTCAATTGGAAAGAGCAAAACCTTTAGGGATTCTTGGGGGTTTTGTTCTTTCCTTTTTTTTTTTTCTTCTTCATTTCGTCAGAGAGTTTAAGCAATTCGTAGTGAATTCTGGTTCTTTTGGGGTTTCCCTGGCTGCTGAGTCGATTGATCATCCAACGCTAAAGAAATGATCTTGTTTTGATTCTGATACTGGTTCACCATAGATGAAATTTGGACTACAAATTCCGATCGATTTTGTGTTATTTCCCACTTTCTATTTCATATTATCCCCTTTCCCGGCGGTGGGATTTTTCATCTCTTCGTGCGTAAGGTTCATTTCTCTTGTGTTAGGTAAAAGGGGCTTGAGTTATCCTTGTGTTTGAATTTGCTTTTCTCACTTTTCAAGTTTCCCACATGGCTCTGTCTCCTGCTTTTCTTTCTTCATCATCATGCGGCTTTTCTACTCTATATTTCCCGACTTTTATGTTACCTTTTCTGGTTCATGTGACTTCTAAGAGTTGGTGTCCTTGGTTAGGTTCTGTAGTATCGATTAGGTTGGTTTGCTTAGCAGGGTATGGATTATTTAACCTGCGGATATGATGAGGATGAAATGTTTGTAACCTCTGGTTTAAACTGTTATATGTTCTGCGGTTGAAATTTTGTTGTTATTCCAATCTGATTGTGTTGTTTGCTGTTTTCGCCTTTGTTTAATTGCAGCAATTCTATGAGATGTTGTCCACTAAGGCGAGGCCAAAGCCGCGAAGCCCTTCGCGGTCTTCCTCTCAGGATGAAGATCTTGGTCAACGCCTTGAAGCCAAACTTTTAGCTGCGGAGCAGAAAAGGTATTAACTTTGTGTGAGCAAATAGATTCCAAACGTGAAGGCTGCAAAATCAATAATTTTTTATCTGCCAAGTTGTCATCCATCTTATCCACCACTGTTGTTGGTCTACCAGGTTGGGTATCTTGACCAATGCTCAAATGCGCCTAGCTAAGCTGGATGAGTTACGCCAGGCCGTGAAAGCTGGGGTGGAAACGCGTGTAGAGCGGGAAAGGCAGAGGCTTGGCACTAAAGTAGAATTGCGTGTTCAACAGGCTGAGGAAAATAGAATGCTTCTCATGAAAGCTTATAAGCAGCGCCATGCTTCTGTGAAGGAGAGGACTTCTCGGTCATTAATGCAAAGAGTTGCCAAGGAGAGCAAATATAAGGAGCGTGTGCGTGCAGCGATTAACCAGAAGCGTGCTGCTGCAGAGAAGAAAAGACTCGGGTTACTGGAGGCGGAGAAGAAGAAAGCATGTGACCGGATTTTGCAAGTGCAGCAAGTAGCTAAGTCTGTCTCTTATAAGCGCGAGATTGAGAGGAGGAGAATGATGGACCAACTTGAGGATCGGTTGCAGAGGGTAGGGATGATTTCTGAAATTTGTGTTCTCTTACTGTTATTTAAAAAATGCTTTCCCTTTCTAGTTCTGCTCGTTCTGTTTTTGACGTTTGGCTTTTTAATCAGGCAAAACGACAGAGAGCAGAATACTTGAAGCAGAGGTGCAGACAGCGTAGTCCTGTGCAGATGAATTTGAAGAGGATGGAAAAGCAGGCTGATGTTCTTTCAAGGAAATTAGCCAGGTATATATTTTATCTTTATAGTTCTTTAACTTGTTGACCGGCTTATTAGTGTACTGGCATATGTTCTGGCGTGTGAAAAGGAAATATGAGATTGAAAAAGAAATACTCAGCAGAGATGGTCTTCTTGCTTTCGCTTTTTTGTTTTTCCTTCCAACATTATGCTTTTCCCCTTTTGCAGCCCTTGTATGCTTGGTAGAAGATTCTAATTGGAATTTTGGTCCTCTTGTTTTCGTTCTTATAGGTGCTGGAGGAAGTTTCTTTCATCAAGAAGAACGACCTTAGAGCTGGTAAAAGATTACGACGCCTTGAAGATAAACGAGAACTCTGTAAAAACCATGCCATTTGAACAGCTTGCTTCTGCAATTGGATCACCTGCTACCCTTCGGACAGTAAAAGCTCTGCTAGATCGGCTGGAGAGCCGATATAAAGTCTGCAGGGCAGTTGCTGCTGCTAGCTATTCTTCTACACTGGACAACATCGATCACCTGCTGAAAAGAGTCACTTCTCCTCAGAGAAGATCTACACCCAGGTCCTCAATGAGGAGCAGAGAAGCAAAGAGTGCAGGTGCTACAAGGGAATTGACTAGAAGTCCAGCTAAGTTATCCAGGTATTCAGTGAGAGTAGCTCTTTGTGCTTACATGATTCTGGGCCATCCAGATGCTGTTCTCAGCAGTCAAGGAGAGAGGGAAACTGCCTTGGCCAAGTCTGCAAAGGATTTTATCCACGAGTTTGAGCTGTTAATAAGGATCATTCTGGAGGGACCACTTCAGAGCTCTGATGATGAGTCGGACTCCATTTCATCAAAGCGCTGTACCTTCAGGTCCCAACTTGTGGTGTTCGACAAAGCGTGGTGCGCATTCTTGAATTGCTTTGTGGTGTGGAAGGTTAAGGATGCCGTGTCATTGGAGGAGGACTTAGTGAGAGCAGCTTGTCAGCTTGAGCTATCTATGATTCAAAAATGCAAGATGTCTCCTGGCGGAGAAAATAAGGATCTTCTTTCTCATGATATGAAGGCTATTCAGAAACAGGTTTTGCTTCTTAGTCATGCCCATCTCAGGCTTCTTAACAGCTATTTTTCATGTCTAGTGCTAGTGTTATTATTATTATTTTTTTTATCTTTTCCACTGCACAATGCTTGTTGTTTGGAGTTTGTGTTTGACAATGGTGTTATATTTCTCATCTCATTTTCTTGTAGGTAACAGACGACCAGAAATTGCTAAGAGATAAAGTACGACATCTTAGTGGGGATGCTGGGATTGAGAGAATGCAATCGGCTTTGGACAAGATGCGCTCGAAGTATAAGGAAAATGGCACACCTATTGGTTCACCAATAATCAGTGTGTCATCTCCTGGCATGCCCTGTTTCGTTGCAGGTGCTGCTACTCCTGCATCTACAAGTGATGTCAGGGCTGAGACACCAAGTCGAGTGGTCCGTTCTTTGTTCAAGGATGAAAGTATTGACCCATTTAAACAAGCAAGTTCCTCGGCTGCTGCTATCCCACCCAAGTCGGCAATTTCCACTGCAGCAGGCACAAGCTCATCTGTCGGTCAAGTGGGTGGTTCTGTTAATAAGATGATAACAGAGAATGAAGTTATTGTGAATGAGCTTCTTCACGAAAAGGGTAGGGGTCTGGTTGACAGATTAGACACTGCCCAAAAAGTTGAAGAGAACCTCCAGGTTATCAAATTCACTTATATATTAAGATCTTTTTGAGTGACTTGAGAGTCAAGACTGCCATATGGGTTTAGAGTTTAGACTTCTAACCTTATGTTTTTTTTTTTTTTTTTTCATGCAGGCAAAGATTAAAGAGGCAATGGAAAAGGCTTTCTGGGATGGAGTGATGAACTCGGTAAAAGAAGAGGGACCCGACTATGACAGGGTTATTAACCTTGTGAAGGAAGTGAGGGATGAAATCATTGAGATGGCTCCTGAGAGCTGGAGACAAACCATCATGGAAGCTATTGATATAGACGTTCTTACTCAGGTATATAGCCTACCTTGATCACTTTGCTTCGTTTGGACGTGTTGCTGGTTTATAGTTCTTAAGTGTGTCCTTTCCATGTGTGTGCTTTCTCTATCTTTATCAGGTGTTGACGTCGGGAAACTTAGACATTGAGTACCTTGGGAAGATTCTAGAGTTTGCACTGGCTACATTGCTAAAGCTCTCTTCCCCTGCCCATGAAGATGAAATGAAAGTCAAATATCAGAATTTACTCCAAGAATTAACTGTGGCATGTCAAAATAGAGATGATAATGCAAAGAGTTCTCCTGCGGTGGCAATGATTAGAGGTCTCCGCTTTGTGCTAGAGCAGATACAGGTTTCTTCCTTAATATTTTTCTTCCTTCTAAATATCCTTTGATCATTGAGCAAGGAAATTTGCTGGAACACGGTTAAGAAGACATAAAAGGAACTACCCTCAATTCAGTTTGCTGGTTACAGTGAGATATGCAGTTTATTACTTTGAGGCATACAGGCAGAGGTCTTTGCTGGTATCGTTTGGGTTGCAATGAATTTCTGTTATGTTGAGTCCTTACTCCAGTTTATCTCCTGTTTTTTCCAGACGCTTAAAAGTGAGATCAGCAAAGCACGTATAAAACTGATGGAGCCATTGTTGAAAGGCTCTGCTGGTTTGGAATATATTAGGAAAGCTTTTGCTAATCGGCATGGCTCCCCGTTGGATGCTTGTTCGTCTCTACCACTGACAAAGCAGTGGCTTTCTTCCTTGATAAGTTGCAGTGACCAGGAATGGGAAGAACATAATAATTCCCTCTCGGCTTTGGCCAGCCATGAGAATCCTTCGCAGGCGTTTCTGCCTTCTACTGCACTTCGAACCGGTGGGAGCTTTCAGGTGAAACAAAGTGCTGCGCCAGATGCTGGCTCCAGCAATGAACAATCAGCGCTGGTCCCTGAACGTCCTGGTGATAGGATTGATCTCTTGGTTAGGCTTGGATTGCTGAAAATGGTCACCGAGGTTTCCGGTATAACGCCTGAAACTCTTCCAGAGACATTTGCTCTCAACCTGTCCAGATTGAGAGGCGTCCAGGCTGAAGTCCAGAAACTTATAGTGGTCACTACCAGGTAAAGTGTTGTCTGCTTAGTAGTATTCTCATTATATCTTCTTTCTGAACTGATCCTCTCATAATGTCAACTGCAGTGTCTTAGTTTGCCGGCAGACTCTCTTGATGGAAAGAGGTGCAGCCAGCAGTGCTGACATAGAAAACACAGTATCAAACTGTAGCAAGCAACTATTGCAACTCTTGGACCATGGTGGCGACGATGCTGGGATCGATGAAATCGTCGGCATACTCAGCAGCTTCTTCTCCCAAGATTCATCTCCGTCGGGTTCTGAAAATGAAAACACTCAGCAGCTTCAGTCGAGGAAGGAAGTTATGGGTAGGATGTTAGGAAGGAGCTTACAGGCAGGGGACCCAGTTTTTACAAAGGTCTCCCGAGCTATTTACTCCGCGGCCAGGGGTGTCGTTCTGGCGGGAAGCGGATTCAAAGGAAGGAAACTGGTCGAAACGGCTCTCAGGCCGGTTGGTGCCACCATCCTCGCTGACAGGGTGGTGGAGGCTGCCCAAGTGCTGGTTACGGCGGCTGGAGTCTCTGTAGCAGTCCATGGACCATGGTATGCAACACTGGTGAACAGCTTGTAGATAGGACATGATTTGTTTTGTTTGCTTGACTTGGAAGAAAGTTGGGTTGCCAAATAAGAAAGAAGAAGGATATGTACAGAGCGCTGTGTAAATAAAAGTAGCAATGTGTTTTACGCCGGCGACGAGGCTGCTGTGATTTGGTTGTTTGTGTGTATAAATTGAAGTGAAGAATTATGTACATAGTGTTTGATAATAAGATCAGTGATTGGTTCATTTTTCCGATCTCTGCTATTCCCCATTCTCCACTACCGCCGCCGATAAATTCTCCGTCACCGTCGCTGCCTGCATACTCTCCGGTAACCGTTGATACGACGGACAGGAATAAACCAAGGAACCCGTTACGATGTCGTTTAGCATGCCGCGGAGGGAGGAGCCCAATAGCTTCCCAACGTCGGAGGCCCAACTAAAAGGTTGATATCTAAGGGGGAGCCCAAGAATTGTCCAAGCACGCAGGAGGAAAGCCCACAACCTGATCCACCAAAGGCCCAACAGAAAATAAATAAATAACAAGAAGCCAAAAATTAAATGGAAAATATCCAGAATTTCGTCCAGGTTCATTCCGTCCTTCTCTTCATTCCTTCCTGGATTCTCCGTCAACCATCTCCTACGCTAAGCCCAAATTCCCCTTCTTCCTACTTTGCTCTCTGCTCGGTTTTCTCTGCTCGTCGTTCCTTTTCTTCAGCCGCCGGCCGGACCATCTTCAAGCTTCTATGCAAGCCCTTCTCTTATCATCCTCCTCTTCACCTCTCTGCTGCTTCGCATCTCTGGATCTCAGTCCCTTCTCCTGCTGCGTCTGTGAATTCCGCTCTTGTTGTCGTTGATGGAATCCAACTTGTCTCTTGGCTTGGTCCCCAGCGTTTCCCCTGCCTCCCACCGCTCCCAGATTTCCGATGATTCGATCTTCGTCCGTGAAGCTTCTTCCGCCTCTTCGGCCGCCTCCGTCCACCACCTCCCGTTGCGGCTACTGGAGTCGATAAACGAGAATTGCCACCGCGGAGGCCTCCTCCACAACCAGAACGGTGGTGCCGCCGTGGAGCTGAATCGCGACCCCGGGGACGAGGAGGATGAGAGGGAGTTTCGGATTTTGGGCCACTCGATGTGCTTCAAGAGGCGTCGCCCCGATTCCGAAATTCAGTGCGGTCCGGCCAAGAGGCCAGTCGTGGCGAGCGAATCGGATTTGCAGGAGCGTCGGAGCTCGGTGAAGGCTTGGGGAAACCAGCCGATTAGCGAGGCAGATCCGGAGCTGTTTGAGATCATGGGCAAGGAGAAGGAGAGGCAGTTCAAAGGGATTGAGCTTATCGCGTCGGAGAATTTCGTGTGTAGAGCTGTAATGGATGCACTCGGTAGTCATTTGACCAACAAGTATTCGGAAGGGATGCCAGGGGCGCGTTACTATGGTGGTAATCAGTACATTGACGAGATTGAAAACCTGTGTTGCAAGCGGGCACTGGATGCTTTCGGGTTGGATTCGGAGAATTGGGGTGTTAATGTCCAGCCATACTCTTGTACTTCGGCTAATTTCGCTGTCTATACAGGTTTGTTGTTGCCTGGAGACAGAATCATGGGTCTGGATACTCCTTCTGGAGGTAATACTAGCCATGGTTGTTATATGCCGAGTGGTAGGAAAGTGTCTGGTGCCTCCATTTTCTTTGAGAGTTTGTCGTATAAGGTGAACCCATAAACTGGTTACATTGATTTCGATAAGCTGGAAGAGAGGGCGCTTGATTTCAGGCCCAAGATTCTTATATGTGGTGGAAGCTCGTATCCTAGGGAGTGGGATTATGCGAGGTTCAGGCAGATTGCGGATAAGTGTGGTGCTGTTCTTTTGTGTGATATGGCTCAAATTAGCGGCCTTGTTGCGACTAAGGTGTGTATTATGATTCTTTCTCTGTGCTTGCTTGAATTATGTGCCTTACTGTTTTATGATCAAATTTGCTCATGAAGGAAGTCATTCATTCTGGTTTTGATGAGAACACCTACTTCATGGAGAGATTGTGTCATCTATTTGGTTTGGGATCCCCTGCTATGTCACTGACTGTGTTGTTTATTTCATTCAGGAATGCGTCAATCCTTTTGATTACTGTGATATTGTTACCTCAACAACGCATAAAAGCTTGCGGGGACCAAGGGGAGGCATAATTTTCTACAGGAAGGGTGCGAAGCCTAGGAAAAGAGGAATGCTTCTAAGTCAGGGAAATGAAAGTGAGCAGTATGATTTTGAGGAGAAGATAAACTTTGCTGTGTTTCCATCGTTGCAAGGTGGACCTCACAATAACCACATAGCCGCCCTTGCAATCGCCTTGAAGCAAGTTGCTACTCCAGAATACAAGGTGTATATGCAACAGGTGAAGCGTAACTCACAGGCTTTAGCCAATGCTTTGTTGAGAAGAAGATGCCGCCTGGTAACTGGAGGCACGGATAACCATTTGTTGCTTTGGGATCTGAGGCCTCTGGGACTAACAGGTATGATTGCTCTCATATGTATGTTACAATTTCAGTGCTTGTTATTTTAGATTGTTGCTTTTGGGGATGGTTGTTATCAATATATATATATTTGTCGTTCTTGGCATATATCCAGCAGATTGTAGTGTTCAGTAGGTAGTTTGCTTCTCTCTTTAGGAAATGTGCTGGAGTTGGATAGTTATCTACCATTATTAAGCAAGCATCTCTGGCACAGATCAATCTTCTTCAAGTTTGGTGTATAGCTAATGGTTATTTATTATTGCTCGGTGACAGGTAAAACATATGAGAAGGTCTGCGAGATGTGCCATATTACTGTGAATAAAATTGCAATCTTTGGTGATAATGGCACCATTACTCCTGGCGGTGTAAGGATCGGTGAGTGATATCCTTAATTTTCCTGGCCTTTTTTCTACTTTGCTATCTTTTGGTTTGATCAGCTAATCAATTTTTACTTGCGTACTATCCCTTAGGCACACCTGCTATGACGTCTAGAGGTTGCCTGGAGTCTGATTTCGAGACGATGGCTGATTTTCTACTGAGGGTTGCACATATCGCGAGCACGTTACAGCGAGAGCATGGCAAGTCCCCAAAGGCTTTCCTGGAAGCTCTGCAGAGCAGCAAGGACCTTGCCGAGGTCCGGAACCAAGTCGAAGGTTTTGCTACCCAGTTTGCTTTGCCCGGGTTCGATGTGTGAACGTGAAGGAATATGCCCGGATCTCAGAACTGCTGCAAGCATCTTGAAGCTACATTGAGGATTTCGATGCTCGTTTGAAACCCCCGAATGTGGGCATTATTCGACGCAGTGCTTGTTCCTTGTGTTTATCTGTTGGGGGGGTGTCTATAGGGTGGTTTTTGGCAAGTCTCTGGTAATTGAAGTATACTGGAATTGGTTGTAGATAGAAATTTTGGTATAAAGCTGCGAAGACAAGAAGGATATGTTTATTTAGTCTGCTACTCTTGTTCATGAACAAAAGTTCTCTGCTACCCATCTAACCAAAATTTTCTTAGCCGAAAGCAAACTACGAAGGCTTTGCCCAAACTGAAACTACAGCCATTCTCTGAGACTCAGGCCTTGAATTGTATAACTATCACTCTTTCTGGATACAACAAAAATGTCAAAGTCCCCTGATTTCTGCAGCTCCGTGCATTACTATTTCCCACTAAGTGTTCTGGAAGCTCGAACCGGAGCAGTTTTCGATCTTCTCTTCACAACTCTGCCTTGGATTCCAGGTCTATTTCTGGTTGAGAGCTTGGCTGCTCGGGTGGGACGGGGGCTGCAACCTTCTCTTCGGATTCCACTTCTTCTCCCAATATTTTTGCGGTGAATCGTCTTGCTTCTGAGTCAAGATCCACCCACTCGGGAACTATTCTTCTTGCCCCCTGGAAGAAAGAAGAAAATCAGAGGTTGTTTGAAACGGTGGCAGGCTTAAAACCACAACATGAAGGATGAAACAGAAAAATGGGAATTGAGAGCGAAAGAGAATACTCACCTGGAGCTTGGGTTCCTTTGTCATCGGGTTGTTACAAAGATCAATAGTCTTTGCCTTGGATTTGGTGGCATTGCCGCACCATGATTCACACCATAGCCACTCTTTGGGTAGAGAAAAGATTGGGACAGTATGCTGAGCGTAGTTTGGAAGATCCTGAAAGAAGGCGAAGAGGGCATGTTCCAATTATTCCATTTACATTTGGCTTGTAAGCTTCATCTAAAGTTTGCCTAAACTCCACAGATCATTCACACAAGCTATCTAACATCTCATTGATCGTCAAGTTTTATTTTCTAAAACCTCAGCAAACACAGTTTCGTAACTATAATTTAGGGTATGTTACAAAAGCTATAAAAAAAAAAAAAACACATCCATTGCTAAGGCATTTCACAGGGAAGGTAACTGCTGCATTAGAATCATAAAAGACGCGATGAGAGAAGGGAAGCAGTAGAGTAGTATATCTAAGAAACCTCAAGTTGAATTGGATCAGGAGAAGCGATGTATCAAAAGCATAACTGTAGTAATTAGGAAATTCGAGCTTATAATAACCATACCTGATCCAAGTTGGACAAACTGTTGGGATCCTTGCTAAGAGTTTCATAGAAAACCCTCAGGTTATCACCAGCAGCAGTTTCTCGAAATTTCACAAGATCGACGACGTACAGAGCACTGCAGGAAAACACACGTTCAGTGAAACAATGCCCCTCACATGAGATGTGGTCGTATCATTAAAAGGGACCCAACGCAAAACAACCTACCTGATATGGTATGCTCTTCCCCGTAAATGCTCTTTCCAAAATCCCTATTCAAGACAAAGGAGTAAGATTCTAATCTCAACTCTAAAGATGGTGTGGCAATTTAATAGTAAAATGAGGATTTCACAGGGTTGTTCAAAGCATTTACTAGTCTCCAGAATCTATATCCATCCATATCCTTGTTGTTGTCGCAGAAAGGTGTATATGCTAGGGGCCTTCCTTTTATGTCCATATCATAAAGTTCTCCCATGTCAGCTCTCACGATCTGATCTGCATCAACAAATATAACCTGTACAGAGAATCAAAACAATGGAAGTCAAACCCGAGTACTTCAAAATTCTCAAGGAAGGGTAACCAAACACAGAAGTACAAAATACACACAAGTTACCTTTTCCAAGGAAATAGGGAAGATGACATCAAGGAACAAAATCTTATAAGCCCAGATGATTCGCTGTTTTTCTTTCTGCTTATGTAGCCATGTTGGCCATTTATAGGTGACCAGTTCATATTCGAAACCATATTCTTCAGCCATGTGTGGAATTACATCCTGTGTGTTCATCAGCAACAAATAGAGACCATGTAAGCAAGACCTTCAACTTGGAGAAAATGCTCATAAGTGAAAGGATACAAGTGAATATATAAGACCTTAAATTGAGGAGAAAGGTAGTTCTTTATAAACCAAAACTTCACCGGACGTTGAGTGTTCTTCAAGACACTCAGAATCATAATTCTCAGAAACCGTTCATACCTACAAAAACCAGGAAAACCTTCCCGAGTGAGCGACTATAGAAGTGGAACAAGTTGATACTTTAGTGAGATAAGCATGAGATCGATAGCTTCACTAAAATGACAAATATCCTACATGTACCTTAGGCGGTGCTTGACAACCATGTATTAGAAAACACATGGACATAGTAACAATCCATGTACTCCAGAATATGGGTTTTATAATGTATGTATTGTCACAATAAAATCTTTCGTTTGCAAGGATTCTAAAACTGATGTCAACGTAAGACATGTGATGGAATTTGTGATACCCTTTTAACATCATCTAACTTATACCAAACTTCCAAAGAACATAACATATTTACGCCCTTCAGCTCTACAAAACTTGAGTTTCGTAAGAGCATCCTTAAGTACCAAGGTAGTCTAACAATAATAGTCTTAAATACATGAATCATTGATTTCGAAAATATGAGCTCTGAAAAGCATTATCATCATACAGAATTCAGAGTGAACAAACATTATGCAGGCGCTTATTTATCACAAAATGCATGATGATCAATTTTGCTCATAGACCGCTTCTCATCTATGTTAACTCCAGTTCCCAACTATATCTTTTTTTGAAGAAAAAAAAAAGATTTAGCAAACTCCAATGTCCTCAATTGACATCTAACCTATTGATAGAAACCATCCTGTTATATGTTGACTCGAGTTCCCAATAATAAATATTCCCATATGCTAGCTCCAAACAGGTCATTAATTGGCATCTAACAATACAATTCTATGATAGAAACCATCCTACGGCTGCAACCGGGTGTTTTACTTTCTCCCTTCACAGTGCGAAGGTAAATGATTAGCAAGAAAATTAGTACGTAAGAGGTGGTCATAAAAGGTAATACATCAAGGAGTTCAATAAATCGGTAAAATAACAACTCACAGGTGTCCAGAGGCGATAGAAAAAATGTTGATTGTTCTTCCATGTCGTCCACCCTTTACTTTTTTAGCCTGATGAAACACAAGGAGTAAATCATCGTGAAAAAAATGAAATACATAAATAGTTACACAATTGGGATTTACAATCATAGCCAATTGTTCCTATTGCTCAGGCAAAATTACAAATCAGTTTGCAGCAATCATCACAACCAGGTTCTCCTGATGAACGGGGTGATGGTAATCATGATGCTTTACACAATCTCATCCCTTGGATGAGTATCTTTTCAGTAACATTTTCATCCAATGAGTAAAACTTAATTGTCGCCTTTCGTTTGATATCTTTTTTGCTTCTAACTTCTTGTTTCGATTTTTTCAGAAACATTCTTTTTGCTACTAATCAAATCACAGTGTTTAATACTATTCTCACAAAAGCAATGAATGTCATGTTAGTTGAGTATCTTAATATTTATCATAAGCTGAATATTCATGTTGCGCTCACTGAATAGTTGAATTTGTTTAGTGTACATAGTTAGTTACATTCACAAAAACTTATCGGCAAAAACCATAAAGGATCCGTAAGTATGATGCTTACTTTATTACCAAACAGAAAGTATGATGCATACTATACCTAAACCCCATTCAACAGGACAGCCAAATTCGAATAACAAACCGTGTGGAACAATAGAAGAAAAACTTAAATAATCATATTATCAGAGTTCGAATAGTATTCAATTGTGGAGATGAGGATATGTGGCAGGGACCTAATTTAAAGAACACAGCTCAGAAGTCTTCATAGGGAATCAACTAAGCAGTTATATGAAGGGAACATTTTGGAGCAATACTAGATTCATCAAAACAGACTAAGTAATACTTGATCCTATAAACATTCACCGAAAGACAAGTTACATAAGGATGGGTTGGGTAAGAACAAATGTAACTTGGCATTGTATCCATAACGGTGAATCGAGCAAGAGGTATTAAGGACCACAGTCCATTAACTAAAGAAATTAAAATGAATATAATCCATGCTGAAGGAGGAGTACTATAGTAGTATAGTGAAATAGAAGGGAATAACTTACCACTGCAGTGTTTTCACCTTTTTTAGATTTTCCATTGCCGCCAATGATGCCAGATGCCCATTTCAAGAAATTAGCATTCCAACCATCACGAGATCCCTGTAAAGATTCAAGGAAAAAAGTAATTACAACTAACTGAAAAGTTGTTCTGACAAGCTGTCCACGAATTCCCCCCCCCCCCCCCCTCCCCCCCCGATAATGCAAGTTGTCATCAAATTTGAAGGTGTACTGCCACCAACAATAACAATGGTGACTTACTTTCTCCCTTCCACGTGACTCGCTATCATCATCGCTAGAAAGAAGCAGTTTCTCATGTTCCTTGCCTTTCTTCTTCACTACTTCCATATGAACCACCTTACCTCTAAAATCATCTAAGGTAATGCGCTTTGAGAAATGCTTGTCTTCATTTCCAACACCACCTTCCTTTAGGGAATAAAGCTCAGAACTTCTGCCAGGAGCAAGTTGCAGGTACCATACACCAGGGGAAGCTTTCATTTGCCAGTAGCCCAAATTGGCCATCACGATTGTATCAACCAAATGAGGCATGCTCTTGGTTCCAAGAATCAGCTGAAGTCCCCGAGGTGACTCATGATCTTTCTCGGAACAATGACCTGTCAAATGAACGCTCAGTTAATAGAGTGACAAGGACTTGCAGTCATAATTATGCCAACTCAATATCAATTACCAGAAATATTATTCAATGAGAACTAAAACCAGAAAGGTGGATCTAAGCAAGAAAAATAAGTTCTCACCAGTAAGAACAACTGCTTCAAGTTCAAAAACTGCCTGCATTGTCCTTGTATCACCCAGGTTCTCAAGCAAAATGTTGTCCATGTCATGACTGAAAAATATCACATAAAGAAGAGAACATTCAAGAATCATGAATATATGCCAGAATTGAGAAAGCAAAACTATGGTAATATATTAAGGAGTGAAGCAATGTACACAGCGATAA